CAATTCAGTTAATGTTGATAATGATGAAAATCTAGGCAAAGACGTTATATAATTACTAGAAAATGCCAATTTTTTTATATTTGGAAGGTATTTTAACCACGATGTATTAATTTTCTTTAAACTACAGCCCTTTAGGTTTAATGTCTTCAAATATCTCATACCGCAAAATGATCCAGGGACCAATTGAATATTAGGATTATTCGATAAATCTAAATATTCTATATTATCTAATTTGCAATTAGTATCAAAATTTTGTAGATTTGATCCAGAAAAATCTAGGTCATTATAGCCTTTTGGAATATTTAAAATTGCATATTCACTTTTGCAGGTAACTCGACGATTTTCACAAATACATTTTGCTGGACATTGATCGTCCGCTTGGTTGATTGGAAACAGCAAAAACACAGCAATAGAGAATAACCAAAAGATTTTCATTATCCAATATTGTCAGTCTATCATCAATGATCATATAGGATTCATTTTGAACAAATGATTCAGTTTTTAAAAGTATCTATATAAAATTCTCATGCCATAACAATGTTTTCACACAAGACTTACCATTCACACAGCGTTCAATATGATCTCTGCTTGTTGCTATGAGAAACTAGGCCTCTCATACACACATATACTACTGCGTTATTAATTAAGCCTATGTTTAAAAAAAAATGATGTACGTGTGTTGTTTGAGAATTAAAGAAAAATAATAAAATATCTAAACAGGACAGTTTTTATTCGACTATTAAATAAACTCTATTTATAGCTTATATATACATATATATATAAATTTATACAGTATATACCTTTCTTAATATATACTGTATACACATCCTATAACATGGCTTATTTTGTAAGAAGATAAGGAAAGGAAAAGAGAAAGAGCGAGAGAGAGAGAGAGAGAGGGAGAGAAACAGACAGGGATATTATCAAATACGACAAATGGAACGTTTCCTATTTTATTCCCTATTCAATTATCCAAAGTTCTCTTAGATAATCAAAAAAAAATTTAATCAAAGTAACAAACTTTCTTTTTGCTGTTTTTGAGTAGTTTGTCTACAAGTTTGCATTGTAAAAAATAGATTTGCTCTCTCTCCCTCTTTCTCTTTGGTAAAAAATTCGCATAAACTTTCAAACTTACTTTTCTCTATAATAAAATAATGTAAAAAGTAAAAGAAACAGCAAAATTTGATTCCATTTAGCATTCAAAAGAAATAAGGGTAAATTAACATCGCTTATTGACGTTAACAAATGATAATGACTCTCGATGATAGCTTTAATTTGTCTTTTCTTTTTTTAAGTGCTCTCATTAGACAATAATAGCTATTATAGTACTGTCAATATTTTTTTTTTATTGAACTAGAAAGGTAGATTTTACTGTTAATAAAACAGTTTTAACTTGAGAGTGGAAGAGGAGATTGATAGAAATGAAATAGTCTAATATTAAATGATTTGTCGAGTAAAAAGTGTTTATTCGAAGCATTATTATGCATACAGAAAAAACCGCAAAAAAAAGGAAATTAAAGCAGAAAATGAGCGTTCTCTCAATTATAGCTAAAAATCACTTTGTTTTCTTGTTCTAAATTCTCAAAAAACGATAATATTTCCTTCTTTGTTTTCTTTCAGACTTGTTAGACATTAATAAGGCAGTTGACTTAACTGAAAAAGGATGGTGGAAGCGCAAATTGCAGGTCAGAACCCAAAAATAAACAAATAAACGTCAGAATAAACAATGGCACCAAAAAAAAACAGAAAAAAACGAAAGTGAAAAGTTTCTAAACATGCACATTGAAAGGACTACCAGGAACGTGCTTATCGCCCCATAAAACGGCCAAAGTATAATCTCCGGGCTCTATGAGGACGTAACTGACATCATACATATTGCGACCTCTGTGTTGAACGACAATTTTCTCGCAAGGACAAACAGGACCGTGTACACCGACCAAGAGCATGTTATTACCAGCTTGGGAGGCGTCAACTACAAAATTTGATGGAACATTTCGGCCTGCTTTGGATAAGCCAGGACCAGAGCATCGAACAGCTGAAGCATCCGATACAACAGGTGCAGAATAGCGTTGTGTACTACTACTCTTGGTCACCGTTTCGACGACCACCTCTGAACTGTCCTGGAAACGACCTCTTTGTGGACCTGGACCTTCGACCTTTGCCAAGAAAGGAGAACCAGGAACATGTGTATTTCCAGCGTATTTGATCGTTATGAGATAATCACCAGGGGCGGTAGGTGTATAAGTAAACTCGTAGCCATCGGCTACTTCCCGGCAGTTAAGTTGAACTTTGCTTGGACCGTCGACTGTGACGGCCAATGCTCCTGAACCAGCGTTCAGAGTATTGACGATGAACTTTGAAGGTTCGCAAGTGCGACCTCTTTGGAGGCCTTCTCCATATGCTCTTACACGACCAGCATCAGCATCTAATTGACCAACAGCTACCTTGTAGGGACTGTCCATCAACGGAGCGTTATTTAAACGAACATGAATGTCGTGAACGCCATTCTCGCGGGGTACAAATCGAACAGAATGTCTATTACGCTCTAACTGTTGAACGATTGCCTCTTCTTCAACACCAGCTGGAGATACTACGACTGCATCTATTCTTCCGCCGTCCGTGTCTAGATCTATAATAAACTCTGCTGGTTCATTAACCAATAATTGATTTTGTTGTTTTAAATTGGGTCTATGAGCGACACCAGGTGCCAATTGAATTTTGAAAGGGGATTCAGGGATGTGTTGATCGTTAAACTTAATGGAGCAGAGATATTCTCCTGGCTCTTCAGCAACGTAAGTTACTACGCTTGAACCATCTTTTTTATCTTCGAAGTCAATTTCAGCCTTGCTGGGACCTTCTACGGCTATTGACAGACCACCAGCTCCAGCCTCTCGAGTGTAAACATTGAATTCATTTCTCTCGCCACAGATTCCTCTCTCGAGACCTCTACCACTAGCTTTAACTTTATGAGAGCCACCGTCGGTTATAGGGCCAACTGTAAATTGGAAAGGAGAACCTGGTATATGAACTCCACGATTCCTTACGAAAACAGTATGAATGCCCATTTCGGTGGGTACAAATTTAATGCTGTAATGACATGGAGCTAACTCAACAATATTGCATCTTTCAACGACTCCAGAAGGTGATTCTACATAGGCAGTCATATCAGCCAGATTCGTTGCTGGGATCTTCAAGGATAGCTCACATTCACTTCCAACATGAGTTACATCAGCTAATTCTCTTTGTCTGGTGATACATTCCATTTGTTGTCCGCTTACGTCACCACCAATGGTAACAAGGTAAGGACTACCTGGAACATGCTTATCAGCAAATTTAACATTGACTATGTATTTTCCAGGTTCTGTGGGTCTATAAGTTACTCCAATTGTTCCATCGTCGTTATCCGTACATTCTATATCAGCCTTACTAGGTCCTTCGACTGATAAACTCAAACCACCATATCCAGCTTCTTTCGTATTGATGGTAAACTCATTTAGCTCATTTGCCATACCTTCGATTAAACCTCTTCCATAGACTTTCACCTTTGAGGCGTCACTTAAATCACTTTCACCAACATATATTTTAAATGGAGAATTTGCTATTGGCTTCTCACTTCCGTCAGGATGACGTTTCAAGACGTGAACTTCGTGTTCACCGACCATTTCGGGTTTAAAAGAGATTCCCAAATGGCCATTTGGTAAGGACTTCAAGGAACATTGTTTTCGTCTATTGATGGGATCTACTATCTCAGCTCTTAAATTGGAAATATCTGTTTCACTAACTCCTAATGACATTTCATTAGCACCTAAGGACATTTGAGCTTTTGGTCTTCCTTCTCCTAAAATTTTGGCAGTGAAAGGACCTCCTTCAATTTGTCTTCCAGCAAACTTGATACTGATCTGATAATCTCCGGGAGCGGTGGGTAGATAGCTAACAGAGCATGTACCATCATTGTTGTCAACACATTTAATTTCAGCTTTGCTTGGCCCTTCAATACCAAGGGATAAACCACCACCTCCAGCCTCTTTCGTCACGATTGTAAAGCTAGCTAATTCATCAACAATACCATGTGTCAATCCAGGACCATAGGCAGTTATTTTTCCAGATCCAACGCTAGTCACATAAAACTCAAAAGGCGATCCTTTGATTGGTTTGTTATTATACAGGACATCAAGTTTGTGCAAGCCCTCCTCTGTTGGTTGATATCTTACGGTAACTGTACCATCTTTATTGTCTTCAATGCGAGGCTTATGGACATCTCTAGATGGAGTATGAACTCTAGCTTCAACAAAGTTAAATACTGGACCAACAGGTAAGCAGAAATCAACCGGATGAAAGTATTGTGGTTCAATATTGGCTGCCTATAAAAAGGATAAAAATGAAATTAGCAATTTATTGAGTTTAGTTTTCTAAATTAAAGTAATCCTCTTGCCATAATGTCATACGAAATTATGCTTTGAGGAGAACTTTTTCCTTTATAAAATTCATCGTTTTTTTTATTATAAAGAAGCATGAAAAGGAAGGAAAGAAAACACACGTTTAAAGATTGTAGCTGTTCCGCTTGAACTTGTTCGAATTGATCCATATCCATTACCTATATAAAATTGGAAAGGACAAAAAAGAAGCATGGTAGATAAAAGATTAAAGTATATGATTTCGTAATATCATAGAGAAGCACATTCTTAACCCACTTACATTCAAAAGTATTTTAATGATGTTTTATATAGAGTATGCATCCGAAATATTTATTCCAGATGCAAAAAATGTTTAATGCCAAATAAAAAGCAACTTTTTAAATAACAATAAACGCTTTTTGCTTAAAAAGAAATTATACTTTTGATGCAGTTGTGTTTTCAACAAACTATGAAGGTGCGTGTTTATAAGCAAGGATAAAGCATTGAAGACCTACCTTCTGGGTTATAACGCCATCAGGTACTGGTTGACCGCCAAATTTAATATTTAGCGTATGTGCTCCTGGAATACGAGGAGTATACATTAAACTAACAGTACCATCTTCGTTGTCAACAATATCTAGATCAACATCAGCATCTCCTGTTGTACTTATTCTACAAGTGATAGCACCTTGTCCAGCTTCTCCGGTATCAATCTTTATTACGCACTCTTGACCAACTGGAATTACTTCCGGAACATTCTTCGGTACACGAACTTTACTTGCATCGCCGATAGGGAAAGCCGGTACAATAAATGGAGCCCCAGGAACGTATTGACCTCCATAGCGAACGACAACTTGGTAATTTCCAAGATCTTCTGGTTTATAACTAACCGTATAGGTTCCGTCATTGTTGTCATCAATTAAGGGTCTAACATTTCTGCCTGCTGGATCTGTGATAAGAACATCAAGATCGGAGAGTCCAGCATCTCTAGTATCGATAACAAAAGAGACTGGCAAACTAGCAGGAACACCTCCTCTAGAAACTCCATCTCCCAAGACACGAACTTTAGAAGCATCAAAACTTGGTTGAATAGTTGAGGTAAAAGGTGATCCAGGTACAGGTTTTCCTCCATAGAGAACGTTTACTTTGGCTGGTCCTTCGCTCAAAGGTACGTAAGTTGCGTCAAAAGTACCATCTCCTCTGCTCCTAGTTTCAACGGGTCGTCGTTGGCCGTTTGCAAACATAACCTTTAAAGAGAGATGCGTAGATAACTATATCGAATATAATAACCATTGAAAAACTTACCTCTGCTTCAAGAGGAGCAACTCCAGCATTTGCTGCATCAACAATAAAAGTTACCGGCTCGTTGAATCTACCGCCGTATGGTTCAACACCAGATCCATAGCACCTAACTTTCGTTGGATCAACCACATCTGAAATTTTGACATGGAAAGGGCTTCCTGGAACATGAGTTCCTGCATATTTAACTCCAATATCATAGGTTCCGTGAACAGTTGGTATATAAGTAACTGAGCATGAACCATCTCTATTGTCTTCGCATTGCAATTTTGCCTCAATAGGTCCTTCGATCGATAACCCTAACTGCCCTTGTCCAGCACCGAGGGTTTCAACAGTGAAGCACTGAGCTTGATTAGTATGGCCTCCTTCTAAACCAGGGCCAAAGGCTTTAACTCTGGTTGGATCGCAACCTGGAGTTACATTGACTGCAAAAGGGCTTCTTGGTATCTTAATTCCTTCATAGGTCACATCAATCTTATGAGATCCTCTTTCACGGGGCGTATACAAACATCTATAATAATGGAAAAGAAGTTATAAAGTGTTCACTATAAGAACATGTGCGTTATATTTATTTACCTATATTGGCCATTAGATTGATTATTTACTAAGGCTTCAGTTCTCACTCCAGATGGAGAGGTTACAAAGGCTCTGACCTTTCCATCTCCTTTTGATGTAATAGAACGAGCATCGACAGTGAATTCAGTCATTGATTCTAGGAAGACGCCTGAAAGGTAATAATAGAATAAAAGTGTGCTAAAAAATTAAGCAATTAGCATAGTTAGATATTTATTGGGAATATGGTCTTTTAAAAAAACCATTTGTTTCATAAAAAAGCAGGCAACATGCATAAGTTTTCATTCCTTGGATTTATAGAGGAATAACCATAATTGTTAGAATAGGAGGGGAGAATTAGATAATCCATGAACAAGGGTAATTTTTTAACGAGCATAATTCAGTTCAAGACCGCCCAAAGATATTTATAGCTATCTGTCTGAAATATATTTGGATGATAATTCTTTTCAGGCAATTAGTAGAGAAGTCACAGGTAAATGCAGTTTTTAGATTTAAAAAGGAAGAGCGCATTCGCAAAAAAGTAGATATTGACTGCACTCAAACTATAACAACCAACGATAGACTAACCATCCGGTTGCAAACCGGGACCATAGGCTCTGATTCCACTGACATCAACAATTCTACCGGGATTAATTTGTGCAACAAATGGGGCACCCGGTATCTTCTTATCAGCATAAGTTACATCAATAATGTACTCTCCTGGTTCAGTTGGCCAGTAACGAACATCGCAAGTTCCATCTCCTTTATCAACTGCTTCAATTCTAGCCTCTGATGGCCCCTTTATAATTTTGAGGTTGGGTTTTAGTATTATTTATTCTACATTATTGAGTGTAAGGATATTTTTTTAATGTTATAAAAGTATCTGTTGTGATTTTTTTAATTAATTAATTATCTTTGATAAATTTTGCTATAGAATTCAAAGTAAAAAATCATAATTTTTCTGTAGTTTTCGTCTTTTTAGGATAAAAATAGCTGAATTATAGAAAAACCAAATTCCGACCTTTATTGTTAATCCTAATCCACCAGGACCGGCATCTCTTGTATCCAAAGTAAAGTTAGCCGGTTCGTTAGAAGTTCCACCAGCCAAACCGGGTCCGTAGGCTCTAACCTTATTAGGATCTCCGCTAGGAGTTGTTGGTTGCGCAGCAAGAGCTTCCACAACAAAGGGAGAACCCGGTATATGCTGGCCAGCAAAGAGAACATCCACAACATGATTTCCAGGTTCATAGCATGTAAATTTAGCGGCACTACCATCAATAGTATCTTCAACATGAGCCGCCATAACTTTTTGCGATGGTGATTTTATATGAACCTGAACGGGTAAGCTTTCTCCAGGTTTCAAAGGAACTTTACTAGCTCCACTAGTTACTATTTCGAATTCTTTCTCCATTCCGACAGGTACGGCTTTTTGACAAGAATTTTATCTATATAACTGGTGCATTTGTTTTGTAAAACGAAATTTGACTAGGAGACCGATGGACTGGGTCACCCCTACCATAGGTTGTGTTTTTGGTTCATAAATAGAATGATCATTATCATAAGAACTTTAGAAGTAAACTACTCGAAATATAAGAAAACTTTTTTATACTCACTCTTTTCCAAATCTCTGACTGTCACCTTTGAAACATCAAACGATGGTTCAACTCGAATTGCATATGGAGATCTAGGGATTTCTTGACCAGCGAAAAATACTCGACCAGTGTACGTTCCAGAACTTGTGGGTACGAAGTCAATTCGGAATTTGTTAGGTCCGTCTTGATAGGTCTCTACAGGTACATCCAAGCCGCATTCGTCAGTTAAGGTCAAAGAAACGTCACCCGGTCCGGCTTCGTTGCAATCAACATTTAGATGAGTTGGAGTAAAAGTCATAACACTGCCCGGTTGTAAAGCAGGGCCATAGACTTTAACCTTATTTGGATCACTCGATTCTTCAACCTACAAAAAGTATATACATCCATATATATACTGATATATACATATATAAATTTTACAAAAATATAAGAAAATACTCACGAGAACTCTATAAGGACTATTTGGTATTTGGACATTACCATAAGAAATAATAATAGTGTGCTTGACGGATCTTTCTGGCATATAACGACAGAAGAAGGTACCATCTTTGTTATCTCTAACGTGCAATTGTTTCACAGGTTTCAAATCAGCATCGATGCATGTAACATTTAACTTAGCTCTACCAGCTCGTCTAGTATTGACATTAAATTCAGCCCATTTATTTACAGTGTTTCCAGTTTTCTCCAAGCCTGGTCCACTAGCTTCAACGCGACTGGGATCAAAATCTGGAGAGGGTGCAGTACTAAAGGGTACCATATAAGGTGACTTGGGAATATCTTCGTCATTGCATAATATGTGAACTGCATATTCTCCGAGTTGAGTTGGATAGTAAGTCACATCAGCTGAGCCATCGCGGTTATCATCGCAAGATATTTTCGCTTGAGAAGGTCCCTCAATCTGAAATCCAAGTGAACCGGTTTCTCCGTTAGTTTCTACGGTGAATTTTGCTGGGAAATTAACAACTCCAGCTTCGAGGCCAGGTCCGTAAGCTCTAATGCGCGATTCTTTGTAGGGTCCAACGTGGACACTAAAAGGACTCTTTGCGATATCTTGTCCACCATACTGAATGATTACTTTATAGTCGCCAACATCTTTCGGTTCATAAAAGCATTCAAAGAGATTCGCATCCTTCTTTCGAATTTGGCACGGAACAGGACGTCCGCCTGGACCCAATACTTCGGCTTTCAGATCAGCAGATCCAGCTAGTTCAGTATGAACTTTAAAATCAGCAATATCACCAACTCTAACACCTTTAGGTTGAAGACCTCTTCCGGTTGCATAGACTTTCTTTGAATCGATGGCTGTTAATCGTAATTATCACTAGATTATAAAAATTTTTCACAATAGTAATAATACATTCACTAATAATACATATTTGCTTTAAATACAAACTTCAACATTTATATAATATATTTACACAGCACTCAAACAGGATGTAGGTCTAATGATCGTTTCCTTCATTATACATATCTTATTTTTTAAAGGCAATGATTAAATCACAAAATACTCCCATGTCAAAATGTACGTAATAATATCCATTTATAATTTTTCAATAAATTAGATTTTCAATCTTTATTTTGCTTAGAAAGTAATACAAAAATTTCTTAAGGATGACACGAAAAGTTTAGCAATAGACTTTTTTTTTTTTTAAATAAAATCTCCCTTCTTTTAAAGACATTCTTCGATAGTGGCAATATTCTGAGATTTACTCTCAGTAAACAAAATATGTCTGCTTTTCCATTCATTAGTTCTCAAATTATTGCTTTTACGTCACCATTAAAACTTTACCGATCGTATTCAAAGAATATAGATCTATTATTATATTCAGGTATAGCCTTATTTTATAATAGAAGAGAGTTTTATATCGTCCGATTGGAAGTTTATGATATATCAAAAAAGAAAAAAGAAACAAGTAAATCTTCTTTCACTTTGATATCGGAATGTAAAAAATTCAATTTCCAGTGAAAGTAATTTACTCTAAATCAATATTATCTGTTTAAATTATGACCTTTTCTGATATTTTGTAGAATTTTTCGCATTACATATAACATTTAAGAAAAAAAGAACGAGGGATAGAAAACACTGCATCATCACACTTATCACTCACGTTTCGGTACGTATGCGTACTGAACTGGAGGAGCACTCTGAGAAGGTGCTTGCTTCTGAGCTAAACGGAATTGATACATATTTTTAATGATATGATTATTCCAATATTAATCCAAAAACTGTCTATTCTCTTTTTAGTATTAATAGTCCTTAATTCAAAAATTCCAAACTGATTATTATTCGTATTTTCTTATTACCAAAATAAAAAGAAAAAAATTATTATTTTCCTATACTACTGAAGATTGCACGCAATGTCAATATTTGACCCTATATAAAGGCGCTGAAAAAGTAAATAACAAGGGCATGCAGTATTTTTGCAATCGGCTTACGTTTTATCGCCGGTTGTTCAGCGAAAGGAACGCCACCTTTCGGAGCTAGATGAAAGATTGTAAGGGATTTATTAGTTTTCTTTCTTGTAGAGTTCATAAAAAAAGGTTTTTTCCTTTATGAATTCATATTATAGAATATGAAATTATCATCAACTTTGTTTACAAATCTTAAACTTTTTTCCAAACAAATGGGGATAGCTTTATAAGAATTATGTTAGTAAACAAAGAAATTGCATAAAAAAGAACCGCAAACTTTGCAACTTGCATCTAATTTAAAATATGTAAAATTATTAAGTATCTATTCATAAAACTCTTATTAACTAAAGAAATAGTCAACTAATTAATTAATTTCCTATTAAAACAACCCTGTAATCAGCTATCCCCATTAAAATAATTTATCTCTATTTAGAATTAAATTTACTTGACATTTATGGACTAAATCTGTTTTTAGAGTGGGTAAGTAGGACTTTTCACTTACGTGGTGCAAAGCAGGCAAGGGCTGCTTGAACTGGAATTTTTTTTGTAATAAAATTTTAGTTAGGTATTTTTATTATGAACAGCCTAGCAGCTGCTGAAAATTGTACCTGGTGAACAAGAGGGTGCTTGTTCAGGTCCACTGGCTGTAAAATCGAGTAGAATAATGAAAATTTTTTCTTTCAAATAGTTATTATAACACTTTGGTAACACAGCAAGAGGCTCGCAAAAATATTTTTTTTTGTTATAAATAGAGCTAAAATCAGTAAAACAAACGCTAATAAATTGGAATGAACCTGAAGGGAGGGGAAGTATAAAGATAGATTTTGCTTAGTTGGACAAGTATTGTTCCGTTTTAGTATTCTAAATTTGTAAATGAATTTCACTCTCAATATTATGTATCAGTTGGAGTTTGACTCAATTGTCAAAAGGATGCAATTTTTGGATAGGGATTTTGTAAACCACACTGTAAATAAGAACCCACAACTACGTACATTTCACATCGAAGGGAGGTCCGCTTTCTGTGAATATTATTTAAAATATTAAACACGTAAGAAAATTCACCAATTTCGCGTTACTAAGGAAGCTAATCATCGGAATACTGAAATAAAAAACAATTTCACTTACCAGGACTAACGTTGACGGTGAAGGCACTACCAGGAATATCTCTTCCAGCGAATTTTACAGTAACGTGATGTCTTCCAGGCACTTTAGCAGTGTATTGAACTAACCATGTTGTAGGACTTTCTTTCTTGACAAGAGGTCTGACAGTGTCATAGTTGTCATTAGGATCTTTAATTGCAACGTCGACAACGCCAACACCAGCATTATCCGTATCAACTTTAAAATAGGTTCCTCTGTTTGCAATATTTCCATTCGGTTCAATACCTGGTCCCATTGCAGAGCATCTGTAAATCATAGAAATGCATGAATACCGTGTATAGTATATATAATCACTGAATTTACGAAAATTACCTTGAGGCATCACCAGGTCTAGGATCAACACCTACTTCGAATGGACTCTTTGGAATTTCGGTTTGATTACCGCCATTCTTGGGTCCATATTTTATTTCAACTCTATAAGTTCCTTGCATCTTGGGAGTATAAGTACAAGAGAAAGTTTTATTTCTATTAGCTTCTCCATCAGAGATTCCAGCACCAGATCTTCTCCTATCGTCCTCATCACGGAAATTTTTCTTTATCTCACAGTGTTCTACTTGCCCGGACGGACTCAAAACGACCACCGAGGGAATACCATCGCCAGCGCTAAAAATATCAATCGTAAAACGTGCTGGAGCTCCAACACAGTTTCCGGTAGGTTCCAAACCTTAGCAAAAAAAGCAGATAGTTTGAAAAAGACTTGTTTATAAATTTGTTTAAAGCATACCGGGTCCGTAAGCTCGAACTTTTTTGGGGTTCAATCTTGGTTTCAAAGGAGCACCAGGTTGTAGTTTTGCAGATGGAAACTGAGACAAGTAGGTCATCATAGAAAGTTCGTCCTTTTTGGGGTTAATTAATTCTTCAGGCCTGATCAGTTGAGGAACTCCCAACCATTGTTCAGCCTTGTCCATAGCTTCCGTCGCATTTTCCTTTGGCCTTACTGGAGTCCAATCGGGCCAGTCTGGACACAAGCCAGGCGCTATATTATCTACCAAAGCACCGATGGTTATACCATCATTCCAATCCGTAGTGAAATTCGTAATAGGACGTTCTGGTATTTTGTTTTGTACCCAAGCCAATAGTTTTTGTTTGGGCGTTTGCTCTTTCTTTCCATCCGGCTGAAAAGATTCACATAGAATATAATATAAAATATAGGTATCTTATAAATAGAGGAAATTATAATGTAATTTAAATTTGATCACTTTCTAATTGAAAAAATATTATTTAATTTGTCAGAAGAAAAAGCAAGTTTTAAAAAGCATCTTTAACTTAAAAATGCAATTTCCTATTAGAATTAAATTACGTGTTTAAACAGTGTTTACCAATATAAGCGATAAAAGCACTATGAAAATGAAAGAAAAAGTAATTCATTAAATATGGCTTGAAGAAATTTTCTCATATGCAAATATATATATGTATATATAAATTTATATATGTGATATATTAAAGAAATACACTATATGAAGCATTTATATACATAGAAAGAATAGTTAGAAAGGAATTTTTTACACGAAGAGCATTAGGAAATTATCAAAGGAGATATACTAATTCAGTTACCAATTTAATTAGATAAAAAGAAAAGCATTAGATATCTTTTATATTTAACTTTAATAAAAGAATCATTTGTCTTTCATTTGTATTTGAAATAAAAAACCTATTACTAAATCTAGACTTACTTTTTAAAGGATTAGTACGAGCTAAACGATAAAATTAGATTGCTAAATAAAAGAAAGCTTCCAAATAATTTTGCTGATAAAATATTTAAAATAAAAGTAGGGATTAAAGTAGCCTTTTTTCTAATGTTTAGTTCCAGCTTTTTAAAAAATTACTTATTTATTAATTAATTACAATATATCTCCTTTGGACATGCCCTTCTGCTGATTTTTAGCAAAGAAACTTATATTTTTATGTATTATTATACTTACTTTTTCCGATTTGACGGGATCCTTTAAAGAATATTACTCTTTGTAAATGTTTAATTTAAACGTTTGTTGTTATATAGTATAAAATTGCTTACAATAATTTACTTAAACTTAAAAAATTAGTCGGAAATAATTGATAAATAATCAATTATTTTTAATTCACTTAGGTCTGGATTATACCCTGATGATTGTAATTTTTTTTTATTATTAGCCTGAATATTGCTAACAAATAAGTATAATTAACTAATATATCCTAAATTGTATGGAATGATCGATTACAAGTATCTTTTACGAAAACACTTACTGCATCCGAATCGTCCTCCCAAGTTGGCATTGAGATGCTGTAATGCAAAATCAATGTCCATATTAAGCCCAAAATTAATTTCAATTTATGATCGACGATGTCAGTACTATCTGTTGAAGAGAAAAGTTTTTGTTGAGAATATTGTAAAATGTGGCGCCATCTTAAGTATAACAAATATGCTTTTTTTTTTATCAAATCTCTTACATCTCCTACTGTTAAGTTTTGTTAAGTAAATATATCTAAAATTGACACTCTAAGGATAAAATTTTTTATATTATAATAATAAAGCATTGTTTTTACTGTTTATACAGCTATTTGTAAACAAAGTATGTCTAGTCTAGACTATTATCAATTAGCATATCCTAAATGATATATTGTATCTTTTCTCCAAATATATATCCCATTGGTAACGAACTATTATATATATATATATATATAGATCATTCTATTCTTAATTTTCGATGTAATGATTTCCTATATAATTATTGGTAAAGTCGGTATAATTACAATTATCCATGACCTTGCAAAGCTATGGATGTCGGAATAGGTTTAGTTAATAGGGAAAAAGAAATTAGACCTTTTAAACTTGATACAATCTAACAAAGTATATTCTAACAAATTAAATTTATCAATACTAGTTTAGACAAACTTTGAATAGGGATTGTTTTAATTTTTCATGTTCGTTTTTCTTTTCATTCTTTGCAGTTTTGAGAGCAGAAGTATTTTTTTTTTATATATATAGATTTGTTTAGTAAACACAAGATATTGATGGAAAATTAGTAGTTTTAAGCATAAAATCGTTATCAACAGTTAAAAAAATCGAATAACCGTGACTATAAAAAGAAAAAAGAAAACTCTTTTAGCTTTACATAATACAATTTTTACGTTATTTAGTGTAAAATACGTACAAAAAATAGTGTAACAGTTGTCGTATTCAAGTAATTTTTTCCAGGGGATGTATGATTGAATTCGTTATTGTATTAATGATTTGCAACCTGTTCTAGTTCTTTTGTATTAATGAAAAGTTCACAAAAGAACTTGGGTTTATTATGCAAGGCCAACAAACGTTTGATACTGATTAATAGGTTCCTTTTTGTAGGTTAAAAATAGAGAATGCAAAATTATTCAAATAATTACTGGTAACTAAAATTAAGATAAAGAGAGAGCGAGAGAGAAATTACCTGAGGGAATTTGAGAAAAAAAAATAATTAATTAAAAATCTCAGATTTCAATTAAAAAAAAGGGCTTAACTAAATAGGATTTTATTTTACTAGTAAAAAGATGATATATGTTTTACTTTTTTTAAAGTTTTAAGTTTTTCAACAAACTATTTTCAACATCAAATGTTTCGTATATACTGTATTTTCTTAGGAAATGATATACTAAAAATTTATTCTATTTACTTAACGAATAAACAAGAAAAAAAGACAGTACATATATAAATCTGATTAAATTAGTCGCTCTTTTTCTTATCTCTCTTAATTTGTCACTTGTTATCTAGTCAAGTAAAAATTGAATTTATAGCTTTTATATGATACTAAAGAAAAAATTGGTAGGTGGTACAAAATTGATTGATAATTATTGCCAGAGAGCGCCACTAGCAATCGATAGAAAATTTAGGATGTTTAAAGGATTAACATTTAAAAAGCATAGCGTAAAATATATATATATGATTGCATTGGCGGAAATTTTACTATTTTGATTATGTGATTTATAGACCTATACAAATCCAATAAAAACAACTAGTGTTGAGAATCAAACATGAAGAAGAGCTAATTAAGCCTACTCAAAGCAACCACAAAGTTAAATAAATATACAGCATTCTCGACTGTATAAAGCGACAACGATAAGTCAGTAAGGAGCAATAAAACACACGCTATTTAACTAGCGGCTCGATCACAGACACAATCAACTCTTTGTCATTCAGAGTTTGACTAAAAAACACCAACAAATAAATACAATCCTACACAAATCGTGCCTAGACTTAATTATCAAAAGATTAACACCCAAGCTGCATAAATTGGCCTATATTTATCGCTACATCCGTTCCTTTCCCGTTCAGTTTGATTGAAAAAAAAAAAAACTTTTTATCTAAAACGTTTTTCTCTTCGTAGATAAAATTTTCCGTACAAGTACGAATGAACTAAATTTTTTTCCGAATAATTTACATCTCTATTCAAGATTAACTCAACACAAAAAAAGACTAATAATAATCAATTATATTTGTTTGAAGAGAGCTTAACGCATAGTCAAGTTAATTAGATGAGTATTATATACCTTTTTTAACACTGTCGTACTTAAAATAATATTGACCTTGTTCATTTTGTTGCCTTTTTAATTATTATTTTTTTTTTTAAAATACCTATTCAAAACGAAACATTACTAAAACTCCTTAAGAAACAAGTCCATTCTATATGTTAATCTTATTAATAAGAAAAAGGCTTTTTCAAATCCTAACAAAAACTAACATAGATAAGTGTATTGAAAGTAAGGTAATAGTTTTAATTTGTTCAATTCAATTATTTTTTCTCCCTTAGAAAAATGTATCTATTGGAATATACAGTATACTAAATATACTAAAGTAAATCTTTTCTTTATATATATATATATATATAATAATTTTCCAAATCCTATATGTTCCTATATTAAATTAAATTCCTTTTTTATCAGAATAATTTATACTATTTTTTTGCTATTGCTTAATCTAATAGTTCCTGTTGTAAAAATTTATATACTATATATATATATATATTGTTCTAATAGAAAAAGATATCGATGGGTGGTAGATGTAGGCGTATAAAACGTATGTATTAATACAATTAAATAATTAACTTAAATATATAGCCATTTTCAATCATAAATATATCCTTGTCTCCCATTCTCTTCCTACATTCTTTCCATTTTTCTCTTACAAAAAGAGGCCGTTCATATTTTATACTAAGAAAGAATAAGAAAAAACGCGGGAAAAGCTTTAAAAAAAAAATTATGCAGTGTTGCGAGTTTAGCTCCTATATTTATTCTTTATATTATATATACCGGTTTTTTTTTATAAATTGTTTGATTTCTCTATGATTCAAACGAATCGATTAAAAAGAAAAACATTCTAAAAATATGATTAAGAAGAAAAGAATCGGTAAAACTTATAGATGAGTGACTACTTCCTTTATCTCCCCCACTTTTTTTTTATCCTATTAATTAGTTTTCTTTCTTTTCTTTTTTTTTTGTATACCATATATACTAATCAAACATTGAGCACTATTAGAACATTCTTAAAACGTGAAAACTTGTTAAATGACCTGTTCTATTAAAGGAAATTACAAAATATGTTTAAAATGAAAAATGTTGTTGCAATGTTATCGATTTTTTTCAATTCTTATGGTCACCGAGATTTATATGCCCGAAGAAATTGATAGTCTAACTCTTTACGTATCGCACACGAAACAATACACTCGAAAATTTATCAATTGCTGGTATGAAATATTAATAAACTGGTCACGCATCGACTAAATTATCGATTTTCACATCTGTTCAGTATATGAGGTTTAAAAACCACGCTCAACTCACAACTTAAAATTTGTAACATGAATTGAGCGATAATAGCGTACTTTTTTAAAACTACATACCAATATTTACAATTCTTATTCCTTCATCCTCCTCCAAGAATTTTAAGCACATTGTAACATTCTCCAACTTTTGAGTTCTAAAATTCGGTCTACGATTATACTTGCTAAATTTCTTTCCGGATAGCACTTCAACAAGGGCGATTAAACGAAGACCGTCGGCAAAATCGTATTCCAAATCAACGACATTCTTATTGACGGTTTTCAAGTGTTCGTTCGCCCAGCGAGTGAACGTGTTCTTCTGTATAATCTTCCACTGGGCATCCTCAGCCAACTCACGTTCAGTGGCCGGCATTTCCTCCTCTTCTTCGCCTGAAATTTGGTAATGTTTTGAATACGGAATGCGAAACGGTATAATTAAGCGCCATCTGTCGCACGTAGTTTTTTATTTTCAACAATTAATATTCGCGACATCTATCGAAGTTGACAATTGTAAAAGTTAACTGTTCATTCAAATAATAAAAGAGAAAATGGTAGAAAGACTACTATTGATTAAATTTTCAAGTTAAACTGTGAATAACGTGATCTGTGACAGATTTAAGAAAAGTTCTTGAAAAGTAGAGAGAGAGGCACCTCACTAAGCTATTATACAAATACTATGTGTTAAAAGCCCTATAGAAGCTTAGAACCAATCATATGGAAACTTTCTTAAAGCTATATCTATTAATTGTTATTTGATTAATTATGCATTAAAAACTACTTTAAAATAGACTTTTAATAGACGATTTTGGTTTTTGGGCGTTGGCTATAGTTTTTTTTCTTCAATTAATCATTTCATCTTAATTTATAAAAATAAATTAACAATTTCTATTCTATTTACACTTTTTATTTATTTAAAAAAAAACAACAAATTTTAATACTTTTTCTATTTATTCAAATTTATGCAAATATATATTAAAATAATATTATAATTTATTTTATTTCTTTTTATGCTTTATTATCTAAAGGAAAAAGAATTTGCTTAAAATTTTTAAGTTTCTACCACTCAAAGTAGGCTTAAATCTTTTAGATTCGCTGATTGATTACCGTCTGCTTATACGTTGTCCATAGGCCTTTTCATATTGTTTTCAAATAATGTTTTACATAATAATGAAACCAATTCTTACGCAGTACATGAAAATAAAGTCTAATTTCCTTAAATTTATTTACATCCATTAAAAAATAGACCTATATTTAAGAGCACTTTTAATTCATCCGGCATAGGTGAATATTAAGCCTATTGAAGCTATTTATAAGATATATCTAACAAAGTCTTATTTCTTATGTAGAATATTTTAAGGCCTAGTGTATACAATTAGCAGTTATTCTAATAATTTTATATAAAAAATCAACGGTATATTGCAAAGGTCAAATGGAATTTTTCGTTTCTTTTTCTTTATTGGTTATGTAATACAAACCTTCATAGTCGTATTCATAAGGTGAAGCGGCATATTGATAAGCATCATTCGAACTAAGAGCCATGTCGAATATCCTCCTTCTTTTCTAATCCTATTTAGGAACAAATAAACAAATAAACTAAAATAATATCATATTACTTGGAGAGAAAATCCTAATTTTCTATTTAAAAAAGAGGCTAATAGATGGCGCAATTGTTACAGCAAAACAGGGAAACTTTTTTTTAGCGGAGCAACCAAGAAAAGTTCGTAATATTAAGAAAGAAAGAAAAGAATAGAGAGATGGATTCTAGGACTAAAGAAATGAAAAATGATGATAGTTAAAGATTAAGAGAGTGATAATATATGTATATCATAATATATTATAATTATTTTCGCTTTTGTTGTAACTTTATAGTACAATAAAAAGACTTGGTTGTTTGGAAAAATTGTATTGTTTTTCAAGATAAAAAATGATGCCTTGTAAGTAACAGAACAACAAAAAAAAGTGTCTTCTATTCAATATTAATTACAGGAGATATATATAAATAGTATAAATTTATATAAACACACGATTAAAGATGTAGTTATTGTCTTAATAAAGTTATTAAATATGACAAAAAGTAAAGCATAGGAAGAGAGGTGAAATGAGAGAATTTTTTTTTTAATATTCTGTATATATACACTATATATATACACTCTCGCGAATGCCTTGGTTTTGTGCATGCGTGTTCGCTTGTAGGTTTATATATAAATATATATTTTTAGGTATATAAAGTTCATAGTTTGGTTATAGGCTTTTATGTAGCCTTAATATGCATTCTGCAAAATATTTTTATGCATTTAATACTAAATTGAAGTAAAAATGTTTATATAATTCGTTTAATTATGTTAACTTACTTTCCTACTATTCCGGAAATGATGATAATTGATGACTTATTGACTTTTTTTTTTTAAAAAGAAAAATAATTCAACAGGAACCGTCCTCCATTTATAAATAACAATTTAAAAATGGCGGTCTATTCAAAACACCCCATGTCGAATAAGAATCTATTGTTGAATGAAACCGTATTAAACAGAAATACTTACCAAAATCTGTTATATTTCTTTTCTTAAATATTCTTTTCTCTTTCTTTCTCCTTCTCTTTCTCTCTCGTTCTATTTGAGTAATTTTTCCAATATAATTCCTCAAATTTTTCCCTGTCTTTCTCTTCTTCTTACTCCTCTCTCTCTCTCTCTCTCTCTTCGTTTGAGTGTCTTTTTCTATTTGGATCTTTTCTAGCCTGTACTCTCAAGAGTAATAGTTTTCTCTGACTTCGGAAAAACTACTATTCAAGCGAGGTTAATCCTTGATTTTCCTCTTTTCTCAGCTCCTTAGGTCGCTTTGCCTTATCTCCGCTGGAAAGGTTAATCAAACGGGCGGAGCGTAATACTTTAAACTGAACAGCTGATTGGACGGTTATAGGCGATGGTCTAATCTATAAATAGAACAAGAAACCTGATACGCGTCTGGCTACCATGCATGTAGGAGAAGGAAATTCCTTCGTAGGCCTATTGTAGGCCTCATACAAACCATAGGTTTTTTTCTTACAAAAACTTGATATTTTTTACAGCAGATTTTTATGCAAAGTAGTTACATTCTAATACATTAAATACTATTTAATGTATGGTTATATCTATATATAATGATATTGAAGTAATACCGCCATTACGCAACTTGGAATTATTTAAATAGTTAAAGATCTAACTAATTTGATACGAATTTCTTTAAAAAACAAATAAGAACATTTAGTGCTATATTATTGATATTGAATTTATTTAAATAAATAAAGTATATCTTTCTATCTATTTCTTCTTTTCTCACTTCTAACTTTTTTTTTTCCCACTAACACGAAACATCACTTGTCTGTTAAAAAGACCTAGATCTGGACCTACTTATTTTAACGATACTATTTTATCTAAACTTTATACTATATTGACACGAATTAGCTTTTTTGTTGCTAAATTTTTTTTTTATAAATAATTTAATAAAATTGTAGAAAGAGAAAAATAGAAAACATTTTTTTTTAAAAAAAAAAGAAGAAAGGAGACAAAAACTAAAAAGAAAATATTTTTTGGATATAATTTTAATATGCAAGTTTAATTGAATAGTTGAAAATACTTATTAAGTATTATATCCTTAAGGTTTCTTATTTTCCTTATTTTATTTAAATTCAATACACTTTTTCTCTTTCATATAACAATAACAAGATATTTAATAAATTTTCAATCTTTTAAAGGATACTGTATATATATACTGTATATATATATATTTATTTATTTAAACAGTATATACAAGTTATTCTTTTATTGTACATTTTCTCTATACCTATTCTTGACTTTATCTTCTCTATCTCTTTTGTTCCTTTAAGGTATATTAATGGGCTATTCACTTTCTTTAAATCTTCTCCTTTTATTGTTACTCATAAAAAAGTAGTATTTTTAAAATAGAAAGATTAGTACATCTTTTCTTGTAAACAGTTCTTTTGGAATGTTTTTAATGACTAATAAAAAGGGAATTCTGGTTAGGCCTATAGCGAATGTCTATATTTTCATATGCTACTGGGTTTGTTCTTTAGCGTTAACCGTCTTTATTATCATTGGTCAATCGTAAGGGATATAAATTTCCGTCTATAAACATTAGAATGACTAATCGGATGCGGAAAAGAGTCTCTTCGTGTTTTTGCAAGTCAGATTGATTAATCACGGATGAGTTATTTTGCTTTATCATCGAAATACCCACTTTACAAACAAAAAGGGTGGAGAGGTAAGGTAAGAAATGATTTATAAATCTGTTAATAATCTGCCTTCCTATGTTCTAAAATTTCTGCATGATTTTCTCTTAATCATTTTTACTGTTAATTCCTATCCAAATATACAAATGCTTTATAATCAGAAAGACAAACATGATAATGAAACTCTGTTCAAAAAAATACAGATGTATTTATTTCTATACAAAATAACATTTACAGATTTCTAATATTTTAACTAATAATTGTACAATTATCTCAACCTACAACACGCGTGCAACAAACTCTCGCTGCTATAATAAATCAGTTCAGATTATAACATATTATAAATACATTATATGCAAAAACAGTCCTGAGAAATTAGTTCACTGTTCAAGATCCTGGTTCGTTGGTTGCTGTGAGTGATGCCAGCTTATTCTGAAAAGCTGTCAAAATTGCGAAGACAACGAATATGATCGGAAGGAAGCTTAAGTGCGAGAGCTGAAATTATTTACGTAAACACAAAATTGTTTGTTTAGTTTTTGAAATATAATAAAAAAACTAACTAAGCGTGCAGTAGAGAGATCAAGAGGAAACCGTTTGGCAGACAACGGCGAATAAGACGCCATACACGACAGCGATTAGTGGTACAATCCAACATGCAGAGATCTGCGTTAATTTAGTACAAAATTGAAAAAGAGCTAAAACGTGCTAAGAATAAAATGCGGCCACAGAGAAACACTGCTGAAATAATAAGCATTTTCCCTTTGAACTGTTAGTAACCCTTTATTTCAAGCCCCCATTCCATTATACGTTTTGTAAAACAAGCCACTGGAATTTCCAAAGTGGTTAGCTGTTCTGCTTAAATGCTCTAATAGCTTGTGCTAAAAGGCTAACTTTTTTGAACATTCTAACTCTTCAATAACAATAATTACACTTTTTGTTCTATAATTGCAGTGTTCTTGAGCAATGTTTGTCTATGGCATTTTTCAGTGAAAAGTAATAATATTTTTCAATGAATGCTTGTAAATGTAAGCTTTTTTTTCTAAACAATCAGATATAATAAAATAGTAATTTATATATCAAATATGTAATGATCATTCTTTTTCAATTTCTGTCTGTGGTTTGATCCTTCAATAAAGACTTTACGTTTGATTTTTTTTTATTGATAAAACATTTCAAGTTTTATCTACAAATCCATGAAAAATTTGTTACTTTTTTTGTGTGATAATAGAAAAAAATATATAAATTTTTGGAGTAAAAACAGAAAAGAAAATTTTTGGTGTCTACAACTGAAATATTTAGTAGTGATTTATTTGACATTCTCAAGGCACCGACATTTATGTCGCGTTATTTTTTTGTTCAAAAATGTACTGAAAACAATCGCTAATCTAACACTACGTACATTGATAAATAGCTAAAAGCGATATATTTCAGACATTTCATATAAATATATGTCTCAACTCCATTGTAAACAGAGTGCAACTAATATAACTTTTCTATGTTATTGATTGCAAACTAGATAGCTCTATACTGAATAATTGTTTACAAAAGTGGAGGCATACCAAAAATAAATAAATTTGAAAAATAGCTAGAATTAGTTCTAACTTTTTGGTGTAAAAAAAGTACTGAAAATTTAACGTACTATCTCGCAAAGAAAATTTTTTCTTTTACAGTTTAAAGACTTATCATTTTTACCGCCATCTGGTGGCTTAAGATATCCCGTTGATAACCTTAAATTACCTATAAAGCACTTAATAATAAATGAGATTGAAATAAGAAAACAACAAATAGAAAGCTAAGCCTTGCTTTAAGCCTGGTTTTTAACCTGAGGAGACTTAGACAAAGTCTTTAAAGGAAAGAAATGTTGGTGCCTTGTTTGAAATAGAGACTGATTGACTACACTCATTCAATATATAAACTCACCACTTTACTTCTGTAGGATAATTCTTTAAAACCAACGTCAATTTCTCTTAGCTCTTCTTTGGTCTCTTCATACTAAAAAAGGTTCATTTATACTTAATAATAAGCACGTGAACTAACCAAATAGAATTGCACATTAATTTTCTTATTAAGATAATAAAATAATAAAAATTGTAAATCATTTAAATTAAAAATTTCAATAAAACTGTAAAATATTAGTATTTTTTACCGATATTTCAACTGATTTCAATCTAGCTATTTCATCTTCAGCTTTTCTTAGCCTCTTTTTCAGTTCAAAATTATCCTTGACATCTGAATTCAATTCTTGGTACTTTTTTAATTGTTCCTCAGTTTTTTGAAGTTCGCCTATAAAAATTATGAAGTGGTAAAATTGTTGTTAATTTATCAACCATTAGAGGAAACTTAATTAAGGAGGAAAAAAAATTAAGCGGAAAAAATTTGGAAAAACTTACTCTAGACAAAAGTCAGAAACTTAATATAGAACAAAAACGTTTAAAGTTGATTTTGTTCATGCGTCCAATTATTATGTGAACAGGCTAAGCAAAATGTTCTCACAACGTCGAATTTTTTTTTGTTTTTTTTTGATTTTGTTACTTTGTTTTTTTTTTTTACATCACCTGCGACTAAGTGCAAAACTAACGAAAACGAAACTTTTCGAGAGTAAAAAAAACAACAGCAATAATGTATTTTTTTTTCTGTAAATATAAACGAGATAATTACTCGTCACAGGTGAAGTAATGTATAATATTGGTTAAATGAGGAGGGGAGGATAATCGTTAATCAAGCGGGTTATGAAATAAATAAAAACCAAGCATACAGCACTTCACCTGTTCACATTTCAAGATAACTTTAAAAATATGAATGAAAGAACGCATGGACTTTAACTTTAAAGGCCTACTTATTTACTTTTCCTACTGGAGTCCCTCCTCTCTTATACCCATTGAGCAGTTATACAAATACTCTGTCAACTTAATGGTTAAGTAGAGTTCAAACAACAAAATCAATTCATCTTACAAACGATAATTAATAGAATTTAAGAAAAAGGCTGATGAATTTTTTAATTTTTTCAAAAGGAAAATCAGTAGTCCATGCATTCACTCCTCAATTTTCAACATGCACAAAAAAAATAAAGGCTTTTAATGAAAAAAAAAATCATCAAGTTTTTTTTTCAGCACGCACAGATGGCTGGAAAAAGTTCTAATACAAAGTTTTTTTTAATCTATACTAAAAAGTCTTGGACAAGAAATATTTTTCTGATGTGTAAAGTTAAAAAAGACCAAATGATAAACAACAAATAAAAAAATGGTCATGCGTGCCAAACAAGTTCAGCATTAAGGCAAATACGGTACACTTGTGACTCACTTCGAAGTTTCTGATTTTCAAGCATATTTCGTTTAGCATCTGCCTCTTCCGCTAATAGCCTCTCTGAAAATGGATTACATTTTTATTTTTATGCATGTTTAGCATTTCCCTTTGACTTTTGATCCTAAATTGATTTACCTTGAAGAGATATAATTTGAGGTTTAACTTCGTTAGTTAAATTTTCAGCTTTACGTAATTCATCTGCAATTTCAGATATTAGTTTCATATTATGGATATAATTACTTTTTAAAAAGTAAGTACCTTCTAGTATGCATATTTTTTCTGACTTAACTTTGAGTTCATTCTGACTGCAGTTTAACCTACTCTCTAGTCCGTCAGTCTTATTCTTTAACGCATTTTCTTCAGTTTTAACTCTTTCTAATTCATCTATTGAAAAATAAACAAGAACATTATACAATACCTATTATTCTTAAATGTATAAAAATTTTAATGCATCTTTTAAAAATAATTTTTAATAATTTTTCAGTCTACGTTAAAAAAACAATAAAACATGAATTTTAACCAATATTATTTAGCTATTTCTATTAAAGTGTACTAAATTACATTTATATTGCATTATCAAAACATCTGTTACACAGGTTCAAATATCTAGACTTGACTTTATTATTTGCAATCAATAGCATAAACACTAAACCAGTAACACCTTTCTTTTAGCTTCTTAATACAAATCTCTTGTGATAAGGGTTTGCAAACTAAAATTAATTATAGTATAAGTTTATACCGTTTCTGAAGCTGTCTAAACTCCTAAATCCGATTGAGTGTAATAGATTGTAATTTCCTTTACAAATATCAATACATATTCATTTATAAAAATAATATACAATGCTTATAAAGAGATAATCCTTCACTAAAAAAAATAACTATTCAAACAATTTAATCGCTTCTTATTATGCAAAATTAAGCTGAACTAACATTCTTACTTGAAAAAGTCAAAATACTTCAAGCTACTTTTCTATTGAAATTATGCAGTCAAACCTCTCTTAATATAGGTACAACAAGAGCAACAGCTTTCAAAACCGTGTGCTCCACAATATAATTTTTCGTCACAATTGTAAGATGTCTCCTCCAAAACATTATGTGAGGAATCGTAAAGATCAGTTATTGTTTTATCTTCAACCGAATAGTAATCAGTTCCAAAATTGAAATTATTAAAGTTCATTTCTAAGTCGTTCCATTCTTGACGTAGTTCCTTTACAATATATCCAAACATGTTTATATTATGGCTAGTTTCACTACAGGCTCATAGAAAGCCCAAAACTGGGGCGCTCAGAGGCGACTGTTGAATCGATAAGCGACTTGCACGCCGTCTATTACAAGTAACTAATGACAAGAATTCTTAAGCACAGAATACTTTTAGTGAAAGGAATTATTCTATTTCTTACACATTCTATTTTTTACAGTTCCGCTAAACCATTTCAATATGTTTTCAAAAAATTCAATTGGGTCTACTATTCATTATTCCCAGGACTAATTAAATATTTTCGCCCTAATTTACTTGAAATCAATAACTGGTTACAATTAGAATCGCAAATTCCCAATAAATTAGTTTGGGATCTAAGTCGTTACTTAATGACGGCTTAAGAAAAATTTAACGCGTTTGTTTTGTAGAAAAATACAATTGAACGGAAAATTAAAATTATAGGGTTTTACTGAACTGTATACGACCATTTGTCTATTATGTTCAAAAGCTTACGTATTGAAAAGCAATAAAATGTATTTTTAGCTAAAAAATTTCTAAAAAAGTAAATCGATAGAAAAGTCATACCTTTTAAAACGTTGATATGATCCTCATATTTCATTCTAGCTTCCTCCGTATGTTGAAGCTGCTCTTTTAAAGATGAAACTTCTTGTTGAAGATCATTAATACTGGATAGTGACGTTTGCAAATGAGTTGCTATTGATGATATGGGGGTATTACTATTGGCCAAGTCTGGAAGGGAATTTCGAATTTGATCTAAATCTTCTTCTAATTCCCTTACACGACTCTGCAGAGTCTCACTTAAACTCTGCCTATCTTGATCTTGCATTTGGGATTCTTCCAGCTTATCTGTAGAATTTACAGCATTAGATTATTCCATTTGATACTCTTCAACTTACGTTTCAGTTCTTCACAAGCATTTTCAACCATTTCATTCATTCTCGTGTCAGCAAGACGCAAGTTTTCTGTTAACCGAATTTAGAAAAGCAAATATTTTAATTTAAAAAACAAAAATGTAAAAGTAACCTGTCAGAGTGTTTATCTGTGCGGCAGATTCGATCGCTTCAACTTCAGCTCTTTCAAGTTTTAGAGTCAGTTTTTCTACATCATCCCGACTAGCTCTTAACTTTTCTTCCGTGTCTTCAAGACGTTGTTTATAAAATTCAATTTCTTCTTTCGTCTTTTCCAAATTCGCTTGAAGCTCTAAAACTTGGCAATCATCTAAAATGGTTATGTCAGAAGAACAAGTTGATATGGCATCCAAAGCTTCCTGTAACTCTACTTCAGATTCTAAAACTCCATCCTGTTCAGTGACAATATCACTACCAATAAGCGCCACCTGTCGAGTATTGTTACATTAAAAGATTGCACAACTATATGTACAAAAAATTTAATAACCTGAACTTCTACTGTTGATTTAGTGGGAGATCTACGAACTGGGCATTCATCTGGCATATTATCCACATCGAGTTCCATATCGTCCTCAGATGTCGTATTCTTAATAAGATCGGGGGGAGAGGAATCATTTTGCAATTCAGCTTTACCTTTATAATCTAATTTTGCTCTTACAGCAGTCAGCTGTTGGGATGTAAAATCTTTATCGGCTTGCAGTTCTTCCATTTTAGCTGTAATGGCATCTTCACGTCTGATCATCTCCTCAATTCTTTCTTCATATTCGGTTCTTTCCCGTTCTGTTTGCTCTACCAGATCGGCGTGCCTTTTTTCGGCTTCTCGTAATTCTTCTTGTAAACTCTGAACTTCTTTCATTTGTTCATCATGCTTTTCGGCTAATTCACTTAACTCTCTCTGTGAATTTTCGCAAGCCTCCCTGAGTTGTGAACATTCCTGTTTGTAATAAATATTTTCTATATAAATCGTGCTCAACTGATGTCTTATACTGTTACATACCACGCAATGTAATACTATGAATAAATATTATTTCAGGGAAAAATCAAGAAGATAAAAGACTGTAAACTAACCTGTTCAGCTACAGCTAGAGATTTCTCGAGATCAACCAATTTACGAACTGCTTCCAATTTTTCCTCCATTATTGTTTTTAACGATTCCTTTGTCGTACTTTCATACTCTTGCTGTTGTCGATGTAGTTCATCAATTTTAGCTCTTAGTGTTGAATTTTCATCATCTCCATTTGCACTCTCGCTATCGTCCAAGGAGGCGATGCGTTTTTCCAGTAAAGCTACACGTGACAACAGCCTATCCTCTGTTATGAGAGAACTCCAGCCATTGTCAGCTGACTCAGATATTCGACTGACAAGCCTTTGGAGGGCAGCCAATTTACTTTCAAGCAAAGCCTCCCTTTGAAGAGCCTCTTGTAGGAACTGATGTAACTGATAAAGTTCCTGAACTTGAATATTACTAGTTGCTGCAATACTTTTATTGTCGTCACTGTAAAATAAGAAAGATATTTTACAAAAAATATTACAAATATAAAACTAGGAAATTTTTGTAATTTTTTTGTAGGAATAAATTAGAGTATACAAATAGAAGTAGTTTTATTCTAAAGACTACCCCCCTTTTACTCAAATTATATTAGGGAGTTTGATTATTTTCTTTGCAGGCGGGGAATTTGTTTATTCGTTTAACGTCAATCTAACCATGATATGTGAGATATATATATTTAACAATTGGATTTAGTTTTTTAAAAAAAGTACTCTTCGTAATCAATAACTAAGCCAATAGTGGAAAATTACAAAAGAAGACCATTTAGTTTTCTCAAGTTTCATTTACTTTATTGATATTGAATACACTTTGCAAATAATATACAAAGCGAACTAAACCAGAAAGATATTATTGAATGTTATTGTTTCTATTATTTTATATTTTGATTTTTGGCAGCGATCTTTATGATTTTTATAGAATCATTGGAGACAGAAATGACTATGAATATTTTATATAGTTACTCAAGGGCTTTTATTAGTCTTTAGAATAAGAAACTACTTTCGGCTTTCAATTTCAAGTTAATATAGCAGAAAGGTTATACTTTCTGATTTATTCTCGCAGAAATACCACTGTCAATGAAAATGCTTCTATTTACGACAAATCTATCTTTAATGTTTGATAAGCCGCATGCAACATGGATTACAATAGTTCGCATTTAAAGTACATTAATCTAATTATGTTAACCTTTGTGACAGAGGTCTTATAACTACTGATTTTTTTTGCCTATTAGAAACAATCACAGGGAAATTTTTCAATAAAATCTTATTACGATAGATCTAAATGGATTTTTTTTAGTAGGTTAATCTACTACAAATAAAAATACACGATTAAGGCAAACCAGAGCAAACATGAATATGTATGAATAATGCACTAAATCTTGAAATGGTTTTTTTTAGTTTGTATAAAAATATAAAAGTGAGAAATTTTAAAAGTAAAGAGCTGTAGAATAATATAAAATGTTTGCTTTTTGGGCTGCATTTGTATATATAACCCAAAAAAAAGCTTAGAGAAATCAAAAACTTTAAATTAATCGTCGCAGCTGAAGCTACGTGACTGATTTTTTAAGTTTTTCTAAAGGGATTATTCAATGTTAACTAGATAATTGAAAGGTTATAAAATAGAACTATCGAACTTTTATAATAATGCATCATCAGGCGATACTGAAATATTTTTATAAATGGCACGCTGCATATAAAAGATATAACAAAGGTCTTTTAGCAAAAAGTTCTACAACTCAAAATAAATCTAGCTCTTGCTAAACACTTTTAGCGTTCGATAAGGAGTAATAACTGTTCTAAATTGAGATACTCCAGAAAGGTCAATCAGTACTATGTTACCCAAATTTTATATATACTCCTACGCAAATTCATCGTGTAAACAATGGCAAATAGATTCCATAAATACTGACTCGCTAATTTGATTGGGACAAAAATCTAGTTCAAATTGATTGAGAATTCTGTTATTCGCACAAGTATCCAAAACTGCCTGAAATATGTTTTTATCTAAAAACAAAATAAAAACTTACATAGGCTTTGCTTCGGTTCCATCCGGATGAAATAACTGAACTGAGGCTATAATACAGCTATGAGTCACACGTTTTGAGTTCTCCATAACATCCACTCCAAACTGTAATATATCTCCAGAGTGTATTTCGTAAGGCAAGCTTTCCTCAGAGCCTTTACTGAGTCTATGACTGTTGACAAAAGTTCCATTGCTGCTCTTCGTGTCTTGCAAGTAGAATTTATTGTTTTCATACCAAAGCAGAGCATGATTCCTTGACAAGACTTTACAGTCATATATGGCATTGTTCTCTGAGGGACGAGCTCGTGCAACAGCTCTGCCAATTTTTGTTGGTTCATTTAATGTAATTTGTCTTTCCTGAAAAGGATGACTATTTGGTCTTGAGGTCAAAATCGCAATCCCCATTTCTTAGTAATTGTTTATTTTTTGATAATCCTGTTATTTTTATAAATTAAGATAAGTTCACAAAACGACTGTTAACTGTATTTCCTCGCTCTATTCTAAAAACAACCGTCTCCTTTATCCGCCATTTTAACGCGCTGTCACGTGATCATTTTTTCGTATAATAAATTCATGGGTTGAATGTCCAAACGCAGTTATTTAGTTTTCTCATTTTATTCATACATTTTTGAATAAGATTTTTGAAAGATTATTCTTGCGAAAATGGACAAAAAAAGATAAACAAATATGGCGACTAGCGGGTTAAACGAGATTCGAACAAACGAGAATATCTCCATGGATAAAAGCAATTCGAGTGTTTCTTCCACAATATTACCATGGGATAGGTTTTCGAACTGGGTCTACTGTGTTTGCTCGGTAACATTTGACCTAGAATTGGGACAGGCAATGGAGGTAATAGCGTTGATATGATTAAAGTTCTTTTTTGAAACAGCCATTTAATTAAGAATCTGGCATCTCTTAATGAGAATATGCTAACTTGGACTTAAATTACATTTAGCATAAGATCATAAGTGTAACATAAGTCAAAGTAATATAGAATATATTTTGCTTACGTGTGACCCCTTTTAAAAACGTGTTGGTATAATGATTTCTTGAAGAACAACGAGTTTTTATACAGACTTCCATTAGGTTTTATTAGTTTAACAAATAAATTTATAAGAAGTAATACACAATTATGAATTTTTTTTATTTTACAAAACAATCGTTTAGTTTAAAAATTAATGAACCATATGATTGATAAGAGATTCTTGATGATTTTCAGTATTTACCAATGATATTGTTTTTTTAAGTAGTATGTAATCAATGTAAGTTATTTAGGCAATTCAACAAATTAAAGAACAATAAAAAAATTTTTAGTTCTATAACTAATCAAATATTTTACACAGATGATTTATCCTGCACATGTAAAATTGACGGAACGCGAGGTAAGTTTATAAAGATATTACTATTTTTTATGTAATTCTAGTATTAACGAATATAATAGCTTTGAAATTATTTGTAGAAACTTAATATTTGCTATTTGTCTTTTCCTGATTCGAATTCGGGTTGTATGGGAGATACTCAATTCCATTTTCGAATTCGACAATGCCCTGGAAAAAAAAGCCATTTTCCCGCTCAATTCAATTATAATAAGGACTGCCCTGCAAGTTTACAAGTACGTAAAAAAAGCTAATTTATTACATAATATTTTGATTAAACTCACTCTGTTTTATAACTTTTGATAACAATTGATTAATAGATTTGATAACTTCTAGGTATTATTACTTTTATAACTCTATCATAAAAAGTAGTTCATTTGTGCCCTTTATTTGTTTTTTACCAAAATAGAATAATTATCAATTTTATTTATATTTATAATAACCTTAGTTAAATAGAATAAGTGTCTCTTTGCATATTTGAAAATTCTCTTTTCTTCAATTTAAAAATACGGAATCATTATTCTAATAGATGTAATATAAAATTGAAGAAAATTCAAATGAAGAAAAATAAGCTGATGATCGATACAATGAATATAATTTATAAATAGTATTTTTTTACTAAACAACGTTTTCTATATACTGTAGAATCCTTATTTAATTTTGCAATCTTTAATTATTTAATTATTCCAAATAATAGAACAAGATATATTTGAAGGTCTATATAAACAATATTCTATATTATTTCCATTTTATCCTATAGGCTTTTTCAATACATTATAATAATTAAATAAAATCGTTTAATTAAGTATAAATGTTACTTTAGATCACTTACAGAAGAGCTATTCATATCCATTGAAAATTTATATCTTATCAACAGTAATATTAAAAATGTTAACATTTGAATGATGGTTTTGAACTTCTTTAAGTATAAATTTCATATGTAAGCATTCTTAACGCCTTCCTATTTCATTACTTTAATATTAAGTATATGACTGTCTTTCTTAATGATTTTCATGTGTATTTGTTTCTTCTTAAAATATTAAAATAAATTATTGTAAAAATTAACTAATAAAACTTTCTCTTTCTGCCCATTTTTTATAGAGTGATGCGGGCTATTGGTTCGGTTTCGTTTACTTTCGCCAAACAAGAGATCCTTCTCAAAAAAGAGGATATTTTCAGAAATCTGTTGTTCTTATTACTCGTTTACCTTTTACACAATTCTTTTCGCATGTGCTCTCAATAGTAGCTAACGAATTTTTTGAGAATGGAGAATTAAGTCTTGAAGCCGGTTAGTATATTATAAAGCAACCATGCCAATGAATATTAAAGTTAATTTTTGATCATGAATAACTAGCTTGCCATGATATTGACCAATGGCCTGAACCTATCCCAGGACAAAATGTACAATTACCACTTGTCGGTTCTGTCCTACAAGTTTGTATACCTAGTCGATTGGATCAAATGATAATATCTCCCTTAAAAATAGGCGATTCTGTAAGTAAATCACGATTAATCGAGATACAAAATAATTTTCAACTCATTAACTATAGAATCATTCATTGGGACAAGAAATTTATCCTTCAATTCACGAAATCGACATATTCTCACCACTTCAAACTGTTCTTAACAATGTACAACTATTGTGGGAACTTGTTTTAACTGCAGAGCCAGTTGTTGCAATGGCTTCTTCCCCTAGTTTTTGCGCTAATGCAGTTCAATCCCTAGTCAGGTTAGTAGTCAGAAAGTTTGAAATAAGATGTGCCTAATCATTTTCTATTATTGATTTCCACAGTATGATTTGGCCACTAAAATATTGTTCGGACTATAGACCTTATTTTACCATTCACGATTCTGAGTTTAAGGAATATACAACCAAAACTCGACTTCCGTTAGTATTATAATTAAATTTCTCTCACTTGAAATTAAAATTGTTAAATTGTGCTAAAACAGTCCATCAGTTATTTTAGGAGTTACTAATCCATTTTTCTCTAAAACTCTTCAACACTGGCCTCACATTATTCGTATAGACGATAATCTAGGAAGTAAGCTTTTAATCATTAAATTACGTGTTTTAATACCAAAGTATTTCCCTAAATGATTCGTTTTCATTATTTACACAGCGAGTGAGAAGTCTCTATCAAAAATGAAGAAAGCTTTCAATCCTAAAGCCTTAGATACCAAACCAGGAGTCTATACAGAATACAAACCGTTCCTTCAGAAAGATAAACAAATTCTTAAGAGATTCGTTAAGGGAGTGGAAACCAAGAGGCCTTTAGAAGTTCAGAATACAATTTTAAAACGTTATCTTATGGAGCTAACCCAAAGTTTTATGATACCTTTGGAACGATATGCAGCTAGTTTAATGCCTTTCCTAAAAAACATATCACCATTTAAGAGTGTGCCTACTCTAAAACCATTTGTCTTAAGTGACATGCTAGCTAGTGTGGAACGATCAGGTCCTCAACTAACGTGCGGAGTCAAAGGCGATTGGTTGGGTCTTTATAAAAAGTTTGTGCGAACTATTAACTTCGAGGGGTGGTGGAGATATAGGCAAACCGAAATGAATAGAAAATTGCAAGCTCTACACTTTGAAGCCTTAGCAGATGCTGATTTAATATTATGGATAAGAAATAAGCCGGAAGTAGAAGTTGTGGATATTATTTTAAGACTTAGGGACAAGCTTAGTTTGGCTCGACGAAAAATAATACCTGTCTCTGAAAATTCAATAAGAAAAGTTAATATTCAACTGGAGTCAATTATAAACTGCGTTCCAGACGATTTAAAATCCGTTTTAATGAGTAATAACCGCCAAAGATGACGGCTATATATTATTTTAGAATTTATCAAGAAAGCAAAAAGAAAGTTAACTTTGTTTAAAAAAGATATTGCTTAATTCGAATATTTTGCCATATTTGGAATTGAAACGAAAAAGAACTACTAGGGAAATTTACGCATGTCAAAGTTCTCTATGACGAGAAATTTTTTTGTTGTTGTCATTGTAAAGTGAAACAATATATAGAAAAGAGCTCTCTCTCCTTGTTCTATACAAAAACCAAAAAAAAGTAAACAGAAATGCAAAGAAGAAAAAAAAAGAAGAATAATCTTTTAGTTAGATATAGCAAATACTTTTTTTTCTAAAAAAAAATCAGTATTATTTCAACGCTTTTGCGGGGTATTTTAAAGGTAATTTGCTTTTTATCGATTAATTATAGTTCATAGCCTTTATTTAATCTTAGTAATTTATACAAAAAAAAACATGAAATATGGAACATTTAATCTCTTTTATAATTATAGAAATGGCAATTAGATTATAAGGCGAAATGGAAGAAAGAGTTTGCATATATATCTATATATAAATCTTTTAAAAAATGAATTTATCAAATATTGTGAATCTATGAAGTGTCCTTATCGGAATGTGTATATATTTAAGTGTGAAAAAGTTATATTATCTTGTGTTAAGATACTTTATATCTGATATTTTTACTTTACATGGATGAAAGAGTGTAACAAACGAAGAGAAATCAGAATAGACAAGATTTGTCCTGCAGAATTTGTTGTTGCGCATCCTAAAGCATAACTAATAAACTTGAGCAAATAATCTTCTATACTAACCCGACAGTCTTTGCCAGTGTTACTAGTAAGCACATTTGCATTGGTTAAGCAGTTGTCCAATGTCTTTCCGTTGATTGAAAAATCATTTAAACTCAATTTAATTGGGTATTGATGATTCGATATTATTTCGCAACACGCCACTGGTATCTTCTATATTTTATCATGAAATTAAGTTTTAGTTGATATATTTTATTTAATATAAACTATCAATATGTAATCATACCGTGGATAAGGAGCTTCCGTCAGATTTAACGTAATGAAATACTCGCGAAAAAATTTCGAAACCTTGATTATCTTTATCGTTAACTATTCCGCAGCATTTGAACTAGAATTTTCGTTTACAATTTAGATCGAAAAGTTATCTTTGACTGTCTCAAAAAAACCTTAATCATGGCAGAATCCCATCCCAAAGAGTATGGATCATTTTTTATCACTATTTTTTCTCGATAATCTATACCTCTGTAAGACATGGCGGCAACATCGGACATGTGTTTGTCAAGATCTTTCAATATTTGATTTTGATGCGTAGCCGCAAAGACAATTGCTGTAGATTGTGCAATAAATATAAAATTAGCCAAAACGATATAGATCTCTTTAAGAGCCTTTAATTGTGCAACACCAGCGTATAAACCTATAGGGCTAGTTAAGAGGGTTGCAGCAGAACCGCTGATAATCAAATAGTAAGATACTTCTATTAACGTTGTACTAAGAAAGTCAGCATCTAATAAAGGCGTTTTTATTCTTATGAATAAATTTAATATGGGATCATCTTGTATTTCAGCTATCTTGCTAGCTGACAAAACTATTGAAATTATTGACAATATCTGTATATTCATAGGATTAATTATTCGGATTATTAATTATTACTATTCTTAAATTACCACATTTAAAATTTGACAATAGATCATAAACTTATAATCTCTCTTCCGTCCATTTGTAGAAAGCCTACTTGACTCTGCTAAAGTATTATCTAATTCTGTAGCAGTTAATCCATCAATCATTTCATTGATGAACTTTAATCATTCTAGAAAAAATAGCCACAATTTTAACATTTAAATATTTATAACGTCACACTTCATGTTTTATTTATTATAGCCTTACATATTCTGTGAAATTAACTAAGTTTATAAGAAATAAGTGTATTTTAATTTCTTGTTTAATGTTAAACTATCTTTAGAAAAGTAATAGGGGAAAGAATGAAGATACACGATATTAAAACTAGTTGCTATATTTAGTCTCAATTTCTGTATTAACAAGAGATTTTTCTCTATACCTTGTCTTGTTATTCTTCTCACCCTATCTCTCTTTTACTTTCACTCTTTGTCTAGAGCTTTTAGGATTGATATCATCCCTTTTTTAGAAAATTGATTCTGGAATTCTAAAAAAGCTTAATGGCGCCATCTTGCGACTAGTTTCCTAGTTGATTCTATTAAGTTAAATACATCCCATATTATTGTGCACTAATTATGCAGTAAATTGCAATTCATACAATTGTAATTGCTAGTAATCTGCACAATTTCCCTAACTGGTCAAATACAATTGATCCACAGAAACGATCATGAGCGAAAAGATAACGATAAAATATCAAGATAGTCTTAATGAAGATGAAAATGAAGTTATTCTAGTCCCTGATATTGCTGATGTTACATTAGTAAATTCAACTGATAATGAGGAATTATGTAACCTAAAAAATAGTGATAGACAAGGTTCAGACGATAGTTTAGAATTATTTACAAACACTTTAAACGTCTCTCCAGATGAGAATCGCGAAGAAGAAATTATTATTAAAGTTCCTCAACCGTCTGAATATAAAAGGCAAGAAAGTTTTAGTTCTACAATAGTAATAGACTTAAATGGTGAACAGCAAAAAGAATCGATAGAAGATAAGGTGACTGCGTCTTTTCTTCTCATCTGTGCTGGTATTTAATGCAAAATTTTTATTATTTAAGGATGCTATTGAAGATGAAGCGGATTCCGGCTTCTCACCTTCTAGAATTAGAGATTCTATAGAATTAACTCAAACCAAAATGACTAATGATGTGATAAATCTTACTGCTCCTGACCTGAATGATAGACCTATTTCCGTATTTACCCAATCTGTTAAGAATTTTGACAATATAATAAACGAGTTTGAAGATTACGATTCACCGGTAGTTGATACAGAGGAAGTTGTTCATCAGGTTCATTTTAAAGAAAATATGCTTAAATTGAGTAAGATTGAGGAAGCTGTAGAAGAAGATAATCATAGCATAGATAAACATGTTGAAAATATGAAAAGAAGTATCAAGGAACTAGACGAAGTATTTCAAACAACTACCATACAGACAGAGCAAGAGAAAGAGGAAAAAGATGAAAAAAAAGAAACTGTCGAAAAGGAAGAACCATCGGACTATAAAGTCACTTTTAGGCAAGAATTAAAACATGAAAACGTAATTCTTTCAAGAATTGATGAAAGGCAGGAGACACCGTCAGTTCTCGAAATTAATGATAATATAAAACAAGAAGAACATCAGGAAATAAAAATACTTGATGAGAAACAATCGACTACTGAGGATAGGAAAAAGAAGAAAGTTTCCTTTCTTAGAACACTCTGTTGCTTTTGAGAATATTGATAAAAACCAAAGAGGATTATTATTTAATTTAACACAATGAAGATATGCTAGAAATTTTCTTTTCTTTTTCTTGAGTAGTATCTGAATGGAGAATATCTTATTACTATATTTTCTTTATTAAGTTTTAGATAAAGACTATAGAAAAATACTGAAGATAAACGCTTAATCGGCTAATTAGAAAAATTTCTATTTAATTTATTTAATCAATAAACTATTAAAAGTTTTAAATGATCATGCTATGAATATAAAAGTATAAATAGAGTTCATGTATATATCTAAAATGGCGGATACATTTAAAATAAGAGTACTAATTGGTCTACTTATTGGCCAGACTATCTTGCATTTATAAAAATATTTATTTATTATTTATTAAAAAACTATAATTTCACAATTAATAATTATTACAAAATTTATTATTCTGAAAGGGAAAATTTTGTAATCTCTCAACCGGAAGTCATTCAATTAAGAAAAATATAGAGTTCTCAAATTCAAATCCATATTTTTTCTATAAAAAGGAAAAGCTTTTTAAAGTTGTTTCTCTATAATATGAAAACGTATCCTTTCTATTATGTTAATTGACAATTTCAATAATTTTCAGTGTGTTCGGTGCTCAAATAATTGGAATATTATAGTTAAAGATATAATATAAGCTAGATAACTTTTGCACTATTTGCAAACTTCGTTAATTTGAAATATTATACTATTAAATGAGTTTTAATGAACGAAAATATTTTCTTTATGGTTTATTCATCAATTAAACGTAAGATCATCTTATATGTTATAATATTTCCTTATGTAAATAATAATATATAGAACATTTATTCTACGTTCTAAGGAAATATTCTCTTTACTATGAATAATTTACTTATATTTCTTTCAAATTATTGAAGATGCTTAGGTATTTAACTCTGAATATTAATTCTACAAACTTTCACTCTCTCTGAAGAAAGCCATAGATCTATTCTATTGATCAGAGAGCTCTGATTAAAGAACTTTTTTCAATTTTCTATAAGTTTGAAATTTAATTCATAGCCTTATGGAAAGGAGGAAATTCATAATTGGACGTCACATGGCCTATAATTTTAGATCAGTCGGCATTAAACTGTCTTCCTCTGTCAATAAGTGCAAGAAGGGAAAGTTTTTAAGGGGCATTTGGGCAGGTGAAAGAGTTTTTTTATGATCTGTCTGAAACAGGTGAAAGTGTATTTGAAGGGTGAAATAATCAATGTAAAATGTGTTAGAAATAAGAGTTTGAATAGCTAGTAAATTCGTAGCATAAAGTTTATTGACACAGCCTGGAGGAGACACGATTAACCGAACAAAAGCAACAGACTGATGCTACTAATGATAATGCAAGGAGAGTAAAGTCATTAGAAGGAATATCTCATTTAATTCATATTTAGGAAGTCTTCGATATTAGAATAAGTTATTAACTTTATTATAAGTGTTTACTTTATTTTTTATACGGAAGAGGAAATTTCAACTAATTTCCTTTTGCGAAGACTATTTTACCTGCAAGCTTAATTTGTTAAATATTGCGAAAACCATACTCAACTTTTCAATAAGATTTAAAAAAATTTATGTCGTCAGAGAAACATATTGCCAATGGAGAATACGATGAGTAATATTCCATTACACTGTATTACATCTATTAAGTTCTTATATTTTGTTAATAAGTACATAAGAAGCTCTGGCTCTTTTGTATGATTATAACAACCTAGAAGGACTCATTAACCTGCTTTATTACCCGTAACAAATCATTGTCACTCTGCCCATACATAAAAAAAAAAAGTCATTTTAAGGAGAAAGTCTCTTTTTCAACAATGTCATCATTCTCCAAGCGATTGATATTTAGCAGAGATGTTGCTTCATCAATTTATAATAATTAAATTTAATTGATATTCATTATAAATTTTTTTCAAAATATGACCCAATTAAATTTTAAAGTTATCATTAAAATGTATAATCTAATTCTATATATTCTAATAATTCTATCTTATCATACTGTATATAATATCGTTATACAATTCTATGTAATTATTCAAAGATATAGATTTGTATAATAAAAATTAATTTACTAGCATATTAAAGAAAAGTTATATGAATAATTTATTACAAACTGAAGCAGAATATGTAGAATTATAGAATTTAAGCTATAATTTACATACTGCAGACTTTTCTACGGATTACTGTTTAATATGAAATTGATTATAAAGTTATACGATAATTTAATGTTTAAAAGCTACCATGTCAAATATTATTCATTAAGATGTTGATAAAACTTAAACCCAACAAGTATTTTACATTATGCACTGATTTGTTCTTTTGTTCAGACCAGAAAATCATCTATATAATTGTTATTATAAAACTAAGCTAAAAAAGAAAAGAACAAGTATCGTAATAAATATGCCATAGATCTTTAAAGAGTAACGCTGTCATCAAGTGAAGGTGTTGTTCACTATATTATTTTCTTAACAATCTAAATATCGATTGTAAAAAATGCAGTAGAGGAAAGATTAACATCTATTAATAAATTGATTCCAATATGAAAAACTAATAAAATTTTTATATATTTCTTTATATTAAAGATGGAGAGATTCTTATTCAAATCGAGTGAAAGACTTTGGTCAAAATATCTTGGAAATCAATAAAACTAGTTTTGTGACTAATTCATCAATTTCAAGTTGTTTAGGCTTTTTTCTAATGTTTTTGCAATTTAACGGATAATTCTTCTATAATAGAGCTATTGTAATAGATTTCTTTCTAATACTTCATCTTGAAGGAATACCATTTTATCAATGCTATGTTAATGCCGGAGGAATGAAATTCTTCTTTCTATATTTCAGGGAATATCATAGCATCTTTTGAAAACCATTATTTAATATTGATTATCAATACTGTTAATGACAGAACCAATTTTTTTATATTGACATATTATTGTTTCTAAATTATTAAGCATTATACTAATTCAATATTATTGAACATATACAAAGTATTTATAAAAACAGTTAGAATTATCTTTTGAAGTAAATAAACTAAGAGGTTCAATACAATATCTGCAGAATAGATGTTTAATAGAAGTCAACTAAGAAGAGTGATATGTAAGAGAAATAGTTTACCGATTGATTATAAAGGATGACATTCCTTTGGTGTACTACTAAGTTACCTCTTTGTACAGAATATACAGAAGAAATATATATATATATATATATATACAGTTCCTACTTAATTACTTTCTTAGCTTTTTTGACAAATAACATAATCAGAATTCAGATATAAACGCAAGTTTACCAAAACTTTTATTAAAACTGTATTGCCTAAGCCTAAGCTACTATTCATATAACATCATTATTTTAATATATATAAATACTTGCAATATATTAAATTAAACGCTGTCACTCATTTATTAGCTATAGCTCTAGAACAAACTAGAAGAAAAACGAATATTACAATACTTTCATATCAGATGTACAATCAACTTTGTTCTCTCTATTTTTTAATGTAATATTATTATCTTCACAAAATGAGAAACGGAAGTATATGTTATATAATATACATATAAAAGCCTTTTGATTGGTATAAGCAATATCAGCTTAGATAGTCAATATGTAATATTAATTTCTACATGAAATAGATAGTACACGCAGGAAAAAATATTAGTTTTTTAGTGACTGACCTGCTTCCTAGAAATCTCAAAATACTAGAGTGGAACTCTAATTATTAGGTTCGTAAGAGGATAGTGCTTGTATATAATATAAAACAACATCTATATTTAAATCTGTTGTTTTTATTACTAAAAATACAATTAATCAATAACAAAAAGTGCTACACTTTGCCTGAGACGTAAAAAATGGAATTAAAAGAACAACACAAGTTCTTCCGATAATTTTTTAGTATACTTTTTATATGGAATATATTCATTTATTATTTATTTCATATCAAATTAAATTCTATAAATATTTTATTGACGTATCAGTTTTGTTACCTTAACAAAGATGCTTGTAGAGTTCATTTAAAATCGTTAGTTATAAACCGATTAAAATGTTATATACAGTATACTAATATATATATTTATATTATAAACTTGTAGTTATTCTTTTTAGGCTATTGTATTCTATATTTCTTTGATAGAAAAGGCTAATGGGTTTAAGCGAATTTTTGTAGGTGGCAATTTAATCTCTATGGTTTAGTTATTCTTTGGCCATTGCAATTATTAAAACTGTTCAATAGATTCAATCTACGATAACAACTGCTATATAAATCGGAGTAAATAACGGTGATATTAGACGGAAACGTTTGTTATACAAAATCGGAAAGATAGTTCTCATTGAAGTTGGTTCTGTAAGATCAGACTCCGGAAAAGCCTTTCTTTTACCCCAACTTCAATAGATGAAATTCGATAGTTAAACATATATAGTGTGCAATAAGTATGGACAGTGCTATAGAAATTCTTCTTGTTACATATCTACAACCTAATAGATCTAATCGAGCATACATAAGAACTCGAAAAGGATAGGGAAAGCTAATATCAAGCAATGTATGTTTTCAATCGATGGATTTATACAATGAATATGGTTTGTTCAAAGGATTGCTTCTGTAAAGGAAAACGTGAGTTTGAAGTATGTTTTGTTGATGCTTCAAATATTATTGAAAATTGGATTGCTCATGTGTGCAAGTAGATTGAGAGAAAAGAGAAACATTGTTCACTTTTAATATGTTCCTATCATTAATTAGATTGGAAATAGAGTGAATTGCTGGATACAATTACTAGATATACTTGACGCTTAAAAAATAACGGAGGGAAGAAGGGGTTTAAAAAACTAATTTACCTTTCAAATATCCGGAAATTGTGAATATTTGAATAATGGTTGTTGAGTAATTCTACAAATCAAAAGGTTATTCACCTCTCTTTTAGATAGTATTTTTTGGCTAATCAAAAGATGATTATTCTTAGAGAAAATGTATTAATTAAGTGAAATATTCATAATCTTTTACCTTATAATTATTCATATGCTGTATAATGAATATTTAACTCAAAAGAAAAATAAATCACTTTTTTTTTTCATTGTATTTCTTTACCTTTGTTTTGTCAATTAATAATTAAAAGTAATGGCCGGAAGTTCTTATGATCCTTATCAAACTTCTAAGAGCTATTTTTTTGCTATAATATATAGTAGAGACTACTGTATACATTTGTAAACCAAATACAAGACTACCATTTAGAAGAGTTTCAACTATAAATATATTTTTACAGAAATAAATAGGCCAAATATGGTTAACGGATGTGAACTGTTTACACTGAAGTATCTCATTCAGCTAATCAAGAATGATAAGGATTTTATTAGCTATTCTTTCAAGTATATTCTTTGACACTGTTGTAGCGTAACTGACGTTAAAAGATGTTCTGACTATTTATGTTTCCCAGACTATAAACTTTTTTTTGAATTGCCATTTAATAGACGTTTTGTATGGTACCGTGCTTCTATTATTGTAAAATTGTCGGTATTTTATAATCGGAAAACCGAACCATATGTTATCGTGGCGGGATTCTTCCATGGCAACTTGACTAACAAAAGTAGGTATAAAGGCTTTTTGTTGACATACCTTTTATAAATGTTGTCAACAGAATCCACTTTCTGACAACTTTCGGTGCTAAAAGGTGCTTATCGTCTTAATTATCGCCTTAAACGATTAGATTATAGTATCAAAAATCGTTCTGTGGGAATTGTTAGCTATGCTTCCTTCTCACTAAAATTCTGCTAATAAATCTTATACACAGGTTAGCATTGATTTATTCTTTTGAGCGATAAAAGTATTATATCGACCTCAATCGAATGTTTCTCTTTACTCATTTTACATAGTAATTATTTGGCCTATCGTCAGTCAAAATGGCAGATAGCGACGGCGGGAGTGACGGCGGGAGCGATGGAGGAGAGTATTTTGAGCCTAAAGCTGATTTGGATAAACTTACTGAAAAACAACAGAAAAAAAGAATAAAAGATATTCAAAAATGGTTAGTTTCTTTTTTCTTTTCTTCACACCCACCATTATAGAATATTTACATAATCCTCTTCGACAGGAGAGTTTTTATGGACTTTTTATTCCGTCACGTTGCTATAGCTACCTTCAAGTACAATGTATTCGAAGCTGAAAATTTGGACAATTTTTTAAAGGCCATGGATACGGCTGAACATATAAGGTCGACCATGAAGTTGAAAAAGGGTGAAGAACCTAGGATAAGCTCTTTCAGAACTATGAAAGATTCTGCTGAACTTTTACACCAAAGAGACTACCTACAAGAGGCGAAGGTTCTTCGTGGATTTTTAGACGTTTCCGGTCGAATGAAAGGACTGGGAATGATAGCAACAGGCTTCTTTAAAGCTTTGAAAAAAGGAAAAGTTAGAGGCCTTGACAAGTTAAAATATTATGTTGACTTTTGGAAAGGCTTCTGCATTAGGACCTACGACTACGGGCAATTGGCAATGAGAGGTGTCGATCCAGACTCGCTTAGCGAGTTAGACAAACGATTTTTGCCTTGGCTTTGCGCCGCTAAAACTGCAATTAACCTTTCGCAAAAGTTTTTAAGAAGATCGAGCGAGGCAACAGGTCTCGATCTCATGTCTGACGATCCGGCGACAATACAAAAGCATATGAAAGCAGCAGAATTTATATTAGCCACAAAAATGGAAGAGATGCTATTTGAAAGAGTCAGGCAAGAGACTAAATCTTTCTTATTAGGTGGGTTGACAGAAGATTCCGTCAATAATCTATAGATTTCTCTACAGGATCAATACCATATGCGTTTAATAATAATATTTCTGTTAAATATTTAGGTACTCCTCTGCAACAAGCTGAAAAGACTAAACGCTATGATCTACCTGAATTAGTTGATGTTGATTTAGCTTGGATTCAACCTATTAGGGATGATGGTAAATACTACAATAGTCTTTGAATCATCAATTCATTTTATCACATCATATTTAGCACTACTCTTACAACTACCTGAAGAGCCTCCAAAAGATAAGAAAAAAGGTAAAAAAGGCAAAAAAGGAAAAGGCGGGGCTGCTGGAGCTAAAAAGAAGAAAAAGAAGAAATAACTTGAACAATTGAATTGAAAAAGAGAAGAACAGAACTAAAGCTTCGTAAGCTGTCTAAAATGATAATTTTGACGTCAATATTTGAACGCTTTTGGCTTAAACTTTACATATTCTTTCTCCTTTCTTTTTCTCTCTATCAAAGGCTTTATAAATATAAATATAATCTTATTTTATTATTATTTCTATGCATTCCTTATTTAAAGTGGTTTTTTTTATATGTTTGTTTTTCCTTGTGAAGTCTAACTAAGAATTTTATCTTAATTATTTTATTTTTCTGTTTTTTTTGTTTGTTCATTTGTTTGTTTGTTTGCTTGCTTATTTGCTTCAAAGTGCCAAATCTTTTATTCTATATATACATATATATTTAAAACAAATAGATATGTATATTTGGATATATTCTCTTTTTTTTTTAAAGAAAAATAGGTAAAATGAAAAAGAAGAAAAAATAAACAAAGAAGTAATAAAGATGGATAAAAATTGTTAATTTCTTACTTGAAAATTATTTAACGCATTGTTATACTATTTCCATTCATAAATGTTGAAGATCTTCTCCTTGTGAGGAAAAAACAGAAAAGTTTTTTATAACCATTTCTAAACTTTTTATTCAAAACTCCATAAATAATAGGATTACACGCACTATTTGCACAACCCAGTAGTAGTGTTGTCATATCGGCTCTCTTAGGTACTTTAGAGTCTCCAAATACAGACCAGAACATAGTTACACAATATGGAAGCCAACAGATGATAAATATCAAAATAACAACTAGAAAAGTTGATGCTAATTTCAGATCATCTTGCCTTCTTCTCTGCTGTCTATGCGTTTGAGTGTTGATAATTTCTGTCGACTTAACTCCATGGACCTGCAGTCTACTTTTCTTAACAACTCTCATTATATTGAAATAGGAAAAGGTCATAACAGAACAAGGTCCTCCGAAGCATACACTAACCATAAAAATGGTATATGAAACACTTTTTGGCCATAAACAAAAGCAAAATGATTGACCTTCCAAAAATCCGTAGGAAGCCCAACCAATTAGGGGTGGAGTGGCTAAGATCATAGAAAAAGACCAAGTACCTTATAGGGACAAAAGAAAGTAACCAATATAAACCTCATTTTCAGCTATTTTTTAACTTAAACACGATAGTCATGACGTAATAAATAAAATAAGGAATTATAAATTATTTATAAATGAGCAAAGAGGATACATAAGAAAATAACTATGTAATAAATATGTTGACAAGAGAAACAAACACACTTACCGCTTATTATAAATATAATATTCCTTTTTGTAAATATTCTCTTGAACATCGATATATGACAAACAAGTATATATCTATTCAAGCTTATTACTCCCAAAAACATAACGCTTCCGACGAATGTTGACATATTTAAAAATCCTAATAATGTGCAGGCTTTCTCCGTTGGACGCCAACCATTCCTTAATAGTGTAACAATTAAAACGGGTACGTTAATTGATGATACCAAAATATCAGCAGTGCTAAGGCAAAGTACTAGAGCATTGGAAGTAGACCTCAATTCTGAATTTCTTGTTATTATCTGCCAAAGAGATATATTACCTAAAAACCCTATACAAGAAATCATAATCAAAAACGTGACTTCAAAATATTCTCCCGTCTCCAACGTTTTCTTTTCCATCAGATGCCTCTTATTAAAGTTACTTAATTCGAAGCACCCCCTAGTGGTAATTAAAAACTAATATCTCAGAATAGAGCACGAGACTAAAATGTCTCTTAGTGATATTTATTTATTTGTGGACAATCGATATTCAAATAAAACAACTGAAAGCCAATTTGGTTAAAGCCATTAACCTATTTTCCATGTTTAATAAAAACTTTCATTTCTTCCCATTCTCTTAAATAATAGCATACTCTAAGCGCAAAAGAAAAGCTTTTTTTTTTTCTCCTTTTTCAATCTTTAATTAAACATCGTGTAAGAGTCGAACAAAAAAAGTGCATATATACATTTATATTTAGATCGTCCCCTTGAGAATTCGATTATAGTTTTTCATGTCATTATTAAGTATGAATAATTACCGAACTAAAAACTTGAAATCGTTTCATTAATCGGCTTCATTAAACGGTTTGTGTTCAATAAGTAATCAGCTTAACTTTCCCATGTAGAAATTAATCAATTACTTTTAATAGAAATTCTCCTGTCATTAACAGATTAACTTAGTTTTAGTAGTTTTGGTACAAATTAGACAAGTCGTCAATGACAAATGCACTAGCCCTTACCCTAAGGGGAGAGAATAATTCCTATTATGAAAATCACTTGTTTATAAAATATTTCTATACTTTACAAATATTTATCTACAGTACAGAAGCACTTTTAAAATGTAAATTAGATAAAACCATAGTTTATAGAAATACAAACAATAGCTTTCATACATTTACATGATTCCTAATTCAACTTTTCCTTACTCAGAATCTAATCAAATACACTCCGAAAAAAGTCATGCTATGTTATTATACGTATATTATATATACATCCATACATGTATATATGTGTATATTATTATATGCAGCTAATATCTGTATGGTATTTATACATACTTTATACTTTCATATATACCCGTGAAGTAAATACAAAAAGAGAAAAAAAATAGAAAATCATTATCTATCTTGCTACGAAAGGAAAGTGATAGAACTTAGGCAATACCTATAAAAAAAATGAAAAATAATTTAGTATTCCCTGAGGCTATGCAAGGGAATTAACATACTTTTTCCCTTTCCTATTAATTATAATATTAATTTTCTTAAAACATACTTTCTAAATTAAAGCATGAACGAAATCATGTTTTACTGTTCCTATTTAAAAACAGTAATCTTGTCAATGTCAAAATGATATAGAGAGGTCATGTTAAGGTTAAAGCGAAAAGTTATTTTTGTACCTTTTGTAAATATTATAAATTGACTTTCCTGCTTAATTAAGTAAGAAATTAAGTAATACTCAATAAAGTGAATAAGTACATAGGGATTATAGTAAACAAACTAATAAACAAAGTGTTTTTTAATAAAATATATTCCTTCCAGAAATAGCAATTGTAGCGTGAACACTTGTATTCTGTAACGACTGCTGCACTTGTAATCGTCTTAACAAGTTAAGTGTCAATTGAGCATAAACGACAAATATATAATAGTTTTCACTATACAAAATTTTATTTCCTTCTATCGAAACAAATAGCGAGATCTGAAAACTTTCATTTTCATAAACTTAACTTTTCCATGCCACCAACTGCCCCTTTTTCGTCACTTTCTAAAACTTTCTCCTTTTCAAGTTTATCGCTTCGCTTTAATTCACAAGCTAATTTATAAGGCGGATTTATAGGTTTCTGTGTGGGTTGTCTATAAACATACTCGTCCTGAAAACAAGATGGTCTGTTAATATATCGTTTTTATTTTTTTTTAAATAACCAAACAATTCCCTAGTGTACAACTAAGTGTCTATTCAATCAATAAGTTATTTAACTTTCGGAAGTAGACCATTAAGATTGTATTTACCTCCAAGGGATACGTCATATCAGCGTCGTATCCGCTCAAGTCTCCACAGGCAATAAAAGGTGTAATTAGCCTATTAGAACCTTCCAAGCTGTTTGTATCGTCTAAAAAATAGTCTCCTTTTAAATTATACCGAAACCAGACAAGCTCGTTTACGAACCATATTTTTGATCCAATAGAGGATTCAGCATATTCGGAGTATAATCATCCGGAGGTGAGTAATTTTGACAAACGACAAAAGATTCTGTTGATAGAGAGAAAAAATAGTTATTAGATAAAATACAATCCAAACTATAATCTGTGTAATTAACATAGCTAGCCCATCAACGATTTTTGACATTTTTGTAGCTAAATAAACGTACACAGAATTAGGTATCCAATCCTTGTGTAAATATTCATGATAGATATTCTATGTTTAAATATAGATATGTACTTTACATACTATATAATATGCTTTGGATTCTTAATCTTCCTACGCAATCTCCCCTATGTAAAGCAATGTAATTTATAAAGTTGAAATTTATTCAAATCATTATATTACTAGAGATCCATATTTACGTACAATGTTGTTATATGTTTACGAATCTTAGGATCATTGAATTAATTAGCGCATTGTCACAGTAAGACGATGAATAATTAATCTTTAAGTTAAAACACGCAATGGAATTTCAGATGTAACACTTTTTCATTCCCTATATTTTGCATTTATACAGCATACCTAGATATTTGCGAAATTAATCTTCATGATTTTACATACTCTTTGTTAAGTAAATCTAGACAGACACAGATCTTTCCAACAGTCTGTTATTGAAAAATGAATTTACTTCGATATTACGCTTCAAAGGTGTGTTATAAAGCTTTCAATATAAGAATGATTATGTTACAAATACTGTTATGGAATATTCTAATATACTGTATATATGTATGTATATATATATATATATATACTGTATATGTTCGTAGCACTCTTTGAAAGAGAAATTTTAAAGAGTGATATAATCTGCACATTCTTTTCCAAGTAAAAATTCATATTTTGAAAGAATATAAGGAAAAATTCAAACCTATACTAGAATTGCGGCTACTCCTTGGTTTAGCGATTGTAACCAGGGGAAAGAAAATTTTTAATTGAGAGTATAACAGGCTAACATCTTTCCCTCTGAATATCTGCAAAAAGTTGAATCAATTTATAGACACGTTTTCACCTCAATATTGTTTAATCTTATTAATTTACTTTTGCCACGAATGTTCCAGACTTTTTCAAAACATGCGTTGTTATATTTAGAGCCTGGAAAATAGGAAGAATTTTTATAATTCTTTTAGATAATCATCACTAGTTGCTAAATTAAATATATAAATATATTTATGCTAACAGCTAATAATAATTGTGCCTGTATGTATTCATCAATATCGTGCAGGCCCGTAACTGCAGTATTTGAAAAAAGCGAAATAAGTAATTTGCTACATATAAATACTTTTTATCTTTAATACGTGCCATCTGGAGCCCCATCGCATACTACCAAATCGGCTTTTTCCCCTTCAAAATGGCTTGTTATTTTCTTTGCTGTTGATAATTTGGTAATATCTCCTTGAATTTGCTCAACTCCGGGAATAGGGGCCATAGCTTGTAAATCAACAGCTATAATTTTAGCATCGTCATTCTGTGGTTCTATTCTGTTTAATGGAAAATACTAAGTAAACCTAAATAGCTTAAGATAACTGCTACCTAATCTTCTTAGCCAACACCTGACTCCAGCTACCTGGGGCAGCACATAAGTCAACAACATGACTAACATCTGCGAAGTATAACAACTTTAAAGTACAATTTAATCAATTCTGGAGGAAGAAATTGTACCTTTAAATATATTAAATTCTTCGTCAATTTGTAATAGCTTGAAAGCGCTTCGAGCCCTCCACCCCTCTTCTTTTGCCAAACGATAGTATATATCACGTTTGTCTTTTGACGAACGACCCATTCTTTAATTTCTATAGGTAGGAATCGTAGTAAAAGTGAATTAGACGGAATCATAAAAATTATAAAAATATAAATAATCTAGTTAGGTGCAAAGTTCCGTGATGTTTAACATACATTTCTGCTTTAGAAAAGTCCAATTAAGAAAAGTGATAAATGGCGTGGGGAAGTTACGTAATTTTTTATTCGAAATTGGAGGATAAATAGAAACACGTTGGTTTTACCAAACACGACTTTAGATTCCAATATTCGCGGTGTCCATAATAAAATGTGGTTACCTGTATAAATTCAAATATCCCCCAATTTTCATTTAACTATGCTTTTAATACAATAGTATTTTGCGAAATGCGATACAATATTTTTAGGGGTTTTTATTTCTAGTTCGAAATTAGATTTATTAATTAAAGTGAACTATTGACTCTTTACCGCGGTTGTCGACCTGTACACCCAGAATGCAATTTTCGTGGAGACTTCCGCCTCCGAGCAAGGTAGCCATATTTCTTACTTCGAATACAAAATCCTCAAATATCTTCTGCATTGCGTAATGCTTTATGCAGTTTACTGATGTAGAGGAAAAACTATTGGCTATTTAGCAATAACATGCTCTGATTATTCGTTTCAACAGATAAACAAGCAGCTTACTAACGTCCTGTAAGAATAGCAGGACCGAGAAGCATTCTGTCTGATTTTGTCATGCTACAAAATCCTAATCAAACAAGAAAACCAGTGTCTGCACCTGTTCCAATACCGAGAAATCCTCAACCGAACGCCATATTTTTAGAAGGGTGAGTATACATGGACTTTTCAGACCTGAACGAATCTAAGTTTATGTATAAGGATTGCTAAGGCTGTAGCTAGCTCATCGGTGACCATATAAGAACTGCCTCAATATGAGTGAATCGCAATTAAAAAGTCGAGTTTTTTAAAGCTTGAGTTCTATTAAGCATTTACGGTGAAAGTACTAAAAAGAGTCACGTGGTCGCCATATTGCAGTTACGGCCTCAGATCTTTAATGATAATGATTTCGTCGGAGGATATGTTCTGCAATTTCACAGCATACAATGATGGGGATTATAACTGTTGGTGAGTCAGATGAGTCAATACTTTTAGGCCTGGTTATTCATATTTTTGATAAAAGATTAATATTAAGTGAGCTCGAGAATATTTGTCTAATAAAACGAAATGGCTCGTTGAACTTTGTTTACGCGGGATGACGTAAATTAACTCGTCCCCCATTCATTTGGTGACGCGCATAATTAAGGGGCCATCGTAATCCAATAGGGGCAAAACAATAGGGCTTGATTGCAGGGCGACTCCAATTATGTAACCACTGGGCGCCACATGGCTATGTAATGTATACTATAAACTTTCCATCATTTCCTACGACCTTTCGTAGTTCATTCACGGGTTCGTTCAGCGTCTGAAAAGATGCTCGAACACCAAATATCTTATCGCAATCATGTTTACAGGCTTAAGTCGGCTGGACAAGTTCCCCAAGTAAACAGAGGTAAAAACAATTTTTTAAGTTCTGTCTCTTTAATATTACATAAGTGTAAAATATGTAAATAGGACCAGAGAAGCCAACAAACGTTCACACGAGCCAACAGGCAAACTACAACATTTCAGTAAGTTATATTTTTATTTGATTTTATTTGTTTTGCATTTAAATGATGACTTAGTTATCCCTGTCCGATTTTAAATTCACTATGAGGTAACAATTACGTACTGAGCAGTTATATCATATAAAATTGCTATCATTTGGAAATATTTCGATTTACATGGTAATTTTCTTTACAGTTTGGCACCAACTCCAATCCAAGTCAGATTCAACCGTCAGTTAGTGGCTCATCACAAGTAGAAGGCGGGGGGTCGGTTGGCGGCCAAGTAGGGCAACCCTACAGTATGCAAATGTACTCCGGTGCTGCTCCTCCTCCACGATCGAACCATCCTATTCCTCAAGTAAGTTCCTTCTCTTTATTTAGAGTAAAACACGCTTCATTAATTTGCGAAGTGTGAGTGTGGTGATTGTTCACTGAGAGTTTGACAATTTGCATCAGGTGTTGCCGTCTATAAAATCTTGGGTGAGACTTCAAATTTTTTCACTTATCCCGTAGATGCTTTCGTTCGCTTAGTTTTGTCGTTGTTTACAATTCTGTTTAAAAAATAATAATGTATGAATATCTTAGGATTGTTCGAATGAAAAACTTACAAATCGCTTACTTAGTTTATAAAAAACTGCAATTTTTTTGTCACTAAGTAAATCAAATTTTGTCATAAAATGTTAGCTAGACAAATTAACAATAATTTACTTTTCAGAGGTTCGTTAATCCAAATGCTGGTTCAGGGAGTGGAGGAAATCGGGGACAGCGTCAGCCAGCTCAAACGTACCCTCCTCCTCAGCAGCAACAGCAGCCTGGTTTTATGGTACCTTCACCTTTTATTCAACCAGCACAGATATTTATCCCACAACAAGCGACTTATATCCAAAATACACATCGTATGCATAACCCAAATCAGCAGCCCCAACAATATATTCAGCAGCAAGTACAGTATCCTCAAAATTACGTTAGCAGTAATTCCCAACCGCAGCAATTGCCATACATGAATCAGCCTTATCAGTCCAATTCGTACACTCAACCTAACCAGCAACATCAATCTGTTGTTAGCCATGTAACATCGACGCAACCGCAAAACAATCCCTATCAACAGCCTGCTCAACATCAAATGCTTGTGCAAAATCCGCCTCAACAACCCCAGCAAAGGGAGAAAAAAATAATACGGATAATAGATCCTTCTACTGGAAAAACACTTAACGACGAAATTAGAACAAATCGAATGTCTTCGCTTTCTGTCACCTCCACGAATCAAGTGGAAGAAGTCAAAGATCAAACTACTGAAGTTGCTGATGATACAAAGAGTAAAGTTTGTCAAGAATTTGCAGCCTTAGTAGCAGCCCGGTGCAAAACCGATCAACCTCAGACAAGTCAAACCGAAGATTCCAAAAGTGAAGAATTAGCAAAGAATGAAGAAGAAGCAGAAGAAGAAGTAATAGTAGTTGAAAAACCTGAGGAGCCAAAAGTGGAGGAGAAGCTTGAAGAAACTAAGGAAGCAGTCACTGTTGAGCCTGAGGAAAAGCCAGATGAAGAAGTAAAACCTGAAGAACAAGAAACAATAGTGGAAGAAAAACCGGAGAAGACAATTGAGGAGAAGTCATCCGAAACTGAAGATAAAGATAGTAAGTTTTATTACAGTGTCGTTTGGAAACTTTTCAATGTCTATATTTGAGTTTGTTGCGCTCGTTGACTGTATAGCGTCGTGTAAAATTCCGATTCCGGCGGCTCAGACACCGTCGGCTAAACAGCATTCAAAGAAAAAGAAGAAAAATGGTAAGTGAATCAGTGAATAAGCCGGAAGTATAGAATCCTCGCTTCGTTTCCCTCTGCTTCTAAATATGCTTGGGATTTTTTACCTGCAGATATATTTTAGTGCATTTAAAAGTATATGTGTATTTATGTATAGGAAGGATAAAAGAATTTAAAAACTTCAAATGTAATATGCGCATGTAATTAAACTACAATTATGTATTTCGAGTAAATTTATCTTTACAGTTTGTATATATACATATGTATATATGAATATATATAGAGATATTGAATAGGTCAAACATATACCGTACATATGCATGTTTGGCCTATTCGATCACGTGATGTGGTGGTGATGTAGCAGATGGTGTTTTTAGCCTATGGTGCGGCAGAGTACTCGATATAGCCGAGCGGCTGTTAGAGTCGAAGCTGTCGGCCGATAGACATATTTTTGTTGGGTTGTGTAGATGTTACTCAGGAGCGATATTATATGATATTAGTCAATCTTATACTACTTACTCGTCCGGTAAATGTGTCATTATAGAAGTTAAGTTCGAAGTTCCACATTATATTTGCTGATGGATTAGATAGTCATGGCGAGACGTACGTATAATATTTTCTAGGTGGTGTCACGTGATATTACAGAAAAGTAGGACGTATAAAAATGTGTTCGAACGAATTTTTAACACTTCGCTTTTTTTACCGTTGATATTCTGAGCAAAATTAAATGGCGTCCGACATTGAATTTTTCTCGTGTGTTTAAAAAGGTTCAAAAGGAAAGAAGGCTCGTAAGAATAAGGAACAGAATAGTCCTACAACGAATACTACCGGTGCTATTGCTGTCGACATTGAGATAAAACGGGAGGAACGACCTTCGGTAAGTTTCAATAAAAAACATCGTAGTTTCGAATTTCTTTCATTTCACAATGATTATGTACCTAAAGCTTTCTCCACCAACTTCCGAGATACCAGAAGAAATTAAGGCTTCTAGTTTGGTTGAAAGTAGTCCTGAAATAAACGATACAATTAAGAAAATTGAAGACGAAGTTTCTGAGGAAAATGGTGTCACACCATTGTCTGAATCTCCTCAGGTCGTTACGGAAGACGATTCCGAAAGCCAGGAAAAGCCTGTTGACGATGAAACAGAGGACACTGATTTGCAAAGAAGCGACAGTGAAGAGCAGTCTACAGACCCGCCATCTTTAAAATATGATTATAAAGAAAATCAATGGAGTCCGTTGAATACTGAAGGAAAAAAACAGTATGATAGAGAGTTTTTGATGCGTTTACAGTATGATGATCTAAGTAAGAAGAAACCGGACGACTTGCCCAAACTAGACATAATCCTTACCCAACCTATATGCAATGATCAATCAAATACATCAACCGGAATGGAAAGACAAGACTTTCTTCCATATTTCCAACAACAGACACTTACTTCTGGGAGAATGTCTGGTTCAATGCACAGACAAAAGTCTAGAGATTTCAATAAAAATCGAGTTGAATCTAGAAAGGTAATCCAAATTTCTAGAGAAAAGGAGGTTCAGTTTGTGAGAACTGCGAACGCTTACAGACCCCACTATCTAGGTGATGGTTCTGATGAAGATAGGCATGATGAGCGGTTATTCAGAAACGTTAGGTCTATGTTGAATAAGTTGACACCTCAAAACTTCAACAGTTTAATCAATAAATTTAAGGAGTTGGAAATTAACTCAGAATCTAGGATGGTTGGGGTCATTAAACTGATTTTTCAAAAGGCTATTGACGAGCCAGCATTTAGTGTAGCTTATGCCAATTTGTGTAAAAGTTTATCTAATATCCTAACGAATACTAAAATGCAATCCAAGGAGGGTAAAGAGTTTACGTTCAGATCTGGTTTGTTAAACCGCTGTCAAGAACAGTTTGAAAAGAATAGAAATGATGATGAAATTCTTGAGAAAAAGAGGGGTGAATTGGAACTGGCTGAAAGTCCAGAAAAACGAAAAGAACTCCTTATGGCTTTAGAAGAGCACGAAACTGTTTCGAAGAGGAAATATTTAGGAAATATTCGGTTTATAGGTGAACTGTTCAAACTAAAAATGCTAACTGAGAATATCATGCACGGATGTCTATTTGAATTGCTCAAATCTCACGATGAGGAAAAATTAGAATGTTTATGTAAGTTAATGAAAACAATTGGCAAAGAATGCGATCATAAACAGGCAAAGCCTAGGATGGATCAGTATTTCACTCAAATGCAGAAAATTGTTGAACAAAAGAAAACCTGCTCTAGAGTTAGGTTTATGTTACAAGATGTTATTGAATTAAGAAAGAATATGTGGGTGCCAAGACGTGACGAAAATGCTCCCAAGACAATCGCACAAGTTCGTGAAGAAATGGAAAGGGAAGCTCAAGAAAAAGCTGTACATCTGAACGCAGCTGCTAATAACGCCTCTAAGAGGAGGTCTATTCCCAATATTGTCTCTGGAATGAATAGTAAGTAAATTTAAAAATTGTTACACATTATTTTGAATTTACATTAAATCTTTCAGATCGTCACAGTGCTAGTGGTCCAAATGTGGGTGATGATTCTGGATGGCATAATGTCCAACACAGATATAACTCACAGAGAGCTAACGAAATGGACCGAAGCAGAATGATGAATATTGCTTCCCAACATAGTAATAAAATGACTGATGGTAATATTCAATTGGGACCTAGCAAAGCTGGCTGGGGAAGAGGAGCAAGCGGTGGACGCTCTCATAATAGTAGTCAAGACGACACATCTACAACCTCTGGAGCAAACAAGTTTTCTGTTTTACAGCAACATGATGAATTAAGACCTGCCGCTCATATTAAAGGTGCTAGTCGATCGGCTCAACTTCCACCTAGACATCAAAGTAAATTTAGCGGACAATCAAGAGGACTTAATTCCAGACCAAGTGCTGAGCAAGAACGTGGCAAGAGGGAAGCCTTGGAAATGGCAAGAACAGTGGCAACTCCACCAAGGGGCAATAGCAGAGAATCAAGTAGAAGTAGAAGTGGTCAGCGTGCTCCAATTGATAAGGCCACATCAGCCGTATCTGTAGAGGTACCGGAGATGTCTGATGATGAGTTGGAGAGAAGAATTAAGACTTTGGTAGATGAATATATACAAGTACACGACTTAAGTGATACTAAGGAATATGTTAAGGAAATGTTAAGAGCAAACGTTAAATCCGACTCTATTGTCAATAAGATTCTCCTTAGTGTTTTAGAGCGTTCGACTGAAGCTCGACGAACTATCGGTGATATGTTAAACACGCTGATGAAGGATACCGAGTGTATTGTAAATGCTCAGTGTTTTACCGCAGCTTTGGAATCAATTTTGGAATTTGCCGAAGATATGGAAATTGATGTTCCTAAAATATGGGGATACATTGCTGAATTAATTTCTCCTACTGTTGCTTACAAAGCTGTTCAGTTGACAAACATTTTTGAAGCCTGTCTGCCAATGCGAAACCAAAATAGTAGTAAAACAGGGGAACTGTTTGCTGCACTATTGCACCAATGTGCCTCTATGATTGGGCCTAGCGAAGTTTACAATATGTGGCAGAAATCAGACTTAAAATGGGAAGATATTGTTCAGAATGTAGATACATTTATTAATGATAATCAATTGGAGTTTACCATTACTGGAGGAAGGAGTAGAAACAGCAGCGAAATGCGACCAGTTAAAGAATTGTCAAATGGCATACGAGGTATTTTTAGATTGAGCAAAGCAGAGGAAATGTTTGCTTGGATTGAGGTGTGTACTGATTTTCATATACATAACAAGTTTTTAGGCCAATGTGATGATTCATCCATCTGAGCAATATTTTTTTACACTGATATCAAAATTCCTCGTTTCTGACCACCTGTATACTTTACATAAAATTCTTTTTTTCGTATAAGAATGACTAATTATTTTTTTGTTTGATATAGGATAACGTTACCGAAGAAGGTGCAAAAAGTGAAGAATTTATAAGGAATTTGGTTTATGGTTTGTGCGAAGTTTGCACAGTTGGTTATGGCGCAAAAGCTCAATTTGACAAAAATAGATACAAAGAAGAATATAAAGCGATACTTCAGAAGTATCTGGACTCTGATAAGGAACGAATGGAAAGATCGGCTCTGCTAGCTGTACAAAAATTTTCAAACGACTTAGAACATCCACCTAATTTGTTTGAAACAGTAATGGAACATTTATATGATGACGATTTGATATCTGAGGAGGCTGTACTTGCTTGGGATAAGGATGACAATAATGAACCTGGTTTTGGAGTGTGCAGGGCTGGTTCCCAAAGATTCGTTGATTGGTTAAAGAGTCCAAATGACAATGACGAAAGTAGGTAATGGGCAAAATATAATAGGCAATTTTCAATTTTTTACGGCTGCTGTTGGGGAATTAAATTTATAATTTGCTCATATTTGGGTTAAAAGACTATTTTGACGCTTTTCGACACTGTGATTGAACTTTGTTGGCGCTGCTGTTTTCTTCGCATAAAACGATTCAAGTAATTTGATTTAGTTAAATGTTACTAAATTAATTCATAGTAAACGTATAAACTTATTGCGAGTATTATGAAATCTATATACAGCCTATATATATATATATATATATATATATATACATACACATACATTATAATGAAAAATAAAACTTATTTATGACAAAAATGTGATGTAAATTAAAGTGATTTTAGGTGGTTGATAAAACCGTAATATCAGATACATTTAAAGCCACACTGCGTTCTACATTTAGTTTTAGAACGTGATGACCCTTCAAAAGGATGTCAAATACATAGAATTTGTAACCTTTTTATGGATATCTTATCGTTTAGAAGATGTACATACACTCTAGCGTCATTTTGCGAAGTGGCGAGCAATAAAAAATACACCTACCTTTCATATTATACATACGAGTTTGTTTGCATTGTCAATTTATCGAACAAATTAGTTCAAGTACCAGAGATAATATCTGACAAATTGACTTGACAGGTAGCTTTGAAATAGTCCAGGCATTCATTGTATCCCGAAATAAATTCTCATAATCGATTACAAATATAGCGTTGTAGCATCTAACATTCTACTTCTTGATATATGAGAAACCAATTAAAATTACTCAAGTAAATTGAACTGATTCACCCGGCCATAAGGAAATTTAAATCCTACAGTTTTATTAAAGTATAAAACAACTACATTATTTAATTTCATTTAATATTTCCTTTGAACTATTGGATTTAAAATAAATAGGTCAGCAAAAAATTGTATTATTTTTTGTACGAATGTTAGTCAATTCAGAATTTCGTTTTATATAAGTTATACATTATTTTCTGGATTGTACAGTTATTCAAAATATCTTGTCCAAAGGGGCGAAACTATTAAAATAACGCGACATTTCCCAGAAATTCTATGACGTTAACAATTTTCAAAATAGTTGAATCGTTTAAAAATATACTTCGATTTTTTTCATTAAATAGATAAAAATTCTTAATATACCTATATACTGTACATTTTGTCTGTTTTTATAACATTATGTTTATACTGTATATACAGAATATATATATATATAAATATATATGTTCAAGGTTTCTCCGTGTCACTTCCGTCTACATGAGATTATTTATATTAAGGATATTTTTTATAGAGAATAACATATTTTACATATTAGATAAGATTTGAATTCTTAGTTATGTTCCGTGGCAAACAACAATAAAAAACTCATAACGTTATATTCTATTTTATATTGTAACAAACGCATTTCGTTTTCGAAAGCTGAATCGAAATAATATTGTTATATTAATTTTATAACAATTATAAAGGTCAGAAGTGTGATTAAAGATTAACAAACAAATCATTAACATATGTAATAGACGTAAACAGCATTACAGTCTAATAAAATATGTTCTGAATACATGTTTAAATGTTATATCTGATAATTGTGTACGAGGGATAATTTAAATCTCTTCCCAGTATAACTCTCCCTCTGTGTGTCTGCCTATCTGTCTATATCTCGCCATACTGTATAGATATACTGTATATGCATATAGGCACTCTAATTTAATCAATACAATTCCAACATCACGTTTTTTTATTATAACTAAACAAAAGATAATACGTTAATTAGTGAAATAATACATATTTTCTAATCCTGCTAAACGGGTTAGATTTCTTCATATACAAAAAAAATACAACATTACAAACTGCAAGAAAAACAATGCAACATAATTTTTAAATATAGTTTGTCAATGGTTCGTAAATAATCATTTTCTTCAAAAGTTCTGGAAGAACGAGTTCTTTGACGGATTCTGTCAAAGGACACTTTAGTATCTTCCTTATACTATTCAAAGTGATATTTCTCAGAGGTCTACAAATAGATGCTTCTCGTAGAAGAATATCTATTATTTCTTTTTTCATTTTCTTCGATCTTTTTATGGCTGCTGTTTCAAAAGTATCTGCAACATTCAAAAGAAAACAGAAAATATCTGGATCATTTTCCAACTTATGCAATTGATTCAAGAGACCATCAACAGTTTTTGGCTTCAAGTATCTTGTGGGAAGAGAAATTTTAACGCTTGCGCCGTATTGAACCAAAGTATGGATAACTTGCAAGTCGTATTCGTTTTGATAAGTAAGATATTCTAAAAGAGGAGTAAAACTTGGTAAAAAGTATTTATATTTTTTGCCCGAAATTCTTGGATCAGCACCCATACTTAGAAGAGTCTTTATCAATCTGCGAAACTGCAAATGTGTATATGATGGTTGGGCAACAGCTGATAAGGAACCACACTGTTTTACTTAGCAATTCTCATTTATATAAAAAGCGTAATTAAATGAATAGAGTTGATTTGTTTTTGTGTTTTAAATGAATAAAGAGTAGAAACAGTTTGGTTCCTAATTGTAAAGGCGTCACTCCTTCAGCGTTAAAAGCGTTTAAGTCCAAATTTTTTTGTAGTAAAATATCGACAATATCTAACTTTGTTCTCGTTATTGCAAGATCTAAAGCTGTAACATCACTTAAATTAGATTGAATTTTAGCACCTGTTTCCAGTAATTTCTCCACAAGTTTTGTATTACCACAAATAATAGCACAGTGGAGAGCCGTAAAATTACTTATGCTCTCAACTGCATTAACATTCACCTCTGGTCTGTTGATGAGTATTTCAACAGCGTCCATACAATTCTCCAAACAAGCTTTTATTCCATAATGAAGAAAAAGAATAAATTAGATGTAGGTCACTCAAAGATAAAGAACGTCAAGCTATGTATAGTATGATTTACCTTTAATAATCAATGGTTGACCAGATCGATTACAAGTATTAGGGTCTGCTCCATATTCCAAAAGCAATTGTAAACATTCAGTAAATTTTAATGGAAATCTATGGATTTCTGGAGCTAGAAAGTGAGGAATATTCGGATCAGCTCCATTTTTCAATAGTATCTTAACAATTTCAACTCGATTGTTTTGCAATGCCAAATTTAAGGGCGTTGTTAAATACGCAGCACTTTTTAAGAGGTTTGCGTCAGGACCATTAACAAGAGCTCCATTGCGCAATAATAACTCGGTTATCTCCAAATAACCCTCTTTACACGCTATATGTAAAACAGTAAAGCCTGTGTCGTCTTTAACATTTATATCGGCACCTTTTCTTAAAAGTAATGATGTCACTTCCAAATTGTTAGCATATACTGCGTAGAATAGCGGAAAGAAACCTTTCGCATTGCGCCTATTTATGGACTCCTTGGATAGACTATTAATAACTATTTCTGCTTCTTTAGCATCTCCACTAATCTTAAGATATTCGTTCAAAAGACTAAGATCTTCATCATCGTCCATTTTCTTTTAAAAGCTAACAAGAAAATTTTCCCCAAAATATAACTGGTACTGCTTCCGATGTACGCAAATATATATAGGTTGAGCTTAGGCCTATTAAGTTACCATCTAGGGTTTTTTGCTTACAAACATCACATGCACTCAATCCCGCTTGGTGCATCAAACTCACTCCGTTTGATGGTTTACTCTACAAGTATTATAGATGTCGCTATTGCTTCATGGAATAATATGTATCCAATAACAGTTTGAGATAAATAGTTTAAAAATCATTCATTCGTATAAGGTAAATAATAGGTTGTACAAATATATATTGAATAGTTTAACTTCTATTAATAGGTCTATTACCATATTTTATAATTATTGCTTCCAATTTAATTGAGCACAAAGTTCTTTTCTTTAAAAGAGTAATTAGTATATCAACATATCAATTATGATACTAAAGTTTCATACCCAAGTAGGTTTTGTCCTGTTTCTTTAAACAAACAAACAAACAAGCATTATATAAGCTTTTCTAAATCCAGACATTTAAGCCTTTTTATCACCTATATTAAGGAGACTAATGTATGATACTTTATATAAATTTATGCCTAATCTTTCAATTGAAAAGTCTATCATTATAAAGAATACTCAACTCTATGATATTAGATATATAGTATATACTAATATCTTGGACCTTTCTTCATTTTAGGTCATTGAAATGATTTTGGTAAGGATACGCCGACTAACGAAGAATTTCTACAAGTACAATGCTACAAGAAACGCTTTTCTCATTTGGCTTATCAAAGTTTTTATGCTCAAATTGTTCGGAAGGAGAGTAAGCGACCGTAAGTTATTAGTAAATTCAAATACAACTTTCTTCTAGATGGTATTGATTCAACGTCTTTTAATTCTTTGAAGCGCAATCTACCGAAAACTCTTAACTATCTTCAAACTAAGGCAAATGCCATCTCTATGAAGGGCTTTGTAAAAGTTTTGCTGGGTATACTTTAGGAAATTTAGGTTTAATGTGGTGTGGACAGCAGGCAAAAGACTGTTTGAACAAAGAACTAGATTTTTCCACTATAAGATGGGCTTGGGACGATTTTCGAGAAAATCATTATAGGACACTCTTTGCTGAAGATTGTGTTGGGCTCAGCATGTATTGAAGATTTAAAGGTTTTCGAAATCAACCAATGGATTATTGGATGCTGTCCCTTTCGTACGACCGCCGAGACAAACCCGATTAATGAATATGGCCAGAATTATCCAGGATAAAGGACAAATGTTTCAGCTATCTTAGATTGGTTAGCTGAATTTTTTCTATAAAAAGGATAGATACCCTGCTCAAATCCACTAAAACTAACAAAGTCCATAATTCTAGGGGCGGATGATCGTCTTATGGGGATGAATGCTTGACTTTCAATCGTTAATTCTTGGAAAGGTATCTAAATAATACATTTATTTTTTCAACGGAGATCATAGTCTAAGACACGGAGAGTTTAGAGCAACCTACATCGGAAGAATTGAAAAATATTTACCATTTCTCTTGGTAATAGCACCAAGATATTTCATAAAATCCTATCCTCATTTATTAACAATCTTCGATGTTTACCAAGCTCTATATATTAACGACTCGTCCATTTATATGAATATTATGAAAAATCAGATAGGACAATCTGTTTGTATCGGATATCGAAGGATAGAAATTCGATATAAAATCATTATGTGACGAGTTAAGATTATATAAAGTTTACGACGCTTTTATATATTGAAGGAATGAAATTATTGAAAAGATTCATATTGATATTCGGCTGAGAATGGTTCCGGCGAGGAAGAAAGCGAATATTGGTATGATAGAGGCAACTATTGGATATACTGAAGATACAAAAGTTTTTTCTCTATTGGAACAAATTAATCGAATAGACGCTTTTAAAGATTTATCGTATTATGTTGGAAAAAGGATTTTAAACAATATTTGTTACTGTCTATAAATTAACTTATTTAATAGACGCTTTTTTAGATAAATGAAATTTGAACAGAAAGAATCATCTTTCTCTGATAGTATTCTATCATCTTCAGGCCTATAGTCTTTTGACAGTACATTCCCTATCCCTAAGATTTTAACAATGGATGCTCTAGGACCATTTTGTTTTGTGTATACTTCTTTTGTTTCTAACCATGTTCTATCGAGATTGTTTGTTATAGTATATAATGTTTGATAATCGTCTAGAACTGAAGATGACTCTAGACAAGATATTATGTCTTCTAGGCCCAATTTCAGTGCATTGTTTACACTACGAACAATTCTACCCAAGGACTTTCTGTCAACATTAAACAAGTTAGGATGTGTTGCTGTCAAAGCCTTTGTATCTGTTTGGAAGGAACCGTACAAAGTTGCTCTTGAGAAGTTCGTCAATACTGGGCATGTCCAACCTTCGCCATCGACGTAGGTGGTAACTATAGAGTTCATGCTAATATTATTGACGATTATCGACTTCCTATGACATTTTTGAATGAGTTTAAACAAATCTGCTAGTAGTTTCATCCATCTCCAGTTTGGCATCAGTTTCTTTTTCGGTCTATGTTCTCTATTGTATGTTTCATGTATTAAGAGACGATGGAGAGTAGCAATTTCGAATGATCGCGAATCCCCAATTAATAATGTAACAAGAGCTACAGGAAGGAAATGACTATTTGTCATCAAATTAACAAGACCGAATGAAGACGGAGCAATATTTTTAATGTTTCTTCCAATGTAGTCTAGGATGTGGGCCTCCTTGGTTAAACTGATAGCTATTGGACTCTTGTCATTCAATTTATATATTTTTATTGCCACCGCGAAACGATTCTCTGAAACAGGATCGCGAAGAAAACCACCGATAACTACACCTCTCTTCCCCGAACCTAACAGGATCGGCTCGTTACTTTTGTCTTTATAGGCAATTTCTAGTTGAGAAGGATTGATAAAATTCAAAGAGAACATATTAGGATACGTTCCTTTGTCATTTCCAACTAACGCCCTCCATTCTTGATTGTATAACATTTCTAGTTGAGAATGGTCTAGAATGCGTGGATTGAGTAAAGGAGTTACGATTTTTTGAAAGTGATTATCAATGACAGGCGTCCAATATCGTCCTCTGGTAATATGATGATCGTTGATACGGGATAAAAAGTTGTTGAGAAATTGCTTAGAAGTCTTTCTTGAACTAAATCTGCGGATAGATAGATGAGAAGGCTCCAGATCTGTTGAAATAGAATCCAACCTCTCTTTACGATTTGCAAGGATTAGTTTGGATTTCTTTCTGGAGTATATTATTGTAATTCTTTTCTCACGAAAATAAGGAACACAATTACTCCAACTGTGTTCTATCATTAAGTCGTCTGATATTTTTTTGCCTTCTTCTTTCTAAGCCCCCTAAGATTCTTTTTGATCGCTGCACAAAAGGAAATGGAAAGAGCAATTGAAAGGAAAAAGTTGCTGTTGATATTCTGGAAAGAATGGCGGAAATGGTTGCTTTATCCAAGTAAAACCATGTTCCAAACTTTCTTTCTAGGTCAAATATAAACTGCAATTTCCTTGAGTATTTTAAAATTTCAAATACAAAATAAAAAACAACTCTTACTTTAACTGACTAAAATAGTAACAAAATTGTCTTGTAGTCCAATATTACATTGCTTTTTTTTTCTATAATATTTGTAATAGTAAACGAATCTTTATATTGATTAAATAGATAAAGCATTGGCCTTTTAAACTTGACGCTTTCCTAGCTTTTCCTATAATTCTTTTGATATTTTTATCAATAGATGGCGCTACAGTATTCATGAACCTTCTTTTAATCCATCATCAGACACGCATGTGGACCCACGCATATAAAAGTTATCAAGTTATCTCCCACCCTCCTCTCTCTCTCTCTCTCTCTCTGCTTCCTTTTCAATATTTTTCATTAAAAGTCATATGATCAAAACTAACTTTGTTACATTTGTATTGACTGTTTGTCTTGTCATTTACGCCACAGAATATCACAATTCAATTAGATTAAAATATTTGGCAAACACTACTTCTATTATTTCTTTTCCTTTCTAAATTTACGTGCTTTTTAGTGTTTTTTTTGTTTCTAATCTTTAAAACTATAGAAAATAAGAAGAGTCTAGGAAAACTTACAAGAACCAACTTGGTAATTAATTTGCATAGCATCTGTTTTCCGTAATAATATGAAAAAGATATAAAAAAACCCTCTTAATATAGACCGACTAAAGGCTTTTTTAAGAAACTGATTATATATTATATTCTAATAGCCAGATGTTATATATTTTAACTTTTCTTGGACAGATTATAGTAAAAGCAAAATAAGCGATAGGAAGAAGATAGGAAATATATGATTTAGGGATTATAGGGAAGGTAACTAGTTAGATATGAAGGTAAACAGAGGTAGAGGAAGAATAAGCATTCTTTCGTATAAAATAAAGCATCTTTTATTCTCATTTTTTGTTCAATTTATTAAGACTATTAAAAGACTCCAGAGATTATTTATGAAATGCCTACATATATATACACACTGTATATAGGCATTTTTAGAGAGACTTGAAAATACGCATTGTATTTAGAATGACTTTTTCTTTATTATTTCAATTAGATGTTTTCTTTTTTGTCCTTCTTAAATAAATATTTAAACAAATCGATTTAATTTTAATAATCACCAACAAGATACCAATGACCAGTAGCAAGGTTTACCACGTTTTTTGTCTATCATATCTTCTACATTCCGGTTTTCGTTCAGTGTTTTCAATAGTAAATTGTAAAACTTTGCAAATTGTTCAGGTTTTACAGATTTCTGAAAAATGATATAAAAAAAACAAACAAGAAGATAAACTAATGTTATCATTTAATATATTAAATAAAAATAACGACAGTATAAACTATAAAAAAAAGCTGGGAGAAGAAGTAGAAAAGAAAGTGGAAGAAGAAGAAGAAAAAGAAAAATTGCATAATAAAAAGAACTTAGAAAGAAAGTCGGACAAGATGAAAAGACTTAATTGACATAATTGACTATGACTTGATGAATAAGAAAAAAGTAACTTGATTATAGTTTTAAACTTGATATTTTACTAATCACTTATGTCTTTATATTCTAATTAGCATTTTATATTCATTGAATATTTGTTTTTCCTTACTGATTCTCCTCCTTTTCCAGCAAATCTTATTTTTGTCTTTTTCATCTTTCTATCGTTATCTTCTTCTTCTTTTCTTTCTTTTTCTTATATATATATATATATATACAGTATATCTTTCTTTCCCTTCCCTCCTACACTCTTCATTCCTCACTGCGTCTGTCTAACTTCTTTTTGTCTCTTTATTTTGCACCTTCGCTCTTTCTCCCTCGTTTTCTCTATCTTGTATAGAAAAGAATGAAACAATAAAATACTTACTTGAATGTCATTAGCTCCTGCTACCATTGATATTTTACGGGCTTCATTTTCAATACTCCGCTCGTACGACGAGCCGACAAAAAGACAAGCCAGAAGAATGACAAAGACGGCCGTCATGTTTGATTTGAAGCGCTCCGCCCATGCAAAACGCTTTTTATAACGCGAAGGAGTGACGTCATTCGAAGCTTTTCCGAAGCAAATTATTTTTTTTTGTGTAGATATACAGCAATTAAGGAAACTACTAAGCTACTTGTTACGGAGATGAAATGTTAATTAATAAAACTTTTGCATTTTACTATCTTCTTTATATAGATGGAAAGTTTTTAAAATGTAACGCTTTTCAATCAATAATCGATATTATTAATATTATTAGAAACTGTCACCGATTTGTTCTTCTTTTGATATATTCACTTAATTAATAATATATGAATAAACAGTGGGAAAAAGAGTATTTTTAGATCGACCCTTAAACCATTATAATTTACCTTATTGAACAAATTGAAAAAGAGTTGTGAGTTGTTGTACGTACCATCTATTTTCGTAATTAAAGGTTTATACTTTCTAGATAGGAGAATGAGAGGATAGCACTGTAAAAATTTACTATCTCTAGTAGTTTGCAATAAAGTAAATACATGTTCAATGAAGTTATAAGAGGGATATCATTATGTTTCAACTACGTAAGTAGTATAGAGAAAATAGATGATGACCCACTTTTTCTTCAAACCTTACTGATTTATTAATTTTCAATAGTAAATATACATTATGTCCTGATTATATATATAGTTTGAATGCAATATAGTTGTATATATATATAGATATATATTTTTATATATTATTCGCTTTGTCTCATTGTTTATGCCTATATATATATAATTGTTACATTGTAAAAAAAAAAAGAAAAAACAAAAAATAGATGATTAACTTTATATTCTAGAAATGGCCGCGACAAGTTCAAGTGTTTAAATAGAAAATCCATTTAGGAATTGTGAGCTTGTTGATTTAATAAAAAAAACATGATTTACAACACTTCCAGTACGTAGTTTTACCCTAAGAGCTACAGTAGGTACATATTGTTGGAAACCTTTGAAATACTCGACGATAAGGGAAGAACGATGCTAAATTGAAACAAAAAAACGGGAAATGTATTATGATCACCAAATGTGCTCAAACTTAGTTTGTCACGTAAAGTAGAGAGATAAATTCTTCTGCAACTCAGGTGTTGGTAAAGAAACCCGGCTTTTAATTGGAGGAGAAAAAAAAGGATTGACATTTCTTATTCTTTACACCTACCTAAACTACTTTTAGCCAATGATTAAGTTATTTATATATTTTACCGGAGAAATTAACTTGAGATTATCATTTAAAAAGTACTAAATAGAGTTCTATTAATAAATTACATTAATTCACCGTTATTCCCTTTATTTTATATATATATATATATATATATATATATATATATATATATATATATATATATATATATAAAGTCTGCGATGATTATATGTTTAATTTATCTCATATATGCATTTATAGCCTCTTTTTTAATCAATCATTTCTTCTATAATGAGAGAGAGAAGGGTAAAAGGTGTATGGAAGAATAATGTCATCAGGTGTTAAATCAGATATATAATATAAGCTTTAAATCAAAAATGAAATCCCTAAACAGAAACTACAGCGTAACAGAGTATGCATCGACTACTCAGGGGTTTTCATAAGGAAGATGGAGTTATTTAATTACCAGTTTTCACACTATCATCTTGTACTGCTTTTTTTTTCTTTTTAATTTATCTAATAATCATTCTCTCTCTCTTTCTCCCTTTCTCCCTTTCCCACTCCATCTCTCTCTCTCTCTCTCTCTCTCTCGTTCTCTCTTCAGTAGGCAATTTAATAGAATTAGTCCATATTTCGCCTCTCATAGAATGATTCTGTAGAAAGAGTAACCTTTCTACTGATGCTCATTTCTCATTTAAATATTAATTTTTCTTTAATTATACTATTATTTACTATTCTTATATATTTATAGACATTTCTAAATTGTAGTTTCAACGCAAAAAATCTATTAAAAGGTAGTGAAACATTATATTCTTCCATAGCAAATTCAATTTACGAAAAAATGGGAATAATTGAAGATAAATATAGTGCATTAAAGGTTAATATACAAAGCCTCAATGTGTTTTTATATAGAGAAATTTAAGAATCGTAGTTGAATATAAAGTTCAAGGAACTCTATTTTGTAGGTCGTCTCCTCTCTCATCAACAAAGATTACGAGTGTAATTTCATAAAGCATAACATACGATTTATTTTGTCCTAGAATTTGGAACAATACAACAGTGTTTTGTCTCTATTAACAAACTTCTAAAATGAACAGTTAAGTCTATTATATGGGAGGAGAAATTATTTGCGAGGCTCTATAAATGATATATTAAAAGTTCTGTTCCCTTCTGAAATATATTGAAATAAGCAATGGCTAAATATTTTAATGAGCTGGAAGACATTTTCACTTAGAATAAGAACGAAATTACCAAGTATCAATGGGAAAGTAACAGATGTAGTACTGAAACTTTTCAATAAAGAACTTTAGACCATGATGTTACAAGAGAGTTTCACTTAAACATGTTCTATTTCCGTTTGCCTATAATATATTTAAACATAAGTAGTTTTCAAAGTTGTCCAGAACAATCTCCTTTCACAAATGGTAAAATGTTTATTTGTTTTACTATTTACTATCGTTTTTATCGCTTGGTATTTAAATTATGTGAAAGCGTATTATCTTAAACAAAAAAGAAAATTTACGAAAGAGATAATGATGTAAGAAGAGAATTAAATTTTGATTACCATAGTATCATTTTATCTACAATACGCTATTTGTTTAATTCTTAAGATGATACGGTGAGTAAAATGCACTCTGAGGAAATAAATTGGGAATTTTTCATATCATACATCAATCCTAACCCGTCCAAGATCAGATGATAAATCTCTTATATTTCTATTCGCTTATATATATATATATATATATATATATATAAGAGCAAATTATCAAGAATAACCTTTTCATAATTACTCCATAAAAGAATGAACTTGAAGGACTTAATTTACATCTTTATATTTTCAACACGGTAAAATTGTTAACAATTATAGATTCAACACAGTACTTAATTATTACAATCTATTCCAGTATTAGTCGCCAGATTCTGTCGAGCAAAGACTGTAGAACGCCAACTCGGATGAATTATTTCTCCCTATGCAGAGCAATATATTATCTGAGATGATATTTGCGTTGAAAACAGTTGAACCATACGCCGGTGAATGGAGCCTGAAGAGTCGGTTCTTCCCAAAGGGATGACCGACTAATGAAAAGTTGACTGAAGAGAAGTTTCTCTATTACTAGACTATTAGTAAAATAAGAAGTCGAAATAAATTGACCTTTGAAAGTTCAAGAACGAATAGTACATTACATTACTATAGATTCACAGAATGAAAAGCTCAATGCACACATAAACGGCTAACAAAATGTTTAAAAAATTTGCTAACGTAACCATTTTTGAGCAATGTATAAAAAGTATATCATTATTACTAATTATAGCTGTTCTTCCACCACATGCAGTCATTCTATTAAATGGTATATTGGATAATTAAGCACACATTTAATTCAGTAAGGTGGGGGTAATAATGAGATACACAGTATGATATCTTGTTTTAAATTATTATAACCCCTCTCTTTCTCTCCCTCTCTCCCTCCTTCTTTCCTACTGAAAAAATCTGTATGAATAATCATTCAGATAAAGTAAAAATATTGTATTGAGATTTAAAAGACACAAAATACGAATATTATTTTCCCAATCCAATTAATAATAATTCACTTTTTTTTAACTTAATTGAAATATAAGGCAAGTTGTGTTACTTCCTTTTTTCCCTCCGAATTGAAAAGTCTTCGATTCTAGTTTATTTTTCAACTTGAATCCTAAAAAGTTCGTTTTTCTCTTTTATTTAACATTGTATTATTGATTATACATACTCATTCCAAAGAATTTTACTAATTCCTCTTCAGTCCAATTGCAGGATGTTATAATAAATAGACTGTCATTCTTTAACATACTTTCAACATTATTTTTATACCATAACTTTTTTTCTTGAACGTTTTCATCGCATAGGCTTATAGCATCAAATGTACCTATAAATTGTAATTAGGATGATCTTTCAAATATGGATAAACTTTGCAGAGAAATCACCTTTATCTAGAACAATGTCGAATTTTTCCCAGTCAGCTTGTTTTTCCGTTAAATCGGAAACTGTATACGTAATATCTGGAAAATTATTCGAAATTGCGAATTTCTTAGCAAAATCAACAGCCCATTGAGAATAATCCACCCCGTGTAAATTTGTAAAATTCTTCTTTCTCTGTTTTAAAAAGAATAAAGTAAAATATATTACTTTTTCTCTTATTTTCTGTAAATGTACTATCGTTCAATGGCGCCATCTATAATATATATGTTGGAAACTATTAATTTTCATTTGTTTTAAATAATATAGCTGAATAGAATAATTATCTGTATCATAGCGATTACAGTTAAAGCTAATTTCATGCAATATTTAAATGACACTATATATTTTAGAAAATTACCAGCTCTAAGAGAGTATAGCCATTTCCACAGCCCAAGTCTATTATTGAAGAATCTAATTTTGTAATATTTTCACATATCCAATCCACCATTCTTTTGACACTGTCTTTTCCGAACCAAATCTCGTCTGTATATCCATTAATATTAAAATTTTCTATTTCACGTTTATATGTAGAATCCCAGCTGTGGGCGATAATATAATTATATTAGAATATTTCATTACTTTTACTTTAAATTATATTTAAAGTGTATTTAAGTAACTGAAAATATTCAAGGGAATTATTAAAATCAAACTCACAATGTTTTTTGGCCTAATTCTGATGAATATTTATCTATTTTACAATCAGTGTCAGTAGGCTCAGCCATTTTATGCAATATAAAAGTGTGCGGAACAAACTTTTCTGTAAAGATGTCTATATTAAATACTACAAAACTAATGATCAGCCGAAAAATTTTTGCAGGAGTAAGAATATCTCCTGCTCTTTTTAGTAAGTTTGGTTATTTTGTTAATTTGTACATTGTTTCCAAGTTTGGGAAGATTCTTCTTTAAAATATCCTTTAGATTGAGCGATAATACGTTGATTTTGAATGTTTTTAGCAGATCAGGGAAAGTCTTTATCAACATCAGCTTACTTTTTAGCTGGATCACAGTGGAGATTGGAGTAAATATTAAATACAAAAATATATATTTAAATATATAATTATCATTTTAATAAGTTTGCTAAATTGCTCTATATTTCTGAAGGCATGGCTTAGGCAAATGCGGTAACGAATATGGCCCATTAACTTCTATTCCAGATTGGAGCTACGCCGGTAAAGAAAAATATATTAAATTCAATTATTTCTAGAAACAGTAATCATAGAAAAAATCTAAATTACAGATGGAAGAGCAGCGCCTTTATCCTACAGTAAAACTCGACGTTTAAAAGATAAAGAAGAATTAGCTGTAAGTTGATAATAGAACAAAAAAGCAATTTATTATGTTTTCTTTCAATTAATGAATTAAATATTAACTAAATGATGTGTTTTTTTTTAGAAAAGTATCAAAAAACAAATAACACAAATGGATTTGGCTAAAGAATATCATAAACAAGAAATAATGGATTTAAGTAAAAAAAGGTTTAAAAAAATTGAAAATAAACTAAAAAAATGAATAGAAAAGAATATTTTAAATAGTTTGTATAGATTATAGACAGATGGTTTCAAGAAATTATTTCAAGATTGATAAATTTTGTTCATTCATTTACTTAAGAAGAAAAAAATAAAATGGTTTAAGAAAATCATAATATTTTTATCATATTCCGCTTTAAAACATTAGATTTGTCTGATATTTTCAGTTTATACCATCTTCTACAGATTAAAGACAATATATTTATTAGATTATCATCAGGACTTGTCTAAAAATCAGAATCAAGTTAATATCAACTTAAGTGAATCCAAGCTTGCAGACAAGCACACTATGCACTATTTGCACGAATAACAATGCTTGAGGACTTTATTAAACTGATGTTTAAATTATGGGTAGGGAAAGGGAAACCTGTCATATTATTAGAATAGAAGTAACTGATATTTAGTGAAAGAATGGTGAAATTAAAGTATTTCTTTGGCATTTTCTTTGTCTTAAAATCGGTAAAATTCAAACATTATAGTTTGGCATAGATAGGAGTATGTAATCTGAATTTACTATACAAAAAAGCTCAAATTTTATTCGATTGCGTGCTTAATATATAAAATTTACAATTTATACACGTTTCAGGGTATTTGTGATATTTTTAAATTTCGCGCGCCAACCGGAAGTTCCTCGAAAAATTTTATATAACATCATACGTAAGATTTTTAATTTTATATTCAAGCATCTATTTAATTTTTAAAATATTCTTGCAAGATGTTTAAAATGTATGTTTACAAAAAGATGCTATTCTCCGCGGTGATTGTTCGTAGGTGTGACGTCACTGCTGGTCACGAGACCATTGATTGTCATCTGTTTTCGTGTTTTTAGTGAATATAATTTCCTCTAAGGCAAGCGAAACATTATTTTGGTGAAATTATCGGAAGTTTACAATATAAACTAACTACTCATAAATTATTTTCACGTAAGTGTAAAATAAATGAATATATTCTATTGCGTAGGTCAACTCCCCTTGTTTTCAACAAAGACTTAATATAACCCAACAGATTTAACTGATTTCTAGAGATGGCATCACGAAAAAAGGTTCTCCTAAAAGTTATAATTCTCGGCGATAGCGGGTTAGCATAATTTTTTTTAATTAATTTCACCCAATTAAGAATCATTTTAGCGAATAGAAGAAATTACGATTCTATTTTTTAATTATACATATTCAATTTGAACCTTGAATTGAACAGTGTTATATATATAAATAGGTTAAAAATATAGAATCTCTACTTAAATCTACCCCTCCTTTTTAAGCCTTTACTCTCAACAAAAAAAATTGCAAGTCATCAGTACAGCTCGGCCAAATCTTATGATATTTCATTTTTAATCCAAAACAGAGTTGGTAAAACGTCGCTTATGAACCAATATGTGAACAAACGATTCACTAATCAATATAAAGCAACAATTGGAGCGGATTTTCTTACTAAAGAAGTCATGGTTGATGATCGTTTAGTAACGATGCAAATTTGGGATACAGCAGGCCAAGAACGTTTTCAATCTTTAGGGGTTGCTTTCTACAGAGGTGCAGATTGCTGTGTTTTGGTTTATGACGTGACTCAAACGAACACTTTCAAAGCGTTGGACGAATGGAGGGACGAATTTTTGATCCAGGCCTCACCTAGAGATTCCGAAAATTTCCCATTCGTTGTCATCGGGAACAAGATCGATTTGGATAATCGGTCAGTTAGTACTAAAAGAGCTCAGAATTGGTGTCATTCAAAGGGAGATGTTCCATATTTTGAAACAAGTGCAAAGGAAGCATTAAATGTTGAACAAGCTTTTCAGGTAATGAATCATCCCATTTGAAACTAGGTTGTAATAATTTCCAATGTCAGTCAAAGATATCATATGGTCTTTGTAAACTATTTCATAAGATAGTGTCATTTTTCCTTTGCAAGCTGTCCATACTTAACTATTTTTTTAACTCCACAGGCCGTTGCGAAGAATGCTTTGGCCCAAGAAAATGAAATGGACGTCATGAACGAATTCCCTGCTCCTATTACCCTAAATCCTACGAACCAGCCAAGCAAAGATAATTCCTGTTCATGTTGACGCAGTTTTCCTGGGGCTTGTCTATATGTAACAGATTATTAGAAAATGACGTTGTTCATTTTTGTCCTATAATTTTATTACAACGTTCGTCTAAATTAACTATATTTTGTGTAGAAAATTCAAATTATTAAATAATCGTTACCATTCTCTATGATACATTCTACATAAATTTGTACTGCATATTTAAAAGAAAAAAAAAGACAAACAAAAGAAGTGTGGCGAAATGAAATATCCCGTATTCACATTTATCTGTAAAAGTACGCTTTTTTTATATCTCTTTGGTCTCACCAATTTTATTAATTCATTTGTGAAAAAAAATTAATATTTAAGGTATAGTCCGATTACAATATTACAGTTTTTCCACAAAAACGCTAAAAAACTACAAAACTTCGAATTAGCTAATGTCGCTCCATTCCACTTCCTTCTCAGTTTGCTCCTTAGACTTGATCGAGAGGAACTGGAAGTTTTGTTACTACGTAGGGTTTTGGAGCTGGGAGAACTCTGCATGCCTTTATCGTTACGTTGAGATTTGGACGATCGTGACCATCGGTTCGTACATTTTGTATAAGGTCAACTATTCTCATGCCTGCTAATACCTTACCAAATACAACGTGATGACCATCCAACCAGGGAGTGACAACAGTCTGAATAACAAACTGTGCGCCATTAGTATTTGGTCCAGCATTTGCCATAGAAACGAATCCTGCTCCGTAGTGTTTTACAAGGCTCATATCCTCATCTCTAAAGTTGACGAATTGGCCATTGACAACGAAAATAGAGTGTCCACCTCTACCGTTGGCGTATTCGTAATCACCTCCTTGAATCATAAAATCTTTAATACATCTATGGAAAATGGCTTTTCTATAGCCATACCCATATGTGTGATTACACAAGTGTATATGATTCCTGGTTGTTATAGGGTATGTATTACCGAACAATCCCAAACGAATCGTGCCTATATCCATACCTCCGATGGCGATGTCAATTTCTGTTTCATTGGTAACAGTAAGAGGATCTTCATTCTTATGTGGAACTACCTTCTCAACCGTTTTATCGTGTTTTAACGTCAGTTTTGGTTTCAAGAATACATCATCTTTGAGCTTTGATAAAAATGAAATGTATATTAGTAAAAACTAAACGTGTCAGACACAGTATGGTACGCCCGTGCATTCAGTATAAATATATAAGATATATATAGGTCTACAAGCACGATCTGATTATACAATATCTATAGAGAAGAAAAGTCTCGAAACTTTGTTATAATTCTCTGTTCCTTAGTTTAAATTAGCTTAAAACACAGTATTATTTATACCTTATTACTTAAGGCTAAGCCTAATAGAAGGAATCCAACCAAAAACTTCATATTTCAAGTTAGCGTGAAGAACGAGAGAAGTCTGTTTTTCACCCGGGCTATGTAAGGATTTGTGCCAAAGTCCTGCTATATATAGAAAGTATTGTGCAGGGTGTGTATAGCCTAGTGTTTGATATTGAAACTACTTTCATAGTGCCTTCACCATATTTTCCCTTGAAGAATAGAAAAAAGGTACAGAAGGATTATTCGCACGACCAGTGAATGTATAATTTTTACCCTGGTTATTTAATTAGCAATTAGGAAATTTTTGAAAATTATTTTTAATAATTAAACTCAGCTATGATAATCTGACAAAAATTAAATATTTGAAAATTTTATTGATAGCTAGGAGTTGCGAAAATATTTAGAGTAAAGGGCGATAATAAGTATGGGAGTATTTAAGTGAGAGAGATTTATTGAACTGCATCGTATGTTATTATTCGTCAATTGCCCGTTAGAAGGCGCTGCAATCGCATGACGTCACGCTCAGTGTCGCCATTACTACTATTAAATAATTCTCACAGATTTTCACCTTGAAAACGACATTTTGTACACCTTTTCACTTAGCCTAATCGAACCATCAGGCGTTCTTTTACAACCTAAGATGACAATTCTCCCGAAAAAGAAAGTGGGGAAGGAGAAAAGCGACGGTGAAGGCGAAGGCCAACGTTCGACGTCACCGAATCGTTGGACAAATACAGCTTCTACGTCCAGAGAGGAGCACGAACAGAGTTCAACCACTGAAGTTCACAGAGAACCTCACAAACGGAGGCACAGGTCGTCACCCCACCGACTCAGGAAATTACGACATGATCGTTCAGCTACAAGCCCTCAAACAAATTCATCGAGTGAACATGAGGAAGACGAGCAAAGCTTTGTAAGCGTTGAACAGGCTGAGCAATGGTTTGGAAACGCTTTAAAAGAAAAACACGGTTTTATTATCAAGGAAATGGGTCAGGATGGCGCCTGTTTATTCCGGGCTGTTGGTATGTGTATATCAAGCTTCTATTTAATGTTTTATCTGTTTACAACTTATTAATATTTTGACTTTCAGCTGATCAAATTTTTGGCGATCAGGAAATGCACGAAATCATACGGAAAAGTTGCATGGACTATATGGTTCGTCATGTCATGATTAATCATCTTGTTATTAACCTATTTTTTTTTTATTATCTAAACAGGCAAAAAATGCAGATTTTTTCTGTCAATACGTCGTTGGTGAATTTAAAGAATATCTCATCCGAAAAACTGATCCCAGTTGTCACGGAGATAATGTGGAAATTCAAGCGATGGCCGAACTCTACAATAGACCGATAGAAGTATATAGATACTCAACCGATCCTATTAATACCTTTCAGGCGGCCTATAAAACGGACAACGAACCGATTAGGATATCCTATCACCGAGATTGTCATTATAATTCCATTGTTCATCCATATAGAGCTAGTATTGGCGTCGGGCTGGGTTTACCTGACTTCGAACCAGGCATGGCCGATAAGAAGTTATTAAAAGATGCTCTTGAGAAGAGTGAACGAGTACAATTGGAAGACGCCATGCTGGCGGACAAGACAAAGGAAACCGATTGGGAAATGACGCAGGGAATGCTAGAAGAACACGTTGCCAGGGAATCTTATCTTCAATGGGTTAGAGAACAGCACGCTGCACCTCGACCCGAGCCAACAGCGACTGCAACTGCACCAGCAGAATCATCTCCCCAGGCTGGATGCTCTTCGGCAGCTACTCCGCCCCCTACCGATCGTGTGAAGACACCTGAACCTGAAGGAGCCGTTGGCGGTGTCCCAGATCTACCTCCCCAATTATACGGTAAGGCAGCAATTCCTTCAACAGTTTTCGATCTCTATCAACGTTCTTCGTCTGTAGGTATAGCACCCTACGAAGATGAAGACGACGTTCTCGCCCGTGTAATGGCTGCATCGGAACAGGAATACTTCGATAGCCTCCGTATACAAAACGATACACCGAAAGGTGAAAGTTAATGTACGGAGAAAATATATAAAAAGAACTGCTATTTGATATGAGACGAAGCCGTGTAATTTATTTTTATTTTCGTGCCATCTTCGTGGTGAGTAGAGAGGCGTTCTTTTTCGTTTTCTAATTGTTAACGTATCTCATTCAAAAATTTCGTCGAGAAATTTAAAATTGAAAAAATTCCAAATTTGGTTTGATTCGAGATTAAAAAATCGAAAAAATTAACTTTTCTGGCGTGATCAGAAGGATATGCAAAATTTGTCAAAAGTATAAAAAGTAGGCTTAATTATCTTTACTTTTTGTGAAGTCAAATTAATTCTAATACAAAACGTCATTGAATTAATGTTTATATATAAATTACGTATACATTTATATATTCGTTTTTTTTTCTCTATCTTCTCTCTATAGTTTCCATTCTAGATCGATGTAAAGACAGTATCAAACAATTCTTGAGTAGTATAAACAAAGGTGTTTTTTGTTGAATTTCTTTATTTTTTTCTTATATATTTTTAGTAGTTTCGAAATATGCTGTTTTTTTTTAATCTAACGAAAATTCAATTATTTTTACGATCTAATAAATCTGTTGAATATTGACTACGACAAAAATTGGAAAACGTGAGTCAATGCAATTATCTTCTTTGTTTCATTCTCTGTCTATTCCACCCTCCCCCCTCTTTTTTTTCTTTTCCTCTCTCTCTTTCTCTCTCTCTCTCTCTTGATGTAGTTTTTAACAAGAATAAATTATCCGAGTGCAGCTGACTCTGCAGAAGATACTTTCATTGCAGATTATTTGACAAACTGAGAAATAGTCAGTAAAATAATTTTATTCCATAATGTTATAGATATGAAAAAAAGGTATTACTTTAAATTGTTTATTACTTTGTAATTGTTCTTTTACGGGATGACATTGATGTGAAATTTACTTAGTATTAAATAACAATAACATTTTTGTTCTTGCATCCTAAATTGTGCTACTTACATTGAAAAAAAAGTATCTAATGGAAAAATATATTTACCTGTCAAAACTTTCATGTCTAGATGTATTTATTTATTTAAAAGCCTTTTTTTTTTAAAAAAAAAACAAAAATTGAACTATAGATTTCGATTTTCTGCCCTTGTATTTCTTTAATATCTATAATTTATGTATTGAGTATTTTGTGTGTAAGTTAAAATAAGTTATTATTACAAACAAAGGGGTTATAAACATTTGAAAAAAATTGTTTGTCTCTCTATCTCTTTCTTCCATTTTATGGATAATTTTTCAAAGGGTAAATATAATTGGAATGCTGTCTAGAAAGTTATTAAACTTGGTTATTCTTCGGGATACGGAAACTAATGATTATTAGCATGAGGTACGAAATAAGAAATCTCATTAATATAGAGAGTTTTTGATATTCAAAAACGTTCATATGTAGGTATATAATTTATATTTAGATAGTAATTTTGAATAGGTATATCACAGTTGCAACTGGTTATCACCGGTCGATGATAAAACTAATTAATATCGGGGAATTTTTGATTTACTAACTCTCTCTCGCTCTCTGTCTTCTTTTATGCATCTTCTCACCTAATTATTCATAATGGGATTGAGATATAATTTATGATAATCGGACTCAGAAATTGTCTTCATTTCGGCATAATGGAGAATGTGCTTGTCTAAATCTTCATCAAAGGAGACTGAAGTAACGAAAAGTAATACTTCTTCGTCCGTGTTAGATTGAGCAGCGACGAATGAAGAAGCAAATCTGTTAGGCGGGTGGCGAATTTTTCTTAAAACATTGTATTCTAGAAGGACTTGCTCGTTGCTAGAGTACTTTGAAAGGGCCAAAAGTTTAGTATTAGAAAATTTGCGTAGGTCATCTTTGTTATTCTCATTACTAATGTAGATGGCGTTAATGTTGCCTGAATTTTTAAGCGCTTTGTCCATGACATCCTGTAATCTTGTTGAGTCCATTCTGGAAGTAGATATTGTAATTGCCCGACCCTCGAGCGTCCATTTGCTTAGGAGCATCTTCCAAACATTATTTATTATCGTTAGGCTGTCGTAGTTACCTCCACCACCGTTTATTTTATCCAAAGATGCCTCGTCGAGTTCGCGTGTGAGAATATCTATAGTGTTACTCACATCATGCGTAAAATGTTCCATTCGTCGATGCGTTTCATTCTGTTCCAGATGCTCTAATCGATGGCGGAAGTGGTCGTCCAATATGTATGACTCAATTGAATTACTGTCCCTAAAAGTCGTTGTTTCCACGTCTTTCTTATAATGACAATCTTCATAACGGCATGGAGGAGGCGGCTTAAAAATATCGTAATTAGGATCGTAATGAAGTAGCACATTCTGAAAATCCTCTGTAAACCATTTATAAACTTGATGACCTGTGAAAATGATGTCTCCGGAAACCATATAAACGGAAGCCGTAAAAAGGTTGGTTTCCAATATCAACCTGTGCAATTCATTCTGTTTATCCCTAATTTGTCGGTATTTAAATCTAACAACTGGAAAATTGCGTGGATGCTGCAGAACATTAGCCCAGAACACTGCTAGCAATATACAGCCCCTATTTTGATCGACATGTTCATGTTTGATAGCAATACTATCCGTTTTAGGCCAAATCGATACTCTCTCGGTTGTCTTATCAAAAACGAACGCTCGAATAAAATCGTACAGTTTATTAGCAGATCTATGATTTAAATAAACTAATTAGTCAATTTCTAATTAATTCCTTTCACTTTAATAATCTATTCGCCATCGAAACTTACCCCATGTCTATGTTGATACAGCAACCTTCATGTGCTATGGCAACACGGTGACAGTAGTCCTACCACTAATACTGCAACTATTTACATTGTATCTAATAGCAACCGTAAACGATAAAGGAAAATTTGTATTTTTAACGAACCATCTGAATGTTTGTTTGTTTGTTTGTTTGTTAAATTTCGTTTTGTAATCAAAGAGAGAAAAATAAGATAAACAAATATACGACGTCAAAAAAATTTTGTTAGCCTTTGTTAATTTTTTTCCCCCGCAAACAAATTTAAAGTGTTTTTTTCTTTGTTTTTTGTTTTCTTCTTGCTTATTTCTTTTTTTTTTTAAGACTAAATTTTTAGTAGAAAATACAAATAAAAACAAACAATCGTACAGCAGTCATTTTAACGGTTTGTCAACACTCGACACACTGGACGACCTTAATGCTAATCGCTGCATCCTCCTAGTAGCGCAGATGGCCGCGTAGACTCTCTGATGAAAAGTTCAATAGTAGTAATTAGTATACAGTTAATAACGTGTTTAATATCAACAACAAATGTACAGTATTTAAATAATCCTTTAATCCTAGATCCTATCACATTAGAAAAAAAGAGAGGTAGTTTACCTTCCATTTAGATTTGAAATTCTTTTTCAGCTGCTCACTTACGGTAGCGTGAATATCTTTTTCCGGTGCCGCATTGCCGGATATCCTAGGTAAAAGACATGTCAATTTTGGTATATTTATGTATATGCGACTTCAGTATATTTACCAAGGGTGTGCCAAAGCCTCCTGACAAGTATATCTTTGTTTCGGTTCTTTGCACATTAAATGTTTTATGAAATCTTTTGCTGTAGAATGTAAACACAGTTTAAGAGAGACAGAGGAGAGAGAGAGAAAAGAAACTCTGAGCGTTAACTTTACAACTAGTATTTATTTTTTCATCAGACCGCCTCGTCTTCCTCTTTATTTCTCTCTTTCTCCCCACTCCTTCTCCCAACCCTTTTTCTCTAATAATCTCTCGCTCACTGTTTTCCTTTCATTTAGATAAAACGCTCAGTTTTATAAAATGGCATGAAAGAATAGAGAAGTGATAGGAGTAAGAAAGAAGAATCAATTTATTTTGTTGCCTGGCTTTCTCTTTTGAAGATAACGAGGAAAAAGAATCTTACCAGAATCGGATATCTGGTCCCAATAGGGAGAATCAAACTCGTATTCGGCTTTTAAAATCTGCCTAAATAGCTCAGCATCATTTTCATCATAAAATGGCGGGTAACCGCATAATCTGTATATAAAAGGAAAAGAAAAAAATGAGTGGAAAAATTAATAAGCTAGGCGGGAAAAAATTATGATAAAAAAAAAGAATATCATTCAACCTCTGACGCCACCTAACGGAAAATTACCCTGTCAATTCGGGCGGGTAACAGGTAAATTGGCGTCGAATAGAAAGACAATATAACTAAAAGCCGACAAAATTGTTCTAGACTTGTCGCTTGTTAAGCGTAACAAAAAAAGGAAAAAGCAATTTTTTGCCGTTGGCCTATGCAATTCTATATACACTTACAAAATATAGGAAATTACACCGATACTCCACACATCCACCTCTTTCCCATACGGTCTTTGCGCAAGTACCTCTGGCGCTAAATTGGTTGTTTGAAAAGAAAAGGGAATGTCATTAAAAGGAAAAGGTCAAGGTTGTTTATTGATGCTTTAACGAACCTACGTAGCCGGGAGTACCGCAAGCTGTGGCCATATTACCAGATTCTTCGGATTTGGATAATCCGAAATCGCTAATCATAATCTTTGAATTTTCAGCTTTACTCTCGTATAGTAGATTTTCTGGCTTTAAATCCCTATGAACTATTCCCATAGAATGCATAAAATCAACTGCCTCCAACACCTGCCGAATGAGGTTGCTGGCGTCTTTTTCTGTGTAGGAGCCCTTTTCAACTATTCTATCAAACAGCTCTCCACCAGTGACGCTGCGTAAAAAAAATATAGCGTGACGCTTTTTATGAAAATCTAGGGATAAAATTGACACTCAACAGTTCCATGACTAAATAAACACGTTTAGCGTCTTCGTAGACGTCGAAAAGTTGTACAATATTTGGATGTTTCAGTCTACGAAGAACCTGAATTTCATTCTCTAAGGATTCTTCTTTTCCCCTAATTCCCTTCTTATCAATAACTTTAACGGCAGCCTGTTTTCCATTAGGATTTTCAGTTTTCTCTTCGACAAGATGAACTTCGGAGAAAGCACCGCTGGAAGTAGAGATTTATATCATTATATAGGCCTGTATCTAATTGAAATTAATCACGTAACGAACAGACAGAGAGAAAAGTTGATGATCCACGCGGGGGAGGGTCCGATAATAAATATATCTTATAAGTCAGTTTATTACCGAACTGACAGAGATTTTTATGATTATTTTTATCGGTTATCAGAAAAAACTATATTCCAAAAAAGACTGTGATTTGCATTTTTATTTATCAAATGTTTATCATGTCTATCTTTGATTACAGCAATGAAGAGTTTTAAATCATGCAATATATCTTCAACTTTTGATTTTATCTAATTCCGGGTAGAATCTACTCTTGTAGTCTAAACGCGAAACAAGCCTGCTCGTTAGGCTAATAAACACCGCGATTACCGCTAATTCAACCGAGCGTTGAATTTCGGACAGTTGAAAATTCTTACGTGCCAAGCAGCTCTTTGAAGTTATAGTCTTTACGAATGTCCCGACGATCCGTTTCTTTCAATATCGAGTTGTCCGACATAACGTCCCAGGCGTTTCTCTCCGCTATTCGACGTCAGCGTCTCTCGAATGACGTCAGGTAAAAATGGCGGAATTAATGCAGATGCGTAATCGACGCACAACAACCAGACTACAGATGACGTTAGCGTCTCTTTTTTTCAAAAAGCATTGTTTTCTAAAAGTTAGTCAGTGAAAACAATTTCCGGCGTCCTTTTATTCTTTTAAACTATTTTAAAGAACAAATCTATTCGAAACATCTGTCATCATAATTCAAACTTTGTGGTTCTGTGGTCGTTGACCTATTTAAAAACTCAGATATTGAATGGTCGTTAACATCACGTTTCAGTTACTGGACACTAATATTTTGAATTCCCCATACTCACAACTGCCCGAATGATGACAAACACTTGTGGTAGTTTTTCCACCGTATTCTATTATTAATGTTTTTGTTTTTCCTCAATTTTTTCTCCCCCACCATCGCCTATCAAGTCTCGTTATCCTCGTTATCAGCTTATATTTGTTTTTAGCGTACATATTTTTGGTATTTAATACATATTTATATTATTTCAAGACAGATTAATACCGATATTAATCTATTTGTTGCTGATTTAAAAGATATTGGGTCTTACAATCCCATTTCCTCACCCGAACAAAGGAGGGCTTCCTCTAGTTTCTTTTCTCTATACAATTATTATTATTTAGATTACTATTAATCTATTCAAATTTTTAATCTTGAATATGCTTGAGGTATTCAACCAGAAAAATCGTTATCAATTAAGTCCACTCTGGAGGTCCGACATTCTTGCGGTTTCAGGTGTTTCTCGTTGATTCTGCTAAAATCTACAAGTCTCTTGCTCTCAGTTTTTTCTCTGTCTCTCTAACTTCCTTGCACTTCTCTTCCGCTTTTTTATTTACTTGGTTAATCAATGATTCTTATCAACCGGAATTTGTATATACTTTGTTATTTCTGTATTTAGAAATAATATACTCTTAATTACCTTTTCTGTATACAAAAGCTATTGGTACTAGTTGGCGAACAAGCGGAATTGCGTTAGGCCTTACAATTTTTATTGCTGAGATATCTTTAGTGTTTCCTTATTTCTAAATTAACTATGTAATATTGATGACAAGTCCTTCGAAACGGTCACAGGATGGTATCATGGTACAAAAAAAATGAAACAAGAGACCTTGTCCTATATACTTTTAGTTAGAAAAAAAAAGTAAGGACAACTGTGCCAACCGGTTTTTTTTAGGCCAATTAATGCAATTTTGAATGTTAAAGCTCTTCCCAAAAGAAGAGTGGGAGGGTATTTGGTTATGGAGAAAAGAGAGGGCGAGGTTTTACATATATTAGCCAATATAATAGTATCTTCTATATATATATATATATATATTATTATATATATATATATATACTGTAGATATATATATATATATATCAATATATACTAATATATCCCAAATCCTGAATAAAATGTATATAGACACTTCCTTTTACGCTTTATAATTTTCTGACAATATTAGATTACAAGAGTGAGCTTTTGGGCCAATAAACTTTTCTCAAGTTGAATGACACTTGTACTTTGGATTTAGATTAAAAAAATTGTTTCTTTATTTAAAATTGAATTTCTTTAAATAGGGAAACTACAATAAAAAAAACATTCTTTTTTTATTTTGTAAAAAGAGCTTATTGTGCAATGCTTAATTCTTTTTAGATAACGTCAAATGTCAGACATTGTAGGCTTTTTTTATAATGTGCTACAAGGCAGTGATATCTATATATAGGTAAAAGTAGAAAAAAGTGAAGTGGAATTATTGCATAATTCAACTGTTAATCGTTAATTCGTGAAATCATATGCTAATGCAACTATTTCCTAAAATGGACATTCTATTTTACTTTAGCGATTAAGAAAACAAGTTAAATAATGGCTTATTTACCTAATAAATGCTTAGTAAACTATCTTTGAGGGGGGGAAGCTTACAAGGGGGGCTTGCTTCGTGACATATATAGATCCATACGTCAGCAGTGAATTCCGGTCGACTAGCCAATCAAAGACTTTCAACTGAATAATATAGTATATATATAGGATTGTCATAGTACTACGTTTCATTCATAACCAACGCTTCGTTGAAGTAGCACATCGAAAGGTTTTTTTGTGAAAGATAAGCTTTTGTAAGAGCTTGAATAGAAAACCATGGAATTCAATAGAACGACATCGATTGTTCTGTCTGGTACAATTATAACAATCGCTTCAGCCTACTATATCAAAAAGAAACTTTTACGAAATAGGTAAGAAATCCTCAAATAGAATTTATACGTGTCTTATTTCTTAAGAAAGAATAATTGAAATAGAACACCAACATTATGTAAGATCGTGTGACGCCTTTTGATAAGTCATCGATAAAGTATTTGGCTTATATAAAAGATACAATATTCAGAGCATTATCATAATGACTCATACAGAAAAAGTTTGATGATTTATCTTCTTCCACGATCTTTTCTTAGATTTTTGTTGATTTGTTTGTCACGATATTTTGTTACTATTTTTTAGACGGAAGAAAGAACCACCAATAGTTGCTGGACATCTTATTTATGGTTCTGCTAAAGATTTTAATGAAAATGCTGTTGAATTTTTGCACAAGAGCGAGGTAGAACATGGAAAAGTCTTTACAATTCGACTAGTTAATCAATACTTAACAATAATCACGGATCCAAGATGTTACGAGTTGGTACATAGGGAAAAGAATTTCGACTTTGATCCAATTCAGGAACAAGTAAATAGAAATGTTTTCAACTTTAACGTTATACACGCTGGTCAAGTTATTAAGGATATGTCGCGAGCGACAAAGGGACAATGGCTAATTAAAGACGTTTCAAACTTTTCGGACAAACTAAATCTTGCTCTAAATAGATTTGAGCAAGAGAACGTTGGCTTAAGACAATTTTGCGCCGAAACGATATTCGACGCAATCTTTAATACAGTTTTCGGACAATCAGATAGGAATGCTCCTTTTAATCCGTTGAGAACTTATAAGAATTTCGAATATTACCACAAATATTTCAATTACATGTGGCTGGGTCTACCGAAAAAGTTTATGCCAGGAATTATGGACACTCTTTGCGATATGTGCCAACAGCCTTCCGCCGAAGAGCTCCTTTCGAGGGAAGACTGCTCAGAGTACATCAAAAGAGGCATTCGTCACCTACTCGAAAATGGTCAGACCGAAGCCGATGTAATTGGTCATAATTTAGTTATGCTTCACGTAAACTACAATACATTTCGTATGGCTTTTTGGGTATTGTATTATTTGCTTCGAGATGCCGAAGCTTGGAAGCACCTTTCGGAAGAAATAGAAGAGTTATCTGATAAAACTTCACTTTCAACTGGAGACGTTGATCGTTTAAGAGTGCTTGGTAAGTTTTATCCTAAAGTTTTCACTTTTTTAAACTGTGTCCCTTAACTTCCTACGTCGTAAATTTCCCTGTTTTTTTTAAGCATAGAAATTTACGACCGTTTAAGTGGATGCATAAAAAGATGAAAGGAATTTAGAATATTTCCTTTTTTTTAAAAAAAAAAACATTCACATTTATAAAAATATTTTATTTTCTCTTTAAAACAGACTCAATCGTTCAGGAAAGTGCGAGATTAAGCAGCGGAGTTTTTATGGTTAGATACGTTACAGAAGATACCATGTTCAAAACACCAGACAACAAAGAGTTCTTAATAAGAAAAGGAGATAGAGTAGCTATGTACCCTCCTGCCATTCATAAGGATCCCAATATTTTCGCTGATCCTTTGGTAAATATATTTTATTGAGATTTTTCATTAAAAAAAAAATTAATTAAAATATTTTTAATAAAAAAATTCTCTTTCTTCTTTATTTGAACAGAAATTTCAATTCGACCGATTTATAAGTAAGGTATTTTATAAAGATGGAGAAATAGTCAAAAATCCCGTTATGCCTTTTGGTACTATTTGCCCTGGGAAGAGGCTGGCCCTTCTTCAATTGAAATTGTTCATTATCAATGTAGTCTCAAATTTCGATGTTAAATTAAATGATGGAGAAACAACCGAATTAGATAATACGTATCATGGACACGAAGTTCTACCGCCCACCAACGACGTACAAATGACAATCAAAAGGAAACGGGAAAATCTCTCCTCACTTGGGTGCTTTTCTTAAATGAGATTCGCATTGAAATTATTTATGTCACTTATTAAAAAGCCGGATTTGTTCAAAACCAAGCAAAAAAAAAAAACGGAAGAGAAGAATATTTGTCAACTTTCTATTTATTTTACTTTTTGTTTCTTTTATATTCTTTTTTGTTTCTCTCTCTTTTTTCTTTTTTTTGCTGTCTGATCATCAGGCCAAAAATTTTGCCATAGTAATTAACATACTATGAATATTAATTTATTATTTGCATAATAATATTCCAGTAAAATGTTTAATAAGTAAAAAAGAAAAAAAATGAAAAAAAAATGACGATCTGCCAACAATTTATGAATTTTTGTTTTTTTTTTGTATTTTATCACAGAAAATGCTCTTAACTGTCTCGTTATATATTGTATTTTTACTTGTCATATCATCAACTATCGCAAAAAATCTGCTATAGACAAAACATATATGTTTTTGAATGGATGATTTGTAAAGGAGAAAGAAATAAGGCGTTCTTGAAAGAAAAATATGTTTTATGCTATTTTGAACATAACAACCGTCTTTCTGATGAACAATATTTTATCTATATACTAATGAGAACTAATGTAATTTTGTTTTGTCACTATTTATTCGTTCCTATCTTCCTTTTCTATAAGAAAGGAAGAAGAATTCAAGTAACTAGTCTTTTACATATATATGGAAATTCTACTTTGCCATAAACGGTCAAAACTTATATATATATATATATTTATTTCAATATATACTTAATCTTACCTATATATAAAGTAGATGAGAGAAATTTCAAATATGAGAATAATCTGAAGAGAAAAAATACCCATGTTTTATGAATACACTTTAAAAAAAAATCGTATTATCAGAAGATATTCGCGTAAAAAAAAACTGGTTATCTTTAGGATGAATGAAGCTGAAATATATCGTAATAAAATATCTCGTTAAATCTTGGAATTATTTACGCAAACGAAAGTAAAAAACCAAAAATAAAAAAATCTACTTTTATATCTTTGAATATAAAGTTTTTATTATTATTAAAATTAATAAAAAAGAGAGAAAATTAGTCTATAAATATGTTCCGCTTCCTAAAAGAACTATATCTTTAGTAAATTCTTATCAAACTTTCTCTTAATTTTGATTAAATAGGTTAAGGACGCTTAAAAAACTATCTTTCTTGATATATGTAAAATGTTACTATTCTAGTTAAATATATATTTATTTAACTTTTCATTTGCATGTAAAAGAAATGCATATATTTATATATATTTTTAACTTTTTATACGTCAATAACATGTGTTTTATTCTTTTGATCTCTCTCTTTCTCTCTCTCGCTCTCTCTTATTTTTTTTAAAGCGTGGGTGGTAGTTAACACTTTGTCGTTGTTGAAAACTTTATGCAGTTGACGTGTTCGACTGGATCGAAGGTCTATTTTATTTCTCAAGGTTATTTAAAGTATTCAGCTTGTCTGGAAGTCTAGATTATACGTATAAAAGAGAGAGAGAGAGAGAGAGAGAGAGAGAAAGAGAGAACTAGAACTACCTTTTGGAAATTATGACTAATTCACATATGGGCGTATATATTTATATATATGTATCAAACATATCTATTGGCAACCCTGGGATTGACTTACTTTCGTACCCTATACATTAATTGTTACAAATTTATAGGGTAAAAATATCGTGATTAAAAGTCCTACATAACAACCTCGAGGCCTAAATGTGCGTGAGGGGAGTGGTCAATGACAATTCTTTTATTTTTTTTATTTTTTTTTGTTTAAATACGCCAACGAATAATTTAACAAAGTAAAATAGATCGACGACCTCTCTTCACCTTAATTGCAGGAAAAAAGCTGTTAAAGTTAGGCCTGTTCAAACGTGCATTCTAACGCTAACCGGAGTATTTTGTTTCATCTAGAGGAGTCACTTCCCTAAGGGAAATATTTTCTTTTTTATAAAAAAATACCACAATTCGTGCTCAAATACCGCAAATATCAGAAAAACTTGGGCAATTTCCGGTAATTTTTCTAGATCAAAGCATACCGATTGTTTTTCGATTGTTTTTCTTATCAGTTTAAGAAATAACATTTTTCAACCTGAAGAGGGTGCTCAACTCATTTTTAAGCCACCAGGTGGCGACAACTAGTGAAGAAATAACTGGAGAAAAAAATTCTTTTTCCCACTTTTTTTTTCAAAAATGTTCTAATCCGAAAGATGGCGCCTCGTTACATAAGAACCAATTAATATTACTGTTTTTTCTTTCTCCTAATTGACAGTGTATAAATAGATGAAATATGAGAGAGTTGGAGACAAAGAAAGCGAAAAGGAAAAAAAGGAAAGAAATCGGATAATGGTTAAAAGAAAATATCACACTTTTAATTGTAGATAATTAAGAGAATGTAAATAGGAAAAGAAGACAAAATTACCCGACAAATGCAAAGATGTACTTACTCCTTTAATAAAGAATAAATAATATAGTACGTGCTTATCTAATAATAAATTTTATAACTATATAAGAAGCTGAAATAAGTAGGTATTTACTAAAGGCCTTTATTTCTCTGTCCCCTCTAATAGTTGTAAATAAATCCCTATTATTGAATGTTACGATTTAGCAAGCCTATTAATCTCTTAAGCAAAAGAGAAAAAAAGTAGAAAATAGCACAGAATTGAATAAGATATATGGAAAATAACAGTAAAAGAATTAAATCTAGTTCAAAAGTGTATTCGGAAAAAAATTGTTTCTAGTCAAACGATCACAAAAAAAATAATATTAGATTAGTTTTGATTTTTTTCAACAAGATCTGATCATCACAGAACGCTTGACTACATTCCATTTTTATAAATAATACTATTACTTCTTGCTTTTGCAAACGAAAAAAATAACACTGCAAACTATATGTCCAATTTGTAGACGATGTCCCAGGAAAAAAAAATTCCACCTAAGTCCTATGTCTAAAAGAAAAAATAATGAAGGAAAAAAAAAACGTAATAAACTCGCTAACGGACGGACGGACAGAACATCACAGAGATATAAGAATACTGCTTTAATTTCTTTTCATTTTACTTGCGGTACGTTTTGCGTACAGGGGATGAAGTGCGCATTGAAACAGGAGGCGAATGTTGTGGAAATCTTAATGGAGATCTTTGACGTCTCTTTGGTGAGACTCCAATAGAAGCTCCTAACTTGTTGGCCTCGTGTTCCAGCAGAAGTGAATCGAGGGTTGGATCCCTTGATACGCTCGTCAAAGACTTGTCCAAAATGTGGCGAAGATCATCCATTTCGTCCGCTTTACGTTCCGATCTGGAAATATACTGTTGTCTCTTTCGCAATTCTTGAGCTAGTTGATCTTTTAGGGTTGCGACTTGTTCTTCGAGACCTTTTACTCTTTGTCTATGAGCCATTTCTCTAGCTTCGAGAGTTCTTTCAGATGCCAACTGGGCAGAACGGAGACGCTCGGTTTCCATTTCTGTTTCGGTTCTATGGCGTGTAGTCAAATCGATCAGACGCTGAGCATGCTGTTGTTCTGCTTCTGCAACTTGCGACTGCAAATGTTGAATTTGTTTTTGTAATTCAATATTGTCTTCTTCTAGTTTAGCAACGCTTCTATCCAAGCTACGACGTTCATTAGCAACGCTCGAGAAGAATTCATCATTCTTCAATCTCTCTCTTTCCACCTTATCCAAGGTCTTTTTCAGAGCGCTCTTATCCTTCTCAAGGCGCATGGAGGCTTTTTCTACTTCTCTCTTTTCATTCTCGGAACAAGCAAGCGTTCTTTGCAAACTGATGACTCTTTCACTTAGACCTTGTTTTTCTCCAGTCATTTTCGATAATTTCTGATTCAATTCTTGTTCAGCCTCTTGTCTTTGTACTAGAGCTGTGTGTTGTTGCCTATTTTGGCTCTCTAATTCAGCTCTTCGTAGTTCTGAATCACCCAATTCTTGTTGAATATTATGGATTCTTTCCAAAAGAGCGGCATTTTGCTTCTTCGAATCAGTTAAAGCAGCTCTGGCAGCATCTAAACGTTCTTGTAGAGCTCGTCTATCATGCTCAGAGCTTGTTAAAGCTCTCTGTAATTGAGCAGAGCGTTGCTGGAGCTCATTCAAAGCAGCTGTTGATTCGTTTAGAGATGAATTCAGTTCTTGGACCTTATCCTTAACAACAGATTCTTCTTGTTCAGTTCTGGCTAGAGCTCCACTTAGCCTATCGACAGTCAATTGTAAGCTTTGCGACTTTTGGTCACCATCAGCAACTTGTCTTTGTAAGCTCTCAACTCTTTCGTTCAAGACTTGAACCTCGGTTTCTTTGTCATTAAGAGCTAATTTCTGTCTCTGAAGATCTCCTTCAAGCCCTCTTCTGATTAATTCGGCTTTAGTTACACGACTTTCTGCGTCGTCAACGGCAATTCTAAGTTGTTTTACTTGTTCATCCAAGCGAGCCTCATTTCTGTTGGTTTTGGTACACTTATCTTCCAATTGGTTCTTTTCGCTTTCCAAAGCGCTAATTTGACGTTCAGCAGCGCTCAATTTTTCGCCAGTTGCTTTTCTTTCTCTTTCCATACGTCTTATAGTTTCTTCTTGAAGCATTAGTGCAGTCTGAGCCGATACAAGTCTACCATCAATTCCTCTCTTGTCCTCTTCAATGTCGGTAATACTCTTTTGGAGTTGTTGAAGTCTGGTCTCAGCTCTTTCGCGTTCATCTTCGACCTCTTTCAGGTGCTCAACAGCAGAGCGAAGTTGCATATTAGCATCATCCCTCTCACGTTCGGTGTTGGCTAGCGTCTGGACAAATTGTCTTAGACTAGTTCTAACTGCTTCTGGGTCGATATCGGCAACGCTGAACGAGTTCTCATCAGAGAATCTTGTAGGTGAATGGGAAGGTGAGCGACGAGGAGAACCAGTTCTTGGAATAGGGCTACCGCGTCCTTCGGTTGTGGTTGCATGAACAGGAGACATATTTCTTCTTCTCGGACTTGGGGAGCGAGTTCTACGGAATGGGCTGCCTGGTCTTGAAGGCATTTCTTGTCTGAATCCGATGGTTCTCCTCAGACTGGAGTGGATTGAAGAGAGTTTGAATTCTACATCTCTTTTTGCCCCTTCCACTCGCGCTAGCTGAGCTTCAAGAGCGTTGACTCTTCCATCTGATGCAGACATTTTCAGACGAAGCTCTGCCAATTCACCATTTGCGTTCTCTAATGATATTTCCAAATTACGTTGTTGATCCTCATGTTTTCTATCGTTTCTTCTGGCATCCTCAAGGGCCAATTCATAATCCTTTTGCTTAACCCGCCATTCATCCTCTAATTCTGCTCCCTTTCTTTGACTCTGTGAGAGTTCCTTACGAAGAGCTTCTCTACCAGCTTCAGTTTCGACCAATTTCTGCTTCAGGTTGAAGCTTTCTCTACGTAGATCTTCTTCGCGTTCTTCCATTCTGGAAATTCTGTTTTCCAATTCTTCAATGTCTTTCACCAGCTTATTTCTCTCTTGATCAGCTTGTTTCAATTGTCTGCGAAGCTCTTGTTGTTCTCTACGACCTTCTAAGCGAGCCTTCTCAACATCTCTAAGGCTGGCACGAAGTTCAGATGACTCCTTAGCAACAGACATCTTTTGTTCATCTAACATATTATTCTTTTGCTTTTGTTCATGTAGAGCGCGGCTCAATTCAGTCTTCTCACCTTCGACTGCCTTAACTTTACCCCGAAGCTCCTGGCTTGTCTTTTCAATTGATTCTTTTTCGTGTATTTCCTCTGTGAGAGAACGTTTAAGATCCAAGATATCTTTTCTGAGAAGCTCTCTTTGTTCTTCACCTTCTCTATTAGACCTGTTGGAATCTAGTAATTCCCTTCTCAGGGTATCTCGCGCCTCTTCAACCATTTTGAGATTGGCTTTAAGCTCTGCCGCTTCCTTTAGAAGATTTTCTTTCTGTTTATGGAGATCTGTAACCTGTTTGGTAAGATCCTTTATTTCTCTATCGAAAACGGATCTATCTCTTTCATTTTGTTGTCGTTGAGCGGACAAATTGTCTTGTAGGTCAACCATTTTCTCTTGATCTTGTTCTTGTCTCATAATGGCTTCTCTCTTTGTTCTTTCTAGTTCGGTGTTTAAGTTGCTTAAATCTCTTTGGACGCAAGAGAGTTTCTCAGCCAGAGCACAGCGTTCTTGTTCAGCCATTGATAAAGCCTGTTGTTTATCGTTTTCAGCTAACAAGAGACTTTCGTCACGTTCCTTTTGGACTGCAATCAATTCATTTTCCAACATTTCTTTTTCATTTTCAGTTGCATTAAGAATATCTTCTTTTTCACGATTGAATGCTCTAATTGCTTGCTCTCTTTGAGCTGCTGATTCGTTTCGATTGCTTTCTAAAAGTTTCGTTAAACGTTCAACATCCTCTTCATGAGTTTGTTGCTCATGTTTTAAAGATAATTGAAGATCCTTCTCAACTTGTTGAAGTTTATTCGATACAGCATCACGAGCTCTTTCTAGCCGTTCGATTTCAGTAGCCATCTCCTGCCTTATTCTTGCAACTTCGCCAGACAAATTATCACGTTTAAGCATCAGCTCTTGATTCTCAAGCTCCAACTGTTCGCGTCTGCTATCCAATCCTCTGTTTGCCTCTTGAACTTCATATAATGTAGTTTCCAAAGCATCCTTATCTTGTCGGAAAGCAGCAACATTTTCAGAAAGAGTTCTAACTTCTCTTTCAGAAGATGTCAATTGAACGGCTAATTCGGCTTTGTCGTGTGTCAAATCTTCTTTCTCTTTAGCCATCCTTACAATAGTTTCGCTTAATCTTTCCAACTCCTTTCTGGAGTTTATCAATTCTTCAGCGAGAGCATTCTTTTGTCTGCTGACCGTTCCAAACTGCTCGGTAAGGTCTGCTCTTTCGCGATTAATTGCTGCTATATCATCTTCCAACCTACTCTTCATTTGCTCGGTCAAATCCAAATTCTGGTTAAGACCAGCCTTTTCAGCGTCCAAATCCATCTTTTCTTGTTCAACTTTAAGTAACTCTTCTTGTAGACCGCATTTTTCTTGTTCAACAGCTTTCTTTTGACCAAGTAAGGAGTTTTTATCTGACTCCAAATGCATAATCATTTTGTTCAAGTCGATCTTATCCTGTGCTAGACCTTCATTCAAATTTTGCAGTTTCGAAAGAGCATCTTTAAGTGAAGCTTCCTCGGCTTTCACTTTGTTCAATTCTAATTCAAGATCAGCTTTCTCCAATTCAGCTCGAGAAAGTGCTTCAGCTATTTCACTCTTCTCTCCGTCAAGCACTTCTTTGTCAAGCGTAACCTTTTGTAGGAGATCCTTTGTCATCACAAGATCCTCCTTGAGTCTACTCATCTTATTTTCGGCTGCTTCAAGCAGTTTATGGCACCTTTCGTTCTCTCTAACTTGTCTGTCTTTATCTTTAGATATATCATCACGTTCTTCCTCAAGAATATCCTTTTGTCTATGCAATTCGGCAATATTCGTTTGAAGGCCGTGTAAATCTTCAGTTAGGCTCTCAATTTGTTCATTCTGGGAAGTTCTAATTCTTTCCAGCTGTTCTCTCTCAGAAGTTACGGAGTTCAAAGCCGATTTGAGTTGTTCATTGGCTCTATTTATTTCGTTCTTATCTCTCAAAATATAGTCACGCTCATCTTTGAGGCTCATGACGTTCTGTTCCAACTTCCTTCTCTCTATCTCAGAATTTTCCAAGTCTTTTCTGGACCCATCTACACGATCTTTAGCCGTAGATAATTTGGCTCTCAATTCACTAACTTGTAATTGTCGCTTGTTCAAAGCTGCCTGAACTGCATTGAAAGTTGAATCAGCAAAAGATGGCGCTCTAGATGGTGAAAGACTTCGAGTTCCCGGTGACCGTCCTCTAGCTGACCTTCCAGTACCCCTTCGTGGACTGGTGGAACGTGGTCGCATAACACTGGTCGAAAGATCTGGGTCGAAATCATCTTGCATAGATTGGTCAGCATCGTCGATTACCTTTTCGGCAATCTTTCTTAACGCGTCGTGCATAATCTCCGTATCGGTTTCTAGACCAGAAGATTGAAGGGGAGCAGAAGTTTCTCTGGTGATTGGCCCCTCGATTCTCGAACCCTCCAATTTATTGATCGTTCTCTGCAGTGTACTGATCGTCTTATCCTTTTCGGCCAATTGACTCTTCAATCGATCGTTAATCACACCTAATTCGTTCAATCTAGCATTCAAATCGGCGCTCTGCGCGTCAAAACGCGCCTGAAGGTCACTGTTTTCTCTCATCCTTTCTCGAATTTCTCTGTCGAGATTAGATTTTTCACCCCGTTCTCTATCCAATTCCAGTTGTGTTTGAGTATCGGCGTTTCTCATATTAGCCGACAAATTCAAAGCAGCCGAATGCATAGATCTAGTAGCCCTGTTCAAATCAGACCGAATATGAGACAGATCTCGATCAGTAGCGTTTTTCATGTCTGCGAATTGGCGTCTGAAAGCGACGACGGCTCTCCATAGCTGTAAGAGTCTAGAATGTTCAGCGGAGAAATACTCGTTGAAAGACTGTTCTTCATCCCTCCATTCGGCTTCTCTGGCCTCTAATTCCTCTCGGGCTCTTTGCCAGTCAGTGGTTAATTTGTGAATGTCTTGCGTGAGCGTCTGATTGGCGGCTGTTGCTTGGTCCAGCTGTTCTCTTAACATTGAATTTACGTGCGAAAGACTTGCATTCTTTTGCTGTTCCTCTTCAACTCTGATGAGAGCACTTTCAAGCTCCCCGTTTGAAATATCATAACTTGGAACTTGTCTTTGCTGCCTTTTCTCACTTTCCATAGCTCTTATGCGCTCATCAAGTTCTCCACATTTTCTCTTGTATTGCAAGACCTAAGAAATAAATTTTTATAACAATTTCTCGAAATAAAAATCATAAATTAAATTGTACATACCTTAGCTTGTAATTTTTGTACTAGTTGACCTTGTTTTTGTTGACCATCTTGATAAGCTTGTAATTTGCGTTTATAGCCACTATGATCATCTTCCAAACGTCTTCGAAGTTCGACGTTTTGTTGGAAGAGTGATTTAGAAGAAGGGTCGTCGTCGTATCCTACCGACTGCATTCCCAACATTGACTCGAGCTGCAATGAGAAATGAAAAATCGTCCCTTTACTATCGCCCTATCAGCAACGTACGTAAACATTACACCTAATCGACACGCCAATCAATCGCTAATAAAAAACAGAGATATAACCCCGCTAAAAGTGTCGGAAATCCGTTGATAGATTAACGATAATCCTGGTTGTCACCCTTACCTGACGATGTGCGTTCAGAAAAGCCGATTCCGACTGAACGTTATCGACCATTAGCAACTAGCGATCAGCCCGAACAAGTTTTGGCGGAGAGTTTAGGCCTTAGCTAAGGCTGTTCGATAAGTAATCGACTTCGATTTTATATATACGGTTCGAACTGATAGTCAAATATCGATTGGGCTTTCGACTTTTTTTTACTAAACAAAATTCTGTAAACTGCCATAGGCGACAAACTCATTTTGTTCATTAAAAATACCTGTTGATGTAGAATTCCTCGATCAATAGCCTACTAATAATTGATGAAAAGAATACTTAGGCCTTCTTGCTTCTTCGTTTCTACTTGAAAATAATTTGCGTGACAAGAGTTGTTACTGGCAATTTAAAGATATTTCTTATTAATAAAAAGTAAAAGAAAAAGAAAAAGGACAAGTGGATGGCCTAAAAGAGCGGCTGGGATTTTTTCATTTTTTATAACTTTCTTACGAATTTTTATATATGGAAATTATTGTTTAATTTTTTCCTAGCAAGTAGTTATAAAATATGACCGATGGTCGTCAAACGACTTCGTAAATCGAAGCTGTGCAAATTTGTTCGGAAAATATTGTAAGTAAATAACTTTAATGCTATTCAGAGGATTCCATTTCAAGATATACGGACAGTATTATTGAAGACGAGTAGCGCATATATGTGACTAGCTAAAAAAAATTTTTCTTAATTGAATACCGCTTATTTGAACGGAATTATTAATGAGAAAGAGGCTATTCAAACTTTCACTAGGCCTTTGTAGCATTCTTTTCTTTAGTTACGCAATCGTTTTTTTTTCTCCTAGACGGAAAGAGGAATATAATTTTCATAATGCGTTCAATCCGCTAAATAAATATAAAGAATATTCGGTTGCAACGTTTAATAGGTTGGCTAGATACACTTAGAACTGTAGAATATATCCACGACCACTTATATACTATTTATTATTTTACAAACGATATTTTATACCTAGGGTAGTAATAAAGACGACTTACCCTCTCACTCAAAGCATTATACTTTATGCCGATTTCGTCTCTTTCTGCCCTCGTTGCAGACAAGAGGTCTTCGACCCTTCCTAATTCTCTTTGAAGCATTTCATTTTCCTCTTGTAGGTGGTCAGAACTTGCCATTTTCTTTCCCTCGCTATTTGCTGAATTTACGTCCTCAGCAGATAAATTTTTAGTAATAATTTCACGAATCTTTGCCGGAGCTTTCGTGGGTCTGTCGTCGCCTCCCTTTAATAATGGCTGGTCGGTTTCTCTTAATACTGTATCTTCGAGTTTCTGCAGAAAGTAATAATATCGATTTTTCACACATACATAAACCGTATTTTCGTTAGTCGCACATCAAAGATTCCTAAACAAAACGATTACTTGACAGAACGTGCTGATTGAACAGTACAATTGAATCGCATTGTAGGCTAAACTGAAATTATGCAATTTTTTTCGCCCGTGTCCTTATCAGTTCTCCTATACATTTTCTGACATTGATTAGTTGGTTTTATTGGTAAGACGTGATACACGTTATAAAACAGGCTCCTTAGCAACCACACATAACCAGTGACGTCATGTTATCGACTTAATTACAGATCACTTCCGGATTATATCAGGACCTCGATTTATTTCAGTTGTATTGAACGACCAAAACAAGAAGTGCTCTAGTGAATTGACTTAATTATGGACATTTGCTCGGATTGCAAGCTGTATTGCAGCAATTGACAGTAATTTTGAAAAGCTATTTAATTAGATAGATTTCTACTGTCTTACTTTGTTTAATTAAAATTAAAAGTTTTGCAACCAGAGGAGCTTTTACTCTTAAGAAGCTATTGAAATGACATAAATACTTATTTATGCAACTTGTACGTCGTGATTAGAATGCTAATCCATTAATCCGCTGCTCAAATGCCATTTTTTATATTTTTCTATTACACTTCTTATGTTCATACGCTAATTATCGTTCAAGGAAAAATTTATTCGATATATTCTCTCAATGCAGTCAAGTTCGACCTTACCTAGCTTGCAAATTTAATAGGAAATTTTTCTGAGCACCAATAAACGAGTATTCGAGAATATAAATAATACCAATAATGAATATTTAACAAAAAACTACAATTAATAGGAAACAACGAAAGAATGACTAGTAAAAGATACATAAGCGTTTAACAGTTATTTCCCTGGAAAAGGGCGGGATATTTGAAAAAAGCACAAGTTTTTTTTGCCAAAGACTTAACATGTAAACATTTTCCGACCCTTACAATATGGTATTTTGGAGCATTATTACGTTAATTATTTATTTATACGTATGCAGTGAACCTAGACGAATGATCAATAAATCTCTCGAGCTTAATAAGCTTGCTTCTAATCCCCTAAATCAGAATTGAGCTGGCAAAGGAAACAATAAAGTCAACATAAAATGTATTTGCTTGTAGTTTATCTAGATTTCCAAATTTGACATAGCAGTCAATAAAATAATTTACTTAATAACTCATACCTCGAACACGTACTTGAGATACTACGAGACGATGCAAAAGTTGAATAATCTTTGTTATTAACTTGTAAGAAACCGTAACTTTTATTCAACTTATTTTCACAAGTAAATATAAGTCAAATAAAAAAAAAAACTACCGCAAGCTTTTTATACAAGGTACTCTTATCGATCTCAACTATCGACTTGGACAATTCATGCATAGCACAGTATTTTCTTACCACGATTTTTTTCTTTGTTCAGTCAACGAAAAAGCATTACGCAAAAAATACTTTAAGTAAACGCTCCTCTATCGGAATTATCAAATATCATAATCGCAAAGTCAATATATATCGATGAGGACAGATTGAACAGTTTTTAGCTTAAATATTCAAATTATTTTTGGCAGATAAAGTCGAAAGTTTTAAAGCAGCCTTACCTGTATGACGCGCTCAAGTCTCGAATCAGGATCGCTACTCGTCATCCCCTTAGATGGATTGAACGCATCAAAAATTCATGAACCTCCTTTTTTTTTCCACAGCGACACCTAGAGAGTCGATTTTTTCAGCGTTTATTTATTGAACCTTTCTTTCTTTGCTGTCAATATTGGAGTTAGGTCTTTAGAGAATAAGACGAGATAAGGCGTGTAAAAATTTAATGCAAAAGAATTCTGAGGTTAATTGAGCGTCCGTTGCCAAGGTAGCTAGCAGATGATGTCTCAAAGCGACATCTATCGTAAGTTTAAACAGAAACTAAATTCCTTTTGCGTACATAGCCCCCGTCTTAAATATTTAATGGTGTTTTTCTTAAAACAACATATTATTTCATTTTATTGAATTATATTCTAATCCCCCAGTAAAGTACATATGAAAAGTATTGTCAATTTTTTAATTGGCAGGTCGATAAATGCGCCATCTATAACAAACGAAAAGGGGAAATCAAAATCAATATTTTAGCGGAGGAGAGATGAAAATTTCATCTAATTAAGGGTGCCGCAAATGCAAAAAACATGTCCACAGGCATTTTTAATTGTTTAATTAAAGATATTTCATTGCTGATAATTAATATGAAAAATGGGAGGGAGAGAGAGACAGACAGACAGACAGAAAGGAATGGAGGTTGGGAAAAAAAATGCTCAATAATTATTTTGTCGAGTTGAAAGAGATTGCCATTAACCAAATAAGAATTACACTTTTGAACAAAAATCAGACTTTAATAATAGAACTATACCGTTAGAAAAAAAAATCAAAAAAGACTTATTATTCACTTATTCATTAAATTAAAACAATCAAATATCTAATCATGAATACATTCATACGGAAAAACACTTTAGACAACAATTGAATATTGAGCTGAAAACAATTCCTATTCAATTAATTCTTTACATAGTTCTCTCTATTTATATTTCTTTAACTTTTTCTTCTTCTTTATATTAATATAAAAAGTTTATAAGACATGGAAATTGAAGAGAAAGAAATATAAACAAAATAAACACGAACGCCACCTATTGTTTACTTAAATAACAAGAAAATTTCTTATTTACTTCACAGACTTGGAGATAAAAACAGCGAATGTCTCATAAGTTTATCGCGACCTCTGAACATAAAAACATATAGAATTCAAAGTATTAAATTTAATCAGTCTACCCTTGTTTTAGGACTATTTAGCATTTCTAAGATATAATATGAAAGATTAAATGGAATTTTATAGTAATTTGTCCTAAACTGAAAAAAACAACCAGTATTTTTTTCCAGCTTATGCTAATCTCTTATATTGAATCTGTTCGATACCAAAAGAATGTAAATAGAAAACGTCAATAATTTTTTTAAATGTTTATATTCCATATATATTTATAGTATATATACAGTATATATATATATATATATATATATTTATATATATATGTGCGTGTATATATACATTTAATACTTGATAAATTTATAGCTTTTGTATCTAGTTTAAGTATGTTATTATTTAACTTTGATGTGAAGAAATAAAAATCTATACAAATATTGTTATAATCTATAAAATGTTCAATTTATCTTAGCATTTTTTATTTTTAAAGTTGAATTTTTATATCGTTATATGGATATGGATTAATTAAAGAATTAATAGGTAATAAATTTTAAATTGAATATTCTCTGTTGAATGGGAGGGGAAAAATCACTTTTTAATCTTAAATACACATAATCTAGACCGAATTTCTCTCTAAATTATATATAGATTCAAGAGATTTTGAAAGCATACGAATATGAATAGGGAAAATCGTTCTTCCTTATTATATCGTATTTGCATTATCTAGAAGGTCACAAAGTTTTCAAGAATATTTGCCTTTATTCGATATTAGTAACCATAAATCGAAAAGAATTTAGTAGAGATTTCTTTAAGTCTTCTAAAGATTAACAGATGTCGCTTTGCAGACTTCTCAAAAAGAGGATTGGAAAAAGTTCTTTGTACAAGTATTATCTATGTCTTTAAAAGAATTGACCTATATGGTGCAGGTTATCGCTTAAGTGTTGTTTTTTTAAGTTTTTGCCTATAAGTTTAAATGAACGAAGAAGCTTCAATTTAGTAATAACTCCCACACCTGATAAACGTTATCAGTTTCAATGTGTAATTGCCTCTTTTCCATCCCTAGTATTATACTAAAAATCAAAAGTTTCCATTTTTTATTTTCCCCACCTAGTTTTATGTTTAAATTAGAAGCTTCTTCTTTCCATATTTGTATAACTTTCCATATGAGTCGAGTTGCTTCCTTCCGTATTTTCTTCTTTTCTTCATATATTTCTTCACAGATTAGCTTATAATGTTAAAACGAGAATAATACACTTTTAAAATATACAATATGATCGCTTATTATATTCTAAATGGAATATTTTCATTTTACTATTTATGCTTGTTCATTCTAGAGATTTCAGTAGCTGAATATTTGATACTTTAAGAGCCGCGAATGCAAAAGGCTATAGTGAAGAGATACTAATTCTCACATTCCTGTACAATACGAGAAAAGTTTAACTAATCTTCTTGTGTTTCAAATAATCATCCTTCTGAAGAGATTGAGTATTGAACGTTCTTACTAATTACAAGATTATTTTTTTACCAGTTTTCAATAAGAATTTCTCTTAATTGGCGGTTAATTTGAACATCCTATTTCTTGAATATCTTCTCAATAAAGAAACATTCGAATTGTTTGTGTCTGTGTATGCACATCTTTCTCTCTCTCTCTCTCTTCCTTGTAAATTAATTAAATACTAAAGAATACATTTTTAATAGATATATTTAAGTTGCAAAAAATTAAGATAACAGATATTTCTTAATAGGCCTAACAATGCACGAAAGAAAGCGAGTACACAGCGCCGCTGAAACAACTTATCTCCATACCGGCATTTGATTAGAAAATTTTGATCGAGAAGGTTTGTTACATGCTGAATAACCATAAAAAACATTATTAACTAATTAATTTTTGCAAAAGCCTTTAACAAAGGCCTTCTACTTTCTTAAAATGTTTCTAATAATTCAATTAACTTAAATTTCAGAGGAAAGAAAAAAGGAGAAGAAAAAAAAAAACATGCTGTCGTTCAAGAATATCATCGTTATTTTCGTATTATTATCTGTAATTTCATCTATGACTTTTGCAATGCCGGCTACAAGTAGTCAGTGCATTAAAAAGGCAAGAGTCGCATTAACTGAAACTGGTTGGAGACATTTCCTAAGACTTTACAAGATGTTATGCGACAACTACGATTTTGAAACTTGTTGCAGTACCATTCTGAAAAGTAGCATAAATGCCGAAAAGAGTTTCTTAGAGGAACAATAAAAGTACAAGAAGAAGAAGAAGAAAAAGAAGAACAATAATAAGAAGAACAATAACAACAACAACAAAACTTAAACATTCTTATAAACTTTACGGTAGCTTGTTGCCTATTTTGTTTAGCATTTTTGAAAAGAAAAAAAAAAGACTTCTATCTTTTTCTTTCCCCTCTAACCCAAATATTTTTCTTTTCATATTTATTTGGTTGGCCGATTATTGTATATATTTAAATATATTTTTATTTCTACTTTATATTTTTTCTGTTTTTATTCGTAGAATAAAGAATTCAAAGTGAACAAAAAAAAACAGACAAAAAACGAAAGTGTTTTTATATAGACATTTCTTATATTGTTAGAAATCAGATGCAAAGAGAAAATTAATGATAAAAATTTTGTTTATTGTAAAAATTTAGGATTCTTTAATAAGTTAAATACTAAAAATAGAATGAAAAAATTATCTCATTACGTAATGGTATCTGTTCAAAATCCAGTCAATTTGAAAAAGGCAAAAAAAATATAGCCTAGTTAAAAACCTTCGAAGTTGTAAATAATTATATATATATATATATGTATATACAGTATATGTATATTGCTAAATAAGAAATAATAGACAGGAAATAAGGAATTCAAAGTTGCAGCTTGGAAATTAATTGCAACTGCAAAAGATTGATTTATATTTCCTGTTTGGATTGAATATTAATCTCATTGATTACATTAAAGAGAAAGAAGTTAATTGTTTTTTCTCCCTCCTTCTAAAAACTAATTTTTTCTATATTTCAATGTTTTCCTTTTCTTGTTCCAACTTAATTAACCATTCAACCATCTTAATCTTCTTCTCCTTATAATTTATATTTCTTTTTTGTCTCTTTTAAATAACCTTTAATCTTTTATGATTAATTGCTAAATTATATAGAGACAAGAATTTACTGTATTAAAAAAGAATTGTAATTATACTTTTAGTTTTATCTTTGACTTTTTTTACAGTTTTAGTATTAATACTTTATATCAATTAAACGGAACGAGGAGTCTGTCTTATTTTGATTATTACAGTTTAGTCATTAAATTGGGTACAAGATCGATTAAACCAGGCACTTGTAACATTTTTATTTTTGATAGAAATCGAAATAATTAAAGGGTATCTATCAAAAAAGAAAATCAATTTCGTAGACGTTTTAAATTCATTTTTTTTTTCAATTTCTATGAATAATATTCCTATTAATAATAATAATTACTTTTGAATATTTTTTATATTAATTTCTCAAGAACTATGTCCTGAAATAGGCCTAAGGAGAAGTGATTATAGATAACTGATTGTTGGACATTGCTTTGTACTTAATAAAAATTAGAGGAGAAAAATAACAAAGAAAACATTTATTATATTAGATATATGGTATTTTAATATATATTTACTGTATATATCGAGACAGGGAGAGAGAAAGAGAGAGAGAGAGAGAGAGAGAGAGAGAGAGTAAATACATGAACTAATATGTAAATTATATATATATATATATATTTAAAATTTAAAGAAATATTCTTTAAGCCTATATAATGCTTATGAAAGAAAATTATTTATGTAAATATTATTCAGAATAACTTATAGTCTTCTCCGCTTGTTTTTGCAACTCTGAGTCCTTCAAATTCTTTGTGAAATGTCTACAAATATATACAAATACATACATATAACATAATATATATATGTATATTCATAAACATCTGTAATTTCGATTAGTCGTTAAAGAATTGATAATATCTTAGGAAAATAGTCCTCGTCTTTCATAAGTATAAATCATTAAATCTCTTTTTCTATTTATCTATGCCCTTTCTTTTTTTCACTTCCTTCATTTTGCATTGGAATTGAAAATGACACTTTTCAATTTGGTTACATTCTCTGTAAGCAGCTTTATTTATATACAAATGATGTGTATAGTTACTTCATCAAATGAAACAAGTATCTTATTAACAAATTTCAAAAAGTCTGAATCAACTATGACCTCCAATAGTTTAATTCTCCAGATGAAAACAGCTAACAAATTTGAATGTTTTATGGAATGCTCTCTAAGATTGGAATGCCTATTCTTAAACTATAACTTAACCAAGAATTGTTACCTCTTTGCATCCGAATGTGAGGGATGTTTTCAAAAAGTTATGAGTTCTAGTTGTTCGAAAAGAGGTAATTTTGATGGTTCAAAATGCAATTGTAAACTTGGTTATTATGGCGATATTTGTCAATTTGGTATGTATTGTTTACTGTTCCCCTACCCTTTCTCTCTCTATATATAAAAGTATTATTATATTAGTCTTTAATAATCGAGTAATCCTGTTTCTTCGTGAACATATTGATGCCTATAGATACTTGTCAGAATATATCCTGTCAGAATGGCGGAACTTGTCAAACTGGAGTTGATAATCAGTTGTTTAAATGCCAGTGTCCTCCCGGCTACAACGGTAGTCTTTGTGAAATAGGTGAGTGGAAAACCATTGTTGAATTATTTAAAATGAGAGAAAGAGAGAGAAAGGTGATATCTTTCGCGGGTTAATCTCACAAAGAGAAAAAATTCCATATTATCATTAAAGGATGTCAAGACTAAACTGCACAATGTAATAATATCATTTCATAGTTATGATTACGTAACTTGAATATTCATTATATTAATGATTCATCATTCATATGCATTTATGTACGATACATAATTCGCTTTACGTATGTGAGAGTTTATCTGCTATCAGCTAACCTTGGACTTTATCAATGATAACGATCGGTCATGTGCCGAATACGTGAAGCTTAGCTTGAAGTTCTGGTATACAATAATTATCTGTTTATCCCTTAGAAATATGTTCATCTTCTAATCTCTGTTTGAATTTCGGGACATGCGTACCTTTTGATAACCAATGGAATTACAAATGCACATGCATCACAGGATACGATGGTTTGAATTGTGAAATAGGTTAATTTACCCATTATCTTATCTCTCTTACCCCTACCCCCTACCCTCTTTGTCTATCTCGCTATCTCCTCACTATCTAAAATACTTTTACTACAAGATCCTAATTCATTGCAAATTATTCAGATAATGGTACAACTGTCACAAAAACCGTAAAGATCAATTATTCTCCAACACCTTTAGGTGTTGGCGTTGGAACCTGGCAAACCGAGAGGTTATGTCCAACAGCCTATTATTTAATCGGATTAAAGTTAAATGTACTTTTTATATTCGTATTAACAAAATCTCTTTTAGTAAAAGGTTTCTTTGTCGTACCCTTTAGTCTGAAGCAATAGTAAGTTACACAGATCTTAGCGGGATCAATCAGATAACTTTTACGTGTAAAAGACCGTACGATGGTGATGAAAAAGTATTCAATACCTATAGTGGAGGTAGTTGCGAAGCGCAAGGTACAACTTATTCTTCGTCTTTATGTTCAAGCGGCAAGTATTTAGCAAACTTTAAAGTGGCTGTTAACACTAAAAGCTACTCTGATGAAACTGGGTTGGAGTCAATAGCTTTTAAATGTAAAACTCCAATAGAAAACGGCGCTAGTGGAAATTGGATTATAGCATCAGGCAGTTGGAATGTAGCACAGTCATTAGAGCCTTGGCACTATTCAGATGGCCAATGCTCAACTAATGAAGTTGGTTGCGGATTTCGAGTTAAGGCAGAAATGTGTCAATCTTCAGATGATGCCGGTATTCTTGACATTGAGCTTAAATGCTGTGCTATATAGGGACGCTTATGTAATGTAAATATGGTTTTTCCTTTATTTCGATAACTTAAGAAAAGAAAATTCGGTAAATTGAACTAAAAATGGATTGTAAATCAATAGGGAAGTCTGCTTCGCATAAATACATACATAATTCTATTGTAATTTTATGAATAAAACTTATAAAAAGATTATTTGACTCCGAAATTCAATAAAAGTTTCCACTTCCTTTAGAGGACATCATCAAACTTTATTGGACTGTGTAAACCTCTTAAAATTTCTCCATAGTTACGTTCAGTATCTGGGTCTATAAAGCCATGTTGGACGAGAAAGTGTAAGAGAACTGCAGCCGAACTAGGGGTAAATTTTTGTTCAGCTACGAGCAGTGCCACCTGCATATTGATTAACACAATTTAGTAAATTATATCTTAGACGGTATGAGTATTTAACGTACTTTTTCTATTTCTAATAGTTCAAATTTCTCTACTTCCCCATCAGAGTTAATGGGTTTAAAATCAAAGGGTAATAGCAAGTCTAAGACATACTCTTCCTCCGCATAAATTCCTTTTTCATTATTAAAAATATAGCTGAAAAAGGCGAAAGTTATAAACATTTTCAAGCTGTTAGATTAACTCGAAGTGAAACGAACCTAACAGCCCCTGTAGGTATCGCTTGTTTAACCAATGAAGGATCAATACTAGCTTCTTCAGCGCTTTCCTTTATAGCGCATTCCATTACACTTAACCCTGCCGGAAGTCCACCCCCAACCTATATTTTAAACAAATCAAACTTTAAGCAAAACAATACGTTTGAAGGTTTAAAAGAAAAACAAAAGTATTCCCTACAATTTGATCAAGACAACCGGGAAAAGTTTGCTTATTTTGACTTCGTGTGGCGACCCACATGCAAATTCCCTTTTCCGGATGGTTGACGTAGCCATTTATGTGAACTCCCCTTTGTATAACTCCGAATAGACCTAAAACGATTATATTATTCAATAAAGCTTTTAATCTAATATTTACATTAAGTACTCACTTGCTCCTGCTCTTTCCATTTCAAATAGAGGATCATCGTGAAGACTATTAGAAATGCTGTATACCTAGAAAGGTTTATTGATTTAAGTTTATTTCATTCACTTTTTATTGATTTATTAAAATGAAATTATAGATATTTGTAAGTTAAAACCTCATCTCTCCAGCCTTTAAGAGCAACATTAAAACATCCATGGTTCTTCCACTTCCTCAAAATTTCGTCAATTGCTTCTGTTCTTGTAAAAAAGTTCTTATCCACTTTTTTCGTTAATTCAACGCATGATTCATGAACCTAAATGGTAAACAAATATATAAATTTATATATATTTATAGAGTCTATATTTGAATAGATATTTTAATATAAACTTTTGAATGTTCACGAATTTCCCGCCAAATTTCACTCTAAATATAAACTGATAGCGGTGTCCGCTTTTACCCTTAAGACCTTCACAAACTTCGCAAACACAATTTCTCTTGCATTCCCTCTTTGTTAAATACACAAATTAATTCTTTATTACTATTCTTAAGAGTTTAACAAATAAATTTAAAATTTTCTTAACACCCGTTTTATGATTATCCATTTTTCAAGTAGTACCTTATTTTAGATATTAGTTTTTTCATAAAATGTTACGTATTTCCCTTAGGAGTGAAAAGTTTTCACTAAAGATTTAATCTTAAATTAAATTTTAAACTCTTAAACTAATCGTTTAAAACCAAAGTTGAAATCTTTATTATTATCTACAAGTCGAAAGTAATTCAGTTAATTCGTTAATAGATCTTACGACAGAAAAAGCTCCGTTTAAATCATCATTACTGTAAAAACAGACCACTTTGCACCAGGATGTTATTTTAGATACATTCCTTAACTAAAACAAATAAAAGATTTTCACCCTAAACATTAACTGTAAATATTTTATGGCTTTGGCGGAAAGTGAGGTGTTTGGGTTTTTTTGTTTAAATGAAAAATGATTAAAATATATGATATTTGCTGATTTTTGTAAAAAATTGCTTACAGAAAATACATCTGGATCTTCTCTCATCATATCTACGACATCAGGTTTAAGGATACCCACTTTTTTACCATTAACAATAAAGGGTTTACACTGTTTTCTCAAACCTACAGAAATTTCAGAGTTTTTTAAAAGATTCACTGAAATATCCTTATTTGTTTTATACGTACTCGATGTGCGAAAGCTATTCGACAACTCTAACGTCTTCATAAAACCATCACTAAACCCCATTTTGGCAATAGCCAATCTTTTTTCTTGGATGTTCATTCTTAGTGGAAGTAAAATAGTAGTTAGACATGAATGCCATCTTACGGCTGTACTGGGAATTACAGTTATTTACAGCTTTTTTTTATGAAGTGATTAGGGAGCGGCGGTAACGTTCTTGCGGTTGTTTTTTTTTTTTTTTTGTTGTCTTTAAAGATAAGAATTTTAAAGATAAGTGAGAAATGTCTTAAAACGATTTAAAAGATGATTAGAATAATAGGCTTGGAAAGTTTACTCTTTGTTAATCTTAAAAGGATTTAATTAATACAATTACTGATTAAATGAATGATTATCACTCTTGGGCGTTAGACGGCCGTGCTGAATGACGTATTGAAAAACTATCGGAGCGCGAGTAGGCTGGAATTATTTTCTTTTTCTGCTTTGTAACTAACAACGAAGGCGACCCATTAGGATGAATATTTATAAACTTAACCTTATCTAAAACGTAGAACATCCCACCCAACCCCCCCCGTGTTCTTTCATTCGTTTCCTTATCCGAAATCGTTCAAAAATGCAACAATTTGAAGATTAAGATAGGGAATTGGTTAAGTCATTTACAAACAATAAAACGTTAATTTCTTCTGACATTTTTACACCAATAACTTTTTACCAATGAAATTAATAACGCGTATTTGGTTTTATAATCTAGTTTGTCGGGTGGTAACTCCATCTAGTGGGCACAATTCTTAAGCGTATCTTCCTTGTATATTGTTTTATTAGTAGAGACGGATTTAATCGGCGAGGCCTAAGTGAACTTTTTGTATTCTAAGAACAAGGATGTAGCCTAAAAAATTTATCCATCGTCGGTCGGGTGCATTACGAACCACTTTGAAAGGGCCTCTAGTAATAAATTTATCCTTTGAAGTGTCAACCACGGGAAACGTTTGTTTGTCATCGGCGTTGGGCCGCGAATCGGAAAACAACTGTCTTCAAAGCAAGCGTTCATAAACGGCTTCGCTCTAAAAACAAACAATCGGGCGAAAAAGTGACGCCCCTCCTTTTCCAACTATAACATTCGATATTGACGGCGCGGCACAGCACGTTTGATCAGGCGTCCGTGTCGAATCGGCGCTAATCGCCGCCGCTTTAAATTAGGATCGTCTAATAGCGTCTCTCTCCTCTTCTCCCTTGCCCACCATTCGTTTGACCAATTAGCGCACTCTTTTAGACGACCGTGCTATTGTGACGACGTTAGGCGTTTGATCGAGTCATTAGCGCGATTGCCGAGTCACGACCGACGCCCAGAAACGGTCGTTACGAAACGTCGCGGGGGTAGACGCCGGCGGTGACGCTTTAAGGCTGGGAATAACGAAGATGTTTTCCGTCCTTTTTATTTTGTTTCATTTATCTTTTATCACCCCTTTTTTGCGGAGCCGAGGCTATTTAAAAATATGTTATTACAGTCACGATCGTGTTCGATTAGGAGCGAAGCGTTTTATAATTTGTATAGGCCTATATTAGCAGTATTTATACCGACGCTCTGTTATTTAATCTAAAGGAGAAGACAGCCTACGGCCACGAGCCGATATTCGATAAAGTTAACGCCTGCATAATAGAAGACACAAAGAAATTAGACGATAGACGCCTCCAGACAACTGCCAATAAAAGCGTCGTAATTTGCTCATTCGACTGCCGACCGACTTAATGACTGATTAAAAACATTACAGGAATTCTTCGCTAAATGAGACACACCGAAAATGAAGCGAAAAATCACTTAGAATAAGGGACGAGAATGAAAGAGATATGAGAAGGACAAGAAGGGATTTCTCTGTCCTATCCCTTTTCCTATCTAAGCAAGTGCGCGAATTACGGGTTCGACTCACCGAAGCATGAACAGTCAGGGAAGCGTTACAAATATGCTATAATTCCAGTTCCTATCCGCAAAACGGCTCGTTTGAGCCGACTCGTTCCCCGGCTCCAGGCGACGTGACATTTTAAGCAATGAGCTCCTTCAGTCGATCATTTTATTGCCTGAGAAGTACGCGGATTCTGCAGGTCAATCGGCCGGAACAAATGCGAGAGAAGGGCGCCATCGCATATAATTAAGCGGGAGCGAGCGGGGCGAAAGAAATAGAAGACGTGGATATATGGATTTTTATACATTATTATAAGCAAGGGTAAAGATAGTCCTATAACGGGGACTGGAAAGAGGAGGGAGCATTAGAAAAATCAGTTAACTACAGACTGGAACTAAGGCAAGCGGAAGAAAATGATGGCGTCTCGATGGAATTCGATAAGCTGGCGCCAACTTGCTCCGTTCCCAAATGGCCAGTTTAGTGTGCAAAACGGGTAATTGAGCTTGTTTAACAGTTTATGATAATCGAGACTAGTTCTTGTTCTTGTAGACGATTTTCCTTATCAATTTTTTTTATTATTATTTTCGCACGTTTACGAAGAAAAACAAGAGAATACGTATTATTTAAAAAAAAAGGCATCTTACACACAATTGCTCTTCTTCTGTCTCCATTCATTCATGAAGAGAATAAAACGTTCATTTAGGAAATATATTTATTTATTTATATTGTACACAATATATGCACGTGTTGAATAGATATTTAAGTGAAATTCTCCAGTCCAAAAAATAATAATGATAATAATAATGTAATAAGAGGAGATCATCTCCGAAAAAATACCATATGATAAGAGATAATGTCTTATACGTTAGGAAGCGTCGGGTGATGATGAAACGGAAGTAACTGCACAGTTTTCCCCATTTTCATCTAGAGATTGTAGGCGAAGTTTAGAGGAGTCATCCCCTTCAATGGGCGTTGTTGAAGATGTGACTAACGAGTGATCTTGTGAGTTAGGTAAATGATTCTTTAAGGAAGACAATTTTGATTTTTCTTGGGCTCTTATCGTGTCGATATGTCTCTCTCCACCAATTTTATATTCTGCCGCTTCTGTATTTGATATATTCTCCTGCTTTTTCCACTTAGTTCTCCTATTTTGGAACCATATTTTTACCTATAAATAAAAAGAAAAAAAATTAAAGATACATAGCTTATAACGCTGAGATTTTGGAAGAGAAAGAACAACTAAGAACGCTAAGAAAAATATAGCCCTATACACCATTCCTTCATAATATAACCCTAAGGGTTAGTTGCCCGGTATCATGAGTAAAATAAACATAAATTCTTCCACTCTTTTTTTTATCCGCCCCTGAAAATCGTAGCTAAAAACTTCCGTCATCGTCTCGTAACTGGTAACATACTTAGGTCGCGGCGAATTAGCGCGTTTGTCAAGCGGCAAAGTGGTTCGTAATCGGAGAAGATTACAACTCTTTCCCCTTTATATAGAGATATAGTGAACGTAATATACTCGTTTCTTTTCTTATTTTCCTTTCCCTTACTCTGGCTTCTTCACGCAAGAGTTTGTTTAGTAAAGCGATTAACGGGTGGGTCTTGTTTATCAACCAACCCCCTTAGCAGAGTTTGTATTCGACCAAACTCAACGAAATAGTTTTATGAGAGATTATTTGATTAGTTGTTGACTGATATTCGCATCTGGAATTAAACCGATTCCAGTTGAACTAACAGAGCGGGGGACCTTTAACCCCATTCTTACATTAGAAAGTAATAATTTTGTATAGAGAGGAGGAAGCGATTGCTGCTCAGTAATCTCCTTTTCATTCTCTAAGTATGTATGTAAATCTATTACAATACTCTTACTCAATATATAACTTGTATATACATATATACATATATATGTATATAATTCCATGTGGACTATATCTTATACAAAGTATGTATACATTATTGTATATTGAGAAGAAACTTCACGCCCCTCCGGGTTCGAATGCACTTAGCAATACTTTTTGTTTTGACTATTAAAAAAACAAACCTGAGTTTCGGTAACGCTCAAAAGCGACGCCATTTCAGCTCTTTCACTGGAACTCAGATATTTTTTCACTTCAAACTGCTTTTCTAATTCGAATATTTGCCTTCCAGTAAATGTTGTTCTAGCTTTCTTCTTTTTGGGCTTATCGTTGTTCTGGTTTGAGTCCGTTGAGTCCCTTTCGCTCAACTCGTCCGATGTTTTAGAACGTTTCCGAGTGTTCTGCTGTTGTTCTGTTATTTGTATAGAGTGAGAGTTAATTGAAACAGTTGGTTTTCTTTAGAAGAAGTCAAAACGACTTGAAAGGCTTTTAAGATTGTTTTCACTTAATGGTGGGACATGTATACGAGAAAATTGAGAAATTTTAAGAGAGAATAAAGGGCTTTGTAAAAGATTTTAGATAAAATATGGAACAAGAGTAAGGGTAAAAAACCACATAGAAGTCTTATAGGAAAGAGTATAAAAGAGAAAGAAGAGAGGGCGAGAGCGAGAAAGCAACATGGCTATTTAACGTGTATAGAAAAACAATGAAAATAATAATATGGCAGTCAGTCGCAATAGTACACAATAGACTCTATGAAATACAATACCGGGAAAAAAAATAGGAAAATTTCTATAGAGAATAGGCCTAGTTCCGGAAGAGTTTCTTATCTTGGGCAGAAACCGTCTCTAAACGCCTCGATATAGCCGGAAAAACTTTCGTTTTGATTGAGCGCAGCAGCTCCGTCTCTCGATTCGTCGCGACGATAAGACAAATTACTTACACTCAATCTGACACTCCTTATCTATCCAACACGCACCAGACATTCTTCATCTGGGGACTTTTCGACTTTTTTGGTAAAGCAAAGTAGTTGATCCGACAGAGGAAAATTCGCGCCAAAAAATAAACAATTAACGAGATTAACAATTCAGGCGCTTGAAGCTATTTATAAGCGGTTCTTATTAGAGAAATCGTAAAAGAAACGCATATCCTAAACTACTCTCGCTACTTTCCTGTCTCTTCTCCAACTCTATCAATAAGTCTTTCTGTCCTTTCCTCATTTTACTTCCCTATCTTCTCGTAAAAGATCGAGTTGAGTAGATTGGAAAGAAACAATTAATAGACGGTTATGCGTTCGAACAAAGAGACGCTGTGTTAATTGCCGAGCCGAACGTTAATGGACTATTGGAAGCTTCTTTTGTCTTTGATAGCGTTCGCGGCGGCTGTAAACATTCCAGATGGAATATAGAACGCGTCTATATCGACCCTGGCGTTTCCGAGATTAGATAAAACCGATAAAGGGGGTAGAGGGGGAGGGTTATATAGAATAGACCTACCTATTTCTTCCACGACGTCAATAACAGGGCTACAAGGATTATAATCGTCTTCGTCGTCACTACTATCGTGATTTTCAACCAAATTCAAAATATTCCTGATATAGTGCGGCGTTGGTGACTTGGGTCCAGCACAGTAGACGTGAGGATGCCAAGTTCTGGGCGTCGTGTAGACGCGAAGAAAGGCGTTAGCCGTCGCGTACATAAAAGTAGTTCAAAAGAGGCGTATATAGGCGTTGGCCGTTTATCTGCGAGCGACGATCGTGCGCGTTACAAAGCCGCCGACCGGCGTCTAACTGTTCCTATACAAAAGCCGCCGTCGATCAAGTCGATACGGACTCTTCGCTGATTGGCTAAGACATCGGACCAATCAACGCGGAGTATTAGAGATATCGGCAAAAGAGCTATCGCTGGCGAATAGATAAAGTAAGATTGATGCTAGCAATTCGAGTCATTCGACGCTCAAGCGTTTCCTTTCTACCCCCTGATCCTCTGACTTTTAGCAATAGAAATAAACACTTGGCAAATTACGTAATCGAAACGATTAAGCTTTCCAAACAGACGATAACAGGATTATAAACAAATTAGCAACGGCTATACAGGGCAAAATTAATCAGCGCAGTTACTTGATAAGAGATAAGAAAACGGAAGAGATATTAAGATATTAACCTATAATTAAAAACTTGTTTACATAATAGTTTCCCGCCAAATTTTACTCTTTATAATATAGCTAAATAGATAAAAAAAATATCCTTCGTACATCTCGGGAAATCAACCGCGAATTCTAGCGTCACAATCGACGTCAATCAGGATACGTCGAGATAACAACTATATAGGCGTCTATTTCCACATATTCCTTTTTTTCTATTTATTATGCCCGTCCTCTAATTCGGTCGTGTGCTTTACAAGTTTATGGGGTGCTATATGAGTATTTTGTGGTCGTTCGTAAGGTTCTTTTAAAAGGTCTATAATTTATAGTTCTCCAATAGCTAAATACAAAATCGGTAGAGAGATTCGACGAAGAGCAGGAGCGTGTATGAAAGCGACAAAAACAAACAACACCGATAAAAACATTTTCTCTCTCGAATTATCGAGTTCTGCAAGATATGTTTTTTAAAAGCGGAAGTCCGTAACTGATAAGAAGATAAGGCAAAACATAGCAAAAGTAACACAAGTTTCTGTATAGAACAAACGGTAATCATTCATAAAAGCTATTAGGATTGTTTCAAGGTTTTTATATATAGGTACAAAAGTATAAATATCCCGTATTTTTCGCCATCTTATCTTTCAGCGTTCTCAAACAGACAATTCCCGATAAATCAGACGGAATTATAACAGTCTATTAAACAAATCGTTTCCTTCCATTCGTCCCTAACCTATTTGTAATGTTTTCAATAAAAATATAAAATTAAGTGGTAGGAAAGAAATTTTTTTTGCATAAATTAACGCACACCTGTTTCGTGTTCCTTTCAGAAGAAAGAAAGTGAACATCTTGCTCAATTGATCTTCACTAGACGCTAATTGCTTGTAAGCGAATGCAGATGCGTCTCTTTTATATATGAATGAATATAATTTTTTCTAATTAATCTCTTTTCTTCTAACGTATAAATCACGCGACGGAATCCGATTGACGTATCGCAGATTCGGATACGTAAGTGTTTTAATAGATGCTTTCAAAGTTCTTTTTCACCCAGATAAAGGCAATCTAATGGCGTAGGCCTCTCTTTTGATATGGCTAAAGAGTACCTTTTATAGATCGTCTATATCGTTACAACTTGGTGCTAATTATCCAAAAAACGCCCTCTAACGACTAGTTCTATTTTACAAAAAATGACTAAGAAGAGCGGAAGAAGTTAATGAAAAGAATTCAATAAAATATTAGATACATTGGAAACAGTACGCGTAACTTTGACAAAAAAGAATAAGCTGGCTAAAAAAGTAAATATTAGCATCGAATTACGACCAAACATTTCTTGCAGTTCTTAATGTTTGCGTTTGACCTTACTGTAGCCTATTCGTAATGAATTACAAACAACACATATAGATAAGAAGTTTGCAAGTAGTTTATAACGTTTTCCCTTATCTATTCGTAACTTACACAGCGCTCTTTTCTTTGGGCGCTTTTCGCGGTAATAAAAACAAAAAGCGGAAAAAATACACATAAAAAAGAAAATAATATGAAGATGGTATAAGCTTTAAGGCAAATGATGATATATGCTTAAACGCGAATTGCTGGCAATAAAATGTTGAAACACGTGAATGGCACTTAGAGTTATAGCCTCCGTAAAAGTTTTGTATTATGTGTCAATAAAATCTCTATATAGAGAAAACGGTCACGTGATAATATATAGTAAACGTATTCTAAACGCGCAAGAACGCCCCAAACATTAAGGATAAGAATAGGCAAAGTTATCTCGGTTAAAACTATCGCCATCTAGCGGTTTCTTATAAGTTTGACCATCGACCATTCCCCACCCTTATCTACAAACAGTCCAAATTTGCAAATAATTAATCCCAACAGATTCTTGCCATCTGCTGGTTGATTTTTCTTTCTTTTTTTTCTTTTAAAATTGGGAAGCGATGAAGGAAGATATAAAGAAAAGATTGAAAGTAGAGAATTCCGGCAAACTAGACGCTCAGCTAAGCGTAACGCCGAAGACCTTCAAAGCGACTCTCGAATCGGAATAAGTGGAGAGCATGAGTTCGAATAAAACGAGCTAAACAGATCATTAGCGTTGGTACAAAAAAGAGACAAAAAGAGACACAGAAAGATAGAGAGATGGAAAGAACGAGAGCGAGAGCATGAGAGAAACAGGCACGGCAGACGTACAGATAGATAGAATGTAAACGAGAGAGAGTGAGAGAGAGAGAGAGAGGATGAAAAAGACAAGAATAAAAACGAAAAAATTTGTTTCTAAAATTCTTATCTCTATCGTTTTATGACCGATTCGTACGTCGAGTATCAGAATCGTGAGAAATCGAACGTTTTTTGGGTGGTCATAAAAAGTGGTCGCTATATATTTTTTGACAGTAGATTGTCCAGTACGTTGCCCATTTATGGCACTGGATAATAATTCGATGGAGAGGATGCTTTCGATTGCTGCTGATAAGCTTTTAAATGCTTCATCACGTTTTAGTTAGAATGTTCGAATATTTTTATTATGCTATTTATCTTGTCATAAAATATTATTTAAAGGCTTTTGTAAAGGCATTTAACAGTTATGGGAATAGCAACTCAATCGTTTAATTAATCAACAATTAACAGATAAAAATCAGCTATTTCATTAACTTTCCAATCATCTTCTCTTCCCTTTCAACTTTTAAGTAGATACTTTTAATTGCTCTCTACTTAACCCTAAAATACTACATATACATGTATCGGTTAAGTGGATGAACTACGCCATCTATGTGCCAATTTAAGAGAGAATAACAAATTAAATCGACCTACTAAAATAGAAACTGTACCTATCTAAGGTCGGAATTTTCTCTTTAAATGACATGTTTAACAAAAGTAAATGCTATTGAGGGAAAATATAGAGTTTGGTTTTGATGTTCTAAGTAAATACACATTCTGAAGGATACAGAAGAGTAAGTGAGGGGAAGAGATAGAGAGAAAAAGGTCGGCTAATTTATCCGCCTCGTTAAATAAGTTGATTCGACTTAGGTTTCTCGGATATTTATATTTTTAAGTATTTTCTAATATCAATAATATTAGTTTTAAGTATGTCATCACAAATACTGTTTAACGTTCATCAATTCAAATTTTAAATATCTTTTTAATCCTTTTATCTGGTTATCATTTCCTATTAGAGGTATTTATTCTCAATTGCTTGTCAGTCGGCCTATTATACATATAACGGAGAACGTCACTGTTTTATTGCATTCTTATTATATCGGTGCTTGAAAGAGAGTTATACGATAATAAAAAAAAAATTCGTCATGCCATCTGTTATCTATTTTTGCAATTATTTTCTTTGACTTTTCACTTGAACCAAATCTAAAGATTTATTATGAGTAGGAAAAGCTTGACAAAGTTTCCTTTTCCCTAAGATAATCATTCGCAATTAAATCGACTGGAAAATTCTTTATAATCTTAATTTTTTCATACTAAAAACTATAAACACATGTATATAATAAACAAATAATATTAGCCTCGCAACTCCTGACAACAGGTGTGCTTGGTATGGAATTTATATTCATTAATAAATAAAAACATTTAACTAAACGTTCTTGTGTAATCTTGATCTTATCCTTTTGAGAATGAGAGAAAAAATCAGCACAGAATCACGTTCGAACAAACTTAGCATTCAGTGGCATGACGTCGAGACGTAAACTCGGTACGATTGGTAAATCGGACTGGAAGATAGAGGAAGCGAGATATAGGAAGATTAGGGATCTAATTCAAATTCACAGCGAAGTACTCAGAACTCAAGATAAGACAAACGATTCTCCTTTTGTTCAGTTTCGTCTTGTATTAACAACAGTTAAAAAAGAACCTTTGAATAGACAAACAAGATGTTCAAGGAGAAACGATCCTCGCCTATGTCACTATTGCAATATAACTGGACCATTAGCATGTTCAGAGTGTTTAAAGGAATATAGAAAACGACTAGTTTATCAGAAGATCGAGGAACGCTTTCCGGACATATCAGTTCGTCAGGGTATTGTAAAAAGATCTGCTAGGAATAAACCAACGGAATTAGACATTTATAAGAGAATACGAGACAGAAGTAGGATGGAGCCCGTTATTTTTCCAGCAATACCAAATGACAAATCCTTCAATCGAATATCAGATAAGATCGAACAATGAATATTAATCTTTAGATGCATTCGGTGACTAATTAAATCCATGCATATCAATATACACACTGTATTTATTTACTGCAGAATAACGGTGCGGTTTCTCACCTTTGAAGTACTTAGTACATAATTTTAACCAGTTTTAACTTGGGAAATTTTGTTTCACTCTATTACGTAAATGCCATTTAATAACAACAATATAGATCTAAATGATTCCAAAGTCTACTAATAGTATTTTTATAAGAGAACAGAATAATCTTCATCTTCAATTCCGGTACTTTTCAATTACTATTTTTATGTTTATGTAAGTTAATCAGTTTATGTAGATTTGGTCAATAACTATTATAGTAATTGATTTACAAGCCTTGACGTTGAATGGTTAATAGCGGATATAAAGTTATTCCTTTTACATCTACTGTCATTTAACATAGTATTTTATATAGCTAATATATGTAGTTATCTGCTAATGAATATTTCGATTAATAAATGTTATAACAACACATCAATTCATTGATTAATATCTCTTCCCGCTTTTCAAGTTCTATAGACAAAGTAAGCGATTTTTATCTATTATTTAAATAGAAATGATGAAATGAGCATAAATTTTTATGCTTATTCTACTGGCGGAATAGATTATCATTTTTTAGTTGAAATAAAAAGATTTTCAGTAGAACTTATTATATAAATTTATTAAAATAGACTGTTTTCATACAAGAGTAACAGATGTTCATAGAAAAAGAATTTTTATACCTTATTTTTGTCAAAGATAAAATTAATTCCCCAAAAAGCCATTGAAAGGTAAATTTTTTAATCGAATTTATTATTCATCGATAAGTTCAATTTACAATAAAATATAATAATAAAAAACTAATAATAATAATAGAAAAAGGAAACGAAGAATTATTGATGAATAAGAGAAATGATTAGAGATTAGACGTCCATTTTTATTATAAATGCTCTTTCTATTTTAAATTAAATAATAAAGCTATCGGACTTATTATCAGAAGGGGTTAGAAACAAAGAGAATGACAAAAATATATATATAGAGGTTCAAATAAACAGCTGTTAAAACTGTTAAAACATTCTCATTTTCGTAGCAGATGCCAATGGATTAAGTGAATTTAAAATGAGGAAATACAAACTGAGTATTTCACTCATTCTAATAATATTAGGAATATCGTTTTATTTTTGGAGACATTTTCGTTGGAATCAAAATTTTGATAATAATACCGCAATTCATTTATATAAAAATCGTATTGAAACAAGTAACAGTGATAAAAGGATATCAATTATTAAGAAAACTTGCAAACTGTATGGTAAGGAAATTGAAATGAACCTTGATAAGAAATTCCATACGTTTATTTACGTTTTCGAGAAGTTAAATTTACTATTTTGTGCTGTACCTAAGACAGCAAATACAAATTTTCGTAGGCTTTTTCTCAGTAAATCAAATTCAAAACGTTTTGGTAAAAATCCTGAAAAAATCTCTCATTTAATAGCTTTAAAATACAAGATTGAGAATTATATGGTTCCTTTAAAGGTATGCAATAATATAGTAATATAATTACTTTACACGATTATAGTAGCATGAGTATATGTTAATATTGACGTTTTATTCGCTAAATAGCTCTATAATAAGACTGAACAAGCTAGAATCCTAAAGGAATATCACAAGATCGCCTTTGTTAGAAATCCATTTGATAGACTTCACTCGGCATTTTATAATAAACTCGTTAATCAAAGAACCAGCATTCAGTTCAAAATGTTTCATCATGAAATTTATCCACCAGGACATCCAACTCTCTTTGAACCGTTTGTCTCCTATCTATTAAAAAGACCAAAAGATATGCAATTTCGTAATGATATTCATTGGAGGCCAATCAATGAAATTTGTCATCCATGTCAAATTAACTACGACTTTATTGGAAATTATGAAACTTTAGAAGATGACTTGGCTGAAGTTTCAAACTTGTTAAATATGAAGATTAAATTTCCCAGAACTAGGAAAAATAGAATTTATTGGAAAGATAGTTTTAAACCGATTATGAAATTACATCCTGATTATAGAGAAAGATTGACAAATCACTATTTCCATGATTTAAAAATGTTTAATTACACTTATGATTAAGAAAGAAACAGAGAGAGAGAGAGAGGGAGAGACAATAATTGAATTATATCCTGTATTATTTATCTGTATGTCTATTTGGAACTTACACTTGTTAATAATCATTCATTTGCTGAATTTGAGCATGCAAGCACAAAAAATGTATCAATATAAGAATAAAAAGTGAAAAATGTTAAGGTAAAAGTTCAATTGTTATAGTTAAATTTGTTACATATTTTCTACAAAAATACGGCTATTAAGCTTAGTTTCAATTCTCTTTCCTTTTGTACTCTTCTATATAAAAACGCCTTTTCTAATTTTAATATTGCAAGTAGATGGCGTTTGAGAATACAATCAGTATGATGATATTCAACTATTGGGGATACTATAAATAGATGGAGAAATGAATTTAAAATGAATTTAAAATAGAGAAGTAGAAAATGGGGGAGGGAAGGGAGAGAGAATGTATTTACCGTACGTATTTAAAGCATGAAAAGTGCAACATAAGGTAATATCACTGGCTTTTTCCAATGAATTATTAGCATATGCATTTACAGTCTATTTTTAAATGGCATTTGGAACAAAAGACATGCCTTATAAAATCTAAGATCAACGGATAGTGAAAAAAAACCGTCAGATGTTATTGGGATGTTAAAGCTAGAATATCTATATAAAATTGTTACTGAAATAAAAAAATAACGGCTTCTGATAGAATAATAAAAGCTTTAACAACAAAAGTACAGGTGTCATAAAATCCTTAACGATTTCATAAATATATTAGTATTATTCTTGTAAAATATTAACTAAAAGCTTTTTTTCTACGAAAACTTATTATTAGAAAAGCTAGACATGATATGACACTATTTTTTGCCTATTCCTATAAGACAATAAAGAATGCGGCAAAAAATCTAATAGCCTGAAGAAGAGACGCTATCATTCACGTTCTTCCCCCGTTCCCCCCTGATATTAATTATTAATAAAAGAATTTTAAATATATAGAAACGGTTTTTATACGAATAAGCAGAATGTTTACTTGTAAAATAGACTGTTTACAAGCGATTTATGTCAAATGCTGTTTACTAATATCATTTTTTGTCAATTTATTATTATTTAAGGTTTTGCAGCTTCTTTGAGTTTCTTCGCAATGTGCTTCCCGCCTAGTAATAGTCTCGTTTCCATCATCGACTTCCGTTTCCGGCATCCGTGTTCTTCAATGGCGGATTAATCTGTCACAATTTCATAAGAAATAATATTGAGAGGATGCTCTAGTGTGTCTATGGTCTTTTCTAGCAGGGATAAACGCGATGTAAAACTTTCTTTTTAGTTCTGCCAAAATTCACAGGTAAGATTTAGGAAATGTTTTATACGAAATGGTTTCGAATCTTATGAAATTGCGCTTCCCTACTTGGGTTAATTGGACGCTGATAAATATTTAATAACATGTATTTCCAACACAAAAACCTATCATTCGATTACCAAAGCCTATTTTTTCTGCAGGTTGCGGTAAACTCCGAGAAAAGGATAGGGATCATGGCACTTTGTGATAAAGGTATCCGGAAATACGCGAATTCTAAATAAATTATTTTTTTCCATACATAATTGCATAAAATATATTACTTTATAGGAAGTCCTAAAAAAAGGGAGAAAGACTCTGAATCTCCTGAGAAGCGATACATGTCTGTTATGAAATTAAATAAATCTGGTAGGTAGACAATGTTATTTCTGGACGGCTTCTTAAGCTGTACATCTTAAATAATATATATAATTCTTCTAGGAACGATAGAATCCAGTATAACGTTATGGCAGTTTCTTTTGGAGCTTTTAGTGAATGAAAAGTACAATCATTTAATTAAATGGACGAATAATGAAGGTGAATTCAAACTAATAAACGCTGAAGAAGTGGCCAAATTGTGGGGTCTAAGAAAGAATAAAGTAAGTAAAATTGTATGAATTGAAAAAAATTCTTTATATGAAATATTAGCTTACGCCTTTTAGGCTTCTATTATAATGATAATTTGTTAATGGGTGTAATATTTTTTGTAAATATTTTATGCAAAATATAAACGCTTTTCATCGGTAATTCAATTTTAAAACAGAGTAATATGAACTACGATAAACTGTCCAGAGCCCTTCGGTACTATTACGATAAAAATATAATAAAGAAAGTACTAGGTCAGAAATTCGTCTACAAGTTTGTTGCTTGTCCAGATACTTCAAAAAAAGATGATAATTCAGCTAGTTTAGTGAATTTTCCGTATTCGGATTTTGCAAGAGTATCTAAGAAAACATCTCAGGTGTCTCCTGAACCTGCAGCGACAGCATCAGCAGCAATAGATTACAGCAATAAGGCGCCAGTGTCTCAAGAAAATGATAAAAGTAAAATCAAGTCAGAGGAACGAGTACCAATTATGACGGTGAGTATTCTAAATTTAGACTTTATCTGATGCAGCAGATTATCTTCATTATTTTTTTATTGAAAAGTAAAACATTGCAAGCATTTGGAATATTGAAATTAAAAACCTGTAATATTATATGCAATATTTCATATAAAAACGATGAATTGTTTTTATAAATAGCTTTATATTATTTCTTTTTTAAGAATAATTAATGATACGCTGTTATATATGCTTATTTGTTGTCAGTAAATAGTATGCGACTCCAGAGATTAGGACTAAGATAAGACTTTTATGATTGCATCTTTGCGTATCTGAATAATAAGAAAGACTATTTAAATGAACTTCTGCGTAAAGGCCAGTTGTCATAAGTTTAGAAGTAATGATAAAACAGTTAGACTGATATCGCACTGATAAAGTTAACGTCTAATTATAATGTTTTTTTTGTGTAAAAATAGGTAATCTCACCACCTTCAGAAGATCAGTTAAAAGATTCTGAAGTTTGTTGCGTGAAGATAGAATCACCCACACCACCTTCTAATTCACCATCTCCTCAACCTCTGGATAAATTGACAACTGTTTCAAAGCACAAGCCAAATCCCATTGACCTCGGTCCAACAATCTTACAATCAACTTTCTCTCATACGAACAGCCCTCATATAGTTGTCTCACCAGTTCCTGGAGGAGTAGGGGCACGAGGTACACCAGTTGGAGGTCTTCATTTTTGGAGTCAAATGAGTTCCATTCTAAGTCCTGCTGCCGGCATTAGTCCGCACTTGAACATTCATAGTGGCGGAAATGGTCTGAACACACCGTCGTTTCAGTTTCCTGCTACATCAGGAAGCTTAGTAACGTCAGCTGCTGCAAGCCTATCTGTAGACGCTTTGAAAACGCCAGTCGTACTCACGTCGCCGAAATCTAGACAAGTACACTCGAATTGACCGTACTGTTTTTCTCGTCTATTTTCATTCGTTTGTTTGTACATCTTTTTTTCAATGTACAAAGACTAGAAATGTTTCTTCTAATAGATAAAATATAATCGGATCAAAATTATATTTGACCCAATTTTTTAATTCTTTGGGACTTTTTTATTGGAATAAAAAACAAATACATGTCATTAAAAATATTTACCTGTTTGTTTCGAGCTAATATTTTTCATGGCTATCGAACTGGTTTTCGGCCAACCTTCAAAATGTATAGTGACATCTGGTGGGAAATTACGCAACACAATAGATAGAGTGTATTTTCGAGGAGAAATACCTGCGCAGCATTCTAATTAATTCTATTTATATTATTAATGTTTACTAGGAAAAGTCTGTTTGCATGATGATAATTTTATTTACATTTATCTAGTAAAAACAAGGCGAAAAATATTTACATATTGTACATTTTTCGCAGCAGTTTGTCGCAAGAATTAAACGAACAGCACCAATACGAACAATTCATGAGCAAGAGAAGTGAATTTCGTCACCATTTAATCATCGCAATCCAACGAATCGGGATATAAATGCTTGCAGGCTAAGTATACGACTGCCTCATAGGTAGCCATCATTATGGCCGTGTTAGGTATTTGACGAATTAATTGCGTAGTAAGTCCTCTATATAATCCTTTTGGCCCTTCTTCTCTACCCACTAAGGCTAACGTTTGCCAAAAACTTCTATATCTATTACCCTCTTGTCGGAGTCGAGTACGAGCAACTTCGTGAGGATAGGCTAAACAAGTAGCTATAGTTTTGGATACTGCGCCGGCAGCCATGAATTCCATGAAATCCATTGTTGATCTATCTTCCTCATGAATAGATTGTCCTTTTATTTCACGTAATCTCGCTTTAATGGCTTCATATATGACGAAATGAATAACAGTTTCACTGATTCCGTAATAAGAAGCAGTCATTCCCTTATAAAAACCTTGAATACCAGTCGTTCTCATTACATTTAATACACACTGACGAACAGTAAGCTTCCCGTTACCTTTCCTGTAAATACAAAGTGCACATGTAAACATCTACGTTGTAAAGTAGAGCAGACAATTGGTGTCAATATAATTGATTTTTGTTCGCCTTGACAGGATTCGTCTTAGTAAAAAGAAGTTACATAAACGAGTTTTTAAAAGCTAATTATAATTTAGCACCGTCGTTGCTTCTGGATTAATATTTATAATAAAATATCAATACCAGTTTAATGGTGCATGCGTAATTTTACTTTCTTTCAGACATAACAAGAATAAAAATTCGATTAGTTAGGCCTAGTCTCATCAATGTCGGCCACGTTTTCATCACGTGATATCTAAAACAGACATCTTCTAAGTATGGTATACAAAAAATGATTTTCATAGATAGAACAGCTTCTTACTAATCATTATCAACTGAAAAGTCCAAAAAAATATAACAAAAACTGGCCTACGTGCAGATTTGAATGTATTTCTATTTTTAAAATGTAGGTGCAGCTCAAAATATTTTAACAAATATTATCTCCCAAGTAGTAACCAGTATAAACTGGAATAATTCCCAATGAAGCAGTTTCTTAGGGAAACTTAACAATGACCTTAACCGAAGATAAATCGATGTTGTTTACTGTTTACTTTTAAGCGTTTAACAGACCCTCGGCCGCCTTTTTTAAAAGCGAGGCACGAGAACTAACAAATGTTGTATAATCGATTAAATATATGCCTACTTACTTCTGATCTAATTGTAATCGTGTTTTAATGAACCATATAGGATTAGTGGCAGTCGAGGCTGTAAAACCTGAAATCATAGAAGGACAGACGTTAGATAACGTTCACGATAAACAACTTGGTAATCTTAATAGAATCGTTCGTTATGATAATAAGTTTAAGTACGGTTAAAATGATGATCTTACCTGCGCAAGCTGCCGATAGGATATGCACAATTGGGGTTTCGGGATCAAAGATGTCGTTTAAGAAGGCTTTGCTTTGAGCATAAGCACAAAAATATATGGCTCTCGATGGGGCAACGCCAACCAAGTTAGGTCCTAATCCTTTAAATAGTCCGCGTCCACCCTCGTGTTGTATTATATACCTAATAATCAAAATATTATATGTTGAAATGATCCTGCTACCAACGAACTTACTTTATGCAAGTTGTCAATCCGATGGAACTTCGCGTTGTAGGGGAGTTGTGAAGGGTCTCTACGCCGGCCTGTACCACATTCAATCTGCTGTGAGTTGAAGAAGTAATTGCCGTGCTGAATCGAGCACTTGCAAAATGATGCGCTGGGTAAAAGGTCACCTGACTAACATATCCGTTTGCTGAAGGTTTAAAGGAAGCGACGCTGGACTGCAAACGTGTCTTCACCACTTCTAGAGGACATGTTAATACTGCTCCAGCTGTACCGCCAGCACTGTGTGGTAAAATTTCATGTAAGTGACACTAAATCATACATTCTTAATGTATTATGAAATAGCTGTATGTTCAACCAGTGAAGGTCATGGAACTAAATTTTAAAATAATGTTATACCTCCATAGAGGTAATTATTTAAGAATTACGTGTATTTCAGCGAAAATTTATCATTAATCATAAATCGACATTAGGTAATATAATTATTAAATATAAAATATAATTCAGACTAATATATCTGTAGAATGTTCTGGATAACTTAAAGTTACTCACCCGCCAGCGAGCAAATGTACAATTGTTCTTTCTTGAGCCATTAGGCGATGTATTTTGCACCATCTAAGTTGGTGTATAATACTCGAATAACAACGAAATTAATGAAGGAATATGCGCCAAAGCACCCGGTAAGGAAAAAAACAAAAATATGGCGGCTTACTTATTTCATATAAAAGGCTTTTTGATTCGCAGTCACAAAAATGAATATTTATGACGTTGATAGCTGCCCTTCTATTGGTTTATAGTTTTCGGTGTATTCCTCTTACTTGTTTCACGTGGGTGATAGGCATATTCATTCGTAGTATCACGTGCAAAGATAACGGTGATTGGTCAATTAAGATACTGTGAATGAAGGAACATTTGGGAAAAGTATGAAACAATTGTTTATTATTTTATGTAAATATGTAGTTTAAATGATTAACCAAAGCACTTCACGTGCTTCGTACGAAAACGCGGATAGGACGCCATTTTGATATTATCGAGAACAAGAATAGCCGGGTTGTGTTCGAGGTCATATTTCTAATAATATCATTCTCTATCCATATATTTTAATCAAATTATTCAACAGATGACTGCTCCGCAATCAGTAGTTAAGGATGACGTTCAGCGCGAAATTCCTAAGCCGATAGATCGTGAAAAGATATGCCCACTGCTTCTGCGTGTATTTTGCTCTACAAGTTTGTATTACATAATATAAATGTGATATTTTATAATTTTTACATACTAAGCAATATAATTTCTTATCCTCATTATGAGTAATATTATAAGCAATAAGCTTCAGTTATTCAGCATGAAAACATTCATAAAGTTTTCGAATAGTTTTCTAACAGAAAAACAAAGATATTTTTAATTTGTTTAACAGAAGCACTTTTCAAAATATAACCCGATTAATAGACATATGGAAAAACAACATTTATTTAATAGACTAGAAATACTAGATAGGTTGCTTAAAAGCAAAACAAACTTAACAAAGTTTAACATCAAAAGAATATATAATCAGTAAATTGACCTTTGCCATAGATAGGCTGTTTGTCATTCGTAACATGCATTTTACATGTGATACATACTTAGACAAAATCAGATTAAAAACTGTACTTTAACTTTGTTTTTTTCCGTAGGACAATTTAATGTGTACTTCCATAAAATAATAGTGAAACTTTTTGCATGTAGGTCGTCACAATCCCCTCAGCGAATATGACAGAGGAAGAACTCCGAGTAATGAACTTCAAATTTATACTTGGATGGATGCTACATTAAAAGAGCTAACAGCCTTAGTAAAGGAAGTGAATATCGACGCTAAAAGAAAGGGGACATTTTTCGATTTTGCGATCGTTTTTCCAGACACAAGATCACCAGTTTATCGTATGAGAGAAATAGGAACTACTTGTGCGGGTAAACGAGGTGCCGATGATGAGCTCACATTGGCAGGGAAAAGATTTCAAATTGGTGATTATATCGATATCGCTATTACTCCACCAAGAGGAGATCGTCGAGACATGGGACGGGATAGAAGATATTGAATCATATGACATAAAAATCTGTTTCTTTTGATACTGAGTCTAAATATATATAATATATATATGTCTTATTTGTGTACATCATATTTGTTGGTAGCGCCATCTAGTTGTTTCATTGAGAGGGCTCTGTTATCTCAATGCAGTCAGATTACCCATAGTTGTCGGCAAGTAAGCACTAAATCCAGGGATATGAAAATTTTACTGTGATTATGTCGAAAAAATACAGGAAATTAGCTGGTACTGTAATAGTCGTATGGCTCTTGTCAGTTTTATGTAAGTTATAAAGGTTTTTATCTTAATGGATAAAATAAAAATTTGAAATTATGAATTTAAAAAAGCCTATTCATTATCAATATCAGTAAAAGGGCACTTTATGTAAAATTGTATTAAAACTATGAACAGAAGCAGAGAAAAGATATCTACTAAATATTTTATGTTTAATGAAAGGTGTATTGTGTCTAGGCTCCTGTCAGCTAATTTTAATCATGTACATTTATATTTGAGTTATGTTAACTGAACTGGTTAGGAGTAAATAAAGTCGCCTCTGAATAGTATTCAAAATTTATACTAAAAAGTATATAACGAAGAAGCAGGTAGATATAGATATACATGATATATACTTGTATATATCGAACATCTATCTATACTATATTCTTTTGATATCAATCTATCCTATTCTAAATTTTCCTTAGTGTTCTCCCTCTTTTATTATTGTTACATACTAACATTTGTAAAGCTCTACTATTATAGACATTTCTTAATATTTAAAATATCTTTGTCACAATATACTTTGTACTGTTATTATTTATTATTTTTTTCTGTCATGATGCTTTGCAATACCTTTTTAAAGGGGGATTCTACATTCTTTTTCCATATGCTATATAGCAAGATCATTGGAGTGAAGTATTTTCGTTTTTCCTTTATTCTGCTATTTGAAAATGCGCTTATATAAATGAAAGAAATCTCTTAAGATGATATAGAAAAAGAATTTTTTTTGCTAATCTCTCTCTCTCTCTCTCTCTCTCCCTCTGTCTCGCTTTCTTTCTTTTCTTAATGTTAAAACGTTTCATCTTATTTAAATGATTTCTAGGTATAGGAGTAAAATGACTATATTAGAAATTAGGTGAGAAAGTTTTAAATATACCGAAACAGAATTATTAATTATAGAGAAATAGAAATATTTTCGGAAATCCAAGAAACAGAAAGTCAAATTACTGTACAAACTTCTCGTAGTGCCCAATTAAAGATGAGAAGTATTTTGAAAGAGTTAGTGAGAGAGAGAGAGAGAGAGAGAGAGAGAGAGAGAGAGAGAGAGAGAGAGAGAGAGAGAGAAGGTGAAGAAAAGAGGAAAATAGCTTAAACTCTATACTGATGATTTGCTTATCTCTTGCTATGAACTGATCCTTTCTATATTATCAAATAAATCCTGATTTTATCTTTTACATAGAATTGACTTTCAGAGTTAAATATGAAATCTGCAAAATTCTCTATGACCTTGATAAAATACTAACTACTAATATCTAATTACAGCAAAAAAAGTGCGTATCCAGCAACAATTTCTCAATACAGAAATACAATTATGTTGTTTATACACTGTAATACAGTCTGTATATACTGTATACTGTATACTGAATGCAGGAGATGTTTTAAAATAATTTGCTGTATACGCAAGAAAATATATTAATGCTAAAAATAGCTGCAGTGTTTACTAAACATGTTCAATAATTGTTAAATCCGAATTATGAATAAGATATCGTAGGTTTATTATACATTAAGGTGAATGAAAGCTGTAGAATATAAAAAATGCTTGTATCGTTACACAAAGTAAGCGAGCTTATTTTAAGGTTAAGGCAAATGTAAGACTTTATGACAGGTAATAAAGTGTAGTTTAATTCATGGGAATATTGACTCAGTTGTGTTATTGATGGGAGGTGCTAATTGCTCTTTTGTTAATTATTTAATTTGTAAGTAATCGAAATATTTCACCGAGAATTCTGCGTTGAGAGAGAGAGAGAGAGAGAGAGGGAGGGGAGGGGAAGGGGGGAGGAGAGAGAGAAAATTAAGAACGAAGAACAAAAAAAAGAAAAAGCTCACTTTTTTACCGAATACCTAGGTAGTTTTCTAACTTTCTAGCTTTCTATCTAACTAATCTCGTTTACCAATCAACGTCCAGTTTGACTTTTATCAAGTGCAGATGTTGAGAAAGAAAGAGAGAAGGAAGAAAATCGGATGCGTGTAAGCCTACAGATTGCGGATAGACGCCTGTGGAAAAGGTCGGCAAGATAATATTGGCAATATCTCTGGCACTACTAAATTGATAAAAAGCCATGGTATTTAGAGTAGGAAACGCATTTTCTCTTATTTCCGAAGTACTATACACTTTTGCAAGTTTTTTGTATGGCTTGTTTCATTCTCTCAATATGTTTAATGCTTATTGTTGTCTGTCACGTGCTAAGTGAATTGGTCGTCTCTTCACATACTATTTATACGCTTTCGATGCTGTCTCGTATACTGGAAGCTTATACTCTCTTCAGTTAGAGCTTTTTTTTATCTTAACAATATGTAATATTGGTAAAGATGACTGAAATGAAAGGCAAACTATAAGGTTTCCTGTATGGTGCTAGACGCAATTGATACTATTGAAGTTTGTTCTTTTCACACATTTAAGACTTAAATAAGACGTTGTTGATAAATGAGGAGAAACGGGAATTTTACATGTCTGGCTGTCTTAAAGGCCTATTACGTTCCAACTGTAAAATCGTTCAATTTTCTTTCATGCGTGTCATTAGGCAGCAATCTCGGCGATAAATTGCTTTTGTTATTGGATTTTCCCCTCACGGTGTGATTTATAATAAAGTGTAGGACGATAGAGGCAAGATGAAAAATCATAAAGGATAATAAATGTTGAATAAATTATGTAAATTAAGGTAGAAGAATTAATTTTGTTTTCTTACACATATATTTTACTTACACTATCTAGTTTATTTCATAAATTAGGTTAGGAGTTTTCTCTCAGGGAAAGAAACTCCATTGATGGAATGAGCGAGAGATAAATTAAGAAGAGCGTAGACTGTATATTAAATATAAACAAATATTAATATTAATGTATCTATAGCATTGACTGTAACTAATGGGCAAAACCAGGCATTATTATAAACTAAGACATTTTCATCTTGGGTTTATTCCAATAAGTCTTACGCACTCTTGATATTTCCGTTAGTTCATTAATATTCATATATCATTCCTGTTGTTGTTAGAAAGTCAACGAGAAAAAGTAGAGTCAGCAATCCTTTAAGGCGTCCATAGCCAAATCGAAATCCCATCGGTACCGCTTGTTTTTAGAGAGATAATGAATGATTTATAACAAGCTGTTATGCAAATAAGAGTTAAATGTCACTGCGGGTATTACCCAAAGTTCTTGGTGTACTCATTTTATTTTTTAAAATCCTCCTACGCTATTTATTATTCCTACTACTTCATTATAGATTCACTTTTGCATCGTCTAATTATTCTAATATTTCAAAAACTAACAAAGCTAAAGAAAGATAATGAGAGAAAGTAGGAAAAGTAGAAAAATGATGGCACTAGACCGTAAATTCGATATTTTAAATCCGTAAAAGGATCAGAGAAAAAGAAACACCTGTTACAAGCCTCTTGGCTAGAATACTCCTTAAGCCCTTCTCTTGACAGATAAGAAACTGAGAGCGTCAATTTTTTTCTTTAATAAAAAATATGAGATTTTCTGCTGTTGTTAATTTTTTATCTCGTGTTAATTCTCTATTTTTATTCTCTTACAACAGACTTTTTAGTTAGAGAAGGAGGAATCACAGTTAAGGATGACGCCACCTCTGGAACCTCATCAAAAATAGGTTAATTAATATTTCAATTTCTAACTTGATTGCCGTATTGAGGGACTCACGCGATTTTACAGATCGTCACAGAATAGACAGCTATTGCAATTCACCGCAAGAGTTTATTGCGCAAGAAGGAATCACCCCTGGGCGTCTACTCCAAGTAAACGTTATTCTTCGCCATGGGATTCGTAATGTCTTTTCCAAATCTAAAAAACTTCCGTTTCCTTCCATCCCATGCACACTCGACAACACAACACAGATGGTGAAAAAACTAACGTCAATGTATAGGAAATTAGACGCCGGAAGTTTACTGCGTAAATTTGGTATTATGCCCAACAAAGAACTCTGTGCAATCACGCAATTGACGCCAGCGGGATTTTTACAAACGATACGAATCGGAAAGCTTCTTCGTTCAAAATATTCATCTTTTTTATCAAATATTCGCAAACAAGACATTTACGTAAGAACAACGGAGAGGTCACGGACAGTCCAGAGTGCTGTGGGCTTCTTATATGGCTTATTAGACGAGGTAGAATTACCTCCATTCAAAGTCAGTGCTTCTACGAATTTTTGCAGCACGAAATGGACACTGATAGATAAATGCTTCTGCAAGAAAAGGAAAGTTTTACAAAAAGCATCGAAATTAAACGAAACACTTCGCAACATTCCGGAAATAGTCGATAACTTAATGGCTCACAAATGCAACGACGTCAATTTCGATCATCCAGTTAGTGAGCGTTTAGCTGACGAGTATTGGACGCTACTAGACGACACGGGCGCAGCGCAATTGAAGAATGAAGAATTTTTTAAACTACACAAACTCCTGGCTCATCCTTTTCTCTGCGAATTGTCCCTTAGGATGTTCAACGCTACAAAAGACTCTAAATTAACGCCTAAAATCGCCCTTTATTCTGGTCACGACCTAACTATAAAATCTGTATTGACTGCCTTAGGGCTTTTCGACGGACGTTGGCCGTCCTTTGCCGCCCGTGTCGTTTTTGAATTGTACGAAACTCCAGAAGGACGCCATCAAGTAAGAATTTTATACAATGGGATTGACATTAGCGATAAGGCGTTTTTCTGTCGACCAAACTGCTCACTGAATAATTTTGTCAAGTTTTGCAAAATTGATAATCTTAAACAGTTCAGAAGTGCCAAATCTTATAGAGACGCTTGTGATTCTTAGGATTCTCATTTTAAGGAATACATCTAAAATTGATAGTAAATAGAGTGCAACCCAAGTGACATACATTACTGAAATATTGTTTATTTTTGTTTTCCTTTTTGTTACAAATATCTCAATTTTTTGTCCTTTTGATAAAATATACAAAACAAGATAAAAAGTACAAGGGATCTTTTCTACCACTCCTAATCAGCCTCTTCGGGAGCATCGATAACCTCCTCGGCAGTCTGTTAAGTAAGTTTGGCATATTAATTGAATTTATCTGTAAGTATCTGGGATTAATAGTTAGAGCGTAATTTGATTGTTACCTCGTTGTTCATCTCTTCTAACCTTCTTTGCTCGTAAACCTCTTCTGCCTCTTGTTTTTCCTCTTCGCTATATTCATCTTTATCGAGCCGCTCAAGGCGTCTAAGCGTCACCAAAACTTCCAATCGATAATCGTCTTCGCTCGCAAGCGGGGTGCTGCTAAGTACAAGAGCACGAATCATAGGTAACGATTGCATTTTCTTCAACTCTTTAATATCTGCGAGTTTTTCGCATTCCCTAGGGAGGAGAAGTCATTGAATTAGTTTTTTATTGGTTTACAGTCTAATTTTGTAATAACGAAAAGAGACAGTTTTCTATCATTCAACTTACCTAAAATTGACGTATTGCAAATTTTTCATACTTTCGGAGAATCCGTCTAAATTCTCAATTGGATTAAATCTTAAGTGTAACGTTGTCAACTGCTCAAGCGTATGCAAACCCTCCAAACTGGTAATTTCGTTATGGGCTAAAAATAAATTCCTCAAAGTAGGTAATTCTAGACCAGCAGTTGAAGTTAATTTATTGCCCCGTAATTCTAGAGTATGCAATCTACTTAACCCGGTTGCTACCAAGCCAGATATCTTTTCCAACCTATTATCTTGTAGAATTAGGTGTTCCAAATGAGGATGACTGACGCCCTCTAGCGTTTTAATTCTATTCTTTGAGAAGGAAGCTACTTGTAAATAGGGACGCTCCTCTAAAGCTGCTGTTGTCAATTTATTATCATCAGCTTTTAATGTTGACAAATGTGTTAAATTTGACAGGACGGAAATATCTTTCAACTTGTTGTTGCTTATATCAACATATCTTAAATGTATATATGAAGCCAAAATACTGATATCTGTCAACTCCTTCTCATGTACGTCCAATTTGACGTAAGCGTGAGAAAGGCCATCACCAGTTTTACACAACAGTGATAATCCATTGGATATCATATCATCTGAAAGAATAATTTCAGGATCCGGCTCTTCAACCTCTTCCTCCTCTTTCTCTTCTTCCTCTCCCTTCTCTTCCTCTTCGGCCTCTTCTTCACCCGTTTCTTTATCACCCTCCTCTATATCTTTTTCTTCATCTCCCGCAGTTTCCTCTGCATTTTCAGTTTCATCAAAGTTTTCCTCTTCTTGATCACTCATATTTTCAGTTTGAAATGGCTACTACGGTTACCAATAGCAATGCGAACGTAACGCCATCTACTTGATATTTATTTGTAAAAAAAGATTGAATAAAAACGCGAGACTATACAATAACAAAAAAATCGAACTTTTTTATATTAAAGTACAACGATTTATTATTAAAACATAAAAAAATAACGTTTTCATCTTTTCACATATCCTCCATAACTGGTAACCAAAACGACTGAAAAGAAATGTAACAGATAAGTAAATGTTTGTCACTAATGAGAATATTATTTACAAATATATATATACATAGTATATATATAAATACACAAAAATTAAATTATTATTACCATATTTGAACATGCTGAGGCTAATAGCATGTATTTAGGATTAAACTGAACTCTATTGACTGGACCTTTATGTTCAGAGTTGAGTATAACAACGCGATGACCAGTTAAGGCATTCCAGCAATGGATTTTTCCATCAGCAGAACCTAGATGAGAATTGCAAATATCAATTATAGCTATAATAGTCTATTTGCGTATAAATTAATTACATACCGCTTAAAACGAATTTTGAATCTGGTGTAAACGACGCTTCTAAATTTAATCCTTTATTCTGGATTCCATCAAAGGTTTGTAGGGGACCGCCTTGATAAGCGTCAATTAAACGTATTACTGTTCCATTTGTAGATATGAGAATCGTTTTTCCGTCGGGGCTAAATTTTAAATTAGTCCAATCGCATTCACATTCTTGAGGTAGTTTAAATGTGGCGAATGGTCCTTTATCGAAAGATCTCAAATCATATAATTTCACGAATTCTGAGTTAATTCCAGCCGCGAAGATTAAACCTTCAGGGTCAAAAGCTGCAACAGGACGTCCAGGAAGGTGCATTACACCTTGACAATTTGGTGATCTCAAATCCCATAATCTTAAAGTTTTATCTAGAGACCCTGAGAGGAATGTATCATCTACTGGAGACATGCTCAGTGTTACTACCCTGAAAATGAATGAATTATTTAAATACGCAATAGAAATGTAACAAAAATAAATAATTGTTTCAGTGCAATAATATAATACATATATGCTTCAAAGACTAATTGCGATAAGAGAAATAATTGTTACTTCTGATTATGTCCGTGAAAGTATCTGATGTATTTATTGTCATGAAGGGAAAGGTATCTAATTGTATCTGGAGTAATAAAAAAGCTGTAATTGAAGAGAATAATAAGAAAAGGAAAATATTTACCATCAACTTTAGTTGATCCGTGAATTGCTGTATTGGCTGCGTGGGTAAATCGGATCATATCTACACCGTACTTTTTGCTATTAAGTTGTCTTTTTGGTCTGAAACAGAAAGCATTAGACAGAATCATTGATAAGCTATACACTACTTACTGTCCATTCTGACAATCGTAAATAACAATTTGATCATCATCACTACTGCTTATTAAACTAGTACCCTGCAGATCGAAATCCATTGAGTTTATTGGAGCCGAGTTCTCCTTAAAAATTTTCGCGACTCGGAAATTTCGAATCGTCTGTTCATTTAACTTCAGTTCTTTCGGAAACATGGCGATGTTCTGCTATCGAAAACAAGGCAGATATGTTGATAATATAGCAGGTGTCGCGGTAATATTACTATTTCTACGAGCGCCGACAATGTTGAACCCAACGAAATTATACGAAAATAATCATATGCCAATTTAGCGGGCGGTCAATAGGCTAGTATTTTTCTACAAAATACTATTAAAATCCAATAGAAGAATTAAAAATATATATTTGAAAGATATTTTTTGCAAATATTCAATTAGAAAATACTTAATTCGAGCTCAAGATTCTCTTTGATTAAAATACGAAAATTATAATAGTTTCGCAGTTAATTATTTCGAAAGGCAGTACAGATCTCAATGACGATGTGATGCTTGTAAATTTAGATTTCTATATTCGACATAGGCATACATGTATTTATAACACAAAAATGACACTAAAATTACAAAGCGATTCAGTCATCTATTTACAAATTGTTTTCAAACAGTTCGGTCTTTTTCCTTCTCAAAGTTTTCGAATGCTGGATTTCCTGACTGAAAAAGAAATAAAGTAAAGCCAGATACATTGAAAATTTATTTTTAATGTTGGTATCTATGAGCACGTACGCTTTACTACCATCTTCTACAGGATCAGTGCATGCGTTCCAAATTTTTTCACGTAAAATAGAAAGACAGTCTGCCTTATTGAGAAACTGTTTCCTACTTTTATCAGAAGATATTATCAAATATCCATCCTTTGTTATATTATATTTCTCCTAAAATTATATATCTTTTAATACTTCCAAACAGTCGTATATTTAAAATAAACTCACAGTTTTTAGCAAAACTTTTCTTGCTCTTTCAGGAATCCATTCGGCAGATTCCAAATGAAATTTTAATTCAACTTTTGTGTTTAAAAGTACTACATGCTGTTTTCCCAGACCACTTGACTTTTTAGTATTTATTTGAATTTTATCTGAATGCAGTATATTAATCAAGTGTCGTAAGCTACAAATTTAATCAAGATTAATTGCTAAATAATTACCTAGAGGTATAAATCCAGAGAATCGGTCATTAGTACTTTTCTGAAAAAGCAAGCATTCGATTGAAATGATCCCCTTTTATCACTCGTTATATTTACCTCATACTCAATCGTTTGTAAGAAATCCTGATTGCTATTTGGATAAACATTATCTAATGAGTAAGCACTTTTGAATGAGCTCTTTGTCACAGTTGTACATAGTTGTCGCCTTAAACAGATGCTATTGAACCGAGAAAGAGCGATAAATGATGATCTTAACATTGACGCCATTTTAACTGGACAGTCTTCCCTGTTGGATCGGATTTTAGCGGAATAGATTTCCGGAACCCAGACCAGGCAAGTCATAGGCGGGATTTCACAAGGTTTGGCGCCATTTCTGCTGACTCTTCGTTGTTTTACGTAATTTCTTAGTTATTTAAGCAATTGAAGCTCTAATAGTGTCAAATCTGCCTGAAAAATGTTCGAAGCACGTCTTGTTCAGGGAAGCATCTTGAAAAAACTTCTTGATGCCATAAAAGATCTGCTGAATGAGGCGCCATTGGACTGTAGTGAAACCGGCATCTCCCTACAAGCTATGGATAGCTCTCACGTCTCTTTAGTGTCATTAAACTTGAGATGTGATGGTTTTGATACGTACAGATGCGATAGAAATAAATCGATGGGCATAAATTTAGTCAGGTAAGTGATTACAAAGTCCGTTGATACTGGGTGACATTTTACTTATTCAAACAGCATGACAAAGATTTTAAGATGCGCGGGAAATGACGATGCTATAACTATCAAAGCTGATGATAACGCAGACACCGTAACTTTCGTGTTCGAAGCCCCAAGTAAGAAACAACGAGAGTAAAAACTTTCCCAGTATTTATTATTTAATTCATACAGGTGGCGATAAAGTATCTGATTATGAAATGAAATTGATGGACATCGATCAAGAACATTTAGGGATTCCAGACACAGAATATAGCTGTGTCGTTAAAATGCCATCTGCAGAATTTCAAAGAATTTGTCGAGATTTATCACAAATCGGCGAATCCGTAAATATTTGTTGTACAAAAGATGGAATTAGATTCTCCGCTTCGGGAGATCTGGGAACTGGAAATATTAAACTTGTGCAAACGGCTAATGCCGATAAAGAAGAGGAAAATGTAACAATCGAGATGACAGAAGCTTGTACACTAACATTCGCTCTTCGCTATTTGAATTTTTTTAGTAAAGCTACTCCACTATCTCCAAGCGTATCACTTAGCATGTCTGCCGATGTCCCTCTTGTTGTCGAGTATAAAGTTGGAGATATGGGACATATTCGCTACTACTTGGCTCCCAAGATCGAAGACGATGCCGATTAAGATTATTCCGTTTAGTTCTATCTTTATTTTACTAAGTAGAATTATGTCAACAAGTTTGGAGGCTTATGTACTTAAAGTGTAAAGAAACATTTTTAAATAAACTTTTTTATGATTGATATGTATTGTTTTTTCTTCTATATTATAGAACTATTCAAGCAAAATTATATTTTACCACAAGTTTGTATTTCTTTGTCACACTATGCGGTAGAGACGTTACTTTTCCAGTTTATTTTCAGCTACCTGAGGCCTACTAATTCCTCTGCAAGCCTTCTCTAGTTTAATGAATGGTAATTCGATGAAAGTCGTTAAAACAAAGGCAACCATAAGTGAATAAATCAAAAAGGCAGGGTAGAGAATAACCTAACAATACATAATAGAAATTGCATAATTGAAAGTAAACAAACTCACATGCTCACCCAGTAAATTTGATGAAAGAAAAGTGGCTTCGGAAATGATCGTAAGAATAATCTAAAAATTGTTAGGTGAACTAGATAGAGACTATAGGTAAGTCTGCTAATTGGTAGCCATATATTCAAACTCAAAATGCCATTAATTGCCCAACCATAACCATGCCAACATGCAAATATAGTCCATGCTATGCAACATGACCAGATTAGTCTATAGGTACTCTCGAAAAATATTTTTACACCCCTTGACCATTTATCTTGATGATATCTCACATAAAGAAGGGCGAGTGCCACTGAAATTGTGACTATCCAAATGATGAGAGCAATAACCTTTATTTGGATAATAAAATATTACAAAATGACAACAACGTTGCAATGGATGTTCACCCGTGCCAAACATTTTCTTTTAAACGACGTTACTCCCCTCGTCTTACTTCCGAGAAATCCTATTAGAACTCCAATTGCATAAGCTCCAATCCTACACCATGGCTTTATATAAATCGACTGGAAAGTGCTAAATGGTTCTGTCCTGTTTTTGCTAATTAATGAAACACTTATACTTAATAGTAATAGGATATAATCTATTATTTATTCCTATCTCTTAAAATGATCATTTATAAGGCTCATTTAGCATCTTTCAAAATGTTAACTGACTACTTTTAATATAAAAAATCTATAATTGACTTAAATGGATTGTTAAAGTTATAAAATCAACTGTAAAGGTTAATTATCTATAATACATACTCTGTCGCTTTATGCCATAAAACGATATTAGCCACAAGATTACCTATAATTAGACCTATTGTTAATATTATTCCGAATATCTTGTTTCTGAAAGAGTTCAAAAATAAAAATATATTTTTGTTAATAAGGTCAACGAACTGTAAAAGACAAAGGCTAACCTTTTGTATGCAATGAGGAAAATAGGCAAGATGGCGAACATTTGAAAGTCGTTAGGTATATACCAAGAATGACTGAGACACTTCATTTGAAAGAGATGAAAATAATAAAAGTAATGACGACACTTGTATATATTCAGGATTAGTTTAATTATTTCTTTACCTCTAGTACTTTTGCCGAGAAAAAATTATGAATAAAGAGTAAATGTTTCCACCATGAACTTTCGCAAGTTTTAACAAAATCATCTCGCTCAACACTATAAGGACCGTATGGTATGAATTTAACAAAGCATATCTCTATCATAAGAACAATTGCAAAAACAGGTGTCAGCCGTATAACTCTATGAAGGTAGTAGAGTATAAATACTTTTGGTCTCAATTTCTGAATGTTGATTAAAAATAGAAGAGTTGTGAGGAATCCACTAAAGGAGAATAAAACGAAAAATTGCTTTTTACAGTAAAAAAAAGAGAAATGAGTTTGGTCCTTTTTATTCGTAAAAATTTTAAATAATTAACAAAAATAGGTGAACTATTTTGTAGAGAAAGCTCACCTAAGTACAAAAAAAGTGTCGACGGATACTGTTGCAGCGCTGATAGCTTGAAATGCGAGATTATTAATTGTTGTCATTTTTTGAAGGATATTGGCTGCAAATTAGTATGGAAATATTATTATACATTAAGATGAAGTTGAGAAAAAAAACTTTACAAATGTATCCAGGTGTATCCGAGTATGTATGGCCTAAGACAACCCACATAATTGTAATAGCCCTTATACCGTGTAAGCATTGTATTGAATTTTTAGAATGTTGAGTATTTAGGACATTATTAGCGTTGGTTTTAAATGAAAAGCATATAAAAAATTTTGCTGCAGTCTCCTCAGCACTGATATTGTGGTAAAATAAAGATATATATATATATATTTTTTTTACTATATTTAAGCATATCTTACCCGATGAGGTCCAAGAATGTTCCAATTAGAACGAGGAGAAAAAAGATACACGAAACGACACTAAGAAGAATATTATAGATAATTTTTTTAAAGAAATGATAATGTATAATAATTACAATGCTGCTATGGCGGCTTTGCTCTTCCAGAACGGTCTTTCGAACTCGCATTCAATTTTGCTGGAAAAAATATCGGAGATATTATACGGTGTCCTTAATAATTCATTATTTTTAGGCGTAGTACAAGATGACGGTAGACAGAGTCCTAAACTCAAAAGAGCTGGATTGTTACCAAGTTGCTTTTGAGATAATTTAAATGTTGTTATAAACATTTAACATTTCTCTTCCATAAGTAAAGAACACACATACCATTGAAAATCTACAAAATTTCGGTTCCAAATCTGTCTTGTTATTTACAATTTCCATTTTGACATCTTTACATTGGGCAAAATTTCCAAAATCTTTTTGCATTAAATAGTAACCGATCTCTCCATCTTTAAACCACGAATCGGTCACTAAAATAAGTATTTTAGTATAGTATATGCAATATAAAGTACAAATACACATATATTAAAAATACAGTATAATTTAATCAATATAATTAGTTTTTTTCCATTCTAGTTTTGCAAGATTAATTATCTAATTAGATATTTTTCATTTAAACAATGCTATGTAAAAATTCAAAGAATTTAAAATGATAGGAATGCAAAACTTCTTACTTTTATATGCCCAATCGACACCAACTGCCGACAATGCATATATAGCTTGAACATCTTCTACACAGCTGGTTAAAGTTTTACTTGAATTAATATTGCTGTTGGCCAAGGTATTTAGTAGGCTCCTAACTTTTTCTCTTTTAATATATTTATTAAGGATTTTCTTGTTATTAGCATTAATATCATATTGAATAGTGATTCCAATTATCGCTATTAAAAATAGCAGTACTACTTTCATCCTTGTTTAATTTTGAATAAGTCACAATAAGAGAATGGACAAGTTTTTATAAATATTGCATGATTCATATAACTTGAAGTTTAATCTGTGCTTATCTGGTAGTTAGTGTTAATAAAGCGATCTTAATCTATGAGTAAATCTATTTTAGTTGAAGGCATCTAAAAGACTTTTAAAAAATCTATTTTGAATGAATAATATATCAAGAAGCATAAAATCAAACGATTCACAAATACTATCACAAAGATAATGAAGATAATAGGTAGTGACTAGTAATATTATTAGATAATATTTCCAAATAATGTAAGAAAACATCGTTTAAAGTCTTATTCAAAGTAAACCGAAATAACCAATTAAAACGATGCACTACTATTTAATTAATATGTAAATGAGTGTGAATTTAAAACCATAACAGGTTTTAAATAACTTTTAGCCTTGCATTCCACCATTCGATTTGATAGGATGAAAGCCGTTCAAAAAGTTTTCCCTCTTTACGGGGAAGAAGCGGAAAATAAGTTCGTATTCTTGTCTTCTATTCTTTTCTTACAAATATATAAATATATTTTCGTAATTTGAAAATACAAATACTCTATGACTAATCTCTTTAGGCATTTCGTTTATGTATATCTAAAACAAGTGATTGTTTTACAATATTTACTAGTCTCAATCTATTAGTAAGTTTACTTTATTAATCTCTTTTGATTCAGTGGTTCACCGTTAAAACTTTTAATATCTTGAGTGAGTCACATTTTGAATTTTATAGATTAAATCCAAAATCCAAAGGTATGTATACTGTATACATGTGTGTGTATGTATACTGTATACATGTGTGTGTATGTATACAATATATTAGGAAAACATTAAGAATAGCATATATTGGCAAATATGTCGGAAAAAATCTCTTCTAAAGCCTTATTCGACATGAACTTAAATAACCAATTAAAACAATGCACTGCCGTTTAATTAATATGTAAATAAGCGTGAATTTAAAACCGTAACCGGTCTCAAATAATTTTAGTTCTGTATTCCACCATTCGATTTGTTAGGATGAAAGCAGTGCAGAAAGTTATTCCTCTTTACGGGGAAGAAGCGGAAAACAAGTTCGTATTCTTCCCTTCTTTTCTTTTCTTTGCTTTCTTTTGCTTTCTTGTTTTTTTTTTATGTTATTTTCTTCGGATCCTTCGTTGCGCTATAGTTAAAGATTTCAATTTTCAATATAGTTTGATTTTTAATAGATATAGAATTGAAAACAGGGGAGGAAAGTTTAAGAGTCAACTGCGTGAAATTTTTAATATGCACTGTAGTCTAATATATATATTTGTATATTATATATATTACAATATACAATATATATATTAATATATATATATATAATTAAAAAATGCTGTATAGCAACCTTCTGAGTTGGTAAGAATTGAAAAAGGTGTTTGAAATCAATATATTAGAAAGAGTAACACAACAATTGTTGAATTTTATTAAAAGTATGAACAATTTTTACAGCATTCGAATAGAAGAAACTGAAATTTCGAAAGAATTTCGAGATATAAAGTAAGAACTGAATAAGCTAATTATTCTCACCTACAACGCGTTAGATTGAGCTAATTTGTAGAAATTCCTTTTAAAATATGTTTTTATTATATTATTTATTTAGTTTATATATAGTTGGCGTCGTTGCCGCAAAAATCTGTAGCGCCGCCATTTATCGACATGGAACAGTCGACGACGCACGAATGTTCAGCGTTTCTTAATGGAACGCAACCAAATTTTAATGAAGATCAGGTCTACATTTCAAAGAAACGGTTAAATGTTTTTTATTGAATTTTTTAAAATTAATCTATTAAGTATGGTTAATTAATTAGTATTTTCCAAGTTTGTTCTATAGAAAATGTTCTTTTTCTTTTTTTGTTTGTTCTACCATGAACTAGTCAAATATTATAAAAAATATCAAAAATTACATAAGTAATTAATAAAAAAGAAAATTTTATACGTTTTCTTATTCTTTCTTTCTTTTCCCGTTTATGCTCAACAGAACGGATCGTAAGAAGAGTAAATTTTGGTGGTTTAGAAGAACTTTTTTGGAGCGTTCTCTTATTCTGATTGTTCTATTCTTCCTTCTCGCTCTTATTGTTACGGTAATAGTCGCTGCTAGAAGATCATCAGGTAAACAAATTTTATATATACATATATATGTTTATATATAGATATGTATATATTTAATAAAAATCAATAATAAATATATTTAAATGTATATTTTAGGGATAAATTATATATAGATGTATATTGTATTTAATTGCAGTATATATATTTAAATCCTTTTAGACATATATTGTACATATAAACTATATCTATACGGCATACAAATTTACATAAATTATGACATATTAGTATTTGTAAGTAAAATTATTATCACAGTACCCTGGATACGATGAGGTGCTGTATAAAAACAGTAGAAATATCAATAGGCCTAACTGTTGATATATATGAAAGATATAATTTTTTTTGCAATTATTCAAAGATTATTACGTACATTACTTAAGATTTTTACAAAATAGTAAAAAGTTTACCGCCCAAACTAATTCTTGACTGGTTTTACGTTATATAACAAGAATCGTTCTACTTTTTTCTATAATCTCTCTTTTTCGCTTAGTCACTTTCCCTCTCATTCTCTCTCTCTCTCTCTCTCTCTCTCTTTGCTCTCTGTCTGTTTGTCTATTTATCTCTTTCTCTAGTATTTCCCTAAATTTTCATTTTTTATGTCATTTATCGGACCCAAAACATATTTTTTCATAAAGAGATAACTCATAAAAATGATTCGCAAAAATTTCTGTTTCAGATATAAATTACAGTAGGTGTGGCCTATTTTTCGTTCTTTATGAGATACAGTACAATATATACTAAATAATACTTTAGCAGTCAGAGTGTATAATTTACGTTGGTAAATGTATTTAGTAACAAAAAGGTACATTTCCATAACTTACATTGTTCAGTTTAGCACATACAGGAAATATATTGATATTAGTAACTTGAGCTTTGTTTATTAGCATAATCTAGGAAAAGTTAAATGTCTTTTATTTTTTTTTGACATTTAATTTATCCTGTTTTTTCGTCATAGAAAAGAAAACAATGTATAGAGCATTGTAGTAATATTTATTCTCATACAGTTTTATACGTTAAACTATATAATTTTAACTTGTATCTGCTTTATTTTCTCTCTTTATAAACTGCATTAAGAAAGTAATCTTAGTTAGTATTTATTATTTATCTTTCTTTTCTGGAGTGAGTGATGCTAGAGTGTCATTTTTTATTAAAATATATATATATATATATATAACAAATATAAAAAGTGTATGAGGGATGTCTTTATCTTGAGTACTCGTTTTTATTATAGTCATGAATTTAGGCTGCCTTATTATTAGACTATAGAAATATAAAGAATAAATTTGTTATACTAATTAATAGTCTAATCCCTATTAATTTACACATTTTCAAGGTAAAGTAAGAACATTGTATGTATCTGTATTATATGTTTATGTACAGTATTATGTATGTATGATTACACTACATCGCTAGGTCTGTGTATATATATATATATTTATTTATAAAATATTATTATAATTAAATATGCACACGAGTATACAATAAACCGTAAGCAATATACACTGGTAAGGTTATGAGTTCGTATACCTTACATAAAGGTGTAAGTCTTACTCTCTTCAAAAACACATGTTATATACGACATATTCTGTATGCATTTACTTCTTTCGTTACGCGATTGTTTGCCGCCTCTTTGTAGTTTTCTACCTATACGGATTAAAGCGTGCATTTGCTTTTTCCCATCCTTTTTTTTACCAATTCCTTAATTAGTCAATTTTCACAGGCTCAGATTACTTCGACCCAAGTGGAACTTGCTTAAAAGAAGAGTGTGTCAGCGCGGGTAATGTATCGTCTTAATTATTTTTTCTGTTCTTTCTCCACCTTCTCCCCCCTTCCTCTAACCCTTTTCTATTTTAGCACGAATTAGTTGACCTTATTTTTTTTAACATAGCGGCGAGAATAATTGAAGCCAGAGATTTGACTGTCAATCCCTGCGACGACTTTTACGAATATGCTTGCGGTAATTGGAGGAAAAGGAATGTCGTACCGGAAGACCAGTCCAGTTATACGATGTTTACGGCGTTGAATGAACGCCTTGATAGGCTTTTGAAAGGCAAGTCAATTTCCTGTATCCTTTTTTTCCAGTTTACAATTCCGCATTGGTAGGTTGGCGTTGGCGTTTGAATGTCATAGAAAACTTTTAGTAAATAGTAAACCGCCTACGAACTTTTTCTAATGGTCCGAAATAGTTTTTTTTATATTTTTTTAACGGATTTTTTATGATAATTGCATACGAACTACTTGTAACCATGACCATCTTTTTGACAGAACTGATAGAAAACAACGAATATTTAAACACGCTAGCACCTATCCAAAAAGTACGAACACTGTATAATTCGTGTTTAAACACGACGAGAATAGAAGATCGGGGTCTTCAACCTTTGACCGATCTCCTATCAGATCTCGGCGAATGGCCTGTGCTGAACCCTCACTGGACATCACAAGGGAAAAATTGGATTGATACTTTGGTTAAACTTCGTCTGTTTAATAACCAACCTCTATTCAAAACCTGGGTTCATGCCGACGAAAGAGAGCCGCTTAAGAACATTCTTCAGATTGATCAAGCTGAGCTGGGTTTACCAACTAAAAACTTTTTCAAACAAAAATCGAAAACGGACGCCTATTTGAAATTTATGAAGGATGTTGCAAATCTGCTTCAAGCTTCGCGAGAGAGAGCGGACGAGCATCTCGGCGAAGTTCTTCGATTTGAAAAACGACTTTCGGGATTCTTGGCAGAGGAAGCATCGAGGCGTGACCTTAAAAAGATGTATAAGAAGATGACTTTGAAGGAATTGTCAAGAAATACGACGGTAAGCAATTTGTTAGGCTCTTTAGGCTTATTTTTAGCAGAGATCTACATAGAAATTAATTATAGAATTATATGTTAATTATTTCCGCGAAATAAGCTAACTTTATATATTATTATTTCCCGTTGTAAGACTGTCTAATACGAGATTATTATTATTATCCAAGTTTGCAAGGTATTCCCTTTGACAATACGTTTAATAAACGTCTTATAGGTAAGTATTATTATAAATGCTGCTCTATTCTTTTCAAGTTTCTTTAAAAGTAAGATGTATAATGGGAATCTAATTTTTTCTATTTCCATTACAGAACATAGACTGGATGAGATTCTTTACAAAAGTTTTTCAAAGTGTTAATATCAACATAACACAAGAGACCGAAGTTGTTGTATATAACTTAAAGTATCTAATCGATTTGGATTCTCTTATTGCGGAAGAAAAGGCCAAGTAAGTTAAAAGACGATTCAAAGAAAAATCCTTTTTTCCTCTTTTTTCTCTTTCTTTGCTTACTTTATTTAAAGAGATAAATAGATTTATATTTCTGGCAACGCCATCTGATGATTCTTACTGTTTAAGGAACTTTTGTAATTTATCATTAAAATGATTACACCATCAGAGGGCGCTTTAACTCAATCTATTTTATTCGATAAGCTCGTATACAGTTCCAATCGTATCATATTCGACTATTTGATATGGATAACGCTAACGAAGATTTATCCGACTCTACCTCAAAAATTCTTCGAAATCCGAAAACCTTATACGCAGGTAATTTCTTGACTGGAAAATATTAAAAGTTCTTTCCACTTCCCGTACAGTACCGATGCCGAACCATTATTTGAGACCACCATTCAAAATTACGTAGTATGGTTAATGGTTAAGAATCGTTTAAAAAATATGGGTAAAAAATATTCCTCAGCCAGACTACCATTTCGCGAGGTATTCAGTAGGCCTATAAAATCAAATTAATGGGAGCTATATTTGATTCAGACGATTCAATTGATTATTCTTCATAATTTTTTAATTTACTCAGTAGTACCACTAATTTCACTAATTCAGGTATTAGATTGTAACCATGGGCCATACAAAATTTCACGCATGCCAAACATACTGTTTCGTTTTGTTTTTTTTTGCATATTTATCGAATATCGAACTTTTTCTTTCTCAGGTTATGTTTGGAACGACCCAAGAACAGGCTAGGTGGCGAGATTGCGTAACCGTAACAAACAACTTTTTGGGTTTCGCAACAAGTCGCCTATTTGTTGATAGATATTTTGATGAATCGTCTAAAAAAGTTGCCCTGGAGATGATTGGAAAAGTTCGCGACTCTTTTAATGAGATCCTGAAAGAACTTGACTGGATGGACGATGAGGCCCGTAAAACTGCAAAAGAAAAAGCTGATGCTATTAGGGATAGTATCGGGTATCCGGAGTTTATTCAAAATAATACGGCTTTGAATAATTATTATAAAAGTGTAAGCGTAAACCTCACAAATTGAGTTTATTTAATTAGAAAAAACCCATTCCAATAACATTATAGAGATAGGAGAGGAAATATCACACTTATGATGTTTATTTACTTTATAGGTAACCGTCAATGAATCTAATTACTTTGAAAATTATCTGGAATTCCTAAAATTTACAACAAGAAGAGATCTAAGTAGATTAGATAAACCAGTTGATAAAACAATGTAAAACATCTTTTACTATATTTCAAATTTCTCTAATGATATTGTTTCCCTTCCCGTCATACAGCTGGCACACACCACCGACCACTGTAAACGCCTTCTATAATCCTATGTTTAATATGATAAGTTAGTTTCTTTTAAGAAAAAAATATTAAAATATCAAAGAGAAACGGAAAAAAATTAACTTATGATGTCTTTTATACCTTTTCAATTTTCAGCTTTTCCTGCTGCCATACTGCAACCGCCTTTTTATAATGAAAACTTCCCAAAGTAAGTGAATTTAATTCTATAAATATTGGAAAAATGAAAATTCATCTTCTTATTTCCTTTTTATAATGCTTCTAACGCTTTTAATTAGCCTAACCGAGACGTTTCTGGCTTTTAGCACCGCAAATTATGAACAAAATATGCACTTCCTCTGTTTTTCCTACAAATATATATACACATATTCTATAGACTCTCTACTCAAATTACAAATCAAATTATTTTCCTTTTACAACAAAAGAGTGAGAAAGAGATACTAAAAACATATTATATATACAGTATATATACATATATATATAAACATTAATTGATTAATTAATTTTAAAAACAAAAACATACACAAAAAAGGTATTTAAATTACGGTGGAATCGGTTACGTAATCGGTCACGAAATATCTCACGGATTCGACGATGTTGGTGAGTAGTAATTAGGTGTATATAAATTCTTGTACGGAAAATAACAAACAAAGGAAGGAACGCCCCTAAAAGGGCGTATCTTTTGCGATGCTTTGAAAAGCGAGATACGCCTCGAAGGTATAACAAGTTTGGAATAAAATTCGCGCTTCAGGTATATTAACTATGGAGGCATAGCAACCGTCATCGGTCATGAAATCACTCATGGTTTCGACGATCGAGGTAAAAAGTTACAAGAGCATGAAGGGTTGATTTTAGTTTGATGCCCTGTAAACATGTCTGTAAACTACAAATGTCAAGTACGAACTTTTACGTCTGTTTGTTTTTCAGTTAAGACGTCGACGTCACTAGTGTAGAATGTTGATCCCTAGACAACGCCATCTGACGATTACTTTAATTTTTTTGTTTTAGTTTGTTAAATCCCTGATTAGACCCCTGAATTTTGTATAATTAATAGACTGTAAAGTCGAACAGTTAGTTAAATCGTATCAGAGAAATAGAACATTAGTTAATATTCGTTTGTAATCCTCCTATGAAGGTTATTAAGGAGACTAATTAACTTGTGTACAAATTAAGGTCGGTTATTTGATAAGGATGGAAAAATGAGAACATGGTGGTCTGACGAAGTTGTAAAAAAGTTCGAAAAAAGGGCTAGCTGCATAATAAACCAATACGGAAATTATCTGGTCGAAGAAGTCAATAAAACGGTAAATTTCTTCTAACCTTATCTAAGAAACCCAATTATTCTTGATTTAATGCTACAATTGAAAACTATTCCTAGAGAGAATCAAAGGAATAATTCAAATAAATATTCTTTTTCCAACAGATTAATGGAGTACAGACTCAAGGGGAAAACATTGCTGATAACGGCGGTTTAAAGCAGGCTTTTCGAGTAAAATTCACTATTAAAATAATTAATCCTCTTTTAGCTAAATTATGCACGAATAAATTAATCTAAATTTAATAGGCCTACAAGAAGCTTGTGAGGGAGGGTTTAAGAGAGCAAGTTCTACCAGGTATTGATTTGAACCCTGATCAATTATTCTTTTTAAATTTTGCTCAGGTAATTATAATTAAATGAGTGAGTGAAATATCCCAAAAGAATTTTATCATTGATAAATATCTTCACAACAGGTCTGGTGTGGTTCTGAACGAAAAGAGTATTCTATGCAGACACTAACCAACGGAAAACACAGTCCTGGAAGATTTAGGTTTGTATATGCGTATATTTTACTTTGTAATCATACTATATTTCATTATAGGGTTATTGGAACTCTACAAAACTCTGGAGACTTTGCGAAAGCATTTAAATGCGCCAACGGAAGTCCAATGAATCCTGAAAATAAATGTTCTTTATGGTGACTGCGCTCGACTTGAATGGTCCCTTACAGCTTGCTTTTTCCTCCCTCAACCAAATCTACTTCTGCTCCTCCTGTTTCTCCATCATGGTTTTCTCCCTTCTTCTCTATTGCTCTTCAGATATATTAAAAATATAGTTCAACCTTAAGAAATCGTCGCTACGTCACCGAAGAAAAAATTTCTGCTGTTTTACTAAAAAGAGAATTAAAAAAAAAACATAAAAAGAAACAAAAAAATCATTAATTTTTTCAATAAGTTTCCAAATATTTTTTAGTTGAGAAATTTGAAAGTTTGCTTGAATTTCGTTTATTTTCTCTCCTCCTTTCTCTCCTTTTCCATTGCTATCTTGTATAAAAACAGATTTAAAAAAAACAGAAAAACAGAAAAAAAAAATCCAAAGAGACTAATTCTTTTGGTATTAATGTTTAAAAAAATACTATATACTAATGAACTAAGTGTAATGATATAAATAATATATATTGTATATATATAGTGTTTTTTAAACAAAGATATTTCATTGTCTCTAAACTTTGTAAATATAAAAAAGGCTACATTGTAATTTGTGTGATTTAATTAACTAATTAATAATTTCATAAAAATTCTTTTTTCATATATTCTATAAAAATTTAGTTAGTTAATTCCATGTTTTATTGCGTGTTAAATAGAATTCTTTATAATAAAAAAAACTACTAATTTTTTAGAGAGAGAGAGACTGATATAATGTAAAAGTTAATTCTTTATATGCTCTATTTTGTCCCTTTAACTTCCGTATTAATATTTTTCATGATTGTGAACAAAAATTTTAATACAACTTTAAAATAGATTGTAAATGATTTATTCAAATTTTATATAGTATAAACTATGAAAGAGGATTTTTGGAGAAGAGGAAAGGAATAGATAGAATATAATATTTACACAAAGAGGCTAATAGTAAGAAAGGAAAATGGAATAGCAGGAAATAGATAAAAGAAAAAAAACACCGCTCCATATTTATTGAATCAATGACATTTATTTATTAAATATTTTCTATGCTTGTTTATTCAAGATTTTTACAAACTAAAACTTTCTTTGAAAGGTAAAACTACATCAAAAAAAAAAAAAGAAGCAACAAAACAAACCTTACAATCTCTACTTTCATCTGAAAATTATCCTTCTTCCTTTAGTTCCGTCTACTATATAGTTTATAAATGATAACTATTGTGGATAAAAATCACGTTACGTTAGTCTCATAGAGTTATATACACGTATGATAATACTAGATTTTTCTAAATACTCCTTCCTTACTATATATCCTAAAAAAGAGAGAGAGAATTGAAAAACTCCAAACAATATTAGTATTATTATTAAAATTTATAATAATAAAAAAAAATAAAACGTGACAAGCATAAAATCAAAGAAAATATAATAAAATAAAATAAAAAACAAGCAGATCTTTGAATATATAAATAGTTAAAAAGTATATAAAAAAAAACTTATTAGGTTGAAGGTGTAAAGATTGTTAATAAAAAATGTTTATTATATAGATAATATCTTCTAAATTCGATGATATTTGTTTATTCTTGTCTCCCATTAACCGAGTAAATAGTTATAGAGTGTTGTTCGTTTTTTTTTTTTGTTTTGTTTTTTCAATTTTTGTTTACTAATCTAAGAAAGATTTGAGTAGTTTTCCCTCTTTTTGCCTGTCTGCCTGTCCCTCTGAGCAGATGACTTTAAAATCCTTTTCGGGATCTTGCTCGGCTGGAATATTGAGAATAATCGGCGAAATGGTCATCGGAAGCCGTGGCTATTCTTGGTTGAATAAGAACTGAGGGTTTACCGATCGATTCGGCGTAGTCGGCTGTTTTATTTACAAAGGGATAAAATTGTTTTCTTCTATTAATAGATATTTATAACTAAACTTACATTTTGCAACGACAGGTATAGTCTCATTTTTAAGTAAAACTCTAGATCGCCTCGGAACTTGTCTAGAACCTAGTACAATTGCCAAGAGAGCTAAAACGATTCCGTCGAATATAGCTATGACGGCTAATATCAAAGCCCAACGAATTTCACAATCTGCCCTATCAAACTTATCCGAATCTTTACCACAAACTCTTCTGACGTCTTTGTCATCCCACCCATTAGGATAAACTAAACAACCGATTGCCAGAAAGATAGCAGCTAGTATCAAAAGCATAGCTATACTGTAGTATACTCGCTTAGGTGATACGAAGAAAAAGAGGAGGAGAGAGATTACACAGAAGAAGATAATTAGCACAGAGATTCCAACAAGAACAGTAGCAGCTTTAAAGTTCCCATTGAGTATTGATGAAAAATTATCCAATCCACCAAAACACTTTAATTCACCAGATGTATCCTCAAGGAGAATGCAATATTTAAATAGACCAAAATATCCAGTTCCTGGTGAACTTTTAGAGTCACCCAGCCATTGTGGCTGAGCGAAAACGACTACTTCGATAATAGCCAAACAGATAACGAATAGAGCCCAAATAACGCCGACAACTCGGGCGTTTCTTACGTATTTATAATAATATATTTTTGTCGCCTCCGCGGCACTTTGATAAGACGAACGATCCATACTGAAATAAGAATTTTCACTTTTAAAATACCTGTTTAAATAATCAACTTTTCAAGACACTGCAAATAGTAAATATATGTGGAATTTTTCACATAGTAGCGGTATCCTACGTACCTATATTTAATCATATGAAACAGGTTTAGACAGTACAATAAGGCTATTATTCATACAGCTTGAACGATTAAACTTAAGGAATTTTGTGTTGCTTTGACGCACTAATCGACCATATTAATTGCATTTCTTATAGGAAAGTATATGTAAAAGTTACTCACACTGATTAATAATGTTCAACAATTTGTATAAAATGAAAAAATTGAAGATTATAATTACATTATTGACTCGCTTTCGAGCGTTCAATATATAGTGTGGTTCGTGCTTTGTTCTCGTTTAAAATAAATAATTTTATTCATTATTTTTACATCGATATAAATGTTTAGATATTTACAATTTTCTGTGAGGTAATAAATAGAAACACAGTTTTGTTTTTCTTTTAACAGGTAAATGCAAGGGAACCATACTTTTCAGGTGGTTTCCGGTCAGGTAAGACAAATACAAATCGGAAAAGATGGCTCGAAATGTTCTATCCTTTATTACAAACCTATTTTCTAAAGAAGAGGAAAATAACGAAGAAGAAGAAGATATTAAGGCGGCCGAGGAATTGGCGATGAGAAAATTTCGGCAGAATATTGCAAATTATCGCGCACAGTCCTTTAACGTTCGAAAAGCTCCAATGTTTGACTACGTAAAGTGGATGCAAAAGAACAATGTTAGAACTGAAGGATCACCTGATGAATACATACTCCAAGCTTCTGCCTTGGCTCCATACGTTAGAACTACCTTACATACTGGCTGTTTGGGAGAAGAAGAAAGAAAATGGGCTAAATTAACTGGTGTTGCATATGAAGAAAGTATAACGAAATCTGCTCATCATCATCATTTGACAAGCTTGTCAGCTAGCTTAAGAGCTAGTCGATCAAGCAGAAATAGACTTGGTTGAGTCTATTATACTCGTTTTAAATATCTGCAATAGTTTTCCCTATTAGATATCGAGATTAAAAGAAAGAAAGAATCTCTGTTTTAGATGGACTTTTTAAAATATTAAATATTTTTTTTCATTTTATTAAGTTGTAAAAAAAAAGCAAATGAATAAACAATTCGTTAAAGTTTTTGATTTAGAACTGTTTTGTCATTCTTTATACTTTCAGCCTATACTTGACTTGGTGACTTAATTGGTAGCGCCATCTTGTGCCGCGTAGCCTTAAAATATAGTTCTCATCAAAGTATGATAAAAAGTTAAAACAGGCATTATATTTCGAATTCATAATTCATTAACGAATCAGGTTCACATACTGCATGGGACAGCAATGAGAAGAGTTTAATTGGGTACTTTTAAAAAGTCATGAATGCGCGTAGTAAAAAGGGCTACTTTTGTTGGTATTCATCCGCCCATATACCAGTAGGACAGCAGACCAGTCGTCGCCGAAATGATCAATTGAGGTAATTTAAGCCGTTTTTCTCTCGTTATCAACTAATTACTTCAGTCACCACGCGCCGGGCTTCTATTTGAATCTTGTATTTATGAATTTATCTATACGGATTACTTATTATTTTTAAAAAAAAGAGTAAAAATTCCTCTATCCTATTGGCAAATGGCGGCTGTTGTTATAATAGGCCTACAATAGGCCCGCGGCTGTTAACGGCGTTTTTTAACTATTGTTTATTCTAATTGGCGTCGTTTTAGTGTGTCAAACCTGATTTTACCCTCACAGATGACGTCTCTAAATAGTCTTTTTTCCTTTACGTCGCCCGCTGTAAAGAGACTCCTTGGCTGGAAACAAGGTGATGAAGAAGAGAAATGGGCAGAAAAAGCTGTGGATAACCTGGTTAAAAAATTGAAAAAGAAAAAGGGCGCTTTAGAAGAACTAGAAAAAGCTTTAAGTAGACCAACTGAATTGAGTAAATGTGTTACTATACCGAGATCTCTGGACGGACGACTCCAAGTATCCCATCGTAAGGCTTTACCGCACGTGATTTATTGCCGTGTATGGCGTTGGCCAGATTTACAATCGCATCACGAACTAAAACCGATCGACCATTGTGAATTTCCTTTCTCTGCCAAACAGAAGGAAGTCTGTATTAATCCGTACCATTACAAAAGAGTAGAAAGTCCTGTCCTGCCTCCCGTATTAGTACCAAGATACTCAGAATATCCAGTTGCTGAACATCCTCCTCCATTTCAGCCAGTGTCAGAACCGCCCATGCCCTATAATGTTTCCTTTGATAATCAAAGAACGTCAAATCCAAATTCTCCATCCAGCCCGCCGTTTATTCCTGATTCGCCTCCTATGGAAACGGATTCTAATCGACCTATTGCCTCTATAGATTATAAAGAACATCAACATTGGTGTTCAATAGTTTATTACGAATTGAATAATAGAGTTGGAGAGACATTTTCTGCAACGCAACCTTCAGTCGTCGTGGACGGTTTCACAGATCCTTCCAATAACGCTGACAGATTCTGTCTTGGTCAACTATCCAATGTAAACAGGAATCCAACTATGGAAAATACTAGACGTAGAATAGGAAAAGGAGTCCATTTATATTATGTTGGCGGGGAAGTTTTTGCCGAATGTCTCTCAGATTCGCCCATCTTTGTACAAAGTCGGAGTTGTAATTATCATCATGGTTTTCATATAACGACTGTTTGTAAGATTCCACCGGGATGTTCGCTCAAGATCTTTAACAATCGAGAATTCGCGGATCTGTTAACTCAAAATGTCCATTTGGGATTCGAAGCCGTGTTCGAACTACAGAAAATGTGTATGATAAGATTAAGTTTCGTCAAAGGTTGGGGGGCAGAGTATCATAGGCAAGATGTTACCAGTACCCCCTGCTGGATCGAAATACACCTAAACGGTCCCCTCCAATGGTTGGACAAAGTACTCACGCAAATGGGTGGACCGCCAGGAGTGGTGTCTAGTATGACTTGATTTCAATCGATCTTTACTTTCTGTATATTTTTTTTTTTGTATTATTATTTGACTGTCTTTCCCGTTTTTCATATCCTTCTGTTAGTAAGTTTTTTTTTGTTTGTTTCTGCTTAATCTTATGCAATTGAATGGCTAAAAATATGCCTAAAAGTACCTGCCTATCGAAAGACGGGAAAAGAGACCGGAGATCTATTCAATAGAGCAAATAATAACAACGTGTCGTTTCTACCGTGTATTAAAAGACAGAAATAATCAAAACGATATATATATATATATATATAAATTTTTGCGGTTGACTCTGACTCAAATAATATGTGAATAAAACGGACTTGCACCGTTTACCTGTCTCTTATCCTCTCTTTCTCTCTTCCATTTTTTTCTACATTTGTATACAAAATATAAAATTGTATACTCAATGTAATTTATACAATTGCGTATTTTCTATTTCTGTTTTCATGCTCCAGATCTCTTTTCTATCTATCCGACTGCTACTTAGAACAATTGGTTGTTAAAAAATTTGTTTATTTCTTTACCGGTGTTCAATCATGTATATATATATATATATATACTATGCAAGATAAAACGGAAAAAAAATTAAGTTCTTATGTATGCTCTCTTTCTTTCTTTCTCTCTCTCTCTCTCTCTCTCTCTCTCGTTTTTTTTAGAAAGAAAAGAATGTATTTTTTTTGTATTAATGAACAATGCGTAAAAAAAAGAGAACAATTAAGAAAATAAATAAATAAATCTTTTTTCTGACATGTTTGTACATAATTTTTTAGTTTGTCGTTACGTTTTTCAATTATTTATGAATCATTCAAAAAAAAAGAGGAAAAATCTATGGATTATTTAATTTTATTGTTTATTTCAGTTGATATCTATTTAATTAGTTTAAGGTGTTCCGCTACTGAAAATAAGACTGGCTATACAGTATCAGTTAGTGTTAATTGGACGTTATCATCTGTATATTTTGAAAGGGAGAGGTATCGGTCGTATTACGTTTGGTGGGAAAAGATACTCAACGAGCCCTCTTTAATCGACAGCCTTGTTTTGGTGAATAATAATGGATTTAACTGTGAACAATTGTTCACAGTCGTCGCCGATGACACGTATATACTAGGGACGTGTCGTGGGCGAAAGTTATCTAACCTTAGTTGCCTGACCGGTAACTTCATACCCGTAAGGAAATTGACACTGTTGGAGACTAAAGGGAAAGTTTCAAACCGATCGGAAACTTTACATCTTACTATAGTAATTAACGCAATAAACAATAATAAAAGTAAAAAGATGAAAAGGGGGGCTAGCGAACAAAGTGGAAGAGAACGTAAACTTTTCTTTGAGAACAGTATAGAAAAGATAGATAGATATTGCACGAAAGCGGAACGGGATGAAATAGTCAGGGGAATTGATAGTAAGTGCTTTATCTATACGTATTCTTCTTTATTTATATTTAGCTAAACTCTAACAATTTATAAAGCAAACAGTAACCGCTCGAAGTGATATTCTTATAGCCAAAAATACATGTAAATAGTTAGAAGATAGTTACATTTCCTATTAAGACGATAACCTTGAGAATGAATAGTATTTTATGAGTAAAATACAGTATTTATATATAAGCTGAAACTGTGTATAGCAAAGAACGAGGTCATAATACATTAAACAACTATATAGTTATTCCTTATCACAAGATTAAATCACAATTTTATTACTAAAAATGCCTAATCCTGATTATTTTTATGATGGATTATGTCGTAAAACGGAAATCCTTAGGTAAATAGGAAGTGCATTGATATACACACATACAAAAATTGAGAATTAAGAATACTTTATTCGTTCATTTTACAGTAATTAAACGGTCTGAAAGGATGATTTCATTTAATTGACATTCGAACGAATACCGTTGGAATGCCCGTAGCTAATTAATTTGAATACAATTAAACAGATTTAATACATCAATCATACTTAATGATTAAATTCTAATTTTTAGGTATTGTTGATCAAGTGTCAGACAGTTTAATCATAATTAAATAAAGATACATGAACTTTTGGTTTTTATCTATTTTTTCATGTTTTTCTTTCTATCACTGTCCCTTTTATTATCATCAATTTTCCTTCTTATTACTTATAGATATATATATATATATATTTTTTAGATAAAATTGACATTATTTCGGGGAATGTGAAAGAGGAGCACAGACCGTCAAACACTACTCAAATACGTATCGATCTCCCAATCGAGAGAGAGATAACGGCTGTTGTAGTAAGGGGTCACAGGCTATCGGAAATTGCCGTTGGCGTCGGCGCAGATATCGAAAAGAAGCTAATCCAAGATACAAAGAATAACATGAAAGAATGCGGCACTCTTACAAATTATCTTTCAACAGAAGTTTGTATTCTATGCGAAACAAAACTCGAGTCGTCAAATATTGTGCTTCTCTCTTTTGTCGAGTCTCGAATGACTATTACCGAACTATACGTAACGTCTAAATCGTATAACGTTCAAGATCACAGCAGGAGCTTAGCTAAAGGTGTAAACGTTATCAATTCCCAGAAATCAGCGGATACTTATAAAATGGTCGATAATGATTTGATGAATACCTGTGTCTATAATTGGGGACAACCATCTTACGTTATTATTGAATTATTAGATGTTTCTTATATAAACAGAGTAGTATTATTATCGAAATTTAATGGATTAAGAACATTAATTGTAGCTGCTGTACTTGGTAAACATTCTAATATAAATAAATATAAGAATGTAAACTATTGTTACTCCTACGTGAGACGATCACCGATAACGAGAATCGATAAATATTGCGCAAGAGTTCTAAAGACGAGGGGCGTAGCTATTATATCAGAAGAGAAACAATTCCAATTATGTTCGGTTCAAGTGTATTTTGATAAAGAATTTGGAAAATTACAACCAGAACGAAAAATTCTGACTAATTACAGCTGGGCTGTTGAAAATGCATTAAGGGATAGGGAAATATTAAATAACGATACAGAATTGGCATTTTTGACAAACGATGCCGCATTTAAATTGAAATTATTTAGAAAATCGAATTTGAATGATGGCGATATTAGAACTTGTATACCAATTATAGCCACAAGACTTATACATCTTGACTCGATATTAATCAAGATATTTCTTAGAATAACTAGATCTTTCAAGTATTTTTTCATCTACGGTTATGACATATGCTCTCTAAAAGGAGGAAAAGTGTCAACTTCCTTTCGTATTGGTGCAATAACAACGATAAATCCAAAGAATAAACTATCGGATTCGGTATTTTGTAGACCTAAATTTTCCGATTGCGATGATGAATTCAATATGAACGATGCTGATATGTAAGTTAATAAGATAAAATAGAAATACTTTTCCTCTCTTTCATATCAGGTTTTCATATCGTATCAGACTTGGGTCGTTTTCAATTAAGAGATACAGAGTTATCTGCCAAACTCCCGTGAGAGGCAACGTAGTTATTTTACAATTAAAACACCGTGCAAATGATTTTTCTATTTGCGAAGTTGGATCTTTCGTTGAGCAACCGGAAGTTGCAACTTTTGACAAGAATTCGTATCATTTTCAAAAATTATTAATTAAAGCTAAACATTTAACGCCTTTCGATGTTGACGATGTGATATCTTCGAGACTACTTGATACCGGAAGTAATCAGACTATGAATTTAAGGAAGACACTTATACCCAGAATCGGTTTAAAATCAGATTGGATGATAACAGACCCTAATTCATGTTTAAGCACTGTCATACTAACAGATAAGCCTTCCTATGTGGGCGTTAGATTTACGAAAACGAATATTGGAGGAGTTAAATTATTGTCCGATGCAAACTCTTTGGGACCATTAAGGGTAGAAGGTGGAAACGTTCCTAAAACAGCGTTTTATAGGGGACCGGCAGACAATTCAAATACTGAAATATGCTTCTATCTATATATAGATGAAAGGAAGGCTGCTTCTCGTTATAGCGTCGTAGATAGGAGATGCTATAGGTCTATAAAAAGAGCTACTACACTCTACGTAATATCATCTATAGGTTACGATTTACGTGTATGCAAAATTTTTATATACGAGCAGAAAACTTTGGCACCTGATAAGAAAAAGGTGGGAGGTTACGGTTTATCGCTCGGAAGGAACGAAACATACTACATCAATAATGGACCTAATTTGAATACTTCTTTAAAAAACTATGAAAGATTTAGACAATCGGATAGCATCTCTAAAGGTCTTCTAGCCCGTATTGAAAATTACAATTATCAATCTTATTATAATTCACGTATTACCAATTCGCCAAAAGTAACATTTTCCTTTGGTCCAAATGTCACGGCTGTTTCCCTTGACCTTAAACGAGTTTTTCGCTTAATAAATGTTTCTCTTGGTGTTGAAACCCCCTTAGAACCAAATCGAACATTATACATATGGTACGACTACGCCTTACAACCGGAAATCTTTACTTTTTCTTCAAAAGGTCCCAATTGTTGGTCTAGAAGAACTATTGGTAGAGGATTTTTTATTCTAACTTGTACGTTATTTAAAGTAGCAGGTAGATTCATAAGAGTAGAACTTGAACCAAGCAGTAGGAAGCATACGATAAAACTATGGAAATTGGACGCAGTTTCAGACCAAATAGGTGGCATTTGCTATCAATTAGAAAGAGTTTATTCTCAAGTTTTAGAAGAGATGGGAAATCCAACAGTAGCCCTTACGCTAAATATCTGCAAATACCGATGTTGGTCTATTACGAACTGCAATTATTTTAAATACCATAATTCAATATGTAATTTATATAAGAAAAAGTCCAAAGGAACGATTGGTACAGCAATTAAATCGGCCTATAGAAAAAAGAATTGCTCTCAGAACGAGTATAAAGCGTCTTATGATCAATTACCCATAACTGAAAGAGAGAAGGCTATGGAAGGTTATAGAATCCTCCTGGCGTCAACAAATACAGATGGTTTTACAAAATTATCTGCAGTTTTTGAATCTAGGTCCGCTATTGATTCAAATTTTGGAGAATTCAGCTGCACGAATACAAGAAGGTCATCTTGGATATCCATAAAATTAAGGGAAAGAAATAAATTGGGTAGAATTCGGATAAGATCAGTAGGAGGCAGCTTAAGTCATTTGAATACTGCAGTTTTCTCTGATGATTCTATTCTTAGATTAAGTTCTTTTGATAAGTTCTTATCGAATGAGCTTGAACATTGCTATACTCTTTCTGAGAGCCTTGATGAAGCCATATATCAATATGAGGATAGGTGCTGGAGAGATATTGAAGGGGAGTATATACTTATTTATACTGAGATCCTTCCCTCGCTACACGTTTGCGAAGTAAAGGCCTATTCTGTTAATATGCCTGATCCCTGTTACGATCACAAATGTCCCATGGATTTGTCTAAATGTGTTAAGTTTAGAAGCCACTATCATTGTCAATGTTACGATAGTAACCTTATATTCGGTAATTTGTGCCAAATGAGAGCTTCCGGTAAATTTTTACTGAATTCTAATGTATCAATTATTGATTGGCGAAGATCTAGACATCATTATTTAGTCGATCTTGCTAAAAAAAAGAGATCTTTTATTTACGGCTCTTACGATCAACAACCTATTTATTTAGGATTAAACCTGACGGACGGAGACTTAAGGACTTGTGTAAATATGGATGATCGTTTCTTTGTATCTGTCTACCTTGAGACGCTATTTCCCGTTGGTAGAATAATTTTAGGGGGAAAGAATATGAATAAGACGTCGGGGAATGCCTTGATAATTGAGGTCCGTACAAGTCGATCATATTTCCAATTTTCATCTTTAATCGAGTTCGAAAGAGAACGATCAAAGCGAACAACTCTTTGCTACGAAGGTTTCTATTCGACACCTTCAACACCTTTTATAAACGCAACGTGCCGTACATATGATAAAGGTAGGAAGAGCGAAGTTCAAACTCCACAAAATGCCCGATTAATCTATGTTTATGTTGGAGGTGTGACTTCTGTTTTTGAATTATGCGAAATAGAAGTTTACAAATTGCCTGAGAGAAGACAGAGTTGCCTGAGAACGATTTGGTCATCAAAACCAGATGATCAATTCGATAAAAGTCATCTTATTGAGAGGAAAGTTTTAAAGAACAAGGACGATTGTGAACTTCTCTGCAGGAGCTTAAGTAATTGTAAAGGCGGCGAATTCGGAGGGTCAGCATGTCTATTATTCGATTACCTAGTATTCGATAGATCTTTACGAAGGAGGAGTTCGGCAGGTGGAGTAGTGCACTTGTTCGAATTGGTCAATTGTAATATAACATCCATAGAAAATTACGGAAAAGGACCAAAAAGTATTACAAAGTGGGTTTCAGCCACCACTAGTAGTCCTAAATCGGAAACCGGTAAGGAGATTGAGGGATTGAAGGCTTCAGGAAAAATAAGTAACATGTGTACTTGGATAGACTGTAGTCAGTCACAGACAGATCGTTATTGCTATTGGCTCGTTAATCTAGGCACGAAGAAGTATATCTACGCCGTAAATATAAAAAGCGATATAAATATCCTTAGTAACCTGGCGGTAGAAACTATTAAAGAGGGGGATCAGGAGAAGGACTTTGACGCAATCTTCAGTAGCACTGCCCATAACCGAACGGATTTAGATAAGAAGCTTTGTTATCATTATACAGGAGTATTGACTAAAGAGGTAACTACGATATTAATAATAAGTTAAATCTTAATGTTAATAATCCTTTGTTGATATAAAAGATACGTGGTTATTGCGAGGAAGTCGCTTTATCAACATATGTTTTAATAACGAAATTGGCTACTGATAAAGAATTTCTTTGGCTATGTTCTATAAATATAATAGAATGGAGATTATCGTCAAAGGAGATGGATCGTTATCTTTATGGTTGTGAAAATGGTCATAAAGGTAAACACGTTAGGGGGCAATTAAAATGCAATTGTTCAAAAAATTCTGGCTCCTTCTGTCAATCTGTCAATTGCTCTAGTTCACTTAGCAAATGTAAAGGTAGAAAGTGCAAAAAAAAGCCCTATTCTGTTCTCAAACCATTGGATTTTTTTAAAGAAAGTTGCCACTGCAAAAAGGATGAGTATGGCAAATATTGCGAATATAGCCGACCGTCGAACCAATGCATTTCAAATCCGTGCCAAAACGGTGGAACTTGTCAGGCCAATTCAGATAATGATTGGCCTCTAGGTATCAGATGCAATTGTCATTTGGGCACTAGAGGCGATTTTTGCGAGGTTAACAATGACGACTGTTTAAAAAAACCTTGTTTGAATAATGGAACTTGTATAGATATGGTCAACGGTTTTCTTTGCACTTGTCCACAGGGTTTCACTGGTAAAAAGTGTCAAGATTCTATCAATTTTTGCCAATCTCATTCATGTTTAAATTCTGCAATTTGTTACAATAGGCCCTCTTCCCACGTCTGTCACTGTTCCAAAGGCTATAATGGCACTAATTGTTCCATGGTCGTAAATACATGTAGCTGGTCTTCGACAATGTGCTTTAATGGTGGTACATGCATACCGGAGGTTGGAAATTTTTCTTGCGCCTGCAGGAAGGGATATTTTGGTAATAGATGTCAATTTTTTGAAAATGCTTGTTCCAACGATACATGTTTGAATGGTGGAACTTGTAACGAAGTACGTCTAGCCGATACACTTCCGATTCCAACTTGCGCTTGTAAAGTAGGATTTAGCGGTAACACCTGTGAAATTATACTGAATCCCTGTCAACCGCCTTCTCCTTGTCTAAACGGAGGTATTTGTAGGCCTAAAAATACGTTCTATGATTATTTTTGCGACTGCCCAGAAGAGTTTCATGGAAAGAATTGTGAAATAAAATTTACTGCTAAACAATGCAGTTCATGTCCTTGTATGAATAATGTATAACGCGATAAGTCATTCATTAATGTACCCAATTAATCACGTAATATTTCAATTTTTAATAATGGATAGGCTACCTGCCAGGAACATCCTTTAAATCCAAAGGATTATATATGCCTTTGTTCTAAAGGATTTACTGGAAAACGTTGTGAAAATGATATTGACGAGTGCTCAATAGAGGAAAGCTGCCAGAATAGTTTCCCACCTGCATATACTCAACCGCCCCTAAAGAAAAATTGCACTGAAACCTCCTTTATAAAAAAAGTAACATATCCGATAGATGGCATTAATTGTCTACGGAAAAAGAATAGCAAAGAAGCAGCATGCGAAAGTACTGCTTGTATAATGGGACTGTGTTCTATAAACTTAACTTTTGGTCGAGGTCTGCGAATGCTCTTTCTCTTTATCTTTACAATGTTTCTTATCTGTTTGCAGGCGATAATATAACTAAACTGGAATGCGGAAAGAGGGGAACTGTAAACCAATGTATAAACGCTAATGCCATAAACATAACCTGCTTGGGAAGAAAATGCAATTTGGTTAATTTAACTGATAATTATTACTGCGAATCGGCTAATTGTACCGGATACATGCGAGAAACCAAAGTTGCATGTAGTTTAACTCCTATTGAACCAAAAACGCCTTGGGTTTGTCTTAATTTAATAGGAAGGTCAGAATGTTCTTGCCCGTGGAATTCAACTGGAACGTATTGTAATGTTTCAAATATTCCAAGTCCGTGTAATATGATGGGCATTATTTGTTCTAATCACGGAGTATGTCATGACAATGGAACAAAATTTTATTGCCAGTGTGATCATGGTTATCAAGGTATGATTCTAATAATATATGCTCCTATAAAAAAAGGAACTTTTTGAAAATAGGAAATTTTTGCGAGTATCAATCAAGAAAATGCATTCCAAATACATGTAAAAATGGCGGAATCTGTAATCCAGTTTTAACTAATATGACCTGTAATTGTCAATGCCAGAAGGGTTATGAGGGCACCTCTTGCGAAAGAGATACTGATGAGTGTTCCTCCTTAGATTCTAATTTATGCCTACATGGACAATGTGTAAATGTACCTGGGTCGTACGCTTGTCTTTGTGATGATGGTTTCCATGGACCAACATGTAGTAATTCAATAAATGAATGTTCTTCAAATCCTTGTGGTTTAGGCGCCATCTGTCATGACTTGACTGCTACCTATTCTTGCTCCTGCCCAGAACATGCTTTCGGTTTACCAAACTGCAAACCGATTCCATTTTGTCAAAGTTCGAATGCTAGTTGCGATCCTGTAGGAACAAAGTATTGTCAATCTGAAGAAGCAAATCCGGCTAAAGGAAAATGCGAATGTAAACCTGGTTATATTGGTGAAACTTGTTCTACAGAACTAGATACTTGCTCCCCAAACCCGTGTTTAAATGGGGGTACCTGTAGGAGATTGACAAACGATTATCTCTGCGAATGCCCTAAAGGTTTTGCTGGTGATAATTGTATCAGAAAAATTAATCCGTGTTTAAGCAATCCTTGTTCCCTTGAGAGATCCGTTTGTGTTCCTTTAGCAAATGGATCATATATATGTGATTGTTTACTTGGCTTCAATGATCCTCCAGATTGTCAAAAGTATGTAGATCCTTGTACTATGAATGGCCGTAAAAATATTTGTAAAAACGGTGGCACTTGTGCTCATCGACCTGGTTCAAATCAAACTTTTTGTATTTGTTCTAACATCTTTTCAGGGGATCATTGCGAAATCTGGAATCCAGCTTGCGATAGTAACCCCTGTATGAATAATGCAACGTGTAATTCAACAGGAATTGCTGGCTTTAAGTGTATTTGCCACTGTTTATATGAAGGAAGATTATGCGAGAAAACTAAAGATTTTTGTGATACTTATCCAAAGCCTTGCTCGGTTGGCTTTGCTAAAAAGTGCGTACAAATTTCAGGAGTTTGTCAAGCAACTTGCATTTGCGAAGATGGATTCTATGGTGAAGAATGTATTTTTGACATGGATGAGTGCCAATCGGGCCCCTGTGGAATAGGAACGTCCTATTGCGAGAATACGCCTGGTTCTTATCGGTGCATTTGTAAAAATGGTTGGGGCGGCAAAAGATGCGATGTCAACGAGGATAGATGTCTGTCCTGTAGGACTATTAACTGCGTCGATCCGCCAGAGACTAATAAATGCTATTGCTTACCGGGACAAGCCGGATTCAACTGTGAATACGAATCGTGTAGACCGAAGGAAGATTATCTTGCAGACTGTTTAAATGGGGGATTATGCATTAGGAAGAATCCGCATAGTCAGCCTACTTGCGAATGTCCCGAAAATTTTTCAGGCGTCAAATGCGAACATAAGTTGGCAAATGAAGCTTGTTCTTGTCACCCTAATAGGGGTTTGGGTTGCCTTAACGGCAAGTGTATTTGTAAGCCAGGATATTCGGGCGAATATTGTGATATAATGATTAGGGAATGTCACCTAAAACCTTCTTGCCCTTCCAATTATTCATGTATAGATGATTTAAACTTTATTCGTAGGAAGCGAAGTACAATAAGATATGTTGATTTTACATGTAAAGTTCCAACTCAGCCAGGTAGCGATAGACACTCGGTTTCGTGGTTTAGAAGAAGAATGGGAACGAATGAAAGAATTTTCAATGCCGAATTCGGAATTTTTAAGAGTTTACCATCCAAACATGGTTATCTTTTTACTGCTGATGGTAAACGTGCAAATATTACTTACTACAATTATTCTGTTAGACTAGATACACCCAATGTCATGAGCCTTATTAACTATGAATATTCATGCGTATCAAGTTTTCAAAATTCATCGGTAACGAGCCTTGAATTTAAATCTTCGCTCCATTAATAGCATAATTTATAATTTTTAGGGAATATTTAACCTTCTCATTAGTCACTTTATACTAAAAAGGGAGGGGAAGGTCGTCTACGTGTCTTTATACGAGGGGAATAAGAAGTGCGTAAAAAATTCATGTTTACAACTGTTACCGGATTTGACCTTCCCACCATGTTCAAATGGTACTTGCAAGACGGATACAAGAATAAATTCCCTAAAGCAGATAAAAAACGTCTTCTATACTGATTATCGTTGTCATTGCGGTCCTTATTACACTGGTAGGAATTGTGAAACATTAATTAATATATGCTCCTACGTTCATTGTAAAAATGGGGGCACTTGCATTCAAAAGGGAACAAATTTTAAATGTCTTTGTTTGTCAATCTTTGAGGGGGAATTATGTCAATATTACATCAGACCTTGCGACAGTAATCCCTGTTATAATGGCGGTAGTTGCATCGGTGCGTTGCATCCTGTTGATAAAAGAAAAGTTTGGGGGTGTAAATGTTCACCTAAGTTCTATGGCGAAAGGTGTGAAAAGAAATCTACCGCGTGTTTAAGTAGACCTTGTTTTAATGGTGGAAAGTGCGAACCCATGGGAATTTCATATATGTGTAACTGCCCACCCGGTATAAATGGCACATTTTGTGAACAATTTACACCATGCTATTCGTTGCCTTGCAGTAATGGCGGAACTTGCAGAACTATGTCAGATGGAATTTCATACACCTGTTTATGTCCCGAAGGGTATTTTGGAAGGACTTGTTTATTTACTCGACCCTGTGACGCGTTACCTTGTCAGTTTGGGGGTAGTTGTAGTGAGAAAAAAGGGAAAGTAACATGTACATGTCCTGATCATACAACGGGAAAATTTTGCGAACACACACCGTCTAATTGTTTTGGTACCATTTGTTTCAATGGAGCCAAATGCAGGGGTACAGTAGAGAGTCCGAAATGCCTATGCCCTCCGGGAATTTATGGAGATGGTTGCGAAGTATCAAATAGAAGGATGGAAGAAGGGGAAATAGGTAGTTTGGGTGTTTGGCAAGGGCCAGAAGTACCTCTTTTACCAGGTGAATTGGCGAAAAAGAACTTCTCGAGAGAATATGATGAAGAACTGAAGAATTCAACGGATTGCTATTACTTCAATTGTTTTCATCAAGGAGCATGTACGCTAAAATACGGAAAATTATCATGTAACTGCCCCCATGGATACACTGGGGAGAATTGCGAGGTTGCTATTTATGATTGTCCTAACAAGACTTGTAGCAACTCTGGTCGTTGTAAGATATACAAGTCAATTGGAGAAACTGCATCACTTGTGTGCAAATGCCCTACTGGTTGGAAAGGCGATTATTGTACAATTGCTTATCCTGATGACCAGTGTCAGTCAACTGATTGTAAATGGGGCGGTACGTGTACATTATTACAGAGCGGAGGCTATAAATGCGATTGTCCCCCACTAACCACGGGCCCTAGTTGTCAGACAGTTCTAAGTTCCTGTATTGGACAGCCCTGCTGGAATGGGGGTGTATGCGAACCGCTACCTGATCTGGGTATATATTCATTTCGGTGTCATTGCCCTCAGACATTTTCCGGTAATTTTTGCGAAGACAAAGCTGCTGAGGAAAACTTGTTTGAAGTGCTATTTACCGCAATGATATTTTTATCCATTGGGTTAATTTTGTTATTAACTGTCAAGGCTGTCGTCAATTTGACCGCTTCTAAGAATCTTATGCGAGGTTATTATTTCTGTGAGAAGAATTCGTTGATTTGGTCGAGATTGCGCCGTATAAATAATAATACAGAAAATAAAAATAACATGAAAAGATTTTTAGTGGACATAGAAAGTGATAAACGAAATTTGTTTCAAAAGAATATTAAAGATCATAAAATCCTATGACGTCATTTTCGAAGAAGTCGTCTTTTTTTTTACTGCTCTAATAAAACGTTATTTTTTTATATTTTACCTTTTAAGGAACAATTTTGTACAGTTTTGTTATATCGTTTGTTGAACAAATAAAGCGGTTTACTAATCTAATATTGATTGTCCCTCAGGGACTAAATAATATTACCAGTTTTCGTGAAGAATTTTTTACTTTTGTCTATGAAAACTTTGATTGACATGTATTTATTATGATTAAATTACGTAATATAATAAAAATGGCTAAATTGTTGTAAACTTTACGTATTTACCATATTTTGACTTTTTTTCTTAAAGAACATACAGATCTTTCCCAGATCATTAAGTAATACTGCAGGGTATTTTTACAAATCAAAAGAGGTTAATGTCCTAAAAGACCAAGGGTCCCAGGGCAAAATCTCCCATCAATAGAAGATGCATGGGAAATTGACAAAGAAACTTTAAAGGAGAGAAAACCTCAAATGTCCCCTAATGTTGTGCTTCATCTGTCTGTTTGAGTCAGTTCGCTTCTCTCTCATTTACTTCACTCTACTGCTTTAGCCTAGTTGTTTTTCTTTTTTATGGCCAAAAGTCGACATACTTGTCTAAACCAGACAATGTTGATCTACTATACTTTACTCGTTATACGTAGTAGTCCTATGTCAATGAAAAAGGATTTTCGATTTATTTACTTACTTGCATTATAGAATTATCTACTTCATCCTCTAAAAACCTGAATGTATCTATTTGGAAATCCAATAAATATATCTCTATCAACATTCTCTAAGTTCTTCAATTTATGGGGGGGCTATATAGAAATGTTCTCTAGAGATGCAACTTTTCCATGTGTCGTCTAGCATGTCCTCCGGAAATTCTTAATATTCTGGAAGAATATTTTTTTTAAAAGCATTTCTTAAAAGAAAAACATTCTCGTAGTTGAAAATGCTTGGTGATAAGTTTGATATTGACTGATAGCAGTTTTATGCTGTAAAAACGCTTCATATCTTCGTGTAAGATGATAGAAATAAAGCGTTTGCGGTAAAGATTAAATAGGTTCATTTTTATAGCATTAAAAGAATTTTTGTGTGGCGCCCCCTTTGTCTGGGTTTGAAAGAAGATACGAGAAGAAGGTGTCTAAAGCATGGAGTCTTTTGTCATATCCAGGAAACGGCGTCGACAGAGAAGAAAAACGTGGCTAAAGGGGTGAGGGGAAGTGAAAATTCTCCGGAGCAAACAATCAAATTCCACAGTAAATGCAGAATTACCGTTTTTCTCCAAATATTTACTTATCGCCACTTTTATCGCTTCAAATAAGTCGGCTAGAATTGAAAAAAAATAAATAAATAAGAAGAAGTAGACGAAAAAGAAGAAGAAGAAGAAGAATAAAACTTTATTAAATACAAATATATAATAATAAATCCATTATAATAATTTAATATTCAATATTTCTTTCTTCTTCGTATTTTATTATTTTTCTTTTATAGAATTCTATAATTGTTATTTACAATTTTAAAGCCTTTTAAAATAGAAACAAATTCACATAAATCGGTTAAATTCTTATCGATTTCTATTTGCCTTTCTAAACAATATAAACAAAGAAAGGGAAACTTGAAACACCTGTAAATATTAACTAAGAAAACAATTGTTCCACAAAATTTATTACTTTGCTTATAGACCTAAGTGCATAGCTTGTTTTAAGAGATGGAGAGAAATTATTGTCTTTCATATATGTAAGAAACTGTAAGTTGGCAACATTAAAAGAGATATAAGATAAAAAAAAACAACAGAATTTTCTCTCTATTCACTTTGATTGTTAATACTTCATGAACTGTTGTTTAAAATGAAAAAAAAGACACCGTAGAAAGATATCGAAGGAATGAAGGAGAGAGGGAGGGAGAAGTGCAAGAAAGAGATCTTTACTTTCGAACATCAATAAGCTCGATTGGGTACAAACGCTTTATATAAGTTGTGTATATTGTACATTTATTTATTTTGATTATAGGCTGATGTTTATAATTTATAGTTTAATCTCTATTAAAGGTTATTTTGTGACAGAAAATCTTTCTTTGAGATTATAAAAGCGATATCAATGGATTTACTATGCCAAACTAGCGCTTGTTTGTTTGATTTCGCAAAAAGAATTCTTCTGATATTTATTTTAATAAGCTATTTATTAGATTTCGTAGAAATTCCTTTTACTGAAACTATTCACCTTTATGTATTATTTTCCGCGTAGTAATTTTTTTCTTTTTCTTACTTTTCTTTTTATGCACAACAAATAAAACTGAACATGGCACACAATTTCAAAAAATCCCTCTTTTGTTCAACTATTTATATATATATGTGTATATACATATATATATATATATATATATCTATATATATATATCAACATATGTATATGAATATACATATATATATGCATAAAAGAAAACCACTGGATTCCTTTTCAAATAAAGAAAAAACTTCTTTAACAAATATTTTACAATTTTTTTAAAACGAAAAAAACAAACAGCCGGTCGATTTCGTCCTTCTTTCTGCCTTGTAAATAAATGTGAGCGCTTTAAGTCTTTCAATATAACGAAAGGACCGGAAAGAGGAGACAAAAATAAAACTGTATAATAATGCATCACAGTCTTATTCGACAAATTAAAGAGAAAACTTTGTTAAAACAGGTAAAATGCTGTTTTAAGGAAAAGATACTCTTAAGCGTAATCCTTTATCTTTCTTGTAGAGAGTTTCTTGAAGAGAAGATATGTACAATTTCGCTTCCTTCACTTTTTCAATTCTAGTTTTTGTGAAACACAGAGAAGAAAGATAGACAGAGATAGAAAGAAAGAGAGAGAGAGCGATGTGAAGAGCAACTGTGAGATTTAGATATAAGCACTTTTTTTTCAATCACCATCCGTAGAGTTGTCGCCAAATTTTGGAGACGAAGCTGAATTTTCTTTGATGTCGTCATTTTGAACTGATTTTTCAGGCTCACCCTCTTCATCAATGGATCTTCGAGGGAAGACGCTGTTGGACGATTCAGATGGAGAAGAACTGAATGAAAAGACGAACAAGTTGAAAAAGCGTAGATTAAACATGAAGATTTATTCACCAATGATCATCTGGAATATGGCATCTCTCCGGAACCATTGTGGGCCTAATAGATAGATCTTCCGCTTCGTCATCTTCTTCACCCTCCGATACCATATGCGTAGAATTATTTAGAAGAGAGGAGGTGATATTATTTTGTTCTAAAACAGCCTTGAAAAGAGAAAACAACCATTTAATAAAAAATTTAGATAAGGCTTATTATTCTTACTTTCAAATTCGCTGTTAAATGTTCACCATACAGTCCTGGTTGCAAAGGTAAAGACGGGTTTATAACAGAATTGGTATTGTTGCTTTTTTGACCATTAGCTTTTTGGGGCCGTCGTTTATAAAATTCTTCTTCATCTACTGTCCAGACAGCCCCTTTAATATTTTCTACTCTCATAAAGCACTTGTGCAGGCTAAGATTATGCCTAACGGCATTCTTCCATGTAGCTTCATTTCTCCTAAAATAGCAAAAGTTGGTTTGGAACCATTGATAGATCTCGTTTAATGTCAATTGTTTATTAGCTGATTCGATGATCGCTTGTCTAATTAATGATGCGTAAGTAAAAGGCGGTCGCATATCATTGGTTCGATAATATTCACGGTTCTTTGTTATCTCCTGGGATATTGAGGCGTTACTAGTCTTATCCGTAATACGATTGCGTCTCGATTGTGACGAAGGAGGTGTTACGGGACTGGTAGCTAATTGCAGTTTAGGATTCATATGAAGCGATTCGCTTTTGATGGGTGTCGGAGACGGCGGTTTTCTAGGAGAGTTCAAATGCATTAGCATTGCGTGCAATCTTTCTTTTTCCTTGGATAGCTATAATAAAAACAAAAAAGAGTGAAACAAATATACTTTGTAACTAGAAAGCTTGTACTTAAAAAAAAAAGAAAACCTTCTGTTTCAAAAGTAGTATAACCTTAGAGTCACGATACATGTCTACATATTATAAAGTTTAGATTAAAATATGACTTTCTATGCTACTATTTACCAACGGAACTCATAACGAGCTGACTCATTGAATATCTATAAGTATACAATCTTTTTTTTTTCACAAAATTAAACGGCAGTAGCATGAGCTCGTTGTTATTCTTTAATTGAGGATGTGTTTGCTTTTCGAGGGCTGGCTCCTTTCAATGTACAATTGGTAAAGAAAGAGAAAGTAGGATTAAGGAATGAGCTATAAAGCTGATTTACATACAGCATATATACAGTATATATATATATATATAAGCATATATACAAGCATATATACTCTACATACAGTATATATTCGATCGCGTCAATTGGCAACAAATTGTGGAGTAAGTAAACACAAGTCAATTAAAAAACCAATGACAACTTGTGAAAAAAGGAATAAAAGAAATTCTTTCAAATTAAAACATAGAAAAGCAATATTTATTCTAAATTACTGGATATTCGAAGAAAAGTAAAAGAGAAAAAGACGAAAACTTTTTTAGACTCTTTCTTTATATTTTTTTTTTTAAAAAGAAAAAAATGGTAATGTTAGGATTGGGGAATAGGAGAGAAAGAGCGAAAATTCTCCAAAAAAAAATCTATAGCAAACAAACATTTCAAAAACGAGGCCGTCATTGTTTATCGAGCTTGCTCAGAATGTTTGTACAAGCCGCGCTGCCTTGTTTACCTAAAGCTGTTTGTTTACCACTCTTGTTTAGTTGCCCATAGGTCCTGCGTTCTCGCTTATTTTCCGTGCAAACATTCCATCCATCAACCACTATACCTCGCTAAACAAGTGCCGCGCCCCTTTTTTATACATTACACAATTTTTTAACGGTATTTAGTTTTGTTTACGTTTGTAAATTTGATGAGGAATGAAAAATTACAAGCGCAATTGTTAAATGACTAAATATTATAGGCCGACGAAGCACTAGTTGATATCGCTTTATATAATTTCTTTAGAGAATGTTGGGAAATTTCATATTTACATTAATAACTTAATCTTTGTCAATATTTAACCAAACTGAAACCTTACCTGAACTTCTAAATGTTGAATAATTTGTGTTTGAACGCGAACTTGAGCCGTACTCCTGTCGTCGAGTGGATGTTCATCGCAGAGGTGTTTGAGGAAAGCATTCGAATCCTCGCAACTTTGGTCACATCCTGGCCATTTGCAGACATTACTCCGAAATAATGCATGGTTTCTATTGCTTGAATCTGAATGTCCATTTTCTTGCTCTTTTTCTTCCTTATTCCAGATTTGATGATTAAGCGCAGCGACTGCCGGATGCATAAAGTGAGCTCCCGCAGCCATCTGCAGTCGCAACTGCAACTGCTGTAGTATCTGCTGTTGTTGAATTTGCAATCCATGCATTTGGAGTGCAATCGGTTCGGCAGCATTTTTATTTTGTTGTTGCAGTAATTGGGATTGCTGAAACGCAACCAGTTTCAATTGATCTTGCAGTTGGTTTATCTCAGAATTGATAGTATGATTTGCCACGGCCTGTTGCTGAAGAATCATGGAATGTAGATCCGTTGAAGTCGGCGGAACGTTCGGAATAGGCATGAGAGGAGGTGGAGGAGTTCGTTTTCGTTTAGCAGGTGGTGGAGAGAGTGAATCTTCGTCCATTTCACCGTTTGCCTTCAAATAATGCAATACTTAATTAAAATATCTGTTGAAACGTCTCCGGTATAATCATTATTAATATATTAAACTAAAATCATTTATTCAGATGTCGCCCTAGGCCTACTAACCATCCGGTGACCAAACGCCGACTGCAAATCAACAAGCCTCCCCGTCCAGATGGCGTTAGCGCCTTTTTTGGCGGGAAAATAAAAAATAGAATGGGGGGCTGTTTAAAGAATAAACAATTGCAGCGGCGTTACTATGGCTACGGAGCATAAACTCCAGTACAGATACGTAAACTAAACAACTCTCTCTGGCCTTGTACACACATCGGGCGAAAATAAACAAAAGTGATAAAAGCATTTCGCTTCGCTTTTATTTACACGCTGCCGCTCACTGACACTTTTCGAATTGTTTGACGACCGATTTTTTTCCACCGACGTTAAAACGACGCAATCGGACGTGTAAACAATTTTAAACAAACACCTTTTCTATAGCATTTTAACTGTTCTATAAAGTTTCGACCGATGTTCATTCAATAGAAATTTTTCCCCATATCGCTTTCCTATTCGAATCTTTCTTCGTTTCTATGTTTTTCTATCTAGCACTCTAGCACACACACACTCTCTCTCTCTCTCTCTCTCTCTCCCTCCATCTCTCTCTCTCTCTCTGTCTTTCTTTCTGGCTGACCCTTTCCGTCCTTCACTCCCTTAGAACATATCTCCTCTTTCCATATTTACTCTTTTGAGCAGAAAAACTTTTCTCTTTTTGATATTCAAGGCTTTGCGCCCTCCTAACAATACGAAAATCAACGAATTCTTTATATATAAATATAATACAGGCAAATAATTGTCATAGGCCTTCATCATTGACAGACTTTCACTACTTAACTAATCTTTTGTTAAGTGCTAAAAAGTAATCGCAAAGATAGTCGAAGCATCGTAGACCAAAAAAATATTAGAGATTAAGATTAATGGAATAAATCAGATGAAGAATGATAAAGACCATAGGGATTCGTCAGTTGAGGCGTAAATATAGAATTGTTTCTATTTACGAATCGATAAACAATAAAAATTCACGCTCAAACATAATTATAAATCGGTTACAGATTACGAAACTTGTTAATTTTATCTAATTGCTCACTCATGGTTGATCATAAGGTTTACGAATTAAATAGGGCAACAACACATTCAATACAACCAGATGTCGTTAGTGTACTTACATCTGGAGACGTTAAATTCCTCCCGTGACCGTTCAAATGACCACCGGACATGATCTTCTCAATAGTAAGATTTGAAGCCATACACCGGCGTTTCTGTTAGGATGAAGAAAAAAAAAACGTGTGAGCTAAATAAGGAAAGTGTGTCAAGGTCGGATAGTGATTCGGTTTCGCCGAGGCTAATCCAAGAAGCCCTAATTAAATAACTTTATTTATATTATGTACTCTCTAGACGCAGATTCTAACAGGGTAGATAAAAAAGCAAATCACTCTCCCTTCCTCCAATATATCATAGAGAAAAATAAATGGAACAAATAATATTTTTTCTCGCTAAAGGGCGCAGATTAATTTAGACGCCTATGACGTCATTATTTCTCTTGAAAAGGGTGAGGTCGTACTCGTACTTGATATACTTGCCCTTAACAATACATTTTTTTTAATCAAATTTTATTTATTTTTAGCAGCTAGCAATTGTTCTTAACGACGTAAACTGGAACAAATAGGACTACACTCTAACAGATTAATCAGTCACTCAACTCTTGTTATCGACTGCACATAAGTGAACTCTTTCCTTTTACTTTTCTTTTTTTGTCTATTCTATCACATTATATAAAAAGTCAACTAAATAAAATGAATAAACAATTTAATAGTTTATAGTTTAGAATAGGAGGTCGCCTTAAAATCTATAGATATGAAAAATAAAAAAAAAAAGATATATAAGCCTATAGATAGTATTTTCCGCGAACTATACAAAACTCATGTCTTTGTAGAGAATTGGCCAAACAGACACATTTCTATAAGTGTTTTTTTTCCCTACCTATTTTTTCTATGTATTCAAAGAACTTCAAGTTCGATTCTATATATAGAAAATTATACTTGATTGACTTGTATACTTTAGTACACACGTGTCTATGATAATATAATGAAAAATGCTCATTTACAATTCGCATAAGTATTAATAATTTCGATTTCTCTAAGCTAATGAATATTCAAAGTACGTTCCTACTTAATACACTCAAGGTCATAAAGATCTAACAGATTTCACTGGATTTACAGCATTCAGAAATATCTTTGATCTTTCTAAAAATAATAGTCGTTACATACGAGCATAAGATGGAATCACGCAATAGAGAATTTATTTCCGGTTAACGAAATAGAAAATAATAGGCTAAAAAATGCTAAGAAGAAAAAAAAAAACGAATTCGTATGATTGAAAAATTACATTATCAAGTCACTTCCGTCTAATTTAAAACAGCTATAGACAATACATTTTTAAATACATATGCTTGCAATGTTACAAAACCACAGGATGTAATCGAACAGTCTGTTTCCGGTTCGAAGGATCGACAAGTGATAGGCTGTCAATACTCGTAAAAGAATACTATAAACAAAAGTAACATTTCTTCTAAGTGATTTCAAACAATTAACGATATCAAATATGAAGAAAAGAAAGTTTTGATTATTGATACAATATTATAAAATTGGAAGCATCCTCTACCGCTCTTCTCTCTAGTATCTATATCTACCTAGACTTTGCGAATAGGTTTGCTTTGTAACTTGAAGAAGCCATACTTAAATCGCAAGATATATGATTATTTTTTTTTGGTTAATTCCATCATTCAATAACGTTTTTTTTTCATAATTTGAATTAAAGTACACCTCTAGCGTAAAGCGTATATAAAAGATATATATACATAAAATTTCTATATACTGTATATATATATATATTTATAAGTATAGATGTATACATAAATATAATTATATAAATATTTAACCGGGTCAGAAAAAAATATTGCACAGATGAGAAACAAAAGATAAAAATTTACCTGGAGAGGAAAGCTTGCTTTTGCCTTTTCACATGCGGCTGTCATAACTAGTAGCTTCATGACGTCACAAACGCCAGAAGCCGAATGAAGAGCAAGCGCAGCAGAATGTTATACGTCACACGACTAAGAACGTTCCTATAGGCCTAGATAAAATCGGCGCGCCGATAAAATAGGCTTAGGTCACTTTTTTTTATTGCGCACTTCGCCAGTAAATAAACAACACAACAATCCGCGTGTCTCATTAATATTCAGTTTGGCCGATTAGGTTATTGCACCCGACGATACGGGGCCTGCGTTTCCAAGAATATATCTTATTTCGTGGGGGCGTCTAATTTTAATTTGCTAGTCACGTTTAAAAAGATTCTGTTACTATTTGATATTTGCAACCATATAGAAAGAAAGAATAACTTTTTTAATTCCATAAAATTGAAAGAAAAAAAGAGAGCGAACATTTTTACAGGCGACATCTATTGGAGAAGTAAAAAATTAGAAGACGCTCTAACACACGCCCTTTAAGAAGCAAAAACGATAATTAGCAAGCGCATCGACGCGCGCCATTTTCACGGTCATCAATAATTCGATAGCATCCCAACATAGCTGGACGGGAATATATTTATCAAAAGCGAAAAAGTTAATGTAAATATGGGAGATGTTTTTGCACGGCAAAATAAATAAACAAATGATAAGTTGTCTAGATAGCGGCAATTTTTCGTCTAAAGTCTGTGTAATTATATATGGAAGACGACGTCTAAGTACAATGACGTCATCTTAAACGCCAAACTTTGAAGGAGACTCATAATTACTCATATATATAAGCTTAATTGCCCTTAATTCAAGAAACCTCGCATGGCACGGAAGTTCGTTTTTATATGCATAATTTCTGCAGGGGTCGTTGCACTGTGAATTCTGCAAATTTTGCAGGATAACCTTGAAACGATGTAAAAAAGGAAAACCAAGAAAACAAAGACGCGCGTGGCAAACAACTTCACAAATAATGCTTTGCTAACAACGTCGTAACCATGGAAACGTTCATAAAATCTCTTTTTGTACTGAGACAAACAAACAAAAATCGCGTCTGCCGGAGTAACGCTGTGTTGAAGCGTCAAGTCGTTCTTTTATATTATTGCACTTCTAAAAATATAAGCTATAATTATGCGTTATTTTTATATATGCAAATATTGAAAACGCAATAATATGCAAAGTCTATACGCTAATACAAAAATACACATTTATATGCATATACGATTTAATGAATATATATATTTATATATATATGTATACATATATATATATATAGTATTACAAGTACTAAATTCTATATAAACTATTCGCTTTCGGCAATTAAGATGGTTTATATATGTCTTTCGGTAAATTTTGCCAAAGATGCCTACCAGTTTTTGCAACAATTGTATAAACCACGAAAAAAAGAAATATCTATAAAGCAACATATATAAGTGAGTGATATTTGCATAACGACGCAAACAAACAGAAACATTTGCAAACAATGTGTTGTCTTTACCAACAAACCAATAAAATAGACTTTATTAAAAATTTTCGCGCTCAGCATACACCTGCGTCACTTTATGAATCGATCTCGTTATATATATTTTATTGAGATAGATTGTTTACCGTCGTTATTTACCGACTGAAAAAAAGAACGAATGCGTTATTAACGAGCTCGTTTTACACGCTGTCGTGGTAAACAAAATGTTTATTAATAACGCAATTGCTCATTTCTCTCTGATCAAATTACTATATCGATTATTCTCCTTAGTGTTTATGTAACCTCCATTTTTTTCATTTTTATTATATACTGTTTATTCTCCGCTGAGTAGAAAGTTGAATAGGCCTATGTAAGAATTTAGACTTCATTTTTTTTCCAGCCAAATTTTCTAACGCTTTCTTAATTATTTAACGCCTTACTCTTTTCAATTTTTAATGATTCGACATATTATGTTTTAAGTTTTCCTTTCATTTCCTTCGTTGATTAAACGAATTAAAGTTACTTCCCGCCAAAGCGCGCGAAAGAACCTTTTTAAAAAGTAGATAGTTTTTACATAGACATTTATACAAAACGAACCTCAGATTAGTGAAACGTCGAATATTTTACAGGCGTCCGTCCAGACAACGACCTCTCGGCAAACTTGCAATCCCGGCTCAAACAAATGTAAACAAAACGAATTCGTTCGCGGACTACTTTTTGTAAACAAAAACAATAATCGATGAATGACTTAAAAATGTGCCGGTCTTTTGACAATTCAACTCAAGGCTAAATTTGTGCTATTTAACCACCTACTTTTATAAAGCCGAAAACTTTTTTTTGATGTTAAGAATAAATGAAAACGGATCTATTTTCGCGCGTAAGAATAAATTGTAATCAGGTCACTGGAAACCGGTAATTAGCTAGACTATTTCGTAATTATCGCCTATCCTCTATTATCGTTAAGTAAATTAATATTTGGCCTATAGACATGTCTGAACACCAAAATTTATCCTCAGTAATAAAAGAAACGCATGCAAAATTGAGAAAAATGTTTAATGAAAAAGATAGTAAAAGTCATGAACTATTGTGGGCTGAACACTGCTCAAAAGAAGAAGTGCTTAATGAATACGCAACCGCTATGAAAGACTTGGCTACTAAGCATTGGTCAAAGTCACCGTATACGCGTATTAATTGGTGTATTGACAAAATGAAAGAGTACTTTTTTGAAGGTGGCCTTGAGAAACTGCGAATGAAAGATGAGAGAAGATTAAAACATCACGGCATGACCCAAGACAATGAAAATATCCTTATAGAAAATTGCTTGTAAGTAAATTTAAAGGAAAGTTGTAAAAATCAATTACTTTTACAAAAAAAAAGGGTATTTGAGATGGGTCAATTATAAATAGATAGAGGATTCTATTGATGATTGATGATAGACTCTCTAAGTGTGTGTTTGAAACAGATCTTTTCCATTAAAGAGTGATACACTTCTCTAAATCTTTACTAAAAAAGAAAAGAAATAGTCTAGTTTATCTTTTATAGGAAACTACCACTGGAAGAAAAAGTACGGTTACTGGATGTCGGAAGTTGCTATAATCCATTTGAGAGTTACAATTTTGTTAACTGCCTCCCAATAGACCTATGCCCAGCATCGCCGGTATGTTACCTTATTCGTATGCAAACTGGTTTTTTAGCTTATTCACTGACTAATATGTTTGTAATCCTATATCAAGCTGTTTATTTCGGCTATTAACCGGTTTCATCATTAACCAGAGACATCTGTTGTTTATTTCGTAATTTTTATCACAGACAGTACGACGTTGTGATTTCCTTCAAGTTCCAATTTCTGAAGGATTAACTGAATATGAGGATACTATAAGTTGTTTATGCAAAGAGAATTTCGACGTCGTGGTATTTTCATTACTTTTAGAATATTTTCCAAGTTCCGAACAGCGTCACATTTGCTGCGAAAAAGCATACGAAGTATTAAAAGGAGATGGCTTATTGGTTATTATTACTCCCGATTCAAGCCATCAGAATAAGAATATGAATATGATAAAATCTTGGAAATTAGCTATGGAAAATCTAGGATTCACTAGATGGCGTTATGAAAAATTGCAACATTTGCATTGTATGGCTTATCGTAAATTTGGGAAGAAACGAGTCTTCTCAGATAATTACAAACTCTTGTTTATTCCTCAAGATTCCAGAAAAGAAGAACTTTCAAACAGTAAACCAAATTTATCACTGGCTATTTCAACGGGATAGGAATTAGACGGCACTTGATCCCAAACGTCCACCAGACGTCTCCAGCGAACGAATTTTTTTTGGCTGGTAAATGAACTTAATCAATGAACGACAGACTGTAGAAGATTTCGGATGCGTCTGGTATCGGAACTTCGCTCTAAAACAGAAGTTCGTCGTTCAAAACTACGATGGTGCTTAACTCTCCTCCTAGCAGTAATAGTTTGCGAGACTATTATTGTTCTTCTTACTGTTTGTCGGACCTACATAGCTAAAAAGAACAGGAAAGGAATAAAGCGTGAACAAGTCGAGAGCATAACCATAATTCGACAGTCTTTTGACAGTCCTGATATGAAAAGTTTTATGAACCAATTGGAAACAGACTGCCGTTTAATGACGGAGAATGAGAGCAAAAATCATTGCAAATGTTTTTCTTCGGACCTAGGTTTGTAACTATAAAGTCAATCAACTATCTATTGTTATAGATCAGTGCATGATAACTTTTTGGATAAAAAAAAATTGAATAATTTCTTATATGGAAAAAAAGCGGATAATAATACAGGGGATAGTATTAAGAGATAGAGATTTACGTTTGTCTTGTAGAAAGTAATCATAATAACAAAAAGAAATTTTGACCTTCTTTTCCGACTCTCGTACATAAATAGCCTATCGCAAAAAAAAATCGGTTCCCATAGAAACCTGCCGGCCATCAATCTAATCCCGAGATATTTCATCCAAAACAGTAGGCAGAATTGGAATACGCCTTCGAAACATACCGGAGATTGGTGAAATGGAGCTACAACACAACGAACTGGGCGCTGGGGGAACGTGGGGTCCTAATATTTGCCAGGCTCGTTTCAGAATCGCCATAATTGTACCTTTCAGGGATAGAGCGGAACATTTGAAAGTATTTCTCAATCACATGCATCCTTTCCTTCAACGACAAAAATTTTATTATCGAATAATCGTCGTAGAACAAGTAGGTTTTCCTTCACTTCCAATAGAAATCTATTGATTGAAACTTTCCAATTTTTTTCTTTCTATATCACTGTTCTCTGTTCCCTAACCGCCTGCAGGAAGGTTATGGAATTTTCAATAAAGCGTCTATGATGAATATTGGTTTTAAGGAGGCATTACGGATGGGAAAATTTGACTGTTTCATATTCCATGATGTCGATATGCTGCCTGAGGATGACAGAAACTTATACATTTGCTCCTCAGCACCTCGTCACGTAGGAAGTCACGTGGATAAGTGGAATTACACGTAAGTTCATTGATGTATAATTATACAGTGAGTAGATTTAGAGGCAATGAATTGTCTAATTACCATGCGTAAAGTCATTATTTCGAGGAAAAACGTCGAGTAGCGATAATAAAACTCTACGTTTGCGTCTTCTTTTGCAATAAAGGGTTAATAAAACGCTTTAAATAAGTCAACTGCTGTCTAATATGAGAATTTATAGTGAATGAAAGTCGAAATTATCTTATGTAGACTTCATTACAGAGAAATAAACTTCTGTTTAGAAAGTTTTATACGAAATCTTTACATTTATTTTTTGGGCAAAGATTATATTTGTATGGCGTCTATTTGGGGAAGAAAAACGTGACATATAATTCGGATTTCATGAATCATATAGCTTCGGTTACCGAATATAATGCCCATCGGAATTTTGTAGGCCTCATTTTTTTTGCAATCTGAGGAGCCAAGAAAATTTCGCTTCCTCGTTTTATTCAGGCGAAAAAGTAAGGTTATTATTTATATATTATATATCTATATACTATATACTGTAAATATATATATATATATATATATACTGTATATATATACTGTATATATATATATATAAATTTATATATATATGCAGAATAACTCTGTATGTATTAGTTGTTTGGGAAAAAAGCCGCCTATCTTCCATTCAGACTAGATTCTCATAACAAAAAATTAGAGCATTATCCTTTTTCTTTAAGGCGTTTTTATTCTAATGAGAAATATGAATATCTTACTTTAATCCTCAAATAAATCATTAGGGTCGTTATCGTTATATAATACTTTTGTATTTTAGGCATTTTTTTCTTCACAGTCCTGCTCCGATATAATATGACTTTAGATCTCTTTTAGCAAGAGAGATTTTGTAAAAAATCTGATATATAAACTTCCTTAAATACAATTGATGAAATTGGGTTGCAATTGAAATGTTACCTAAATACTATAACCAATTACTTAGTTAGTTTCTTCTTTTATGTAGATTACCCTACCAAGATTTATTTGGTGGAGCGACAGCTTTCACTAAGAAGCAATTCGAGTTCGTCAATGGTTATTCCAACGCTTATTACGGATGGGGTGGTGAAGACGATGACATGTTTCGCCGAGTCAAATTCCGGAAGTTCAATATAATTCGTTATCCAAAGTTCGTTTCCAGATATACTATGATCCGACATACGAGTGACGCCGGAAATCCGCACAATACTTTAGGCAGTTTGGCGTGGCGTTACCGGCCTCATTCTTACACTAGAGATGGTTTAAATTCTTTAGTTTATAAACGGGTTGCGCTGGAAGAGAGACCTTTATATACGTGGGTATTGGCCAAAATCGCCACTCACAGAAATAGGTTTTATTGGAGGCACAGAACACATACTGTAGAAAAGAGGATTACAGAAACGAACTCTCCGCAGTTGGGTCGAACAATTGTAGCTTTTATTAGTTGGCTGTTCTTTTGTATTGGTTTATGACTATGTCGCCTGGGTAGAATGTTCGACGAACCTCTACGTGATCGCCGTGTTGTTTACTATTAGTTGAAGATTAACTAGTAAGTATAATTAATAAGACACACCAGTGTTTTATTAAGCGGCTATTGGCGTAAAGTTTCATTCGGGGCAGAGGGAAAAGTTTCCTTCTGAAAGACACATTCTACTCAGGCGGAACGCATTGAGGACAAACTTTATCTGATTTATTATTTTCGAATGGGAGAGGAAAGAAAGAGCGTTCAACTGACAAGCTATGTTTTCCATTTTACGTTACACTTTTTTATTACTACCCAGTTTGTACTCAAATCTTTTTAAATGTTAAGTAACGAATGATTTGTTTTTATAAGAGAAATCACAATAAACATTCGAGCGCTGATACTAGAATATTTGAAATGTTGTTTTGTAAATCCGTTTTTTATACTTGCTAAATTGATTAAGAGAATGAGGCATCCAAGCTCTTGTATTTTTTATTAAAAAATAGAAGATTACATCATTCCGGTAACTTTAGAAAAGCTTTTGACACTCGTAAATTAATCGAATAAGGGCTCGAGAGCGTCTTTTTCTATAAAAAAATTTATTTTCCCTCATGCTATGGTTCCTCTAAGAGAAAAGAAGGGTAATATTATTATGGAACTTATTACTCAACGCTGTGCACGTAGGCTAACAAAGAAAATAAAACTCAATTAGTTTGTCATTCTCTGCGTTATGTGGGATGGCACGGAGTTGAAGAGGAGAAAAGAAGTGTACACTAACGTCAAGTGCTTATTATAATTGTCGTATCACGTATACGTTTTCCTCTATAACCTGGGTAGGCACGTCTAACCAAAGCAATTACGTGATCAGATTATATTATATATATTCGTATAAACAGGGAAACAAAATGCAATTCTCAGCTTAACAACAGAAGAAAGACTTCGGAGAAAAGAATCACCTTGGATGTCAGCTATTCTTTTTGTTCGCAGAGTAGGTAATACTTTTCTTTCCTCTTGACCTATGAAGTGATCTTTTACCCTGGAAAAGATGGTAAAGAGATACAGAGCAATGTAATTGCAATCTTTACTTAAAGTAGAAACAAACCTGCTTGCCAACAGTTGGTGTGAAGTCTACGCTTTTATTTGGATTGAAATCATTCGACGTGGACTGGCTTTCAGGAGACTGCCTTAATTTTGCATTCCTAACATAATCAACAGGTGTCATATTAGCTTTCTCGACATCTGCGTATGTCAGCTTTTTCTTCTTAGAAATTTTCTTGTCTCCATCCGCATCTTTCTCCTCTTCCGTAGTCTCTTTGTCGGTTATTTTCTTCTTCCGTTTCTTTTTTAGCTATGTATTATAATCTGCTTGTAAAATAGTTTCAGGGACGATTAAACATTGTATTACCTGGTAGCTCAAGGGTATGACGTCAGTGGGTAAAACAGGATCCTTTATAGGTAGCTCTTGAGTTTTCGCGATCTCTTGATCATTTTCTGTTGGCTTCGTTGCCTCTTTCAACTTCCATACGATTGTATCTTTTGGCCGAACAACAGTAACAACAGGCTTAGGCAAAAACTGTTACCAAAAAAAAAACAATTTTTTGCGAAATTAAACATAAGTGAATCAATACGTTTCTTATAATAATAAATTAGATAAATTAGTTCTTGAAAAAGTGAATCAATATTCCATAAAAGGGGCAAAAAGGGCTTTCTATCCAAATTTATAAAGGCAAATTAACAGAGTGACTATTGTTGCTTTGTAAAAAATTTTAAATAGAAATAAAGCTTACCATATAGAAAGGACTAACAAATGTTTCACGAATCTTTTTTATATCGGATGTTGGTGTCTGTGATGATAGAGATGACAAGCAACCAGATAGCTTGCGGACAGCATCTTCGACAGTAAAAGGAGTTTCCAAATCTTTTAGAGGCGTCTCTCTCTCATCACTCAAATCATGCGGACAACAAGTCGCATTATCGTATTCCTGGTATTTTGGTTGATCGCTAATAACGGGGGCATTTGTCTCTGGCCTATCGACTTTCTCCAATTTTCTCGCATCTGATACAATCTTGTAAAGATCCATCAAATTTTGCCTGACCAGAGGCGGCATGGGGTTACAACAAGCTAAAATGCCTTGCGCCTCCTTTGGTAAATATTCGGCTATTTGTAGTAGCATGTGATTTGGTAAAACATAACCAACAGATTCATCTTCTATCCTTGCTATGCCATCTCTCCATCCATACAAGCCTTTTAGAGCCGCTAATTGTCTGTTGTTAAAGGTTTTCGTGCTTTTTGTGTAAAGCGTTTTGTAGCTATTCTCATCGAAAAGAGGCTTTTCGTAGGTTTTACCGCAAACGTTACGACTTTTGTCTAAGACGGACAACAGTAAATTTTTGTTTTCGTTTCCTCTGCTCAAAAGCTCATTTCTCATAATATCATAGATATATAACAAATAGTGCGAATCTTCTCTTGCATACTTGATCAATCCACTAGGTAAAGGTCGAATACGCCAATCAGCCAATTGGTACTGTTTGTTTGCCTCTACTTGACAATAATGCTTTAGAAGAAATGCCAAACTATAGCGGGCTAGTCCTAACTGCTTAGACGCTGGGAAGGTATCGAACATATTTACGACATACAATCCTAAATCTCTCTGCAGCCATTCAATATCATAATCTGCCCCGTGAAAAACTTTCACAATATTCGGATCGCTTAATACAATATTCAGATCCTGGAGATCGCAACGCAACTTTAGAGTGTCAACAATATAATCATGGGAACGAGTAGAGATTTGTACTAGGCAAGTCAACCCTAAAAATGTTCTAAATGAATGTGCTTCTACATCCAGTGCAATCTCTTTCTCCCTTCTCAAAGCGGAAATCATTTCAACTACTTGTTCTTCAGTCTCGACGAACGTATAAGGCGTCTCGCTTAAGATTAATGGTTTCTGAGGCTCCCGGAACTCTAATTGATAATCCGTGTATTCTAAGTGGTCTAATTCGTATTTGTACGGATGTGGTGTCCTATAACTGCACATGAAATTTCAATGTTTAAAGAGACTGCTTGTTAGTCTTGTATAAAAAAAAAGAAACAAATGGGAAAGTTCTTTTCCTCCCACTATTAAATACTCAAGTGTAAAGCATAAAATTAATTAATAATTAAAAAAAAACCAACCGTTGATTCTCACAGTCATCATTTGGTAATCTTAAACTATCTGTTAACATGACATACTTTAGTACAATATATATAAATATAGATATATTAATATAAGCTTATGTTATATAAGTTGAACATATGTACGTCTTGTAAATACCTTCTAAAGAAATTTTTGCATTCGGTTTAAATTTAATTAATGGAACAAAAGGTCTATTTCCATTGTCGACCTTTTCCCGGAATTGAAGTTGCGGCCTTGTTATATTTCTAGCTGTTAGCAATTTTGCAGTCGTTGGGGAAGAATTATCCGTCTAAAAAATATCATTTATTTAATTATGATAAGTATTTTGTATTTGACTAATCAGCTAGTCAATATAACAGAATAATTACAATCTTATTCCAACTTCCAGAAATATGATGGCGTGGTGAAGATGTTACTGATACTACAACTGTACTTTTATCATTCTTAAGGCCAGCAGCTTCATCTAAGTGTATTCCCTGTAGTGATCAAGTATATTTTATTGTAAGATGTTCTATATTTAATAAATATACGATGTTCTTTTTTAAAAATATATACAAAATCAAGCTGTTCACTATTAAGAGCTAATCTGTTTTTACAAATCCGAATTACGTGGGGTACTTACAATGCCTTCCAACAATTGATCGTTTGCATCAACTAAAATATCAAACTTATCCTCGACGTTGGGATTTTCCAGCGTGTTTAATAAATTTCCTTTAGCACCATGAAACTTCATTATATTCTGTACGCTATTCAAGGAGGAAAAAAATACTTAAAACGCAATCAATAAGTGGCAGTTAGCCATACTTTTGTAACAGTCTATTTCCCTCATAGTCTAAAACATCTTTCATTTTTTGAAAGCTCGAATAGTAATCATAATCTTGGCCTGAAGGCAAACCGTTTGCAGACTTTACGCATTTCATTACATTTCCAAATACATTCTGTGTCAAAATATTGCTTTTGTTATATTATCGCTCAGATTGTGTTATTTAGGTGATTAAAGATAGGTTTTAAAAGAGACTCTGGCTAAAATATTCTGTTATTTTGTTATATATTACTTTTGTTATTTCGTCAACGTCAAATTCTCCGAGAGAAGTTGTTTTTTCATCCGATTGCGGACACGCGCTTTCGCTCGTGGAGGCCGCCATTTTATTTTTTGTCGTTTGCGTATCTCTAAAAGCTCAACTATAGGCCTACATCGTTTCTAAAATTATACGTAAATTAACTTTTCCTTCGCTAAGGGTGAAATAGGCTTAACTCAAATTTGAAACTAATTAATAAAGCGTCGAGTGAATTTGCAATAATAATTGGGTCAATTACTTTTTATAGAAAGGTCAGCAAAAGTCGAAAAAAAAACAATATTAAAATATGTAATTCAATGTAATTTGTTGTCATGTTATTGTCCTTTAAAAGAAATTACTCAACGATTCGAAAATACTTCTGAAATAGTCTGCATTCTAAGCTGATTTCAGTAGGATTACGTTTTCTGCCTCATTCACCTTCTCTCGCTCTTCCCTCTCTCTTTCTCTCTCACTCACTCTTCAGCTCTCTAACCCAAACGCTCTTTTCCCTTTTTTTTTCTCCTTAGTACAAAAATTCAATAGAGAAAAAAAATCGATCCTGAGACGAACTATTATAATTTTTTCCTAGTTTGTCACAATTAATCTCTACTATAATATGTTATATAGCAGTAACTCAAAAAACAACCACAACTTAATTATTAGAAAAGTATTTCTAATGACAATTAGATTGATATGAAAATAACTTGAAATAGGCCTACATATATATATTATACGTATACAAGTACACAATATACTTTCAAAGGCTGCAATGATTTTGATTAACGTTATTCATTAGTTGATAGTAATTAGTAGAAAATATCTGTATATTTCATTCTATTTATATGCTTAAAACAAAAAATATGATAAGAATTGTACAAATTCCATTTATGCTATTGATAAATAGGGAATCGCTCCTTTTTCCCTCATCGCCCTATATGTGTGTAAATTATGGTTGGATTATTCCCTCTATACATTTTAGTGAGGATTTGTAAAGGAAGAAAGAATTTCTTTCTTTCTTTTTGTATATCTATAATGAGATCTATAACGGTTAATTCGAATCATTCTTAGTGATAAGATAAAAAAACTAGGAGGGTAGAGAGACTGAGAGACAGGATAGCTAAGGGGGAAGTAGGAGATAATTAGAACGTTTTTCCCCTGTATATATAAATACATCTGTAAAGGAAAACCTAAGGCCTAAATTATTTTATTACGAATATTAATGAGGTTGAATATCCTAAGGGTTGCAATAAGAACCATCGCCTATTTCTAAATGAGATACCAGCCCATTTATAATAATTATTTCTTAATAAATTGATTTGTAAAAACAATGGATACATGCAAATTCTTTCTGCTAATTTGACATGTCATTTCTAGCAAACAAGTAAGAAATTAAATTTTCACGTGATTTATAGAGAAGAGCAATGCAAAGTAACGACTGTAAGAAGAAAAAGAGGAAGAAAAAGAAGAAGAAGGGCAATTTCTAGCTGTACTTTTCCTAGAATTTATCCAAAACAGCAGTATGCATATATAGATTTATGATATTTTTATGTTTGAAGTTTAGGAACAAGTACTATCTGTTCCTTTGCTTTCCACAATTTGTTACTTGGGAATTGCTTGATTTTATGAAACCTTACAGAATTTAAGAGCAATAAGAATAATGAAATTATCATAGATTACTTTGGATTTTTTTCATTAGATATTTTATTAAACTAAATGAAATAAGATTTAGAGAGAAAGGAAGAGATAGTCTCATTATTAGATTTTAAGTATGTGTATCTCATACAATTATCATATGAGCCATCTATCGGTAAGTTTACAATTTCTGTCCTGTATCGTCAAGATTATCTAGGAGCCTGCAGGGAGATGATAAACAAGGTTGTACGTGATAGGAAAGGAATCAGTAATCGAGATTTTAAACAAGACCATCCATACAATTTTATATACTTACGCAGAAATTCTCCATCTCTAACTCTCTTACATTTGTTGATAATATATCATCAACACAACACAGTACAGTTAGCTTAAGCGTTAGAAATAAAGCACACCCATTGGTAATTTACATGAGATCTCTGAATCTGACTCTAGATTAATACTCAATCAAGCTATAAAGATTTGTTTCTCTAGTCTGCAACTTAGCCGTATCTTCTTTTTTTTTGTTATCATGTTTATCTATTCTATTATTTCATTGGTTATTCTCTCTTTCTCTTAAGAAATCTGGTTTTTAAGTTGTAAAACTAAAATAAATAAGTAAATAAATAAATAGGAAACCACATTCCTATATAGGCTTTTATCAAACTTCTTAAGACTTTTCATATACAAAACATTAAACGTATATCTTATTTATGGAAGTTTAGTAGGTGTACAATCTGTGTTTAAGTACGCTTCAGGTAGAATACTTATTGATGCTACTGTTACTAATTTCTTAATAATTGGTTGATTTCAAGTACTCATCACTACTTTCCTCGCAGCAAGCTCACATTTGGCACATTTTAGTTAAACTTAAAAGAAAATCACTCCCTTACAAGTTATACTTTTCTTTTTTGTTTCTTTTTATTTCAGTAGTCTTTCTTTTTAACATCAGCATTCTGTACGAAGTTTGCTAAATAGGCAAGATTTATCAGTTAACTTTCCAGCAGATGGCGTATGCTCAAACACATTATACTTAGATATGAAAAAATTTTTCATCCTAATCATTAGCAGCTGCTAATTAATAATTATTTCACAAAATATTTACTTTTCAATAATGCTGACAAAAGCTTTTTTAGAATCATTTTTTGAGTAATGTTTGACTAACTATGGTTAAGAGTGGCAAATGATTACATATTCTTCCAGCTGATAATACATAATTTTGCGCAGATGAGCATTTAACCTTAACTTTTTTCAAGTATAAATTCAGAAAATGTTTCAGTAAAAATCGTAACTCAATCATGAGAGGTTTAACAATCGTATTAGCCGCTTTATTTTGGTAAGCTATACATTTGGATAGAGAACATTTTGAGTTTCTTTTTTGATTCTAACTTTCATTTTTATATTTGTAGTGGTGTTGCTTGTCATCCAAAACCAGGATCTGGAGGACACCATCCCCCAATGTCTGGATCTGGTGAACCACACCCCCCAATGTCTGGATCTGGAGGACACCATCCCCCAATGTTTGGATCTGGAGGACACCATCCCCCAATGTCTGGATCTGGTGAACCACACCCCCCAATGTCTGGATCTGGAGAACACCATCCCCCAATGTTTGGATCTGGAGGATATCAACCCCCAATGTCTGGATCTGGTAAACCCTACCCTCCAATGTCTGGATCTGGTGAACCACATCCACCTATGTCCGGATCTGGAGATCATCCCAAAGAACCAATGGAAAGATGCCCAGCTCTTCAAAACTGTTACACGATATTCGCCAGCGTAGATTTTACTAAAAAATGTCACGCAACTGCTGACAAAATGTTCGAATGCTTTTCTAGTCAAAAACCAGAAGATATCTGTAGCAAAGGTTGCAAACATTTATCCATTTTAGCCATGAAAAGTGTTGGCCGTAGTATGGCCCATCTCTATTGTCCAGCACGCAAAGATTGCCCGAATGTGGCTGAAAAATTGCCATCAGAAGAACAGATGAAAAGATTCTTTGAAGATGATTCTCTCTGCAAAAATCAAAAAGCTTTAAAACATTTAAGATACCTGAGGAAAACTATTGAAAATTTCGAAGGTGATTTAATCCAATGCGGTATAACCGATATGATTAATGTCGAAATTTTCGATGTACTGGAAGTTATTGCTGAAGCTAGATGTGATGGATGTGACTTTAGGCCTGCTGCTAAAGGTTTCTCTCAAGTTACACCTGGTCGTTTCTGCCCAATGCAAAAAAAAATCAACCAACAAATAGATACTATTATTCAAGCTCTGTCTGGTGATGCAAGATGCCACAAACTTACACAAAACAAACACAAAATGGTTGCTCTCGTCGACAGAACTATTGGAGTTTGGTGTAATGCTGAAAACGAATGTAAGTGACTAAGTAGAATATTCCATCTAGTTTTTTAAAACTTTTCGTTATATATAATAGATAGCAATATGTGCGGACATGCCGATATGGGATCACATTCCGATAGGAAGAGAAGAAGTTTTGCCAAGAATATCTTCACAAGATTGTTTCCAGTAGCTTAAGTAAAATATTGGTCAGAATACTTGCAAAATATTGCAATAAATAAATTAATTTTGATTTATAGCAATGTTAATTATGAAACTGAAATATGAATTAATACATTAAAGCACTTAGATAAACTTGAATGAGTTATTTATTCAAAGATGCGCGCAAACCATCACAAACATTGTATTGCTATTAAGTCAATTCTTATTTAAAGTAAAAATGAAAATATTATAGAAAACAACTTTTCATAAAATTGGCATTCCTACACCCTTAAATAACTTCATAATCCTTCATAAAATAATAATGGATTAATTTAATTAGTTTAACAAGTCGAATAATCAATTCAACGGGAAACAAAAGATGATATCTAAAAATTGATATCCTGATGAAACAGTTATCACGCTGGACGCTTTACAATTGCTGGTTTTACACAACTATCGGGAAAATATCCAGCTTTTCCACAAGAAAGCATGCCATATGACCATCCTCGACGAAGAGGGTCCTACAATAACAAGTCGAGTAGTTATTTATTTTTATAATATGATTAATTACAAACCGTTCCAAGTCTTTTCAAGTAATCTCCTCTTCGTAATCTTATTTGTCCTGGATTAAATGGTATAAATTCTTGTCGAACAACAAAAATTTTATTGGCTGGACATTTTCCTGACCTATAAAATAGATATTGTTTAGAAAAATTTTGCATTTATCTTAGCGATCCTAACTACCTTAGGATTGGTGGAACGGGTGGTGGCAAAACTGATTGATTTTGCACTTCGGACTTTGCTTTTTTCGGAGGCAATGTAAGTTTTGAATATTCTGTCAGTTCAGACGCATGAGAGCTTTTACTTGGAATAGGAGGCTGCGGATATTTAGAATATTGCATTAATAATAAGACAACTTTTTTAAAATGGGAGCCCAGAGTGACCTACCTGTTTTTTATTGTCATAAACCCCTCGTTTTACTGGATAACTTATTCTGGAGCTATCATCAGCTGTATTTGGAGTTTCTCGAGTTTCACTAGGTACTTCGGGAAAAAAGTCAGTATTCTTTATAAATGCCTCTAAATTTTCTTGCTTCCAAGATGATTGGGACTTCTCTTTCAGTTTATTGTCACTGCAATTAATATTTTCAGACGCATCGTTTGATTTAATTTTATCATGAAAACCAGAAGCACTTGAATATTTATGAGTATCACTGTCACTATGTTGATTTTTTATTCGGCTATAATGATTACTTTCTGAGTCATCTTCGCTAATTCTTGAGAGTTGGGTTATATCATTCCAGGTACTTGTTTTCGTTGCTTGTTTCGGATAAAATAGTTCTTCGTCAACAGGTTCTTTCGATGGACTTTTATGTTTTTTAAGTTTTGAATAATTATTAAATTCACCTTCCGTTTTGTCGCATGCATATTTTTGCATTTGTGCTGTCTCCTTTCGCATTAAAGATTTAAGATCAGGCGGACTTAGTGGAGGCTTAACATATTTTAAAGGTGAAAAAGTTTTAGATTTTTTGTTATAAGACGCTTGCTGTTCTTGCGTGGTTTGTTTGTGTTTATTTTCATCATATTTTCGGTTATCAATTTCGCGATTTTCTCGTAAACACAATTCGTTCATTTTAGACGCCATTGATCTATACTGTCTTTCAAGACTTCGGGCACGTTCGTACAATTTCCAAGAAGGTGGTGGTCTTGGTGGTGGTTGTTTAGGCCTACTAGAGCTACGATGACTGCTACTCGTTACTGGTTTAGTGCTTCTGTCTCTATTCATCCTTTGAGTTTGTTGGTTAAATTCTCTTCTATCTGGTAACTTGGAATGGTGCTTTTTTGAGCTCAACTGACTACTCTGCTCCTCTCGCATTTTACGGTTGCTTTCAATATCACGATGATGATGTTGTTTTCTCGGTTTAGAAGAGCTTCTTCGGGTCGGAAGATTTCGTTCGCTATCGCAAACGCATCTTTGACAGTTACCTGATGAGAGCACTTTGTTGGAACCACCATCTAGCTTTGAACGTCTCCTGTGTTTTTGTCTATCTGCGTATTGAGCAGCCGTCGCACATTTACTTATTGACGGAGGTCTTGACGGCCTAGTTGCTTTTTCTCGACAAGTGGACTTGTCGCTTGATTCTTCCCATTTCCCATTCTGGGCTTCCATTGTGTCGTTCAAAAACTCTTCAATACGATCTCCTCGTGGAGATTTTTCAGAGGGTGTAGCTCTTGACTCAAACATTAGTGATTGATAAATTCCGCTTTCATCTTTATGACTTTGAGTTTTCTTTTCAGGTAGAGAATGAATAGAGATTGTTGGGGATGCCGGGGAATGAGAAACAATCTCATTACATCCCTCATGTTTCACGCACGTTTCAGATACGTCAAGTAATGACCTACTAATCGCAGAGTTTTTTTCAGATTCCATTTGACTTTGATGGAGTGACAGTTTATCATCAGCTATGAGTGACTCTTTTACTTCAGTTTCATTTGTTGACGCAACCTTGAAATGATACAATTTTCATTTCTCCTATTGCCTAAACGAAAACTTACGATAGGTTCAGTCCTTTCTAATGAGGGATTTTGTGAAATTTTCTTAGCTTCCAGTTGCAACCTCCTAAGTTGTGTAAAGGGCTCCTCTGACATAATATCCACTTTTTGAGAATTGCAAATAGACAATTTTGATGCCTGATCAACAGGATCTTCTTTAACTATAATTATTAAAACATAAGTGAATTATTTTTAGTTTATATATAAATTAATCATGTGAATGAAGGTAATTTACCTATTTCAGCACTAGCAACATCCTCATCTCTAGAATGCAAATTACTTTTAGACGTACGATGTGATTGACAATCCATCTCATTAGTTTCCTCATTCTCATTCTGTTTGCTTACTATTTGTATTTTAATCATTTCGAATTTTTTACTAACCATCTTTTGAACATAAACTTTGGCTATCCATCCGATTCGTTTAGTCCGTAAATTTTTAGCTTTCAACCATCCTAAATTTTCTTGAATCGGCGATAAGATATCGCCCTCTTCAGTCACTAGTTCACCCGATTGTTTCGGAATATGTTGACGTTTTGCTTCGTACCCAGAACGTAAGCCTCTGATTACAATATTAACATTTATAGCTTAAAGTTAGATATAGATATTCTGTGATGATTACGACTTATTTAAAAGCGAAGTAGATCTCTTATAATCAGCTATGGAAAAAGAGCAGTGGCATTTTATGCTTTTTACGTATATTAAGAAATTTTCTTGTTAAACTGCTTCAACAGAGCTTTAGATCTAAGAAAAAATGTCTTATAACTACCTATTTCGCGTCTAAAAAGATAATTACAATGAACTCGCCATTATAGTATTGTATTGGTATAATCAGGAGGATTATTCATGTAAAAATATGTCAAATAATAATTTCTACGAAACTGCTAATCTATGTACCCAACTAAAATTCTCTTGGGCATACTCTTTTGGTAATAAACTATTTAAATTGATATTAATTAAACTAATACTAAGTAATTTTCAATTTTCTTGAATTATAAAATGTATACCCTCTTTTCGAACCGACATCCTTCTTCTTGAACCTTAAAAGAATAAATTGTTAAAATTTTTTAGACAAAAAAGAAATTAATACATACGCCTGCGGTTGACGTTTAGCTGCACCACTCTCTGACCCTGCTGCACTAAAAGTATCTGATGTTAAAGAAGTCATCTGAAATATGATAAAAATTATACTATTGACTCGACATTTTCTATTTCAAAGGTTCGACAAACCTCAGAGAATGATTCTTCTTCAAATTCTATAAAGAAAATGGTTTATTAAAAAGATGTTAATTCGAATTGATATCTTAAAATTAACTTACCTGCAGAATCTGAACTGCTGTCGGAATGAATAATCGGATTATAGAATTTTATTTCACTCTTCGGTGGTGTTCGCTAAAAAGAACATGTTCAAATAGGCAACCCTCTACACTAAATAGAACCATAAAAAGCTTGTAAGGAGCTAAAATTCTGAGAGGTCTGAGTATAACTGATAGCTTAGTATCTGAAGTAAATGTAAATTGACATCCAGGCAACAACTCAGATTTTAACCTCTCAAACATCAAAACCTTTTAGGTTGGATTTGGTAAAGTTTCTCTTCTCTGCTTTATGACGAATTTTCAAAAGTTTACCTAAAAGTATACTTTACCTTTTTCAACTTCTTCCATTGCCAGCAACCGCATGTTGAAACTTTTAAGGACAAAAACAAATATTATTAAGTACTCACCTAACAAGGGGAAAAACTTGTTCGTTGAGCAAATGTATCACTGTACTTACCAACTCTTCTTCTATGATGAACAATTGACATGCTTTTTAATATGTCCTCAAAAGGTCAATATAAAAAATTGTTTTTGAGTATACAAAGTCAATTACTATAAACTTGTATCAGCCTAGGAAATTTTTTAATAAATAATATATAAAACGTTTCTTAATAAATAACTATTAAATATTAATAAATTAAGAATTGTTTAAGGATAAAAAATTTCAAGTATTTTATTTTTGGAACTTTAGAAAGAGGGAATTAAAAAGAAAACAAAGAGTTAAAGTCATATTTTTCATGCAACAGTCTCTTAAAAACTAGCAATAGATGGATATTATTTGTAAGAATTTAATGAATATACTGTCTGATTTACGTATTAATCATAGATTTATATTTTCTAGTAATTATGTGAGAAATAACAAAAAGAATTAAATATCGCTCACAGACTAACTTAACGAAGTTCAAAATTACGTAATGAAAACTTGTCCGTTTAAAATATATATTTATATATATTAGAATGGTATATTATATCTATCTAAATCTTTATCAATTAAAGTAAAACAAGTATTTAAAAAACACTTACCACAATGTTCTTCTCATTTACGTTCACGTTTTCCTAAAACATTTAAAGTATCTTCTTAAAGATATGATAGTATGGTTACCAATTCACAATTCAAAAGCATTCGCGCAAAAAAGTTAGGGAACAGATAACCCGCTGAAAGAGTCTTCTTTGTAAAATCTTCTTCGAAATTAAAAAAAATTGATTTATATACACAAATGATTAATAACATTCAAATAGAAATAATTCTATAATTCTCCATTAGTTTATGAAATTTTGAGAAAGGGATGTTATATCCTCTAGCGATGGATTCTTTTCATCTTGAAGTATTTGGTAAATAAAATTAAAACTTTGTCTTAATTTTTTTAAATCTTCTACTAAGTTCTTGTTTGGTTTGTTTGGAGATAATATAAAATTATGTATTCATTTAAAAACGAACGAATTGTATTCAGATAGACAAGAAAATTATTAACTATACCATGCAAAGGTTCTTTTTTTCTTGTTGGAGTTAGACCAACTAAAGAGTCACCTATAGGCTAGAAAGGCAAAATATACAGCAGCTCCATCTATTCAGGTAATCTCCTTAATCTCCTTATTTGCTCTCCGTAAAGATGCTGAAGAGAAATATTTTTTTCATCATTGCTTTTATATATAACCCATGTTTGGCAAATTCAGGTAAGAGATAATAAATAATGTAAATAAATGAAATGTTTATTTCTTTTTGTCAAAAAGAAGATATTTATTTATATTTCAAGTTAAAAATAGTATATAAGGATGAAAGAATGCAAATATTATTTGAAAAGTCATTTTCAAGAAGTAGACAAAGTACTTTTTTTTCTCTTTTATATTTACTTTAAAGAAATTGTTAACAAACATTTTCTTTTTGGCAAAATGTAGTAAATATGTAATATAATATATAAATTTGCAAAAGAAAAACTCCTGGAAAGGAGCCTATCTAACTGCAAAATGGTTAAAGTCAATTGTAAAGTTCTTTCAATTTAACTTGTATGAATGTAAAATTAGTTTTTAGCTACAATTGTCCGCAGAGATTGACCAGTTTTTAGCAATAAAGATCTTCTATGGCCAGCACGTCTGTTCTTTATATGCGGAGGGTGTAATTACTGACTTATCCGATCCTAATGAGCTGATTCAAATTACCTCAATTAAATCGAATGTGATATACTCGTCTCTGCCTTTTTTTTAAATCGAACATTTAAAATTTTTTTATCCTAATCTAGCTAATTTAGCATTCTTTCTGTCTTTTATATATACAGTATATATATATATATATATATATATATATATTAGATTAATCATACTACTTTAATTATATTTCAAAACTTGAAGAGTTTTATCAGAACTAATTTTTAAACATATGAGTAAATGAGTAAATCAGTCTGGCTTTTATGCCAAAAATAGAGAAATGACTATGGAAAATTATTGGGAATAAAAATAAAATGAAAAGAATTAAAATGCACAAATAAATTCAGATCTGCTTGCGTACAAAAATTCCAATTACAAGACCTCCTTTTCCCAATAATTGACAGACAAGAGATGCTTGAGAAATGAGCAGCAAAAAATTGGGAAAAAGAGAGGCGGCAGCTATAGCGTAATGACGATCGAATTACTACTTGTCAGCTCAATATGTGCGAATAGTGAGCAGTTCGGTAATGACCCTAAACTTTGTTTGTCGACTTGATTGGTCGAGGGCCTTGGAAATCGACCTGACGTATTGGCGTCTATTTATTTCATTTTTTTTTCTCTTTGCAATATTGTCACCAACCACAGCCAAGTTTTATGTCATTCACTATTAATTTAGCCCTATGGTCGACTTAATTTCTATATACTTTAAAGTATTTATTCAAATTTCTTACGCTTTAATAGTTTTTCTTATTTAAGGCAAAGAGGGAAAAGCGAAAAATATCATTGTCTTCCTTCTCGATGGACTTTCAACTCTGACTCTAGCAGAGGCTAGACTCTTTAGGAGGCAAGTGAATAATAGAGATTTTCTCCATTTAGATAAAATGGCCCATTTTGGATTACTAAAGGTACGTTTGGGATTATTTTCATTGTCAATTACTTTGTCCTAAAAGGGATACCATAATCTTCGCTTATTTAGTTTATATAAGCTAACACTTTGTATCAAAGAAATATGACTTGGAAAATCATAGTCGATAAAAAGATCACGTATAATCAATTTCGCATTGGAGAAATATCTACAATGAATCTTTAATTATACAAAAGAATAAGGAACTTGATTAATTCCACTTACAAAAGTGGAAAGTTACATATAATAGTATTGATATAATATACATTCCATAATATGTATACAGTATAAGTACTATATATACTATAAAGTATATACTGCATATTAGTAAACTGTCCTTAATAAAAACAAGCGCGCGACAATTAAATAAAGTTTCCTAGTCGTCAATTATCATTTTGTCATTTAACTATAAAAGATGTAAAGTTCCCACTTTATAGGATACAGGATATAAAACATTACTACAAATGTTACTGTGTCGATTCAAAGAAAAATCTCTTTAAGTGACTCATATAAAACACTCGCTCCATTCCCCAAGGAGATATTCTTCTATAGAGAAACTCAATTCCTAACTAGCGTTAGATTACTAATTGCTAAAGGTCTTTAATAACATGACGAAACATTACAAATTTAATCTATTGCTTAACTTCTACTTAAGTCGTAATATCTTATGATATAACAGATATAAGTATATAGGCCTACAAAATTACAATTCTTGTAAATCATTATAATAATTGATTTTCTTGTATTTTTTTTATTTAAAAAAAAAGTAAAATAGAAACATTTTTCAAAAAGAAAAAATACGATTATCTTTTTTTTTGCACGAAAAGAGAAAAAGTCCGAAAAAAAGGTCGATTTCATAATCCTCAATTGAGCTCTTCACAGTGACTAGTTGCTCAATCTCCCTCCCACAACCCAACCCCTTTGTCTCCTCCCATTTCTATTCTATTTTTATTACTTTTCTTTCTTCTTTTTTTTAAATGTTATCTCTTATTATTATAATGAGTTAATGAGTGATGAAAACTATGAATATGATCAAATAGAGATTAATAAGGTTTCCGAATGAAAAGAGAAATGTTAGTATATATCTATATATATAATATTTATTGTATAAAATAATCTTAATTTTAAATAACAGGAAACAATGTCAGACAATGTCAAAATGTAGACAATCATTCCGTTATTTTTATTTAAATAGAAAAAGAAAAACAGGATAATAAGACAATAAATTAACTTTTGCTATCGTCAATTAATACAGTAATATATATTATATAGAGTATAGAATATTCTCTCTCTTTCTCTCTCTTCGATAAAGTAGTATTTAAAATATGAAAAATAAATGAATAAAGGAAGAGTAAAGGTTAAAAGAGTCTTGTGAAACTGTATACTTTCGTAGTAGGGGTCTTTCTTTGATGACAGGAGATGGAAGAAAATAAGGCAAAAAAAATCAAATCAAATCTTTAAAAATAGCTGTTTTGTCTGAAAAAATTATTAAATAAGCCTATATGAAAATACTAAGATTCTCCGGAGTATTGAAAATTTATAAGTCCATTGTCACGTTAACATAGTGATCCTTTAGATGAAAGAAGGAGAATATAGGAACTAATACTATGTGCACTTGTTTGTCTAATCAAGTGAAAAGAGATTCCTATATACTGTATTATTAATTCCAATCTATATAGATTTTATTCTGAAAGAATAGGTTATCTTTATGGTGTTAAATGTGTTAGAAAAAAGCACATAGATATCCTTATAACGATAAGTTTAGACAGGATTTATTAACATACTTATCTTATTTTTTTTGCCCAAACAAGGATGTTCCTAAAAGACCGTACGAGAACAAGGACTACACTATTTTACAGACTTTATGTGGTAGAATACGTAAATACAAGTTTTACAAATGTGGTCAATTTAAGAAATGCTTAGTCCATAAAATGCAAGTAGCTTGTAAGTGGTCCTAATCTTGACGTTTGATGAAATGAATTAATCTAACAAAATTCGTTCGTTACATAGCTAAATCAACGGGTGTTGTTACAACTGGTAATGTTTTCGCTCCACCTGCAAACTATGCTACACAAGAGCTAGCTCATTGTAAGGACGCTCCCGCCCAAATATTAAACAAGATTGGGTTTAAACTCAATATTATCATGGGTGGCGGAAGATCAAATATGATACCATATGGTAAAAGTGATCCTGAATATGGTATGGCTCAACCTGGAATGAGGAAAGACGGAAGAAATTTAATAAACGAATGGTGGAGGGGGAAAACTTATGAGGGCCGAGCAGTGCACTCAGTATGGGAGAAAGTCGGTTTAGATTACGTGCATTCCAGCAAAACGGATGACTTGATTGGTTTGTTTTTAGAATAACAGATTTTATACTTCATTTACACTATTTATATGAATACGAGCGAGAAATCTCTTTTTCTCATTAGTCTAAATCTTTTCATTTTCATTAATTAGCTTTAAAGAACAAGATTTATAAATCTTTCAATAAGATCGACACAAGCCTTAAATCTATTTTATTAATTCAATTTTTCATTATACACCCAGAGTAATTAATTAATACTATCACCTTCCAATCATGAATATTCAAATGACATTGAATATGCTTTTATTCGTATGATAATTTTAATTAATTTCCAGGGATTTTTCAACCAAACACTATGGCGACCGAGGAACGAAGGAATCGAACGACAGATCCGTCTCTTGACGTAATGGTGCGAAAAGCCATAGAAATACTAAGAAGGAATCAAAACGGATATTTTCTCCTTGTATCCAGTCAGTATGCATATAGCATTTCCGATTAAGAAATTAGCTTTCTGTATACTTTAAACTTAAGTATAATACTTACGATAGCGTTTCTTACCGTAAGACATTGATAGGAGTATAAAGAATAATAATTTTTCATCCTCCCCGTCGCTATCTCTCTTCTTTTCGAAGTTTTCGTATGACATTTAATATTGATACAGATCATAATGCAAGAAAATCACCTACGGAAACAATTGCTGCCGATGATGCTATTTCAACAGTTTTAAAAATGACATACCCAAATGAAACATTAATCATAATTATTGGTTCAAAGTCATCTGATGGTACAGATAGCTCTGTGGGTAAGTTGTTGTTATTAAAATAATAAATTCAATATACTGCAGATATACAAGTATAAAAGTTAATACTATATACAGTATATATATATACAGTATATATATATTTTTATTGTGTAGATAGCTGTCTTATAGGAATATAGATGATAAGCATTTAACTTTTTTCGTTTGATCTTAACCGATACTTCTATAAAAATTCATGAATATATATATATATATACAAATTATTTCCTATATTAGATATTCCATCTTATTTTCATTATATAAGCCACTTTTTCTGCTTATTCCATTAGTTTTTTTAGCTTATTTGTATACTTTTATATAATCTATTACGAAGATATATTATTTCAGTATAAAAGATACTTGGTGAACTTTTATTTGAATAAATTCTATGGATAAAGATTTAGTAAATTCTAGATATCTCAAACTAACTCAGTTAACCTTTCTTATACGATTAGTGATTGGATTAGGAAGTGCTCTCTGTAACGGAATATGTAGATGCTCTTCACGTCTTAGTACCTTTGTGCAAATTAAGACTCAACAAAAATTTCTATCTACTCTTTATCTTTATCTTTATCTCTTTATTCAACCGTTTTTTTTTTGCGGTATATACTGCATTTTTTTTCACTTAATAAGTAAATAAATAGTCTTATTTCATCAAACTGTTTTAAATATTTATTTAACAGTCTTCTTTCCGATATAGACGATCGTCTTCTGTTTGCCTCCGGTCCGAATTTGAATCAAATAAAGGGAATTATCTCTACTGAAAGTTTGCATAAATTTTTAATCTCAACATCTTGCATTACACACTACAAGATGGCACCACATTGTAGAAGTCAAGATACTCCTATGCCAGTTAGACCTCAATATAGAACCCATTCTTTAGCTTCCGCTGTTACTAGAAAATTTTCGTTAACTAAAGGGATTCTGTCGTTTTGTATAATCTCATTCATACTGCAGTAATTATCGTTTTACTTTACTGATTCACAATGTTTGCTTTTTCTTTTTTTTCAATTGTATTCAGTTTAGAATTTCATCTTCAACAATTTTTTTGATTATTCAATATTTCCTCTAAAAATAGTATATACAGATAAAATTCGCAATCAATGGATTTCTATTTTTTATTCTTCTTTTTGCAGCCATTTTTGACAAAATTTTATAAATTTGGCATATTTTTTCCCTTTTGTTGTTGTCATAAAATTGCAAATGATATAAAAAGAATGAATGAATATTGCGTAATCAATTGGAAATAGTCAGCTTTTTATTGTTCTCTTTGTTCGTTTCTAGTTTAAAATAACGAAAACTTTGAAAGTGTACAAATAGTTTTGGTGGAAGTTTGTCATGAGTTTCGTAAAGGCTTTTCTTTTTGTTATGATTTCTATCTTTTGTATGTTTTTGATTATTTATTAATTTTTTAACTGTATGTTATTTCGTGACTTGAGATAATAAATTTAGTAAAAATTTCAAACTACAAAAAACTCGTTTTTCTAACATTTTTATATAAAAGTTTGTTTGTAACGTTATTCTTTCGAGATTGAATATGATGGAAAGAAGCGCTACTCTATTAATTATCCTATATAGTCTATATTTAAATGGATACGATAGTATAAAGATTAATTTCGACGGTATTAGTTGTAAAGATAAATGTTTTGAATGGAAATTATTGAAAAATGGTAGAATTGATGGAAATATGAATAAAATTGTTAAAACTAACGAAATGGTATCGAATTCAAAATGGCCAGCTTTATTTAGAAAACGAATTAGACTTAGATATTTTCTAGGTTGGGCTATAAAGTATAATTAAATAGTTGACGTTATAATAATATATAGAATAATTTAGGTAGATATTCAAATAAGTTTAGGAGATGTTATGGAACATGGGGCCCGTTACCTTATGTATATTCTTCTCGAAAATGCTATGTTCTTACTACGAAAAATGAATGTAGTTACGATTGGATAGACGCTGATAAAAACTATAAAAAATATGGAAATTGTATAGCCGAATATCATGGGGGTATAATAGCGAAACCGTCGTCTAAATTCAATCAATACATACTACCAGGCTATTATAATATTTACTCGAAAAAGTTTGTTTTTATTCCGAAAAATCGCCGAAATCCATCTAGAAGTGAAGAGGAAAATAATTGGAAATTCTTAATAGCCAGAGATTCTTCATGCTCAGGTATAAAATGATAAAATTAGTGAAATTCAATCTAATAGGCTAATATTAATTTTAAACCAAGTTGATAAGAACTGCACTATTTGCGGTTGTTTTACTCTCGTGGGAATAAATTCATTAAAGAGAATAGAGAGTGAGAACTTGGTAAAGTCGGATGATAATTCATCAATTATTGTTGTTATTCAATCAAATAAAAGACCTGAAAATGAACAATACATTGGTTAGTGATGGGAGAAAATATTTTATTAATATTTCACTTTAATTAATTAATTAACCGCCTTTACAGGCGAATATGATAAAGATAGAAAAGAATGCGTGTATTGGTATACGAATAATTCATCTATAAACTTTAATAATTCACAGGCGTCATTAAGTTGAGTATTAATTTATTTATTGATATGGAATTAACCTTAAATGTCATTTAAAGATTCCTTTTCGGTTGAAATACGAAGAACAAAAAGAAATTGTAAATTTCTAAAAATTAATCAGGAATGCAGTTATCAATGGCAACAGGATGTTACAGGAGTTGCAGTTAATTGTCTACTGCAATACGACAATAATCAAATTATCAATTATAGATCCACGATATGCAATAAATGCAATTGGCGTGAATATTCGTCTAAAATATCAAAGTACATTACCATAACAAAAAATCCTTAGCATCCTTAATACAGTAAAACTATATTGCACGATATTTATTTATTTATTCTGTTTATATATTAAAGTAATAAATACAACAAACAAGATATGCTAGTTTGTAAAAAAGACAAAGAAAGTAAATATAAACATGATTTTTTAGATTTTACATTGATTACATTGAGAATTATTTCCAATATTTTGTCATTATTCGTCGAATAAACAAAAATGGGTTTACAGTCTCTTTCGTTTAATATTTTTCGATATAAATATACTTCACAAAAATAATTGATATATTATTTCGAATTGTGGAGATACCAGTTGAGCGTTTTGTGTAATTAATTGTAAAGTTGTTTATAAAAAAACAAACAAACAGGAAAGTTTGGATATTTCGTCCACTGTCGACTTTTGAATAGATTTTTTGGGAAGAGATGATTTGTTTTCTTTTTTTTGTTCTTTAAACTATACATTCAGGTATAAACATTAGCACTTGAAAAAAGAAAAGATCGGGACTATCATAATTTGTTCTTTTTGGGAATGAGAAAGTATTCAGAGGAATGTTGTAGTTTTTAAACGAATAATGAAAAAGAGAGTATTTGGGCTCTTTTCATTCTTTCCTTCGATTATGGATTTGAATTCCTTTGATAGTCTTTGTAAAAGCGAACTATTTCTTGGAAACTAGGCCGATCCTCGGCTCTGTCAGGAAAGTAAATAATATATCAATTAAATACATACAAGAAGTAACTCTATAAAGTCTTACTCATGTGACCAACATCGTAGCATAAGTTCGTATAACTTTTCTGGGCATCTGTTCGGCTGTTTCAAACGATGACCAGCATCAATAAACTCTAAAATTTCTTGACCTCTCATTCCTTTGTAAGGCTTATCACCGTTCTCGAACGTCTCCCACATGGTAACACCATAACTCCAAACATCTGATTTAGTATCAAACTTAAAATACCAAATGCATTCTGGTGCATACCACTTTAATGGCCATTTCCCAGCTCTCTCCGTCTTGTAATAATTCTCTCCGATACCTAATGCTTTAGACATTCCAAAATCGCTTATCTTCGCAAAGGTTTCCGTTACTAGTAGGACGTTTCTGGCAGCTAATTTAATAAATAAAATAACACAACTTTCACATAATTGTACTTTAAAAGTGTATTTACTGACCTAGATCCCTATGAACAAAATTCTGCTGTCCTAGATACGCCATACCGACTGCTACTTGACGGAGAATCTCAACCAAATTTTGTTGGGGCATCCTCTGTTGTCGCCTTCTGACGTATTTGTTCAATTGTCCTAAAGGAGCTAACTCAAGCACCAACATAAAGGTATCCGTACGGCATATCCCAATCATTCTAATAACATTTTTATGTTTAAGCCTTGCCATTAAGATAGCTTCGTTCATAATCTCTGATTGGCTATTAGGGACATCGTTCTGTATCAATGTTTTCACGGCAACCGGTATCAAACTATTGTTAAAACTAAGGCGTCCTCTCATAACAGATCCGAAATAACCTTTACCCAATTCTTCTGTTAGTTCCAAGTCATTTCTTGATATTCTGAGCAAGTTTTCAGTAAAGCCGAAATCATAAATTTTCTGGTGATCCTCAGCCGGTAAATTACTTTGACCTTGAACTGGAAAATCAGGACTTTCCGGTTCGTCCCAAGGAGAGCTCACAGATCGTTGTGCATAGGGATTATAAAGTGGATTAGCACTTGTGCCATTATTGTACGACGGTGCCCGAAAATCAGGTGGAACACACGGTACAGTGAGTTTACATAAAAGGCCATCCATCCTATTAAAATAATGTCCAATCTGAAAAATTATCAAAAATTAAGCATGATATTTATTTATAAAACGATAACAAATTGTTCATACCAAATCCATTAAAAAAGAAAATCCAGGACCTTCTTCTATACCATAATTTCCGTCTTCCCTTTCGTCAATGCGATAATGTTTTGTGTGACCAGAACATGATAAACTCAGAGCGAAACCGCCGCCATTATGGGTTTTACTTCTTACCAAAAATTTTCCATTTTTATGCCCATTTTTTTTCATTCTTAATTCCGCTTCTTCCCTATCGATATTTTTATGAAACCACCTTTGATGTTCATGTAATTTCTTTGAAACTGAATAAACCAGATCATCCCTTTGCTTGCCCCACAATTTGTCCAACGATTTTCTGTAGGTACGATTTGCTTCGTAGTTTAGCGCCACCTCGAAATCCCTCATCGTCACGTAAGGCCAAGCCATAGGACTAGTCCCAGGATCCCTATTGCACGGTTCACGTGGATGAGTCAGAAGGCCATCTAAGGCATGTTTATGATGTTCAATTAGTTCGTATGGTCCTGGGAAAGGCCTTCCATCTTGAATCATTATAGAGCCATTTGCCTGGCACTCAAGAGAATAATGATGTATTCTGGAGGAACAAAATAATGAAAGGTTAAGTACAACGTCAAAAGGCATGGTTGCTTTTTTTTAAATTGTTTACCTGCCACTATGAACAATAGATAGGACATAATTTCCGTTAACAGTCATGTTGGCACGTAGTAGGTACATCCCTTCAACTAAATTTTTATTTCTTAACCTTCTTTCAGCCTCCTCACGGGGAATTCTCCCATGATAGTACTGCAGGTTTGCAGGATTCTTACCGCTTTGTTGCATTGTAAACTTCGGAACTGTATATTTTCTAACCAAAATTTAATAAGCGGCCAAAAGATTTTTTTGTTTCATATTGTAAGTCGACATAAGCTGATTACTACTTCCGTGATTAATCCACTCTGAAGAGAAAATCTCGATTTCCTGTAAAACTCCCCCTACATAAAGATACTGTATAAGAGAAGTTTTACTCGTTCCGAATGCTTTTTATTACTTCCTGCGATAAACTACCTCCCTCTATCGACAATCTTGATTTGGCGCACGCGCACTGCGAAAAAAGGCAACATTAGCTAGTCGCCGGTGTCGTTATAGTTAAAGGAGAACTTGTGTGTTTTTTTAACGTTTTTCTCACTATATCAAATATGTGTACGTATTTTAAATAACGTATATTAATTAAGCGAGCCATTGTCTCCATAAACGGTCTATTTTTTGACCCTGATAACTCAGAAAAGTATATCAATTACAGCGGACGAAGACCTATTAAAGATTTGGGTTGGAAACTTCCCTTACGGAACGACAGAGGTTATTTAATTAGATTCTTTTGTCTAGAGAAATAATAAATCAATTGTTTAACAGGAAGAATTACGAAATATATTCGAAAGCTATAAAATACGTAGTGTCGACCTGGTGAATACCACGGAGGCTGGCAAAACGTAAGTTGTTGTTGGGTAACACTAGAAATTCAAATCTTATAATTTTTTTGTCAATTCGAAACTAGGGCAAGTGCAATATTGATCGTTGAGGATCCTGAACTAGCTGTAAGACAAATGGATGGATATACATTTAAGGGTCGTCCGATTGGTGTAAGAATAGCTAACAAGATTTCCCGTGAGTATTTTAAATAAAAGGCCTTATCGAACTCTCCATACTAAACTAGTAATTAGAAGAATATGGCAGGAGGGTTGGATCATGTTTTATATAACGAAAAAAGAAGAGAAAAACACTATAACTCTCATAAAATTTTCGTTTCTTTTTTGTAATATGGATAGCCGATAGAAGAAATAATACGCACCAATTGGATAGATGCAAAATACTAATTCAGCAAGTACAACCGATGCTATACAATATTTTGGACAAGTGCTCGTACTGCACTGCCATTAAGTCTCTTGTAACTATTATGCAGCATATTTGCTCATCAAATAAATTTTTAATTAAATAATGCAGATAACGGAACTCTCTTGGACACTTCAGGAGGATCATCATACGAATGGATTATCGCATAATGCAACAGCAAGCCAGCATCACGCCCATGGAGCGATTAGAGATCATATGCTGACAGTACCGTCTCAGTACGTTGCAGCGGCTGAGAACTATCCTTACTCTAAACCTGAAGCCTACATGACACAACCCTTTCAATACCGGCCGTATTCTAATAGCGCTAGTCCAGTGCCACCTGGCGTAGCGATATCGAGCAGGCCACCTAGGAATTTTGTTCAATCGCCTCCAAATCATATTCGAAGTGCGCCACAGCCTAATCTTCCCTGGTGAACTGTCGAGAAAAGGTGCTTTTAAGAGACTTTTTCGTTCTATTCTCTAAGAATAGTTTATTAAAAGACGCCGTGAATACGTCTAAAATAAGAAAAGACAAATTTCATCCTATTACTAAATATGTTATTTATACAAGTTGTCCGTTTGTCGCACTCTCCTCTTCCATATCATCCAACGCATCCCAGCTGTCACTCTTCCCGTTTTCTATTTCAAAATTAAAATCCAATAAAACAGCACTTTCAAAGGGATCCTTGACTGATGCTCCATAAGGTATGTGCCATATCAGATGGTCCTTGGCAACAGTTTCAAACACTCCTATCCGCCGGCCCTCATCTGCAATTTTCTGTTCTACTGTCCGATTAATCATAGTCTCGTTCAGATCCTCTTCAATTTCTTCAAGTTCCTTCAATCTAATTTCTATTTCTTCATCATTTCTATTCATTTGTAAGCGATATTCTTCTGTTTCTTGACCCTCTTCAATAGACATCATAACGCTATTTTCTAAAATAGAATTTTCGTCATCAGCTAACATAGCCTCATATGAACAATCGGTGAATCTATTGAGCTTTTCATAATAATCATCCCATTTGGGATTTATTTTCAAGTAGGTGTGAAGTTTAGCTACCTCACTAACTTTATAACAATTAAAATATAATTGAATCATCCTGTCTAAGTCGTCGTCTTCAACATTTAACTTTACAAAATAAAATTTGAGCAGAGAGCATAACCACAATCTTCTCCAAACAGTCAATTTATCTTCATCTTCCGCACTATAATCAATAAATTCTTCTAGAACACCGGAAACATGTAATAATTCGAAAAATGATACCCATTTCTCAAACACTTTACAATAAAAGACATCATCATCGGGATTCTTTGTTAGTTCTTTATATAATTTGGCATATCTATCTGGGGGTTCTTGCATAAAATATTTAACTTTAGAGAATAGTGAATCCTTTAAATAGGATTTTTTTAAAATTAATCTAGCTTTTGCCAAAACTTTCCATGCTTTCTCTGAGGGTTGGACATAAACGAAATTCTTTAAATATTCTAAAACAACTGAGGAAGCATCAATTTCGTTTTCGTCCTCTTCATCCTTGAAATTTAAATTGTCAATATTACTTTTCTTTTAAGTCTAAATAGTTTTTTTTCTATTTCTTATGGCAAAACATACCTTAGCACATATTTGGAGCCAAAAATTTTCTTTTAAATAGTCAAGGATCAGGTCTGTTGCTGTCCTTAAAAGTGGAAGACCGGGCAATCCAGCATGTGTAGAATCCATTCTTAAGTTGATTATCCACTCGGGAATATTCAATTTTCGCGCCAAATTATGAACAGATAGTCGATGCATGTCTGTTTGATTTTCCTCGGTAATTAAATTTACAAACCTAGTTATTGCCATAGCGTAAGCTGATTGCCTAAAAACATTTAATGTAGAGTCTTCAGATTCTAGGTCCAATAGCTTGGCTTCAAAAAGTTCCACTGTGCAGTCCAACGACACCGGCAGTTTTTTTGAGCGTACCTTCCATATTTCGATCACTTTTAGAGCCTCTTTGGTTTGATCAATCTCTTTGTTGTAAAGGGTATAAAAAACTTTTCGTAGCTCATCAACTGTGGCCCATGGAACGGATTTTGTAGTCGAATCATGCCTCAAGATAGACATACTGGCGGTTGACAACTATACAAATATCATTGAGAAAACGCACAATTTAAAAATGATGCTATGAGGAAACCGATGGTGGCGCCATCTTTACGTCGGTTGATAATAAATAAAAATTTCGCTCATATTTCTCTTCAACTAATTCACATAAATAACTATAGCATTTTGAATAACACATTTAGTCGAGATGTCATACGATAATATTTTCCCAATTTCAATACAATTTGTCTTAAGAAATAAGGCTTTTTCATTATAAATTAAAATTGAATGAATATCTAACATCTCAAAAGACGTAATAAAAGTTTTAAAAAATATTGATATATTAACAAATATTTTGTAATGTATTTTGCACGTTTCTTAATAAGGTGAAACATATAAGATTGTTAATATTATCAACGCTTTTACAACCTCTAAATATTGAATATGCTATTTCCAAACTTTAACAACTCCATCTCTGGAGGAGCTGAATATCAAATTATGATCAGCAATCCTGCAAGCTGCAATATCCGTAACAATATCATGGTGACCAACTGGAGGTGTTTCCATTGCGTGAGCAGGTGTACCTAGACGATTTGGTGCTTCCATTTGTTCTTGGGCATAGACTTCTTGAATAACATTTGTGCCTTCAATTAATTTTTGCTGGTAGGTCGCATTTAAAGTCTTCCTTCTATCATGTCCAGCTTTTGTGAAAATACAACAACTATCAGCTTTATTTAAATTCCAATATCGTAATCTCATATCAGTTCCTCCTGTTAATATGAAACAGTCATTGCTAGCTTCATGAACTCCGAGGTGCATTCCCCATATAGAATGAGCATTAGTTTTTTGAACTGAGAGAGGAGCAGCTGGAGAGGCCCAAATTGCCATATCTCTATTAGAACCTTCCAAATTCCAAACGGATACCTCATTATTCCCGCTATAAGCAACAGCTACTTTGGCTCTATCTGAAGGATGAGCCAGTATTTTTTTAATAGAATTTTTTGCGGGAGATTTGATTGTCGATACAGGCAACAGAAATCTAAGGTCCCAAATTGTTATGATACCTTTTATTGTACCAGTGGCCAACCACCATTCACCTAATTGAGATGGAGCTATCGATGTTATAAGGCCCATTTCCGGCTCTTGTTCCAACTTTAACGCTGTCACTGGACTTCTTGTGTCTATTGCTTGGAGTAGTCCATGTACTGTCGAAAATAAATAGGCTTGACAAGATGGAATATACGTTAAGTCTGTTAGCATCCCATCAGTATCAACGTCAATAGACCGATCCATGTCATATTCTTTTGTACACTTTAACTTGTCACTAGCGATGGAAACAACATGAAGAGTTCCATTATTAGAAATGGAACCGAATTGGTCAGGAGCAGAAAAAGCAACAGATCTTATCTGGCCACCCTGGTGAGAGTATGAAGACTGCGATCGAATAGTTGTTCCGGATGAGGTGCCTGCTGCCATTTTAGAGCATTTCCATAATCTTATCGTTCCATCTGTGCTGGCACTGGCAAGACAAGAAGAATCAGGACTCATTCTCAAAGCATTAACGGAGCCTCTATGTTCATGTGTATGTCCTACCAGCAATCCCTTTGGTTTCCAATCTTTGGGTGGTTTCTTTTTCAACTCCTTATTATCTTCTAAAAGTAAACCAGAATTAAAAATCTGCTTCCTTCTTACGCGGACTAGCTGCTGTAGGTCATTCTGACAAGGCGTTCTGGCAGGAGCTTCTGACTGATCATATTTACCCAGTGTTCTTACTTCGTTGGAGTGTCGTAGTGGTCTGGCAGATGCTGTATCAAAGGTAGCAGCAGCACCACCTCCAAACATTTGCTTCCAATCTTCATTCTGTTAAATTATTCAAAAATACATAAATAAGTTTATCTTCCAAATACTAGAATTCAGAATTACCATGCTTCCGAGACCTTCGGCGGCATCTCTAGTCTTCTTACCTTCCTTTTTCAGTTTAACAAGAGTAACGTGCCTGGGGGAAACTCCCACTACATTTTTTAAGTCAACTTCTCCCATTCTCAAGTCTGAGGAAGATTCGTTACTATCTCTGGTAAAGAAATTTCGAAGCTCAATTAGAGAATCCGTTGTATGTTCGTTCAAGTCAAATCTCAATAATTTCTTTTCTATTGATGACTCGAGGGATGTAACGCTATGTGAAAATTTCTTTGCTCGAATTGCCTCAATTACTTTTTGCGGATCTTGAGACTTTTGTATCATATCTAAAATCTCACGCGATATTGGAGGCTTGAGCATTGTGAGTAATAGATGCTCTTTTTCAACGTACACAGCACTTCTGGTTTCCAGTTTCTTTTCCAATTTTGGAAAAATGCAGCAATGTATGTCTGCAGGATGTAATGTTCGGCTAACCGCGCAGACAAATGAGCATGCAGCGTATCGAACGCACAGTGATGGATGTGAAAGTAAGGGAATAACTGATTGATTAAGTAAATCATACATTGTTGTTTTTTTCAAAAGTTTATGCTCTGCAAGAATAGCACCACTCTTTAAAGCTTGCTGAATAACTAAGGTTTCGGAATCTCTCATCCCGGATGAAATCAGAGGAGTGACAACATCGCTCGCTTGGACACCCACAAATACTGCGACTTGAACTAAACTTTTAAAAAATGCAAGCCTTGTCCGCCATTGTCTTTCGTTGAGGAACGTTATCATATGAGATAGGAGAACGTCTGCTGCTAATTTTCTCCCTAATATGCTGCATAACATGGCAGCCCCACCAAGAGCCATAGTTTGCCTCACTTCGGGTTGTGGATCTCTTAGTAGTTGGGTCGCTATTTGAGCTATTGAATCTCTTATCTCGTCTATTTCTAAATAGAATGATATATTTGAATCAGAGTCCGCTGCACATTCTAGAAATCGCAAACAACTTTCAGCTAGTGAGCAAAGACATCGTGCAAGGGTTAGGCGAACTATTGGAGCTTCGTCATTTGTTAAACGCCGCACTTTGGTCAGAATATAATTTGGTAAAACATTTGAATCAGGCAGCTTACAATTTTCAATGCAGTCTGTTAAAACGTATATAGATTCTGCTCTTACCCTTGGTACAACGTCATCAAGTAACTGCAGAATGAAAGGTATAATTCTATCAAGGACTAGATCAGAAGCCAAGCGAACAGATATTTTTTTGAGAAATGCTAGAGCAGATAATCTGGAGGAGACCATTCTGACTGATCGAATGCAAGATGTTACCAGAGGTACGCAGAGAACGAGAGAATCACTTTCCAACGTTTTTAGCAAGACATCTTCCAAGTCCTCGTTTAGCTTTTGAACTTTTGTGTCGGGAGCAACCGGCAGTGATTTCGCATAGCTGGGAAAGAATTCATAAAAAGATTTTGGAAAAGTCTTCCCATATTCCTTGTCTAAGTATTCCTGAGCTGTTAAACGCTGATTTTTGTCTATATTTGTCATATTTCTAACTAAATGTCTAATTTGAGCATCTTCTATTCGACTTATAACTTCCTCTGGATCATATTTTTTTCCTCTACTACGGAATGCTAAAAGTTTAGTTAGTGTAAAGGGAATTTGCCCATCGGTAAAAAGTTCAATAAAGACACAGCCAGCAGAGAATATATCCATTTCATATGTAAGACAGGGATTTGATGGAGGCTCAGATTCGAAGAATCTCTCTGGTGCTAAATAGCAGGTTCGTCTCCTTGATGTATCAAAGAAATAATCAAAGTCCGAGGGACTTTTATCAGGAATATAAATAGGCTTGAATTCTGATGCCCAATCGCAGAGGAAAACATGGTTACTACTAGATAAAAGAATATTCTCTGTTTTGATATCTCCATGAAACACATTCATTTCATGAGCTTGGGCAATAGCCGAAAGTATTCCGAAAGCAATCCATCGTCTCTCTATGTCATTTAGAAAAGGTCTTGTGCTTAGACGATCATAAAGGTTGTGCTTGCAAAATCGTCTAGTTACCAAGGCTGCTTTATCAGTTAGGACGGTTTGAATATAGGGAAGACAGTTGGAGCAATTTCTCAACAGAGAACTCTGCCGATCTATTGAATCTAGGTAGTCTTTTAGTGGTAGGGGACGTTCAAGAACGGCAAAAACTTTCACAACTAAATCGCTCCCTGTCGCATTACGCACTCTTGCCACTTTTAGGAATCGAGTACTTCCCAAACTATTTGACAGGTTAAGAATTGATTGAGATAAAGATGAAATCTAAATGATTTTCTTACCTTTTTTGAAATTCGTGATCTTTTAGCTCTGTTAGATGTTGTTCAATAGGTAAAATTTGAGAAGGAACAATAGCAGCTAATTCGTTGCCCATTTTTCAGTATCGCGAAATAAAAGAACTGGCTGAAAATGATGCAAGAAAAACGTAAAAAATTAAAGCTTGTATAAAATCGGAATTGCTTTGCACAAAAAACCAACCTATGTCCAGACAAAACTTTATTCATTCAAATCTGAGTTAGGATTTTGACAACTATTTGATGGAACTAATGTTTATTCAATATAATGTTGATATTTTCAATTCGTCATTCTTATGAATATTTATATAGTTCCTGACGAATAAACTTGCAGAAGCTGATCCTCAAGATACTCTTCCGAGAGAATATGGAATTTTAGATTATAAAAAACGATTAATATCTCTAACTAGCTCTAAATTTGTATTTTCTTAGCAAACAAGGGAAAAGTTTTAAATGGAAATGACCATGAGTGAACAAGACACAAAAAATTTCAAGTCATATGATCATTATGCATAACTAATTATTAAATTACGTCGTCGATCAACAAATATGATAATTTTCTTTTACAAATTTATATTAAACATATTTTCAAACCCTTTCTTTAGCTTAGCGCCAGTTTGCTCTTCTTGAATTAATTTGTCAATCTGGTTTTGGCACTTTTCAAATGCTAACTCTAATGGCTCATCAATATAGCTTTGTTGATTATTAACTTCTTTTTCAAATTCTTCAAGCATTTGTTGTATCTAGATTTACATTATTAAATAAGAGACTCTTGTTTAATTCGTACGTGTAAATATTACCAAATTTTCAACAAATTTCTCAAGTTCTTCAAATTTTTTCTCATCCATCTCTCTCCTATCCTTCAAATCTTGAAAGATCGAATGCACTCTATTTTCTTGTTCTTCCAGTGTATTTTCAATCAACTCAATAAACTCAGCCTATCAAAGTCACAACACTTAAATGTTGATAAAATATTATAAACTAACCGGTCGGGTGAATGATGAAAGCGTTTCTTCTCGAATAATATTCATATCTGCTTTTGTAAACATGCAATAGAAAAACATTTTATAAAACCTCGATAACTAGATAATACCACGCAATTCGTTTAATTGGGAAAAAACACTTTGTAATTCCTCTTTTTTCTTATTCATTATTCTCATATTCTCAGAGACAACTTCTAATTCCTTGCCAATTTCCTGATAATTTTCTTCATAAACTTGCTGCAATTGCAGTTTAAATTTGTTGACTACTCCTCCTATCTGAAATGTTAATATCCACGAAAAAATTACATATATGTATATATTTTTATATCTATATTATATTTTGTAACTTCGAATTCAAGAATTTTCTTCAGTTTTATCAAAGCTTCGCTAGTTTCTTGACGGGAAATTTGTAATATCGTAAATTGCTCGTTGAGTTTTTTGGCAATGCTACTGGCAGCAGGGCTCAATTCTGGTTCTTCTATTGTTTCTTCAGTCACTTTATCGCTAAAACTGACTTTCTAATGATTGGGTAAGATATATTATATTTTCATTATGAGAGGCAATTTATAGGTTAATATCGAGTCAACCTTTGTGGGTTTTTCATAATCTGTTTTTGGCAGCACTTCACTTTCATTTGGAGATTCAGGATCATAATTCTCTTTGTCAGACGATGTGGGTGTTTTCAGGCTAATATAAAAGGAGGAAAAGCGTTTTCATAGTTCATAACTCATTTGAGATAGTATAATAGATTATAATAGAGACTTTACCCAAAATCTTCCATTCTGAAGCACTGTGGAATAAAAACCTTCGAAATTACAATTTTGGCGGAAAAAAGTCTAAGAATCATACGGTATATGAAACTTTAGCAAAATCAGCATGACCGATACTTTTGTTATTATTCAAGTATTGGTAATATAAGTAAATTAGAATTCTTCTTACTTTGAGTATATTATTTTTTCGATAGATTTTACCAAAATAATTGCTCCGCTACTATTCATTAGAGAGATAATTTTTAGATAAAACAGTACTCCAGCTCATATAATGAGTTTCATTAATTAGCGTCAGACAGGAACCCTATTCCCCAGTCTCAAAATAGGGGCTAGTATATTCTACACAAAGTACGCAGTGCAAAAGTGTATTAATCATTCAGTAAATTAATTACAGCTTATTCGAACTAAAATTCATATTCTTTATCAGAATCACAGTCAAGTTCTTTAGAATTAATTATTTTGAAAGATTCTCCCAAATAACACAAGCTAAAAATTTCTATGTATTGAAATCACATAAAAAAAGAGGCTTTCAAACTTCATCTCACCTAGAAAGTTGTCTAATTTCTTACAAATTCCTTAACGAACCACACCATTATAGGCTATAGAGAGATAATACAACATAAAATTAAGATCAAATTAAAATCAGGCTCTAAAATAGTTATGTATGTTTTGCAGGGCCAGAATATCTATTCTTGTTTGTATTATTCGCCAAGGATTCTGCTCGACCCTTAATAAAGTCTAACTTCTTTCTAAAAAGAGCATTCCAAAAAGGTGTTTGGTTGCTACTAGGTTGACGATTCGGTCGATGCTGACAATAATAGGTTGTAAATAATCTCATTCTCCTTATAAATGGTGCTGGAACGATTATATGTTTTAAATCTCCATTATAAAGGTGATTTATAAAATAAATTTTAACATCGTCACGAAGTAATTTGTTCCATAGACTTCTTGTTTTATTAGCATATTTCTTGTTTCTATCTTTTTCAGTGTTGCCTAGGAAAGTTCCGTATTTGCCGCTGTATAAATGTTTTAAAATCGCAAGAAGAAAGCTCTCAGTAAATTCAAAGCACGTTGGAAATTGAATCATAATTTGCCAAACACAGTCTATAAATTGTAGAAAGACAGGCGATCTCTCATCTAATTCTTTATTACTTCCATATCCGCACCTTTGACCAAATTTATGCCCAAAAGATTTCCATTCTTTTTCAATTAATATTGCAAAACCAGTCATTGTTCTATAATATGAGTCTAATAATAGCATCGCCAATGAGGTTATTTGAGACGTTCTATCCCAGCCATCCGAACAATGAACTAAGACAGAAGATTTATTGTTAATTCGGTCTACAACCGTGTTGGCCGCTCTTAATATTCTTTTAATATGCTCCAACCATTTACTATTTTCAACTTCTGACATGAAATTAGTAGGATTATCAGATGAACAAGCCTCTTTTAGCTTTCGTAAAGATTCTCTCATTACATGAATATTGTCTATATCCACGTATTGTAGTTCAGCGAAACTGTAGTTGTCCATATTTTCAACACCACCATTACGAAGTCGATTACCTTGAGCATTTTTCCAAGGTCTTGCGTCAATTATGTATAATTTTAAAGAATTTTTATTCAACTTTTGAATGGTCTCTAGAAGTGTTACATCGTCGTGTGATACAGATCCCTTTATTCCGACTAGAGGCTGACTGCACCTAGTAATGCTTGCTTGGGTTTCTGTATCAATCCAAGAGAGTACGGGAAATCTATTTTTACTCCTATAACTGACTGCTTTAAGGAGGAAGGCATCACTATCACTCGGTACGTACAAATGTGAGGGATAAGATTCGCAAATTGAATATTCGTCTGAAGATTTCGCTTGGTTTAGCAATTTCCAATTTGAATTCTCTGAACCATTTCCAGCTTTAGGTGCTAATATTCGTTTCATTTCCGCTTCCATATCGAATGAAAAGCAAGGTTCATCTTTGTATGGAGTATGCTTGTAGTGACTGACTGAAAATATTTCTGGTACATACTCCTCCTTCACTCTCTGTCAGAGAAGCAAATAAGTTAACAGTTCCTTAAGGCATGTTCGGTAATTAGTTAGAAACAAACCTTATCAATATTGGGTGGAGCATAATCTAAAGGAAAAGCGTAGTGCAATAGATAAGATTTAAATCGGTCGAATTTTGCATTTAAATCATCTCCAACAATTTTCATATTTGGACGAACGTCTTTAAATTCAATCTCTACTTCCTTAGTTTTCTTCGATTGAAATTGACTTTGAAATTGAATATTTGAAATTGTTCCCAGATGAATTTTAGTATACGAATTGACTTTATTGTTAGAGTCCTTCGGTATAAAAATTAGTCTATAATTTGTCAGATACAAGTTCCCAACTCGATTTTTGTCGATATGTACATTTTGCAAGTTAAGATCCTGCAGAAAGAAATATTATTACTTAAATATATACAAATTAATGTATAATTTATCTTTAACATATTTTTTTGACAATTGCATTCAACATCAACTAGAGATTAATTAGTTATAAAATCTTTATTTATTGATTATTCTTATTTTAAATTGTATTTATCAATATTATTCTTAGAAGTATATTTTCTTAGAAGGGAAATTGTGTACCAGTCATTGTCAATTTAGGTGCAGCATCGCGATTTAAACAAATAGATGCACCCAAATCTTTGATTAAACTTACTACGCATATTTCACCATATCTCGACTTAATTGTGCCCACTATTAGGTTTTCTTTAATCGAACTTTTATCCGACGAATCCATTGAAACGTGAAATTAGTTCCAAAAACACTAAATATAGTTTTTGTAATAAGGAACTCGGGCACTATAAATGCACATCGATTAATACCAGTTTTTTCTAGATCAATTTTGCCATGTTCTCTCTAAATAGTGTGTGGTGGTTTATATAATATAGCACATAATTTTAATTCAAGAGAAAGCCTATAGTTTATTAATTTTTACAGCTTAACAAACAATTCTTTTTAAACAAATGTATATGTTCAATAATAAAGTTTTCTTATACATTGCATGTAGCATTATTCACTATTTATCACATTTAATCATAGTGAAACCAAATATTGTGAAGGGGTTTGTTGGTATGTTAAAGTCTGTGAAAAAATCTAGTCGATTTAATCCACACACAGGAAATGGCAACCAATAAGCTAAATGAGGAGATGGAAACCGATCTACTGAATGTCCATTTAGCACAACGTCCAAAAATGGATATTTGACAAGACTGGTTAGCTGTGATTCGTTTAACATTTCTGTAAAAAAGACAACTTCTACTGAATCCTTTTTTCCAAAAAGTGTTGCTTCATCCATTTCAAAAAACAAAGTGTAATGCATGTGAGATTTTACCTCCAAGTCAGATATACTCACCAAGGTTTTTTGGATTTTAAAGCGGTCACTAAATGAAGATTCTATCATCATTCCTAAAAAGTAATTCATAAATGGATTTTTTTTTAGTACAAGCCCATCATTCATTGATATATGTTCCGCATGCCAAGGAAGTCGTTCAATATTCAGAGCTAAGGATGCCATCTTTTTTTGCTGATCTACAACTTCCAGCTGCAGTTTTCTTCCGACTAATGTTTCTTTGTTGTGTTTATAAAGAGTCTGATAAGAATTTGATTCCTTATCAAATATGGAAAAATTGCCGAATATAGTACCATATATCTTCTGTTCATTTTCAATCGTATATTTCCTCGCTAAATCTCTTTTTTGCTTGAATTTATCAAGCTTCTTTTCACTTTGACTCTTGTCGGATTGACTGTTTGTACGAAGCTCACGTGAGTGTTCTATGGATTCATCTTTTTTGTTGTTCTTGTCAAGTTCTTTGTCTGATGATATGTTGAGAGCTTCATCTTTCGACGGTGTTTTAATAGCTCTATCTCTTAGCGTTCCATTCATAGTTCCGTCTTTTGATGCCTTCTTGATATCTTGAACTTTCGATGCTTTCTTGAGAGCTTCCTCCTCTGTCGACTTTTGGATAGCCCCATCTTTTGACGTTTTCCTAGTAGCTATATCTTTCCATGATTTCTTAGTATCTTTTGACGTTTTCTTAATACGTTCGTCCGCTTTTTTATGTGATGAGCTATGTTTCGGTTTTTGATCTGTGCTGTAGTCATTTGTCAATCTTAAAGACTTGTGTTTTTGTTCTGATTCAATACTTTTTTCCTTCTTGGTATTCATTTTAATTCCTTCAGTAGATTTATCTTTCGAATCAGTAATTTTTTCGTTTTTGCTTCTTGAAGTATTTCGCTTTTCTTCATTTTCGCTACCAAAAGTGTTTTTATGTGGCGGAACAACAGATTTATTTTCACTAGGAGCTTTTGAATCTTCAAAACGACCATTTTGTTGTTTATCTTTTTCAGACTCGGCTTTGGCGTAATCTTTTTTTGTATTTTTACTGCTTGATTTCGTTAACTTGTCTCTAGTTTCAGATTTATTAACCATTAACTTTTTGTTCACTTCTGGACTAGTAATCGGTAACTTTTCAGCATGATCCGTCTCTTCACTGTCTTCTCCGAATAAATCTCTCTTACTTATGTTATAGGGATAGGAAAAAGTACTAATTGAAGTTTCTTTCGGTTGTATACCGGTGTCTGATAACAAATCTGATGATGAGTCTGATGATGAGTCCGATGATGAGAATAATATGCTTCTATTCTTCTTTACCTTCTCAGCGATAAAAGATTTGTCTTTTTGTTCTGTTGTGGAAGATTTTTCAGTTCGCTTTTTCCTTTTAGGACAAACAGTTTTAGTTTTGCCTTGTGATTCTGCTTCATCGTCTGTGTCACTTAAAGCTTGAATTTTTTTGTGATCTCTTATTTGAGGCTTTTGAAAAGTGGGAAGTTTCTTTTTTAGTTTTACGATAGGATGATCTAAAATTAATTTAATGCATTTATTATTATTATTATTGTGACACAACTTTGTACGTTATGATAAATTTAAGTAAAATTTGACATTCAATTTAAATAGTAAAAAACCTTGGGAGCTATCATATTGAAAATGACAAACGGAAGAACTTTCGTCACTGAGATTCAAATCTTCGTTTGTTGTCAATTTTGAGTGTGTCTCGTTTGACGCCTCTAATGCTCCTGAAAGAAAATATATGTTACTAAGTTAACATGATTGATACAAGAACTTACTAGTATCACTGTTCGAGTCTTTTTTGTAAGGAATTTTGTAAGTGCTCGGACACTGCAAAGATATTTCGGGAGATGACGGAGGTAGAGAGTCTGATTCCGGGGAAAATAGGGAGCGTATAATTTTCTTTTTGGGTGGAGTTTTTGACTCTGACAGGCAGCTTATTAATGGTAATGTTGATGGTCTTGATAAAGGAGAGTTTCTAGACTGTACAAGTATCTTTGGAGAAGGGTTAGATGGGGGGCAGCTTGGTAGTTCAGTTTGAACTGATATCAGAGGGGGTGATTTATTGGGAACAGACGCCAGCGTTTCAACCGAGGTAGCTGATTTCCGTGATGCTGGTATGGGCGATGACTTGGAAGAATCTAATGAAGACGAAGATGAAGATGCTGATGAAGACGAAGATGCTGACGAGGCAGAGAGTTCCAAAAAAGCAGCTCGTAATAGCGTTTCTTGTGATTTTCCTGGAGATGGAGTTTTTAAAACGTTTGGAGTAGCTGTTTGCAATAGAATCTTTGAATTATCAACTGGTGCTTGGGGGTGTGAAGAAGTAAATTGTGGCTGGGCTATATGAGATATTTTTGCTGATTGATCTCTTACAGATAAACCTGGCGATGAAGGTCTCGGAGATGCAGAACTAAACTGATTACATGGCGCAGAGTCATTGGAATTGCAGCTATCCATGGGACTTCTGAAAGGAATCGATGGTTCAACATCTGAATCACTAGTCAAGTCAGGCAAAAAATTTTGCATTTGCATCCTAATATCCTTTCCTCTGCTGAATCTTGGTTTAATCGGACTACTAGTTTCATGTTTTTCAACACTTTCCGATACACTTGTCGATTCCGTATCGGAACTTTCATATAAGGGCATCATATCTTCCTTCTTAAATTTTGATAATTTGTCTACTGTATATCCTTTCTTTCTGAAAGTAATTTTTAAGTTAGCAGATGAACTATCAAGAAGTCCCCAAGATTCTGAAGAAGCGTTCTCTTGATCATTAGTATGCGATAGGTTTGTCTCAAAAGCTGTCATTATATTGTCTTGTGTAGAAGTGTGTGTTTCGCAATTATTTCCTTCAGTTTGAGAGTCTGATAGGTCACTTGAAGGCCTTTGTTTTTCATTTAAATTAACACGTTGAGGGGAACTATTCGATGGCTCAGCAACTGTACATAGGGACGGAGTATCGTGGAAGTGATTTTTTGGATATGACATATTTTCTGTAGATATCAAAGGAGTCTTGTTTCCAGTCTTTGCCTCTAATTTATGGAGATCTTCAGAATTCCTTTTATAAACCTGTTGATTCATTCTTTCTTCGTTTAGTTCTTTATCAAGCCCCTGGAATTTTTTTTTTTCACTATTTTTAGGTTCGATGTTGTCTTCGAGGTTGGGAATAGGTAACGAGGATCTTTCATTTGCAAGTTCTCCGTTTTTGAATGGTATATCATTAACACCATTCTCCATCTCAGTAATATTTAAACCTCTCGTTGTAGAGTTTGCGATTCCTTCTAACAAGCCTTTATTCCTGGTATCTTCTTTATTTGTCTCAAAAGATTCAATGACAGAACTTGATTCTATATCTTCCTTATTTTTAATACATTGAACTACAGGATTATCTATTTGTTCTAATTTGGATAAGTTTTCCTTCGGAATGCTCGAGTTGCATTTGTATTGTTCATCAGAATGCTTTTCTACCTGCGAAGTGTGTTGTAGTTCATTAATGGCTGTTTCTTGCACAACATTGCTACATTCAACTTGATCTGCATCCGGAATTTTTATTAATATAGAACCATCATTAAAATCCTCAGTTTCGTTCATGATTCCGGCTGACATTGCAGATTGATCATAATTCTGGTATTTTGGAATTTCTGGATTGTCGAAATCGCTCAGATCCATCCATGAGTTGCTTTGATTGTCAAGAATGGATTCTATGGCCCTGTTTAGTTCAGCATCCTTGTCTTCTATGTCTTTCTGAGACGGTTCGATTTGTTCATTCTGAATATTAGGACTAACAGCAGTATTCACTGAGTTATTTTCTTCCTCAATCTCATGTTTTTGGGATTTTTCAGATTTTTTTGAAGCGTTTTTGACTGCCTTTTGAGACTTTTTTTTAGTTGATTTAGCTTTTGGAACTTGTTTAGCTTCAGGTGGTATTTCATTTGCAACCAGAGAGGCACTGGAATCCATCTTTGAGGAAGTATTCTTATCTAGATTATCCTTCTTTTTTCTGCCTTTTCCGCTTTTCACTTTTTTATTAGATTTAATCGTAGGATTCTCTGTTATATTTAAGTCAATTTCAGGAGTTTCAGGAAATTTCATGTTCTGATCAAAACCACCAACATGACTTTCTTCGGAAAAGAGACTACTTCCAGCATTGTTTAATCCGATTTCAATACTTTTCTGTTCTGGAGTAACAATTGTAGGCATGCAATCTCCTGATTCCTTTATCATTTGAGGGATTTCACTGATAGCTGATAAATTAGGAGCCACGTTTAAAAAGTCGTTTTTCGATATAGCGGGGGCATTTGTGTCTTGAAATACAGAATTTTCTTCAAAATTTAAAGCAACATTCTCTGTTGTTTGGGTTGAATCAACTAAATCGGTTGGAGTTAAATTGTTGTCATGAGAAAAAGTCTTTATGATGCTAGTTGAGGGACTTTGAAATTCTGTATCAATTTGAGATCTCTCGATATCTAAAGTCTGCCCCATACCAGGGTTAAGGCGTTGTTCATGGACATTGTTAGATATATTTGTTTCGGCTGTTACACCAATGTCGGTAGAATTTAATGGAACATGAAAAGATTGCTCCAAATTCTGAAATGTTTCAGAGCCTGTGCTAGGTTTTGTTGGTACGCAAGAAGATTCATCAACATTACTTAATATCTCACCCACGTTCTCTGAAACCTGAGTAGTATCACCTGTTTCAAATTGATTTTGGGGATTTTGTATAAAAGGAGGATCATTTAAATAATCTTGAGAATAGGTTTCGTTTTCATTAGAGGTCTGAGGAATTTGATATTTTTGATTAGTAGTTGGCGTATTCAGGCAATATGACCCGCCAGTTTGATCAATGTCATTGCGTCTTGTAATTTTCCCTTGACAGTCGCTTGGGTTGGAGTGCGAAAAATTGGAATCTGCATGAGCAGAATTTTCAATATATGGCGTTCTATACTTCGCTACATCCTCCAAGTCATCGTTTGCTAATGCTTGATTCAGGAATAAGCTCTCTAAAGGATCTGGGCAATATTGATTGAAAGAATAGTCCAAATTAGAATCATTCTTATTATCCATATGATTGTTCGAATCATCAAATGGATTAGTTAAATCATGATCGTTGGTTATGGATTGGGTTTGATTAAGGGCGCTGTTGTCTGATGGTAAAGGTTGCATTTCGTCTATTGCTGACAGTAAATCAAGGAGGTTTTCATTGGGAGTACTTGAATCAGGTTGAGTAGTTGGAGCAGATATGTTTAAATCTTTTGATAGTTCATCTGGTTTAGTTACGGTAGGAAAATTTACAACGTCAGGTCCGCTACACGTGGCTGAATTAGATTTATTAGGAACATCAGGAGTCAAGACCAACTGAGCAGAAGTTTGCTGGTTTATAGATAAACTTTTGGTGTTTTCTATGGGATTACCGTCGACCAAGGTTAATTCATCAACTACAGAGGTATTAACTGCTGAGTTTGGAAAAGATTGCGGTTTACCTAAAGTTACAACTGTAGTAGGTACATTATCTATATTATGGATGAATCTTGAATGTATGTTAGATGAAATTTCTTTAACTGTGCTTGGAAGTTTCGCAATTTCTGGTCTTGGTAATTTTCTGTATATTTTTGGAGTCGAGATAGCAAATTTTTTTAAAGGTCTGCTGGAGTATTCTCTTCCACTGGTGCTAGTTTGGTCTTTCTTCAGAATTGGTGAATTTAAGATTGGAGATATTGAGCTGGAAACAGGCATTCTCATTCTGGGACGGTGTCTTTCTTGGTAGGGTATTGACACTAGGCGAAAATTATCATTCAAATTAGTTGTGGATCGAATATTATGTAATCCAATATTTTGGTTATAGTTATATCTTTGTCCTTCTTTGTCTGAAGCGATAACATAGCTTTGCTGATTCAAATTGTATGGCGAATTAGTCAGCCGTTTCACTAACAGAGGCTGTTGAATGCTTAGCGTGCTTCCCACATGGTAGGGAGTTGAAGCTTCAGCCGCAAGGGAGGCTCGTAGTTTAGAAATTTCTGATACTCTACCCTTTTGATTTGGAATTCTATTTACCATGTTTTGACCTGAAACTAAGTTAGGTGATATATTTCTTATGTTAACTGTCGCTAAATTGCAGTTAAGAGGTTTCGCCCTAGTCACAGGAATGGTATTAGGAGCAGTTTTAAAGGCTATTGCGGTGGTTGCAGGTTTAACTATGGCGTAACTAGTTCCAGCAAACGTTTGATTATCCTTAAGAACTCCCGTTTCAACTAGATGTGCCAAATCAGCAGGCGTAATATTACTTTGCACAATTTTAGTAGAAGCAGAGGAGGCAACAGTTTGAGTTTCAGGTTGAAGTATTTTTACCGAAGGAATCATATGTTCGATATCACATGGGTCACTAACAGAGGCAGCATTTGTTACAACTATCGTTCTTTTTCTTATCTGCACTGCTTGATTAGAATCAAAAAGTTGTTTTTTATCTATTATTTTTGTTCTGCTACCAGTGACCTTTGGCGAAATGCACTTCTCTCCTGGTTCATTATTCAAAGGCTCAAAATTATTTTTTTTCACCAACTTTTTTACGTTCGCAACTAATTTTGAAGGAATAGTAATGCATTTTGCAGTCATTGTAGTTGAGTTTGGTTTAATAGGGTTTAGAGAAGATGTCACAATTTTCACATTTTCGTTTACCTGTTTCTGAAAGGTTTTGTTTGTTGTAGTTTGGAGCATTGTACTGTTTACTACTGGAGAGCTGTAATCAGATGCGACATCACTTTTAATTTCTTGGCTTTGCATACTTTTAGACTTTTCTGACTTATCTAAGCTAATGGTATAAACTTGTTTCGAAACTTCTTCATCAACATGACTCTTTGAATTATTCCCCTCAAATGTTGTCTCGTTATTAATATTCGATGAACTTGAACTGCACCTAGCGGCTACCTCTGCCCCCGTTTCCGTATTAGTTTGGCTGTTTTGTAGGTGAAGACCATTATTAAATATTAACTATGTAATTGAATAACCAACCTGTTTGGCATCTTTGGAAGTATTTCTGGATTCAAGTTTTGTAGCGTTTCTGTATCTAGAGTTTTCAGTGTTTCTAAATCCAAATCGTCTAGCTCTTTAGTTGTCAGGTGTGCAGTCGATGCATTGTTTATACAGCTTTCTGTTTCAATACCTGCTTTGTTGGAAGGCATAGTTGTGGGAGAAGGAATGTCCTGTTCTGTATTAAAAATTCCTTCAGAGGCACTTGCATCTATTTTATTTTTCGACTCATTTTCCATTTGTAGATGCAACTCAGAACTCTGAAAGCCAGTAGGGATGTCACGAGCGCTGGGTGTAGAACTTGGACTTCCAGGAGACTGCTCATCCGAATCTGAATCATCTATTATAATAGGTTTCTCTTCATTTGATAAAAATTTTTTGGGAGTAGTATGCTGCTTCAGGTTTTCAATTTCTCGATTGTTTAGATGAATCTTAGTAACAACTGGAAACTCCAACTTGGTAATCTGTTTATGTAATTCAGGGTTAGACTTTAAGTTGGTGCAGAGACTTTTCGGTGAGTCTAGAACGACTGCCTCGTTTTCTTGTCTCTGACTATTTATTTGAGACTCCACTTGGGCTGCTGATTCCGTTTTCGGAGAAGTAGTTATTGGGACGTTCTTTTTCTCTTTCTTTTCAGTGTTCAACTTCTGAACAATTGGTTCAAATATTTTTTCATCAATATTTGTTAAAAATTTTCTCAAATTTGCGCTTGAATTGGTATTCTGCATTGGCCCTTTTTGATGCACCAACTTTATTTCATCAGTATTTAGTGAAATAGATTCATCCACTAATTCTGTTAATGCTGGCGGTTCTTTTTCGGTTGCGAGAGTTTCACTTGTAGCTTCAGACTCATCAGCATTGTTACATGATGTTTGAAGCAGTGTAGAAATGCTATCAGTAGTAGATAACTTCTGTATGGTGTCTTTTTGTATCGGGTCTTCTTTTTCTTTTAATGAAGCCTCTGTCGTAGATGCACACTGATTGAACGATTTTTCATGTGTAGAATTGGAATTGTCGACATCTGTTGGTTTGCATGTATTAGCTGTTTTTGCTTGTTCACTTTCTTTTTCTTTTGGTATAAGCTTTCTTGTTTCAGAAGAAACATAAGATGGACTGTTGTTTTGATTCAATATTTTTTTAGCATTAGAATCAAAACTGCCTGCAATTGATGACATAGTAGTAGTACTCTCTTCCTCTAGTTGTTCAATTTCCTTTTCCCCTAATGAAGTTTTTCTTAAGGGCTGATCTATCGCAGGACTGTTTACACCATCATTCAAAGCATCTGTTTGCTCTACCTGTTTGTGTTTATTTCCTCTTGAAGGAACTACTTGCTCTGATGTTTGCTGATGAATGACTTTATTTGGAACGTTTTCAACCATATCAACACCTGTATCTAATTTAGAAAATGAATCAAGTTTTTTTGGCTGCATTTTTCTTTTTGGTTGAGCATTTTTTTCCAATTTTTGCTCCTCTAAACTTTGCTTTGGGGTATTTTTAATTGCAGCATCAGAATTTTTAAGTGCAGAGATTGATTTGGATGATAAAGTTTCGATCTTTTCAGATTCACTTCTTTTCCCTTTTGCCTTTCGCAAGTCATTCTTGGAGGATTCCAAAGGCCTTCGCTTAGGTGTCCCTTCACAATCGGAGTCAGAGCTGTCTTCTGCTTGTAAACGTTCAAGTAGCTTTCTTCCAAATGTATTTTCACCAGGTACATTCTGCATAGAGGCTGATCGTTTTTCAAAACTTTCAATAACTGAAGACAAATGGGAAATATTATCATAAGGCTCCCAAGTGTCATCATCTTTAGTGTAACCCTTCCATCGTACCAAATACAACGAAATACCATGCACAACTTGCTTATCAACAATATGGTCAATTTCATATTCAGCTTCGTCATTTTCTTCTTCGTATGTATGTTCTATTTTGTTCAAGAGTGTTGTTTTCCGCCTTGAACTATACTTTTTTGTACTTTTATTCGAAAGTACACTACTTCTGTCATCTGTTGTATCGGTGTGGCAAGACGAATCGTCTAATTCGCTAATTCTAGAACTTTTTCGGGTGCTGATTCGTAGGTTGTTTTTCCTTTGGTGATCATTATCTTGTACAGCTTTTGTATTTTTCTTTGATTTTCTATTTGTGCTAGTTCTAGTTCGTTTGTTGATACGTTTATTATTTTCTCCTGGTGGTGTTTGGACTTGAGTAGATGACAGATTTTTTGTACTTTCGAAATTATTAATTGACTGTGTTTTAGCCGTGTCAATATTTTGCTGACTTTCAGTCGCCGTGTTGAATATCTGAGATAAATTTAAATGCTGTCGATTACGCTTTTTAGGGGGCACTAAATGATCGCATTTGACTGATCTAGTATTTTTAGAAGCGGTATCTGTGCTGTACGTTTTATCAAGTTTCGACTGCTGATCAAAGTTACTAGTGTTTGAGTTCTTGCGGATTTCAGTTGTATCTAGTTCGTTTACTTTTTTGTCATTATTACTATTCTTTGACAGATTACCAACTTTTATACTCTGATCATCACATTTAACACTGCTCTTGTTTGTCGTTCGTTCTCCTCTTTTGCTACTACTAACAAGATCTGGATTGCTGTTTTCCGTCCAGTCCTTTTTACTTGCCATTAAGACACTTTCTTTGTTTTTTTTTATGTCGGCAGCTAGTTGTTTCTTTTCAAATTCCTCAGTCACATGGGAAGAAATCTTTTTGCCCTCCTTTCTGGGATATTTTGCACAAGTTTCATTTTGGCTTGCTCTATCTTGCTTTCTTTTATATCCAGTAGAATTCTTGGCTATTTTTTCAGTTTCTTTCCTTCTATCTTTAGGCTTTCCTTTAGCTTTCGCTGACCTTCCAAGCCTCGATTTAGTATCCTTTCAAGAATAGAAACTTGCAGGAAATTTTAAAACATAACAAAGCTATTATACATACGGGCGAAAAAATTTTCTGAGCAACCGATTCTTCATAGGCATCAATCTTCTCTTTTAAATGCTCCAAATTTGACTCGGGTTCCCACGTGTCACTGTCCTCCGTGTAACCCACCCAGCGAACTCGATAGTAAACTTGGTCCTGCAAAAGAATTAATTTCATTTTTTTATGGTAAAAAAGAAAAGTATGCCAAAACCTTATAAATAGTCTTTTCGACTAGTTTTTCCACTTCAAACTCCTCTTCACTTGTCATGCTTTCAGGTCATTTCGTTGACTGTAAAAAAGTAGATAAAAATAAATGTGTACCTGATACACTTGAAATATCAATCATAAGAAAAAAACAAAAAAAATTTAATAACTAAAGTTATTTAGCCGTTGAAATAAGGAGTAAACATGAAAGCCGAAGTAGGCCTTTGCAACCCAAAACTAGGTCAACTTTGGAAAAATATAGAAATATGTAGAAAAATTGAAACAAAGAATTCTAACAACTTAGAGCATTTAGATAGTGAATAGAAGACGGAGGTGAAAGTTTTATTAACAGTAAAAAGCTCAAAGTATTTTTTGACCGATAATATAAGATGTTCTCCAACTCTCTCTGAATTCTGCGTTGAGAGATTACAAATCACTTCAAACTATTAGAAGTATAAGAAAATTTCATATATAAATAAATAATACTTACGAGTAGTCTAAATACTAATATTAAAAGTATTTCAAATGCAGTTTTACTTCAAAATATCAAATGTACACTACGCAATGCGCACGAAAAAGTAATTGTAAAATACTGCAGATAAAAATTATTTATGCTCTTTAATTATAATTTACTATTATATTTTAAGCATTTTTTATCAGAATTAAAGCAACAATGTTTTTTATATAAAAAATTTACGAAAAGGTGTGCACAATATGGTTCTGGGTAAATTAATTAATCGGGTTGTATAGAAAATGTGATAGGAGCATTTGCTTCAAAAAGTTTTATTTACAACTTTACACCTTATCTTATAATAATATTTATGAAAACATATAATTTTTTTATTTCGGAAAAGTAGTCTGAGTGACTGGAGAATTTTTTTCAATTTGTCTGATCATGTCGAATCTCTTGATATCTTTTAAAGCTTCCTTTATTTTTTCTATTTTCTCTACATCTGTCATGCTATTTCTTTGCCAGAAAAATTTTAAATAGCCAATGTTAGCATTTACAATATTTCCTGATGAAAGTTCGTCAAATACTTCCGAAGTTTTTGGAAATCCACAAAACAAAATATAAAATTTAGAATCTGTAACATTTTCTGACACAATAGCGATGGCCTTACTTTCCTTTTCTTTTGAATCTTTTTGATAATTTAAATGAATGTCAGTTGTACGATATATTTAATTTAATTGTTATTTACTTATATTATTGATTGCTCGTATTATATGCATTAACTCAGCCTTTTTCAATGCTTTTTCAAGCTCCATCAAAAATTCTTCGCTGGTGAAAAATTGCTCACTTTTCTCTGCAAGCAGAGATCGACGACCATCTTCATGGTTTCTTATTTTTTTTATATTTTTTAAATGGTGGTATTCTAAACCTAAAAGAGTAGCAAGTTTGTCTCCATCGTCTGATAACATTTCTGCTATTGTAAAAAAAAAATTGTCAACTGAAATGACAAAAAATTAGATTTTCATTGACTAATATGGTAATCATTACGTTCTCTTCCATCAAGGTTCATAGTAATTAATGATCAACCAAATGGGCTAAGAATCATATAATCATATATTGTCTAGTTAGACCTTTTAACAATAAATATCACCATCAATTTCATATTGTATCAACTATTCTTCATAACCACGCTAAATTAAAACCAGTGGTTATAAAGAGTAGCTTATCGATACAGCGTAATTGAAGTAGTGATTATAGTTTTTATAAAATTATTATAGAAATAAGTATTAAACTATATAAGTTTTACTTGAAATATGCCTTTTAAAAGAATATCAATTTAACAAACAACTGTATTATCTTTTAAGCAATATATTAATTGTAACTTTTCAAACTGTAAAAAAAATATAACATGGTTGTTTATTTGGCATTTGAGATTTAAAGATATAAGGAAATAATGTTGGAAATGAACACATATATATATAAATAGGAAAATGAAATTTAGAACCCTAAACTAATAAGGTTCTTTACTGTCTTTTTTTAAGAGAACTATCTCCTCTTAGAGCTTGGTTTTCTTTCATATCTATCCACCAAAAACTTATGTTCCAATAGCTGTCGAGCTGACGGTCTAACAGATTGATTTCTGGTGAGGCATTGATTGACAAAATCTCTTGCTTCAGGTGAAAAACTTTCCGCTAACTTTGGTATTTCACTCTCCTCTCTGCCTATGTTAAACATGGCTGCTGTTGCTGACATGTCAGCCCTAGCAATAAAAATTATTATTAACTAATTATATTGTTCAATTAGTGGAGACTCATACCATGGAGGTTTTGTTGTTGCCATTTCAAAAACGGTGCAACCAACACTCCAAATATCACTTTTAGGACCACAGCCAACTTCTTGAATTACTTCAGGAGCCATCCAATATGGAGTACCTCTCATTGACATCAGAATTCTACCTGAAGCTTTCTCGCTTCCGGAGCATTCTAATCGAACACCAAGTATTCGTTTTGCACATCCAAAGTCAATAAGCTTAATTCTACCTTTTTCTGATAGCATAATATTACCACCTTTAATATCTCTGTGGATCACACCATTTTGGTGTAGGTAAGCAATACCTTCCAATATTTGTCTAGTATATCGAGAAAATATCTCTTCGTCAAGTGCTCCAAATCTTTTTATGTTAGTTGCTAATGACCCTCCGGGAACATACTGCATAAAAATTGAAACAATATTTTTCTCCAGAGACGCACCTTTGTACCTATTGATAAATGAAGAGGGATTAGTCAAATGTAAAGAAATGAAAACTTATTTTTAAAAACTCACTGAACTATATTCGGATGTTTAAGATTCCTCAGTATATTTAATTCTTCAAGTATTTTATCATAGTCTGATTGAGCTTTTTCAGAATCATCATCATCAGTATCAAGCTCAAATTGTTTAACTGCTATTAGCTCTCCTGTAGTAGTAAGACCGCAGAAGACTTTTCCGTACGCACCTTTCCCTAACAGGTGGCCTTTCTTCCATTTTATTTCTTCTTCATCGCTCGTTTGAGACATACAACTTGAATTTGTAGAGGCAAGCGAACACCTACGGCCTAGTCTACTTGTAATAGTCTGTAGTTTGGAATACAAGTTATAAAGAGGTAAGGTAAAATACTGTTTCAGCTTACTCTTGATTGAGTAGCTTCATCATTGCTTTCAGCCTGATTACTGTTATACTTTAAAGTTCCTGAACTAAAGTTGGTGTCGCTGTTCACTTCCTGTTAAAAATAGACAATGTTACATTTAAAACCACAAGAGCTAATTTGATTATTAACCGTCTCTTGATCCAAGTTTTCTTCCAAGAGTATTACTTTATTTTCCAAAATGTTTTGTGGATTCTCAGAAGTTTCGCGAACACTTAATGGAAAAATTTCTTGTACTCTCGAGGAGACTTGTGTTAATGAATTCTTTCTCGGTGTAGTATTCTTTGGGGAAGTGTAGGATGGATGGACACTACGAAGTATCTCCTCAATGGTTTCATTAAGGTTTTCATTATTATTTAGTTTCTCAGGAGTTTTTACCTGAGCAGGTGAATATGCCTCAATATCGTTTGTAGGGAGTGCCTTAAGTCTTTCTTCAATGTCACTGACTAATATCGTTTCACTCTCTTCATCTATAGCCGAAAAAATTACTTCTTTTTCCACTATTTCAGCTGACACTAACTCATCTCCACTCTCATTATCGCTGTTGTTCAGTTCAAGTCCACATTCACTTAATCTTTCACTTTCGTTATCTTCGTTTTCCCATTTAAACTCAATTTCACCGAAAAACTCGGAACCTTTACGTGGACTATCGTCATCTGCTGAGAATTGATCGATTGTCTTTGCTGTTGCACCTGGAGCTAACTCAAGTTGTGATTGACCTGTCTGGATATGCCAACCCTGCCCTGAAATAAATCCAACGCCTTCTGTTTTAGGATTGACAAGAGATTTATTCTTCTTATTCGCTGACTTGACCCTGCCTTTTTTACATTTTTTACCAGATTTCGGTCGGGTCACTTGAATCGCATCCGGGGGATCCTTAGCAACTTTTCTTTTAGCAGATGCAGAAGTTGGTTTATTAATCTTTGGTTTTAATTTTGATGCAGCTGACAATGAAGGAACTTTTCTAGTTGAAAGTTTAGCCGATATTTTTGATTTTTCTTTCTGAATTAGAGCAGCTTTCTCTTGCACTTGTCTAATTGTTTCAAAAGGATCTGAAATGACAGGGGAAGTGTACTGTTCAAAAGGTTTTGTCTTTTTTGCTTCGGTCGCTTTAGGAAGATTTGGTGACGAATCTGCGTTTCTTGCTTTTTCACATTCAGCATTTGTGGCTTCCTTTTTCAAAATTGGTTTGGCAGACATAGCCTTTTTCTGTTCTTTTGGATCCTCTGAAGTTGATTTCTTTGGAGTTTTTTGTTGAAGTACAGCTTTGTTGGCGATTGGTTCTAATTTCTTTATGGCTTTTGGTACAGCTTTAACTGAAGTTTTCTTAACATTACTTGTTTGCTTTGAGGTCAATCTATTCTGTACAGTCGGTGCACGGCATTGGCTGATTTTTCGTTTGGAGTCGACATCGTCCTTGCCTACGTTATCTTTTTCCTGAATAGGTTTTGCATTTACTGTTTCATCTTCACATTTTGTGATTACTCTAATAGCCGGATCAGCTACAATTGTTTGGTTCACTACTGCACCACTTGCTCCTTCCGTCTCTTTAGCATGTTCAGAGTTAACTTTTGCTACTTCGTCTGAAGATTTTGTTTCAAAACTAGATGACGTTGATGGAGTACTAGTCTGAGTTTTATTTGAACTGAGATCAGAAGTTATTTGAGCTGGACATAAATCCTCAGAGGATTCGTTCCTTTTTAATTCAAGAGAAGAGGAAATTATAGCTGCCTCAATTCTCTCTTGTTTTTCTTCTTCGTCTCTGGCAGATGGTATTCTGTCCAAGGACCTTCTTTCTACTAATAGTAGTTCAGTCTTTTTTGAACGATTCGTTCGTGGAGTGGTTTCGCCTTCGCTGGAGGAGTTACTACATGTGGAAGACCTGGATAATTGCCTTTGTAAATGCGTTCTACTTTTTTCAATTATAAATTCTCCCGACAACAACATTGAATGACTTCTTTGTTTTCTAACACCGCTATCTGAATCGCTTGCTTCATCATCAGTTCGAGGAGAACTCTCCTAAAAAAGAATATTCGCTTTAAAATAGTTAACAGTTAATAAAGTAACTCACCTTTGAAAGAGGTCCAAAGTCATAAGACAAGTCTACCAGACGCATTTCAGTTGAACGGCAGCGGAGTTTTGGGGTTCCGCATGTTTCAAGTATAGGAATGCGTTCACTAATCCTTAGCGTATGATCTGAAGAAGAAAAGAAGGAAGTTTTAATCTGAAGTAAATCTAAAATGTCAGTTTTAAATATATTAAGATCAATTATCTAGTAAAAGATAAAGGTTTATAGGGTAATCGGATTATTGGATAAATTCAAGGGTAAAAATAGCAAAAACGAATAGTGTAAACCGAAATTTCTTTGTTAACTTGTCGCTGCTGCATACCTATTGTATTCTTCTTCGTGGGCGATGACAATATTTGACTGGTGGAGGCTAGAGGATTTGAACATTCGTCCTCCATTTCTAATGTTATAACAGATGCTTTAGATTGACACCTTGTGGGTTCTTCTGGGCCATAACTCAGGAAGGGAAATGATATGGGATCGGATCCAGTTCGCCTATGCCCTAACTTTCTTCTATCCTTTCCAATAGGAGGTACAGGATTCAGTCGCACAGTATCACCCGTCCCTGGGCCGTCTATGCTCACAACGCTTATTGGAAACTGTTGAGGTTTGCTCGGCGGTGTAGGTTCAGCTGTTTAAGGTAATATTATTTGTGCATATGTGATTATATAAGATAAAAAAAAAGATGCATTTAGCATGCTCATTCAAGACTTTCTTTTGCAGGATATAAAATGATATTATATACTTACAGAAATGCCGTCCATGCCTCTTTGCAGAGGATAATCTTGACTCTGTTCCATCCCTTGACTTGGTATCAGGACTGAAGCGAATTTTAGCACTCTTACGGGGTGATGATGAGGCTGTGTTGCAAGTACTAATATTGGGTAAGATTCTTGACGGAGTAGAAAGTTTTCTTTGAGTTAATGCTCTGCAAAATTTGCGAGAAATTGTAAAAAGAAACAGATGTAATTAAGGATCAACTTACCCAGAGACATGAGAATGTATACTATCTTCAATATCTTTCTGTAATTTTTCCTCAGCCTTTTTAATCTTTTCCACATTACACATTTGTCTCTTTAGGACATTCGCTGCTGCAGCTGTTAATTTAATTTTAGCATGTTTTCTTAATTAACTAAATAGCAAGGTACCTGCTGAACTTATAGCATCAAGTGGTGGAGGTTGATCGTTTTGACTACATTTAATTAAATCAGTAGTTTTTTCTTTTGTAATGGGGCAATTTGAATCTTGACGGCTGGGGGCTCTAACAGGAGCTAAAGTGCGTGGCACTTCGGTTGCTTTTTGCCAAGCCTGCCGAAGCAGAGTTTTTATTCTTTTTGTCTTTGCCACATCGGCCGGTGTATGACCAGCATCATCGACTGAAGTGACGTCAGCACCTCGTTTCAAAAGCAACTTTGTCGATTCCTCGTGACCATTGATTGCCTGCATAATAATATTCAAAATGATTGTTCAGAGTAGTTTACACTATATACTTTGCATATATAGCACATTCATTATTTATAGGTATGAATAAAATAATTTTTAAATTCTAAAAGTTTAATTACCGCTATATGTAATGCTGTAGATCCAGAATAACCCTTAGAATTCGCCTCGGCCCCGCAGTCTAGAACCGTTTTTAAAACTCCAGTATTTCCAGCTTGAGCAGCACAATGAACAGCCGCAAACTGTCTCTTATCTCTGACATCTTGATTATCTAAGTGCTAAATTAAAAGATAGTCTGTATATAGATATATATGAAGAGTTATATATATATTGTATATATTTATATATATTAGTATATATATATACTAGTTGCCTACGAAATGAATGGAAATTTATAAATAAACAAATACATAATACCCTACCTGCAATATATATTTTACCACTTCAGCCGCACATTCAGCGGTTGACGAGCAAGCTAAATGAATAATAGACCTCTCCTGGAGGTCAGTGGCTTTTAAATCAGCTTTAGATTGCAAAAGTCGTCTAACAACGGCCAGTGATTCGCACTTTGAAGGGCTGAATTTTTCCATAATATTCATATCTCTTACAGCTAAAAGTAGAGGAGTAAATCCATCAGAATTAAGACAGTTTACGTTAACATTCTCATTCTTCAAAATAGTGTTTACGGTATCTATATCGCCCTGCCAAGAAGCCTGGAGAAGGTTTCGGTGATTTCCACCGTTTTCGACACCAGTGAGTAGTTTGGACTTCATACTTATGTGTGAAGCTAATTCAAGAGGAGTATGTCCATCGTTGTCCCTGAGAGTTATGTCAGCTCCGTTCTTTAAAAGAGCATCAACGCAGTCTGCGTAACCTCTATGAACAGCCCAATGAATGGCCGTTCGGCCAGTTTTACTGTCTCGTACATCAACTGTAACAGCCTTTTCACCTCTAGCTTTAAGTAAACTTTCCAATTTTGCTGCATCGCCATCCTTAGCTGCCGATATAAAGGCATCTCTCGAGTAATTTGATACGGTATCCGTATTAAATATTGTATCAACAACGTCCTGATATTGCTTCATTGAAGTTTCGTGTCGTTTTGAAGTGTTTAGAGTATTCGATGGACTTGTTGTCAATGTCATTATGCTTCAAAAGCCTAGTGTATCTGTCGTTTTTTCCTTAATCTACAGATTACACCATATCACGTGTCCCCTGTGTAAGAAAACAACAAGGTATTGCGTAAAAGTTTCTGGCAACAAAACATAAAACCATTCAATAATTCTTTGTCCTAGAGATCGAGAAAATTGGCACTAATCCAAATCGAATGCTTATTGGAAACCGATTGTTTATGATTCTATTTTTTTAAAGACACTACAGTTATTTGGTTCATACCTTACGTTTTGAAATTCGTCCCTAATTGCAGATAATCCATTTCACAAAAACTAAAATGCCAACCAGATCGGTAAATTAGCGACTGACAGAAAAAGAGTCGTATGCTATTTATAAGGAAAGGTGAATCGATTAAATGCTATTAAAGTGTATATCTTTTCTTTTTTCAACAATTAAAACGGGTTCGAACATGAGTAAACTTTTAATGACCCATAAATATAGGAACCAACTAGTAGAGGAAGGAGAAAAAAGGTATAGGAGTGGGAATATCCAAATCCTTTTATTGAATATACAGACGATGATTAATATAATCTAGCACAATAAAAAGACATAGGCTTTAATTCAAATTTCTTTATTCACTTACGACAGTAAAATAAAGAAGAAAATGTCGCGTAAAAAATTATTTCATTAATAAATAAAATATTTCTTTAAAGCTTGATCTATAAGGGTAAAAGAATAGAAATTATATCTTTTTTAATATAGTGTATAGTCAGTTCAATTCATTGAATTTAAATTAATTGAATTTCTATTCGTAAGAAGGAAGAAGAAGCTAAAGGAGTTTGGAATAAAATGATTCAATTATATTGTATATATACTGTATATGGCTTGAATCAATACTACTGAAAAAATTCTTGAGGTATTGATTTAACCGGGACATTTTATAATATCGCCTAACGAGTAAGAGGTCAAATGAATGGAAAAAGAGTAAATTTTTGCAATAATAAAGTAAAAAATACATACCTTAATTCAGTTACTATTTGTTTTATGAATATTTCATCCGAATAGTTTAGCCATTTTATCCATAATTTAAGTAAATTTGAAAAAAAATCATTAAAAAAAATCAGTTCAAGGTTTGAATGTCTACTGCTTGTTCTGTTTACAGTTGCCCAGCAATTTCTTAGTAAGGTTGGATTGCTCGGTCTGCCATCTACAGTCATTTGAACATATTTATCCTGTTAGTGGAAAGTCAATGGTTTTTTTTATGCAATCATAAGATAAACATGATATATTGTTTTGTAATTTCCATTTAGATATCGTAAAAAGAAATAGATTTTGATAAATTAACCTTTGTGCATGTTATCATCAGGTGCAATTTTCTATATATATATATATATACACTGTATATATAAATTTATATATATTAGTTATACATACCGCTTAAATTATACTTGTTTATTTCTTTATCTTATCAACAATAATATTGATTCTGAAACTTTGCTATTATAAATCTACATCCTTATAAAATCTTTTATGGGAACAATTAATCAAAATGATCTATTTTTAAACTTAATCACATGTTTATTGAATATTTTTGGGGGGTAAAACATTTTATTCTTTTGAAGCGTATCTCTCGAATCTAGGCACTTGTTTTATCGTTTAAAACAATTTTTAATGTTTATGCTTTTTTCCTATTTCTGTCAGGAAAATAGATCTTTATATATCTTTTAAGTGTGGGAAAAGAAAAAATTCAATAGAGGTTATATAAGTATGTTTAAATATTACCTTGTTTTTCAGAAAAAAAGACTAATCAAGGTAAAATTTCTAAACGTAAATTGTCCTATTCTATCTGCGTACTTATTCTTCTAAGGTTATTTGGATAAAATCTAATCTACTTATTACGAAGTTCCATTTTATTATTTATTTCATTTATCGGTTAAAAACAACTGTATTTCTTACTTTTTTTATTACTGACCTTAACTTCTTTAAGTTAATGATGCAATATTTTAGTACTATTTTAATACAATAAAAAATAGTAGGAATAAAGTCTTTCTTGCATATATATGACATTTCAACATTTTTTAATTTTCAAGTCAACCGCCTAAGTTTTAAACTGCGTAGTAATTCAATAATAATGGAAATAATTACTTTTCTTATACATTCAAATGTATAACTGATTGTGAACATAATCTCTAATTAACTATATATACGATTTCATTCATTAATTAAAATTGTTAAATAATTTGCTTCCCTCCTCCAATCATTACAACAAGCATGGCAAGAGATTATAGATAGTTGACCGATCGGTAACCGGTTGCTGAACGAAAGTGTCCGAAATTTTATCGAATCGAATACCTTCGGAAGTGTGTTTTTAAGCGTGGAACACATTGCTGTCATTTAAAGGACCCGGCAAATCATGGCTTGTCCAACATTTATTGATATCACGGAGGAGGAACAGGTAAAATAAGCTAATATTATATAGATTATATATGATTCTCCATGACTATTTCGACTTTGAGAATTATCTTCGGTTCAGTTTTATATTGTTGTATTATCGCTCTTAAACCGCTAACAGATGGCTGAACTGAGAGAATTTCTTCACCGAAAAGGTGAAAAAATAACGAAGGAGTATGAGAAGGAGGGTGGTAACTTATGTGACAATTTAATGGAGATAATGGATGCCTCTCGTAACATCGTTAATGAGGCCAGTGGTTAGTCTTTTTATTTCACTGCAATTGATATTTTGTGCAAAATCGCCTCTAAAAAACTTTCAATATATAGATACCGTACAAGAATATGAAAGTCTTTTGTACAGTTTGGTTTCTTTAGTTGTTTATGTTCCGTTTCCGGATAATGATCTGTTGAAAATCGAGAAATTTTGCGAAGTCTTATCAAACCCTGAGAATCAAAAACCAGGAAAACACTGTGAATCTAGGCTTAGAGTGTGAGTAGAGAGTGATTGATTATTCATCTATATAAAGAAATGAGTAAAAATTAACCATTTTTATATAGATTACAAACCCTTTACAAGAGTTTGTCAACTAACGGTCCTCAGAGATATATTGTATACAAAGCAATGCTTGGAATTGCAATGGCCATACCAAACATGAGTGCAATAATCACTGATGTAAAAAAGGTTAGTAGCATGGACATGAAAACAGATATAACCCAGTAAATTGTTTTAATTCTATTAAAGCTTGGTAAACTTTTTGAAGAATGGAATGTTGGAGTTGAAGAGCAGAGAGAATTATATATGATCATACAAAAAGGATGGTTAAAAGTAAATCTTCCCAACAGAGCAATGAAGACAATGTTAGCCTATTTGTCAACTTTTGAAGCTGAAGATTCTAAAAAAGCAACAAAAGAAGCTGAAAAATGCATATTTATCTTAATTAATGATCCTAGATACTTTCTTATGGATCATTTGTTGAACTTGGAACCTGTTAAGGCTTTGAAAGGCTCTCTAATTTTTGAAGTAAATTCTCACTTTCATATTTCACTAGAAAAATAATAAACATTCAACTTTTCAGTTGCTACAAATCTTTATTCATCAACGAGTTGCCCAATACCTTGATTTCTATTCTAAAAACCAGGAATTTATTGAAATGATGAGTAAGCTTTAACATTAAATTCTTTTAACTTCAATAAGATTTCAAATTATTGTTTAGAACTCAATCATGAACGCAATTTGAAAAAGATGAGGATTCTTACTTTAATGCAAATAGGAGAATTTAACAGAGTTGTAGATTTCTCCACATTAGAAAGAGAATTAAAATTGGAATCGGACCAAGTAGAAAATTTTGTAATAGAAGGTAAAATAATGCTAAATCTTAAAAAATCAATGTAAACTAAATCATGTCTATTTTTGCAGCCACTGCTTGTAGAGCCGTAAACGTAAAAATTGACGAAATGAATAAAAAGATCGTTATCAATAGCACTTTACCTAGGGCATTCGAGATGAAACAATGGCTAAATCTACAAAACCAATTGAAAAATTGGAAATGGCAGTTGAACACCGTAAAAAATTTCCTCGCTGTCAAGAAAGAGAAACCGAAGAAATCGAATCAATCGCGATACGCTCCTGAACGCTAATTAACTATTAGTCAATTCTCTGTTTTTTTTCAAGGGCTTGTATTAAAAAGAATTTATTAAAATGTAAACATTGTGGAATTATGGTTTTGCAGTTGTTATAGGTTCCGGAGAATAAGTTCCACACGGGGGTGGAACATCTCTTGGCCAGTTACAAAGACTATCATAAACATCCCATGTCAGACCTGTTCCGGGATTAAGTAATTAAAATGTAAATATATATAAAAAAGAGATATATTACCATCAGGACAACACTGAGTTCCCATGTTTTGTCCATCTTGACACGTGTAGTAGCACCTACAGTTCATTTCCAAAATTGGATATCTCCCATCTGGAGTATTTCCACAACTTTTCTCATTTCCACAAGGCGGAGGTGTATTCACAGGATCGTCACATTGACCCTTAGCGTGATTGAAAACTCTTGGTCTTATGCAATAGTTGGCAATAGGCGACCCATTTCTGCAAATTTCATAATACTGACAACCAGCATTTACTATTGTATCATCAGGTTTATTAATGCATTCATTGGCAGATGCAAATCCGACTACAAAGAAAGAAAAAAAGTAATCCTTTATCTTCAATAAAAGATATACAACCTAAACAAAGCAACAATGTAATCTTAATCATATTTCTCTCTGTTTTGCTTCAGAGGTTAGCGTTAGGTTGAATACGCCGTTCGCCTCTTTTATAGAGGCTTAATTATAGCCAGCGAAGATAACAGATGCTAAGTTATGTTCACACATGCTTAAAATGCTACTTTTGCCAAAAAATATATTCTTCCTTGGGAATTACCTGATTGTGTCAAATATAACCTTCAATTATCATTATCAAAACATAGATACAGTATATTTATATATATAGCCTTTAAAGTAATTTTTATTTTACTCATTATGGATATCGGTTATTCACCTTCTGTAAGATTTGAATAGAAAAAAAAAACTTGAATGTTATCTTACAATTCCCGGATTTATTTATTGGAAAATCTTAATCATATGCAAGATTTCAATAACAAAAACATTTATTTTTATTTTGCTAACAATTCTACAATTACTAATTGTATCTTTCTTTTGTTAAATCTATAATTGCCCTTCCCCTGACCTCTCCTCTCCTCAAAGCATCTAAAGCATAGTTGATTTCGTCCAAAGAAAAAAAACTCGTTTCGACATCGTTAATTCGATTTTCCTTCACAAGCTCAACTACTTCTCTAAGAGTCTCCAATGATCCGGTTCTTACTCCTTTTAGAGTAATACTTCTACTGATAACGTCCGCAAGTGATATATCTAAATGACCGCCATTTAATCCAATTAACGTTATCGTACCTCCGTTCTTGGAACATTTTAAGCAAATTTCAGCAGTTTCGCTTGTACCCGTGAAATCAATGGAGCCAATGAATCCTCTTTTTAAAGACTTTTCAAAGATTTTGTCGACTTGACAATCAAAATTAGCATCTTTAGACCAAAGAAAGGTATGACTGGCTCCCTTGTTTTTAGCAATATCAAGTTTTATTTTGTTTACGTCAACAACGCAAATTTCCGATTTTGGATAGATAGATTTCGTAAAGGTTATAGCCCATTGGCCCAATCCACCAGCTCCTATAAGAAGGATGGAGCCATCCGGATTTCCTTTGAGAGATTCACCTAGACTTTTGACAGCCGAATAAGCTGTAAGGGCTGAACATGGTAGCATGGGTGCCACATCATTCGGAATTGAATCCTTCTTTATCAAATAATTACTTGTATTTGGCAAAATAGTATGAGTTGAATAACCGCCTATTATCTTTCCTTGACCAACGTCCTTAGAACCGCTGGGATTATTTTCGCAGAGAGATGACCTACCGTTTAGGCAGTTGATGCACTGCCTGCATCCCGCCCAAGGGTAGACAAGAACCTTATCTCCAACTTTAAATTGACTATCAGCTTTAATTCCTATATCTACTATAGTTCCAGATATCTCATGACCAGGAGTAATACCGCTGATTCCTCTCCCTTCTTCATCACAATAATTAGAATTCTCATTTTCAATGAAATGCAAGTCGCTATGACAAATACCTGCATATTCTATCTTTACAATAGCGCCCTCAACTGGTACCTTCGGTAGAGGTTCGTTTATTATCTTTAAAGGCTCTTGCTCTCTCGTAATAATTGCCCTACGAAGCATTTTTCCAAAAAGCGTATTTACGTCTTAAATTTGCTTTCAAGTCTATAACGAGGTCGTAGAATGCCAAAATATCCTTGACCTCAGAAGTCAACATATATATGTATAAACAAACTTAGAGTAGATGGAACACAATAGTATTAAAAACTTTGTTGAAGGTTGGAGTTAGGAAAACTATAGAATGGCGCCAACGTTTAGTTTGTTATTTCTTTTACTATTGTAATAAAACTTATCCAATAATACAAAGTTTAGTTCTTTTTATGAAATTAAAAAAAACAGATTAGTAATGAAAGTCTTGTTTCATTTTTACAAGTTCTTTTCGATATAATATATAAAAAAAAACAAAACTTTTTTTTTAAAACTTTTAGTACTTTTATCTTTATATTATCGCTCATATTAAACTTTTAAATTACATATTATCAAGAATTCTTTTAAAGAATAATAATCTTTTATTCTTTCAAAAGTATAAAATGCAAATGTTAATTAATTGATTTTCAACTACTTAGAGACTAGAGGAACTCGTCAATTCAATTCATCCATTTTAAAAAATTATGTTCTACATCCGTTAAATATTAATTCTTATCTTGAGAATAAAACTCATTTAAATCATTTAAAGCTTCTTCGTTTTTTTTCTCATTTTGGAAACGATTTTGTCTAGCTCTGTTAAAGTACAATTGATTCCAATTGAAATGCTCATTATTTCCAAAAATTCTGAAGTAGTCGTAAAGAGATGCAGACATATAGAAGAAGTCGTCATCGAATTCATTATTCCCGGCTATTTAAATTTGAAAGGTTTAACAATAAAGCTATTAATTTTATATTTAACAAAGTTACTAACAATTTCCGTTATTTTGTCTAGCAGTTTGGAAGCGTTGCTTGAAACATTCCATATCATTTTCGTAAAAGTTGGCCAACTGTCTGCTATGTCTTCGACATGAGTTATCTTCCTCTATGTTTAATAGATAATAGTTAATAACTAGTATGTTTAAAGTTTAAGCTTTACTACCGCATCTGTTAAGGAATGAGCCAAATTTATAGCAATAGCCATTGTAAGATCTATCTGAATGATGATTATGGGAAAAACATCTAAACTCCCTTGCGAAATTTCCGAATTGTTGGGCAAAATGTCTGTATTTTTCATTGTTCCATCTGAAATGATTCTTTTTAGCACTTTCCATCATATCATGTCTAAAGTTATTCATTTCTTGTCCATTCACAAAATTATATGCTCTATTGTAAAATTCTCTAGGAGATTTGTTATTGTTTCTTTGAGAGCAGCTACTCTGAAATCTATCCCTCATCATTCGTACAACGTTCCAATTTTGAAAATTTCTAGAGAATCCAAATGACTGACTATCTCTATCCTAAAATAACATATTAATTTATTTAAATTCTCATGAAAAAGTAAGAAAAGAGATGAAAATTCTACATTGAAATCACGATAATTTCTTCTATCTCTTTGAGAGTTCTCATTGAAATTATAATTTCTCTGAAACTCTTCATTACGATCATGAAAATCGTTTCTATTGAAATTATCTTCCATCTTCTTCATGAATCTTCCATTATTGTCGTCGTCGTAATTACGATCTCTCTGTTACAGAAGATATAGATTAAATTAAGTTGTTGTATTAATGTAAAGAGATAATAGTTACATGATTATAATCTCTAGCAAACGTTACTGCTAGAACAGCGAAGAGAACTATAGATGTTTTCACCATGTTCATTTTAAACAAAATGATAATTTCAAATGAACAGGTTCCCTTTTTATATAATTTTATTTTCTCCATTGTCACATGAGTGTCAAAAATGTATGTCCCATTATTGCTAAGAACAGATGAGCTCTCTGCACGCTACAAATCATGTGATCTATGATATAATACCTAATACATTGTATATATATAATATTTGTTAACCTTTCAGAATATATCACATGATATTATTAATTGTACGTGATGTGGGAATAATGTATTATAGAGAGGTCGTTAGTAGTATATCCCTCTTTTTGGGAAATTTCATTTGAAGATAAGGTAACAAATTGGTAAAGATAAATGTTAGACGCTATTTGTATGAAACTGTTCAATTTCTCAGTAGTTTGTTTATTGTATTTAATTTTTAAAAATAAATTAGACACTTTGTTACAACTTTATCATATATATGAGTTTGTTCTCCTGTATTTTAAAAGAAATGACATTTCATGATGACTGATGTGAAGTCACATCTACATAAAAAACATTGTTGAAATAGTTATTTGTAACATAAGCTTTTAAGAATAACGTTTTAGTTGACTTTACAAATTTGGTAATTTCCTTAGATTTTTTTTTAATGGCCATATCTAAAAAGAAATGTTGTTTAGTAATTAGTATATGATTATAATTAATATATATATAAATATTGTACTTTTGAAATTCCCATTCGCGATTATCGAGGGGGCATACTTGACGAGTTTTGAGCCATCTCGATATGCAATGGAAGTGAAAGGCGTGCTAAAGAAAAAATTGTATTTATAATAATTCCATTCCTGATTAAAAATATACAAACATTGCATACGCCCCATGCAACTGTACATTCCTCGCTAGTCGCAGAAGCTTGATTGGCTTGACACTCAATGCAAAGATCCATAATGTGATTTCGGCAAATGGCGCAGTTATCCACGACAATATCTGTTCAGGTATTCGGGACATAAGTGTTTATTATACAAAATATTTAAATTATAAGACTTACCCCATGCCCATAGAGCAACAGCATTCCACTAAAGATATAAAACAAGTAATTAGTGATTGAAGGTAGTTCTTTTTAAACTTAATTGGATTGTTAAGCATGTTTACTTCTAAAAATATTTAAACGTATAGAAAGAGTGATGTAATGAATTTTGAATCAACTACAGCTTTTTAAATTTTGTTGAGAAAAATTTAGTTTGAGTGTTAATACATTTCTTTTTTTTTAGCAAAGAATAAAGATTAACCAAAGAATCATATGAGATCGTTTAGTCTCAACAATTACTTTTTAAAGGTGCTTAAGCTAAAATAAAGTTTGTCGTCTGCTAGCTTTCACAAGCCAGTGTAATCAAAGAATATTTTCTTGTATATTTCAAAATTAAAGAAAGAGATTTTTAAAGGAATATCATAAATAATAAACCTTTTTCACTTCAAATCGTTTTCTTGGCCCTTTATCACTAGCGGTTCCAGGACCGGTAGAATTTTCTGTATCTACCTCCATCTGTGCGGCAGCCATTTTTCCCGGAAATAGTATATATAAGCGATAAACTGAGCGAAACCGCGATTATCGAATCGAATATATCGATTTCCGCTAACAACAAATATGGCGACATCAGAGCAACTTGGTTACAACATGAGTTCTCTTCCAGATTTAGAAAAAAATGAACAAGGGTGTTCTATGCCTTTGGATAATAGAAGACAAGAGATGATCGAACAGGGACCGTCAATTTTTGACATGATTAAGGCTGGGTAGTTGTTTTTTTTTTATAAACACTTGTTTGATTAAAGAAATTGATTGATTTCTCGCCAAATAAAAATCGTTGACTAAGCTTTTAATTTATCGCAGCTAATCCTATTAATGTTATAATATACCGATAGTAATTATAGTCTGGTGTCTTTTTCAGGCTGTTGGTCCCTCTCCAAACTATGATTGAACATCTTGGGCCTGAAGTGTTGTCTAGACGCGATGAAAAGGGTCATACACCGGCACATTGGGCTTGTCTCGGGGGCCATACTGTTATTCTTAGACATTTAATTGACTGTAAGGCTCCGATAAATTTACCGAGTGAAGATGATCGAAAACAAAAGCCCATTCATTGGGCTTGTGTGAATGGTCATATTCAAATTGTTGATATCTTGCTACAAGCCGGTGAAAGTATCGATGATACGGACGCAAAAGGGTGTACACCACTCATTGTATCTAGCCAATACGGGCATACCGTTTTAGCTGGATACCTATTAGGCAAGGGAGCAAACAAAGACGCTGTAGATGTTGACGGAGATACAGCCCTTCATTGGGCGGCTTTTAAAGGCCATAACGAGCTCATGAGACTTTTAGTGTATTCAGGATTAAGCCCACATCATAGAGACAGTTATAATCAAACACCTCTACATTTATCCTGTATCAATGGAAATTTAACTGCTGTTAAGGAATTGTGTGAAATGGACGAAGTAGAAATTAATATTGAAGATAAACACCAAAAAACTCCATTAATGTTGGCATTAGGTCGCAAACATATGAATATTGTTAATTATTTGAAGGAACATGCTAAACAAAGAACCTCTTTCTTACCTCGGATCGATTTGAAGTAGGCTAAAATTAATATTGAGATAACACACCCACATCGTTGATTAACGTAAACTTTGTTTTATCTTTTGTAGGTCTCTTGTTTTTGGACCTCCTGGCAATAGTAAATTCGCACTAGTATTTTTTATAGTAAATGTATTATTCTGGGGGTATCCGATGTATCTCTTTAAGGTAAATTTTTTAAGATTTATATAAAGATTGCTTTTTTTTTTTTAAATTATCTTCCTTATTCATATCTCTCATCTGATTTTGATTTACCATTTTTAAGTGCCTACCTCACACATATTATGAAACTTCCGGCCTACATATACTCTTTTGGATTTTGAATGTTATTATGTGGATCTGCCTTTACCATGCCAGTACTATTGATCCTGGTTTCCTTCCAAGAAATGTTCCAGAATACGATGAGGCTATAAAAAGAGTAGCTAGATTTATTGATTGGAAACAAGGGGAAAATCCTTTGAGCAGATTATGCCATACTTGTAGAACTGTGCGCCCATTAAGATCGAAACACTGCAGAGTTTGTAATCGTTGCATTAAACATTTCGATCATCATTGCCCATATATTTATAATTGTGTGGGATATAATAATCGGTAAGTTCAATTTTGTTTTTATTCAAAAATCGTTATTTATAATCACTTGAAAAATTATTACTATCCTTAATATATGCAATTATACCTTCCCACCTACTTTTCGCCCTACTATTCCTCCTAGTCCTTATATATATTTTTTTCATGCTACATGCTTAAGATAATTAGATAATTTTATCATTTTAACAATTATTAATCTATAATTCAAATTATAATTTGGTTAGCACAATAATAAAAATCATTTTTAATGCTTTTGTCTTTGACAAACTTTAGCGCTACGCTTTTTATATTTTATACTCTTTTTTTTTATTACTTTTTGAGATGTTTTCTTATATAAAAGAAAATACAATATACAAACAGGCATTGGTTTTGGTCATTTGTTACCACAATATCAATATGTTGCCTATTGACATTTTATTGGTGCTATTATCTTCTCGTTGAATTTGGATTTGATTGGTTAACTGTTATTGGCTTTATTGAGGCGATATTCTTTGGAACTATAGCACTTGTTGTATGGAATTGCACGGTTAGTTCAAAAAGAAAATATTAGTATGGTTAACAAAGCAAAAAGAATAATCAAAAGGTCTGATAATGAATAAAGAAAAGCAGTCTCCCATCTCCTCTATATAATTAGGGAAGGGAGTTGGGGATTTTTGACAAACTTTAACTAACAAGCAGTGTGTAGCATGAAAAATTATTTCTCAATATATATATATATATATATAAATTTACATATGTATATACGTATATATATATATATATATATAATTTCTATTCTATATATGTATAAAATTTCTAATTTTTTTCTTTAGTTACTCAATTTTCGCACTCTGAATAAGATCCATCAAATTTCACATCTATCCATAGAATATTTAGTAATTTATTCTCTTCTCTCACGTTTTGACAAACTAATCAACATATAAAAAATAAACACACAGGAGATTAGAATTAAGTCTCTTTTATTTTAATAAATAAAATAAACAGAAAAACGCTGCTTGGTTTTTCAAGTTGTCTGCTAACTGGTGGGTTTTGCTGTCTTACATTCGATTTCATTATGTGGAGACGGGAGAATTGGATATTAAGACCTGATTATTTCTTAGCTATTTTTTTAACAATATTCGTTATGTGGGTCGCCGGTTTTATTTCTGTTAATACGGTATTTACATAAAATAATTGGCATTTTTATCTATTATATATATATATATATATATATATATTGTAATATTAGTGACGCTGTAAGAAAGTATTCATTTTAAATTTATTTTCTGTAGATCTACCATATGGCTACAAATATAACAACCAATGAAAGAATTAATAAAAATCGTTACGAATACTTAAAAGATGGTAAAGGTAATTTTTATAACCCATATAATAGAGGATTCTTTAAGAATGTTCTAGAGTTCTTTCATCTTCGTACGTCTCTAAGTGAAAGGGAAATTAAATTTCTGAATGTGTAACGAACACTATGTCATTTATAGGATTAATATATTTTTCTAATTTAGTTTAGTTTACTATAATTTTTAATGTCATAAATGATGTATTTATGTACATATAGGTTTTCCTTATTTCTCACTTTTTTTCATACCAGTTTATTTTCCTGCTATTGTTTTAAAGCATCCAATTTTTGTTTGTTTGTTTTCTTTTGCTAATCTTTATATAAGTAAAATATTTATTACGTTTAGTTATGCCGTCGATAGTTTTTGTACAACTCATTATACAATTTATGAAATATGATGAGAAATTCAACAATTTTTTGTTAAGCTATTTTTATTAAGTAAATATACACCTTTTTTCGATATTATTTGTATTTTCCAGATGTTTTACTGATAATTTTGATTTAAAGTCATTGTTTTTTTTTTTTTCAAAAGAAGTTTGTATTCTGTTACAATCTAAAGAAATATGAAAAACGTGTGCAAAACATGCATATACACGAACATATTTGTTTCCTTTAACGAGTATATAAATTCAATACAAAGGATTATTGCTTGATAGAATTAAAAAAAAAGTTCATATGTGCCTTCTTTATCCTTTTGTATAACCAGACGAAAAGGATTATTACTTGAATTACTTGAATTCGTGCTCTGCTTCCGAAGCAGCTAAGGATAGTGATGGGAGTGGTAAGTCAAATCCATCTTTTCCGATTAGCCAATAAGTAGTCATATTGCCTTTTCCTTTAACCTCTCTTTGTCCTCTGCAAGCCAATTCAAAGCCACCAAGTTCGTCTAAAAGAATCTTTGCAGTCGATTCGCTCATATGAACTCGAAGCGCTATTTATAAATAATATATATTTAATTTCTTGCCTAAATTATTAATATCTATATTAATATTTTAAAAATACCCATTGAAGAAGACTCCATCCGACTAGCGGTATTAACTGTATCTCCGAATAGACAATATCGAGGCATTTTAAGTCCAACAACTCCGGCAACAACACTTCCTGTGTGGAAGTAATTATAAGAATCATAATGACAGAAATTAATTTTCAAATGTTACCTGAGTGCATGCCGACTCTCAATTGTAATGTTCTCTCGGTCATGTGTCTTATCCTAAAAGAGCACATAGCAGACAGTAGATGTAATGACATGGTTGCAATTTCTCCTGCATGACGGTTCCCATTACGTTCGGGTAATCCAGAGACAACCATGTCTTTAATAAATTTATGTAAAAAAAGAAATGTTAGAGCTATAATCTGATATAGCAAATAATAATATATTAGCGGCTTACAAGCATCTCCAATTGTTTCCACTTTGTAGACGTCGTAATTGTCTAGTATAGCGTCGAAGCATGTGTATAAGTCATTTAATAAGTCAACAACTTGTAGCGGAGTACTATCACGAGCAATGGAAGTGAAACCAACAATATCACTGCAAATAATGTTAAATAAATTAAAAGAAAAACCATAGAAAAGTTAGTTTGTCCAACCTAAAAAAGATGGTAACCATTGCAAATGTTTCAGGTTCAACTGGTAATCCATTTTTAAGATTATCTGCAACCTGTTTAGGCAACATTTGACTGATGAGCTCTTCCGTTTTAGCTTTTTCAAGTTGTAATTCTTTCGTTCTTTCGGCGACAATCGATTCCAAGTTGGAAGAGTATCTCTCCAACTATATAATATTTAGATTGTAATTAGATACTACTTGTAGACGAGATTGATGGCTATTATTATTCTGTACATACCATGCTGACCAGATTATCAATTAATTCCCCTCTAACTGGATTCATACTATTTAATTGATGAAGTATTGATCTAAAATCCGCTCTTTCGCTAGGATTTTCCCTTAGAGTATTAGCTTTCAACTAAAATAAACAAACCTTATACAAAATACTTAATGAAAAACTTGAATATTAGCAGAACTAACGTTCAGCAATGATTTTTTTACGCTGGCTTTATCTGGTAGGCTCTCAAGAAGAACAAGAGATCGAAAAAAGTCAATAGGTTGCTCATGCTTTGATGCAGTATTTAACCAATTCTCTTTTGCAGTTTTATTTTCAGGTAGGGTTCCGTTAGCCAAGGTGTCAATTATAGTATCGACTTCAAGATAGGCTAGTTCTAGTGCAAAAGGTCCATCTCTTAGACAAACTTCTTGCAGTAGAATACCAAACCTGAAAGTTGATAATCTACTGAAATGTCATTCTATTATAATTTTTGTAATTTACGAGTAATAGTCTCCTTCTTTGGTTCCTTTTTTTACGTCATCAAGATATTTTACTTGCTTCAAAAGTTCAGGCGCTGTCCACAAAAGCGCGTGTTTTGCTGACGCTATTTCCGATTTCCTTGCTGATCCAGTTCTATTAAATCTCATAGTTGGACAACCATAATCTAAAGTGTAACAACACAGTAACAATTTGAAAATGATCGACTATTAATAAAATTCAATATACCGCTAATTTTACAAGTCCATCTATTGTCGATAAGACAATTTGATGATTTAAGTCTTCCGTGTGAACCGATGGCAGTTTTGTGGAGAGCATCCATACCTCTTGCAATATCCTTTAGGATGGAAAAGCGAAAATCCCAACCCAACTGAATACTATCGTTTGCTAAAATATCATCCAAAGCTCCCTTTTATAAATAGCATAATGGTAACATTTTACCTAGATTATAAATATTAATATGTTGCAGTATACCTTCCCCATAATTTCTGTTAGAATAGCGCAGTTTGGACTAGTTAGACAAGCTCCGACAAATGAAATTAAATTCTTATGACGTAATTGCCTTAATTCAAGGATTTCGTATTGGATTTCTTCAACCTTTAGAGTTCTGCACTTTTCGAAAAGCTAAATATCAAAAAATGTACAAATGACTTTTGTAAAAACTGTTAATATGATCAAGAAAAGTTGTAGATTACTTTAAAAAATGACTTATTTCCCTTCCAGATGACAATGTTGTTACTATGATCAACGTCTCCTTCAGAGAATTTCGACGTTCTTAAACTGTAGAGATTTTAAAAACAATGATAATAGAAAAATTGCTGCTATTATGTTTTCACTCTCTTTTCTTGTTTGCTTTTTTTTTTTACCTGGCATTACTCTGTAAATTAGAATACATTGAAAGGCTTCTCTTTGTCATACTGACTTCGGACCAATTAACGACCCATTCTTGATTTTTGAGCGCTGCTAGATAGGCTTGTCTTTTGCTTATCCATCTTGATAAAACAAACATTGCTGTTAATAGTATCAATCCACCAATTACTGTTGGTATAGTAATGGCGAGAAGTGATATGTGACATCTTGAGCCAATATATGTTGAAATGCATTGGCAGTTGTTTGGTGAAATACAGGATCCAGTTTCATTGTTACATCCATCCCTATTTAATTACAAATATATAAGCTTTTATAATTTCAGCATGGCACTGGTAAGTTATTAAAATCAAATGATCTTACTCGCAAATAGCCTGGTCGCAATAAGTACCTTCCCAGCCTAAATCGCATTGACAAATATTTGGAACGAAACAACGACCATTTTTGCAGTTGTGACAAAGAATATTACTGCAATCATTACCATAATAGCCCTTGGAACACTTACATTCACCTTGATTGACGCATTCTCCAAATTCAAATTTGGTTACGTCCTCAATATCTGTTCTATTTCCTCCGCAACCCTGCAAACAGGTGAACGGAGCCATTACATATTCCGATTTAATCTCAGAGCCTCTCGGATCGCCTGTTTGAGATGGGCGGAGGACTATCTTTTGCAAATCTCTGCTCCACATTCCTCTTACTGATTGATATCTTCTCAAGTTCATAAAAGACTCATTTGCAATTGGAGTGAACATAGGATTCAGAAGGACTCCTTGTAAGTATAGCGGATAATATGCTTCAACCTCAATTTCCTTTTGATCTTCTGACTCTTCGTCGCTCAATGTAAAAAATCTTGATAGTTTGGCAGCCTGAACAAAATGGTTTATGTTAGGGATATAGTAAACTTTCAATAAATATATTGATATGATATTTACTAAAGCAGGATGGGGATTTAATTCGGACGGAACACTACCATTGATTGATACTAATACTCCCAGAAATCCGGGTCTATTTCCATGTTTATTAAAACGTATATCTCCAGATAATCCGTCAAACTTAACATCTCTCATTTTAAGAGCTAGATATTCACCAGTAACAGTTTTTTGTTCATTTTGAATAATCGTAATTGCTCGGGCATATGCCATTACGGCATCATAACCAAGAACAAATCGTGAAGCAACCTTTAAATAATTAATAATAATTAAGAAAAAATATATTATCAGATTATTACAAGCTCAGCAAAAATTTGAATTATAAAAAGTTCTACCTCTGGAAAAGTATACGTTGGGATTCCTCGGTAATTTATTCGATCAACATTGAAGTACTTTTTATATATTCTTAACAGATTGGGTTTCGTGAAACCTTCTAAATCCATGACAAAAGTAAATAATACAGCTCCATTGAAACCAACTATACAATAGGGTTGCTGTTTAAAAAAAGCCAAAGTTATCGTCTTTAGATATTACTCATTAATAAAGCTTTTATCTTAAGTACAATTTGACATATTGGAGGTTCGTTACTAAAGGGAAATGCCCAAGCATTTGTTCCACTAAAGATCCATTGGAAACCATGCAGTCCATCAACTTTGTATCTAATTTGAATAAGATAATATTAACAATAATATAAATAGGGTTATTTTCGACGAATAGATATTAAACTCTTACGTGATAGCAGATCTCATAACGAAGTACATTGCTGGAGGAGGAACAAGCATATATATAAGTGTAGTTCCAGCGTTTCTCACTCTCTCCATGGTACTTTTAAGTACTTCATCTTTCCACTGCACGAAGTCTGCAGTTGTTATTTCAGGTATAAAAACCTTTTAGGTGAAAGAATACTACAATAAAAGGGAATAAGAAGTTTTAATATTGATATATACTTGATCTGAAATAATAATTCCGTGTAACTTTGCTTTATTAAAAAATGTCTTTGACAAATCCATTGAAGTAGATCTAACAAGAACAATTTTGTTCCATTTCCTTCCCTTCATAGCTAGGAAAATACTTTGAAAAATAACATCCTCATGATAGGAAATTCTATTATAATAAGGGTAAAGAGTTTTATCGCTAAAGTCACTGCTTATGTCCGTTGTTGACAAAAGTGGCATTTGATCCGAATTTAAAGATGGAGTAAGTTTTATTGTAAGTTGATCCAAACCAAAGCCAATAATACCTAAGATCTTCTCATAAGGTTTTGATATACTATTTTCCGTCATCTTCTGATAGAGTTTTATGGCAGTATTAACGTCTCTACTCGTATCGAAACTTTTCATTACCATCTTCCTACCAGGTAATAAGTCAGGGTAAAGTTTATCTCTCAGATCTTCTAATGCAAATCTTGCAAATGATTCTACGTGTGGTTGAAAATCCGAATACTTTCCGCTATGGAATAAATCAATAAACAAAGCAATATGAAATTCATTGGTGACACTTATAATATTTGTCCATTCTGATTGAATAACTTGATTGGATAGTTTACTAGTTATTTCAAATGCCAATTGAACGGATTGTATAGGGGAACAAAACGATCCTTTAAATAAACCAATACCATTTAATGTTTTAAAAGATGCGTCCTTCGATATACAAGCAGTATTAGGCTTCTTAATAATTCGAACGTCCTGTAATTATTATTTATCAATTAAGTAAAGGTGATCTAGTTACGTTTATTGATTAATTGATCTATCAACAGTAGAACTTCATTCACCCTTTTCCGTGAAAGACATAAGGTAATTAACGAACGGAATTGACGTTTCTTTCGTAATGTGATAGCATCTTTTTTTATATCAAAGAACGCTTATATCTTGCATACTTAATTAATTTTGCTATGATAAATATAAATAGTGACAAAAATATATAAACAAGATATAGGCTTACCAATTCAGAATCTGGACCAGAGAAAATACGCTTTCCTGATAAATCTCTTACTTCTATTTGAGGAAGATTCGGTTCTAATTGGAGATTTGCTGAAATCTTAAAAGGAATTTCTTTCTTATTTAAAAGTTTTAAGGAAACGGCCTTTTGTGCTAAAATTTAAAAAAGTAATAAAATGGATTAGTTAATGATGGTGGGCAATTTTCAATTATATTTATTACCAGTAACTTTTATAGGCCTACTAATCAGAACAGGAGGATCAGTTCCATAAGATTTGTTATAGCTAAATAGTTGAATACCGCTCTCCGTAAAGGTATAACTTGCTTTCAAGTCTTTATAGATGCGTGGTGACCTCCACCAAGGTTGCCTAGCCATAGTTACGGTTGCGTTTAACGTTAAGGACGAATGGACATCTAATATTCGAAGATCGTTAAAGTGTACAAGACCGTTAACAGCTGGTTTTTTTGCAACACTATCAAATGTTAGCATATCCATTCTTATATCAGTACCAACCAAACGAGCATCGGTCGAATGGAGTAATTCCATCCTATCTCCACTATAGAAGAACTTTTTATGTCGATGTGAAACGGATAAAATAATATGGGCGGTTGAATCTAAACCTGTTGTAACCCTATCACCAGCTTTATCGACAATTTCCAATGTAAGAGAGAAATTTGTATTTGCAGTGATTGTTTGTGGGGGTTGTATCACCCAACGTAACGTATACGCTTCGGCTGTATTGTTTAGAGGGCATTATTGTATAAGGAATATACTTTGCTAAGTACATTTAAGTAATTACAAGTTGTTAGAAGTTCTATAAACATACCTGTTATGACAAAAGGGTTGGAAACTGCCGATACCGTTCCTCCTCCAGGAATATGGGCTATTACTTTTAACCTTCGTTTCGTAGGTGGGAGTAACCCTGCAGGATGAGTATGATAAACATAATCGGTTATTATTTTTCCATTTATAGCTTTTGTTGGAATCAGAAAACTTCCCCCGCCTGGCACGCACTGAAAACTATCAGGAAGAAATGAAGAGTTAAACATTAAAAGATTAAATATATTCAATAAAGAAATCCTATTAATTTAAGAAACTATATTAAACGGAAGTTAAATAATGAATGAAAGAGTAAAGACCATTTGAAAATAGGGTAATACTCTACAAAACATAATGAATGTAAAAATTTCATGGAATATTTTTCTATAAATGCTTTTATATAATTTATGTAAATAATTTATTGAATATTCATCAGCTAGTTTATTTTATTATTATATAATAATATCAATAAGTTTGTATTTATCTTATTATATATGAAATGATAGTCAATTAACTTGTAATTGTTTAACCTATTTTTAATAATATTTTGATTGGAAAACTAATAAAGTCTAGTTAAATTTTTTCGTATCTTTAACATCAATAGATTTCTTAAGAATATCTTCTCTTTTAGATATTCTCTTTTGCTAAGGAAACACTTACTAAAAGAGATAGCGAGCCAATCGAAGTGGATAGTCAACGGGAGATGTTGATGTTTGAAAATGGGTCCATTGACAAGCTCTACCTCCACTGTTAACCCAATTGTCCACTGTTCCTGATTCTGGTATTGTTGCTATATTTATCTTTTAGTCAAATATGTTGAAATTTTAATTAAAATGCCAAAATATTCGGTATTTTTTTATATTCATAAACAAATATAAAACTTATTATTTAAAATGAAAAATAGTTACCTTGGCCGATGCTAACGAGCCATTGGTCACTCTATTTCCATCCTTGTACAAATAGGCAATGAATGGTTCACTGGTCAATTGATTCAGCGGGACACTATAGATTTTATTAGCATCACTTGGAATATTGACTGGAGGTGAAAAAACTGGATCCCATCTTATTTCAACTTGTTCGAGAGTCAAAGTGAAAAAGTTGATGAAAATTAATGTAAGCATATCAGCGATTGCTGTAAGATTGACGGACAGACCGTTTTATTCTCGACGCTAGGCGACGCCTATACTCTTTGTTACTCTATGTTTCTGTTTTTTCTTTCTTTCTAGCTCTCTCGACAGTCTCCGTCCCCTCTTTTATATTTCTTACTGAGTTTTTTATTATGCCTTTAGATGCTTTCATATGCAAATGATTTATAACTTTCCCCTAAAGTTTGTCAAAATTCTGAAATTTTCTCTCTCGGTAATTATACATTTATCATACATACTTTTAAATTGGAAATACTACGCTAATAATATCAAATTGCATTGTTGTCGAGAAGTATATTTGTTTCAATTACCGGTCCGAGGAACAGTTTGTCACATGTCTGAAAGTTGCACCTCATGTACTTAATTAATCAACAGGTACACCTTCTCTTAATGAAGAATAATTAAGATACAACAAACTAAAGCCTCCCAGCTATAGACATGCAAACATAAAAAAAACATTTTGCGAAATATACAGTTATCTTCGACTAAAATGAAAAGTTTGGTGTCAGCTTAACTAAAATTTCCTCAGGGTTAATTTTCCTAAGCTTCACTACTGTGTGTGTAATTGTGTTCAATAAATTTACTCAACGCGTCTAACTATTACATTACTTGTTGACAGAGACATCCATCTAATGAATATTACTGATAGTTGGATGTTAGGCCTAAATAATTGTTTAACCCCTTTTCCCTTTTCTACGAAGATATCGCTCAATAAAATAAACAATATACTGTAAAGAGAATAGAAAAAAAAGATTGGATATATTATATGTACGAAAATACAGGATATACATATAAAAGCATGAATAATAAATGTTTATTATTAATAATAAAATGATTGACAATGTCTAAATAATTAATTTCAAGTAATATATGTGTATACGTTAGAAAGATTAATATATCTATAAAAAACTAATCAAGTTGAGAGAGATTGTCCTTCACTCACTCCTCTTCAGTAGTCGATAGTAATCCGCTACCATTTGACATAATTCGAAAATAATTAGAAATTTCATCAATTGTCTTTCCTTTTGTTTCAGGTAGAACGAAATAAATAACTATCCACAAGCAACCAAGAAATACGATAAATGGAACAAAACTGTAAACTTTTATCTCATCCTATTAAAGGAAGAAAAGATATTTTTATATGATAAGTATAAAATTAATAAATGAAACTGACTTGAATCAATGGATAGCATAATCCAACCAGAAAATTTGCAAACCAATTTGTTAGAACTGCAATACTCACTGCCGCTGGCCTTGTATTTTGAGAAAACATTTCAGCAACAATAAACCATGGGATAGAACCTTTAAGAAAAATAAATTGATACATTGCTTTTAAATATATTTTAATAATAGATAAATTAATTGATAAACTTAAGTTTAATAATCAAAACATTGCTATAAACATAATGCCTGATTAAACTCTATTATTATGAAAGATTCGTAAAATTAATAGAGATTAATGAAATATTTTCTAATTCGTTACTATTAATGTTGTTGTATATGAGCTATTTTCATTGCTTATTAATCAATCTTATATGTTATGTTTTTCTCTTTATTTTATATTTTATACCTGGTCCAATTGCAAAAGAACATACAAATATCACGGTAGCAACGATTGCTATATATGACATGAAATGCCAATGAACCTGTTAAGTTTAATTGAGGAACAATAAATGTATATTATTCAATATTTACAGTAGACAATATTAAAATGTATTTATCATTTACCTCCCAAAGGAACGATGTCGTTAGGGCGCAAGCAGCGCAAAACATTCCACCCAAGCCTAATAAATGCAAATATCTTCTTCCAGCTTTATCTACTAATGAAGCTGAAATGGCAGTTATGATAAAATTTACAACCGAAACTCCAATGCTTGCGAATTGTGAAGCCGTTTGAGTAAGATGGGCTGTTTTTCTAAATATTTGTGTAGAATAATAAATGACCTATAAAAGATAGAATAATTTTAGTTTCGATTAAAAATTTTTCATTAATAACTTACAGCATTAATGCCGGAAAGTTGTTGAGATAATTGCATAATTATACTTATAAAGATAGGTCTTCTTAACCATTTAGTTGTGAAAATTCCGCAAATAGACATCTTCAAAAAGAAATTAAATAATTATTTCAATTTAGAAGTCTATCTATTGTTCAGTATTTTTTAATTGAAATAGCTCTTAAGTGTATATAATTAACTGTATAGATAGAAGAAAATGATCGTATCTATCCGCTTTTTTTCATCTTTTTACTATTAAAGCGTTAGTATAAAAATAATAAGATTTCAAAGGTATTTGTATCAAAAAAAATATTAATAAGCTAGCTGTTGAAGTCGTACTATCAGATGTTGAAAATAGACAAAAAAATCAGTAACTTTCAACTAATTATAATTGTTCGTTAATCCTTGAAAAAAGTTACATATCTTTTATGTTTGTTAATTAATTAGATAAAAACTGTTTTATATCCTCTCTTTACTTACTTTTTCCGTATTTTCACAGCTTTCTCCTTGAATTTGCATGTCTTGAAGTTCTTCCTCGAAGCTATCTCCACTTCTTAGCCATTGTAGAGCTGAAATTTAAATGGTTGCGTTTCTCAAATAATTTAATATATTGATTATATATATATACCTCTTATAGCTGCATAACGATCATTCTTATTAATGTAGAGGTACTTAGGACTCTCTGGACAAAGAGAGAATGTCAACAATTGTAATATAGCCGCAATAACGGGAAAGCTCAACAATATTGGCCACAGTTTGTCTGTTCCCAAGATAAAGTCCATTCCTATTATTTGTGATATTAAAACTCCGAAAACAATAGCTAATTGATTCAGAGTACCAGCTGCTCCTCTCAACTTCAAAGGTGCAACTTCGGATAGGTAAAGTGGAGCAATTCCTGTGCTAATACCTATAACGAAAGAGATTTAATTTACTCTACTTAGTAAATTAGAAGATAGAAAAAGTATATAATTTAAATTACCGCATTGTATTCCAGCAATAAATCTACCAACTATAAGCATCTCATAAGAAAGTGCCAATTTACTAAAACCGAAAAGAATCACCGCCAGAAATGTGAGAATATTGTTTAATAGTAAACCCTTTTTTCTACGGAATATATATAACATATATATATATAAAAGTACACGAACATAGTCTAAGAATTAAGAGAAGAAGAAACAATAGAAACCTTCCTAGTTTATCAGCAAAATAACCGGCATTTACTCCACCTATCATACCTCCAATAGCCCATATCGATACAATTAGAGCCCATAGCAGAGTAATTTTCGATTGCGTCATGTGATGGCCAGTTCTATGAAGTTCTGTTTCATTGAGAAATTGTTCGATTTTCTATAAAAAGTAATTTATATGTAAAAATTTATATTAATCTTCTTAAGAAAGTAAAATTAAAAGAGTATTTATGCTTGTCCTTTACTATATCTTTATTAATTGTAAAACTATAATAAAAGGAAGGAAGGGTGAAAGGAAATAGGGTTATTGACCGTTTGTGGTAAATTTACGACTCCTGTATGAACTCCAAAGACAAAGGAACTTCCAATTACGCAAGAAAAAAATGCAAACACCAATCGACTATTCAAACGCTGTTGAATATAAATATAATTAAGTTGTAAAGAAATTCATTACTCTTAAACACATCTGTTTGACTAACCTGTTTGTCAGATTCTAATATATAAGTTTCTTCGTCTGTATCCATAGTGTTCTTTTTATGATTCTATCACAATGTAGAATGCAATTTTATAAAATAATATAAAGTTTCTAATACAATTTTATAGGCTTAAATCAGTAGGTGGATCAATTACTGTGTAATAACATAATTATATAAATAGATAACAATGATAAGTTTTTCTTAAAAATCGATTCTATGTTTGAAATCTTCAATATACTATATTAAAAAGTAATTTATATATATATATATTGCTATATATTCTTATATACAAGTATATAATAAAAGAAAGTGAATTAATTAGAGATATTTATTGAATTAAACCAGTTTAATACCAGGAAAAAAAATTTTATAATAGATGTTTGAAAGATTATTGAAACACTTACCTATTATTAATTAAATATTAATCATAATTCATATATCTTCTTTTGTTTTCTTTCTATAGTGACCTAACAGCTTAGAAAGAGTATTCTTTTCCAAATACTACTAGTTAAAAAAATAAATTGTTTATTAAAAACAAAGATTGCTAAACTAGAGTTTTAGAAGGAAGTTGAATACTGACAGTGGCGCTCTCGACAGGCAATAAATAAAATTGTTTAACAGTGCACTTTGGTTTAAAAACATCAATATGCACAAAGTGAAAAAGATCTATTAAAAAACTAGAGAGCAAATAATAGGAGCTTATTATTTAATGAAGATAAAATGGTGTTAAATATTTAATACAAAAACACTATCAAAATTCATTGAAAGAAGAAGATGGAATTATTTTGGAAGATAATTAGATAATCCATCTAAAGCTATATAAATAGTTGATATTCTGCAAATCAAAACTAAAGCGTCCAAATATTTCATTTTGTTTTTTTTTTAATGTTAGAAACTCTAGAAATTAATTTCTTTTTATCAGCTTTCTCCCAGCCACTAATTGTATAGATTTACTATAAATAATATACACATTGTTTCGTATAAAGATTTTTCCAGATGAATATTCATGAGAAACGTTATTATATAGTACAATAAAAAATAATTAGTAAAGGAAATTGCAAAGTAAATGTGAACCAAATTAACAGCAAAATGAGGGTTCTATTCTTCAATACAAACCTTTTTCTTTTATGTATCTTTTCCATTGGGTATATATATAAATGTGAAGATAATTTCTTAACTTTTTACTCTGATGATAGTTTATTTGTTGGGAAAAAAAAGTTACAATTTGATATGACGTCATATAGGATTTACTGTGATTGAAAGCTGTTATATTTACATGAAATTTTTACTGCAAAGATGACTGTTAATTCTATATTTTGCCTTATCTGTATGACCCTACCTTTTTTCATTGGTAAATTCAATTATTGTTCTCTTTAATAAATAGATTTTTAAATAATATTAATAAATATATTGATACTTTACATATGTCAATAATTATTTAATTGTATTATCGCTCTATTGCAGTTACTGTTTTATCTAAAAAAACTCCAATTAGAGTTGTTGAAGAACCAACTTCTTTTGGGTTAGTTGAGAAATAAAATAATTAGAATTATGAAATAGTATTTCTTTTGCTAAATTTCACGAAATTAGGAACTCATTCCAAAGTAATTTCCACAATCCTAATGAACTTCATAAAAGAGTAGATGCAGCTAATTTCATTGGTCCTGAGCACTTAAAACATATATATGGAAGATGTTTTACATTAATTGATAATGCGTAAGATATTAAAGAATTGGTATAATTTTTCATAGTTCATAATTGTGTTCTTTTTTTTAACAGTTATAAATACTCATTTTGTCCTTTTGACAATGTCACTCAACATGAGCAAAATTTTAGATGGAATCCATATAATGGCATACTAGGGTAAATACATTCGTTTATAATATAGTTGGTCTGACATTACAAACTTCTATTATAACTTCAATAGAGTTTGGTCATATTGGGAAACGAAAGATGGTTACTTCCAATCAATGATTTTTAAAAATGGTGACGATTGTAATAATCTAGAAAAGGGGGCTATAACAAGATCTGTTAAAGTAAATTCTTATCATTCGCTTCTAAGTTTATTTACTGTCGTCCTATTGGCATTTTATAGGTTCATCTCTTGTGCGGTACTGACAATAACGTAACAAAAGTTTGGGAACCGACAACTTGTAATTATGAACTTAATTTTTCTACACCATTAGTTTGTCACAAAGATTCATTGCTTATCTATCCAATGTTGAATCAATCATTAAGAAAAGAAATTGATGAAATAGAAAATGACCTCGAGAGTGAAATCCTGTCAAAAGAAGTAATCAATTTGTTCTTATTTCTCTAATGGTAGAATTCTTCACACTTATTGAAATATCATAGGGCTACAAGGCACGTGTAAAAAAGGTTTACATTGAGGCTGGTATCATCAAAGAACAAGGTAATTTTATAAAAGAGGTAACGACAAAATCAAACACTCTAAACGAATCCTTAGACAAAGAAAGGCATTGTGGAAAGGTAAAGAAAAAAAAAGACAAACTATTTATAGTCATAATGTTTAATATGTTTTCAGGAAGAGATTGAAGAATTACGCAAACTAAGACGAAAGGTCAAAAACTACGAACAAATTCTTAGAGAGAATAATATAACCTTTAATAACACATAATACAAGTTAATTTCTTATCAAAGAGTTATTATTATATTTTTTGTAGATGAATTTATAAAATGAAGTGCTTCTTAATAAAAGAACGGAATAAAATGTACATAGAAATATATATTTATATACAAGTATATAATGAGTTAAGGTAATGGATCAGTGAGTTCCAACCTCTCAAATTTTCCATTATCATAGAAATTCGCTTTAACTACTCGACCACCAAAAAATCGTCCATGTAAATCAATTATAGCTTTTGTAGCGCTCTCAACTCTTTCAAATTCGACAAATATTCTCACAGCATTTTCTTCAATTTCATCAGGTAATTCAAATATAACACAGCGAACAACTGGACCATACTTTTGACACTCTCCTTTAGTCTCAGGTTCTAATTCGTCATCAACTTCTCCTGGTCCAACCATATTTCGAAGAACAACTACCTTTGATGGATTTTTCAATAATTCCCCTATATTTTCTATTGGAGGTTTATCCAAAGGTTGCGTAGCTGCAAATCCTAACCCTAGAACAGAAGGATATCCTTCAGGAAATTCAGGCGGAGATGGCGGTAGATCTTTTTCATGAATAATTCTTCCACCTTTACGAGAAGTTTTTTCGACTTCTAGAGCTCTTGACATTCCTTGCTCCAATTTTCCTAGACCTTGCCCGGCATTCCATCCCATTTTATTCATAATTTTTTCAGCTATAAGCTTTGAATCTTTGGTAGGAGGAGCCGGCAAACTTTCAGAAAGTACTTGCTTATCCTGCTCGATGAGGTTTTGAGGTGGAGCTATAAATGATTTTTTTGCTAATCTTCTCTTTCGTTCTTCTTCTTCCTCTTCATCACACTCGGGCATTTTTTTTTCCTCCTCTACTTTCCCTTTTGTTTTAAGTTTTTTAAACGAATCATATTCGTTCGGTTGAAGGGGATTATATTCATCAGTTAATGACCCAAGCAGTGAGCTTGGTGTTAGCTCAGTTCCAAGAAAAGGTGGTCTAACTGATTCAATCATTCCTGTATGCTGATTATAACGAACATTTCCTTTTTCTTGCTCTAAAACGAATTAAATTACTAGAATGTTTTGATTTAAGAGTTTTTTTAGCTACCTTTGGGAAATCCTGTTATTGGCGTTCGCCTCGTAGTTGGGGTCTTCGTTGAAGCCGCTGCTTTTCTGGCTGCTAATTGAGACTGGAGCATATGCAAACTATTTCCAGAGCCTAATTTATCAAATATGCAAATTTAAATGGGTACCATTGTTGAGAAGATCAATAATCAAACCTTTATCTACGCCTTGAAGCTCAATATCATCATATAACGACATGTTGAAGACGCCGTATACTTTACTCTACAATATCGCTCAAGTCTTTTTAACGTCAGCAGATCCTTGAAAGTCGATTATAGAAGAAAATATTCAATCATATAAAATGTGTAAATATCCTTATAAAAAGTATTCTCTAATTAAGTATTTTAAAGCGAATGAATCGGTTGTCTGAAGAGTGAAAAAGTAAGATACTGTTTAGTAAATCGTAAAATATCTCATTGTAAACTATAATTTGATTGACACAGGAAGTGGAAACCTATCGCGCATGCGTAGCTGGTACATCGACGTGTGAGAATCTACTGTGGCGGTGTTTCTTATATAACTGCAACTTTGTCGTCTAATTAAAGAATATGCACGGTTTCAGAAGAGATAAAAAAGAAGAGGAAGATGGTAATTTATACTTAATCTAAACATAGAATCGTGTTCTTCTATATTCAAGGGTTTTAAATAATGATTCTCTATTCATCTATACAGGCAAAAAGAAAAGTCTGTTTAGTTTAATTTTTAAAGCACGTAGTGTTATCTCTCTATATAGTGTGTCTTAGCTCTGTTTTAGGTTGTATTTTATAAGGTGGTTTGTGTCATGATCAGTAGATAAATTCTTTACCAGCTTTCTTCTCCACCCTATATCGATAATTGTATACACAGTATTTATTAAATTGACACATGGGCATCTACACATGTATATGAGGGGAAGTGTTAAGAAAGTATCAGAATAGTTTTTATCAATGTATTCGTCTTTGGCTTTTATTGTTGATATTTTCTAAACAGTATTCATATGCATGATTATTTTGACTGTTGTTAAATGAGAGAATAGTATTTAATTGCCTTTTTTTTAAGGATCTGGGAGTCATTCCCTTCTTCATTTGGACAAGAGTAGTGTTCTGCAAGAAGCTAGAGCAACTTTTAATGGAACACCGGTTGTTGCTAGAAAATGTAGTCACGTTTTGACAAAAATTCTGATGGTTTTAAATCAAGGGGAAGCTATAGGTTAGTTATAAAATTATTATTTAAATGGGTGTAAACATATAAACGATTTTAGGAAAGGAGGAGGCAACAGAAACGTTTTTTGCTATTACCAAATTATTTCAATCTCGTGATCAAGCGGTTCGAAGATTAGTTTATGTTTGTATTAAGGATATGGCATCTATTTCCAATGATGTGATTATTGTAACATCATCTCTGACAAAAGATATGACTGGTAAAGAAGATGAATGGAGAGCTCCAGCAATCAGAGCTCTTTGTCGGATCACAGATGCTCAAATGCTGCAAAGTATTGAAAGATTAATGAAACAAGCTATGGTTGACAAAACCCCTCAAGTCGCTTCGGCTGCTTTAACATCTAGTGTTCACGTAGCAAGAACTAATCCTGAGGTTGTTAGACGTTGGTTAAATGAAGCTACTGAGGCAGCTTCAAGTAGCGGAGAAGGACTCGTGCAATATCATGCGATTGGTCTTCTCTATACTGCCAGGAAACATGATAAACTCGCTGTTAGGAAACTGGTATCTAAGCATGCTCGTATCGCCAATAGATCATCGTTGGCTTGCTGCTTACTTATTAGGATAGCAGCTAAAGCTCTTGAAGAAGATGATTCCGTTCCAAATTCTGGAGAGATGATGGATTTTATCGAGGGTTGTTTGAGACACAAGTCGGAAATGGTTATATACGAGGCAGCTCGCTCTTTAGTAGGATTAAACGCTACAAATCCCAAGGAGCTTGCTCCGGCAGTTAGTGTACTCCAGTTGTTTTGCTCCTCACCGAAACCAACTCTGCGATTGGCTGCTGTCCGAACACTTAGCGCTGCAGCAGCTATTCAACCTGCTGCTGTTAGTGCCTGTAATCTTGACTTGGAGAATTTAATGAGCGATGGTAATAGAAGCGTCGCAACGTTGGCCATGTCAACTTTACTAAAGACTGGTGGGGAGTCCTCAGTTGAACGACTCGTCAAACAAATATCAAGCTTTATGGCTGATATTGGTGATGAACTAAAAGTAGAAGTTGTAAGAGCTGTAAGATCACTGTGCGAAAAGTTTCCAAGAAAGGCGTCAACCTTGAGTGCTACATTAGCTCAGATGTTAAGAGACGAAGGCGGCGTTGAATACAAATCAGCCTTGGTAGATGCTCTAATTGCTGTCCTCCATGATGATAATGATGCAAGAAATGCAGCATTGTCGCATTTATGCGAATTTATCGAAGATTGTGAACACACTAGTTTAGCTACCAGAGTTCTGCATGTACTGGGCCGTGAAGGTCCAAAGACAGCGCGTCCGGCTGCTTTCATTCGATACATCTACAATCGAGTTATTTTGGAAGCTGCAGCAGTTCGAGCTGCTGCTGTTACAGCTTTAGCACAATTTGGTGCTCACTGTCCACAATTGCTTCCGTCTATTTTGGTTTTGTTGAGAAGATGTGCTTTAGATCAGGATGACGAAGTTAGGGATCGCGCCACACTTTACATCGCAATTTTTCAAAGTGAGGACCAGAGCCTAATTTCTTCTTTTATTTCTGGCGAAATGCATTATTCTGTCACGGCTTTGGAAAAATCTTTAAAGAATTATCTGAAGACATCCTGTTCTGAAGAATTTGACATGAAGACTGTACCAATTGCAACTCCACTAGAACAAGGTATCACTTCTGGGAGCGCTCCAGGATCAGCACCTATTGAACCGGTTGTTGCTAGGGCTAAAGCGACAGTTAAGGAAGATCCACTTGAGAAGGTTCCTCAATTAGCCAAATACAGTCCTGTATTCAAGTCTTCAGGACCATTAGCTTTGACGGAAGCACTAACAGAATACACCGTTTCGTGCGTCAAGCATGTTACAGGATCTCATGTTGTGCTTCAATTTACTTGCGAGAATACGCTTACTGATCAATTACTAGAGGACGTTTGGGTTCAAGTTGAAGGTGACTTGGAAATAGTTGAAATAGTAAATATCGACGAATTGAAATGCGGAGTTCAGCAATCATGCTATACAGTTGTTGAACTACCTGACGTTGATAATTTAAGTTCAACTTTCACACTCGCTTGTACTTTGAAGTTCAAAGTAAGAGATTGCGATCCTACAACAGGCGAAGTTGACGACGGTTCATACGACGACGATTATGTTTTAGAAGATATAGAAATAACTGTTGCCGATCACATTCAGAAAGTTTTGAAAGCCGACTGGGCAGCCGCGTGGGAAGAATTAGGTCCTCAAAACGAACTAGAAGATACTTTTGCTTTGAGTGCCATGAATACACTTCAGGAAGCCGTTAAACAAATTCATTCTTTCCTGGGCATGCAAGCTTGCGAACGATCCGACAATGTACCCGAGGGTAAATATCAAGCTTTTAACTTATATTGCTTAGTTTCATATATTTTTTCTCTTTTTAGGTCGAAGCGCCCATACCCTACTTTTAGCTGGTGTTTTCCGAGGTGGACATGCCGTTCTTGTACGCTCTCGTTTGGCCTTGTCAAATGGTGTAACCATGAACCTTTCTGTTCGTTCTACTGATCCTCGAGTATCTAATCTAATAACACAGTCAGTTGGTTAATAAGAAGCATATAGGAACATATTTTTTTCTGTCTGTTTATAATATATTATCACTATTTTTTGAGCGATTTGGCTCCCTTCTTAATTTAAAATAAAAAGGAATACAGAAATACAAATTTAGACATTTTTTCTTCAAATGTATTCTCTTGTTCATGATTACAAAAGACGTACAGAATTCCTTATTTTCCACCTTATCTACCGTAATGATAGCTTTCGAATAAATAGATTATTTAATAAGAGCAGTAATCGATAACGAAACTAATTACCCAATGGTATTTACACTTTCAAATTGTTTATGTTGTTTACACATTAAGTGTTTACAACCAGTTTTACTCAATTTTAACTGGTAGAGCTCTACATGTTCCCTCATTCTAAGTAATCAGTTCGTCTTAAGTATACAAACGGCTCCGGACCTTGAATAAAAACCGAAAGATTGTAAATTTTTTTTAATAATGGATAATAGAAAAGGAGAAGAATCGTTTTTTCTTAAGGAAAGTATTCTGGAAAAGGACGAAGTTGTTTTGGGAATTGACGTAGGTAATGAATAGATGAATATAGTTGATGTTTTCATTCTCTGACAGCTGTTTTTAATAATGTTTAAAAAAAAAAGAAAAAAAAAACCATAGGTGTACAGCCATACTGTATGGATTATACAGTTGTTGTTTGTTTATGACAACATACTGATTTGTTTTCATCATTGCATCTAAACGGCTAAACAATAATGCATTTATTTAATATTCAGGGACTACTTTGATCAAAGTATGCGTCGCACGCTATAAGGTAAAATTTAATTGCAGTGAATGCGTACCTCTCTTTCGGTATACATGTACTCTTTAAGAATAAATATTTGTCCATATTGTTTTCACCTTAGACGTTATCTTTCGAAATTTTTAACAAACAAGAAGTGGATAAACTAGGAGGATTTTTAAAGGATTTAAAAGATGATGTAACCCATTGTTCAGGGTGTGGTATATCAATAAGAAGTTTTCAGAGTTTCTTTGAACAGGCTCTTGAAATTAAGTAAGAAACAAAATTATCTGATTATTTACAATCATAGTTTGAATATTTATAAATGGAATTTATTCGCAAAACGTTTATTCTTAACTTGAGGATGAAAATCGACGATAGCGAACTGACTACAATGGCCCGTGGACTACGATTTCTCGCTTCTGATATAGATAAACCATACTTCGTTTCGAATGGTAAAAGGTTAACGCAAGTACCCACTAAAGATATTCTTATTGCGTCGTTCGGTTCGACTGGTCAGTTTCTGAAAGTGGGGGAAAATATTAACGATATTCATATGGTTGCGGCTAATGGTGAAGGTGGAAGTAGCTTTCTTGGACTCTCCAGAATAATCACAAGGAAAAATAGCGTACGATTGTTGTAGAATTAGATCTTTATTCATTTAATATCAAAGCTCTTCTTTTTGAACAGTTAACAAATTCGGAAGCCATTTTATTGGCCAGTGCAGGAGACGCATGGAAAATTGACTTAAAAATAGCTGAATTAAAGAAGCACTCTGATCAATTGAGAGAGCAAATTTCGGAAGAGAATTCTAAGAATAATGCTAGCAATTACGGACTCTACCCAGGGGATATGCTATCATCAAAATTTGGAAGAGTATCCCAAAACTTGGTAGATGTTAAAGGTTTCTTAATTTTTTTTATTTTTAGAAACAATTTACCATAAAAAATAAAACTAAACTATAAATAAATTGGAAATGGTAAAAATAGATGCAAAGATTGAGGATGTGTCGGCGGCGGTACTTCATTCAATAGTTTCAAACGAAACGAGGACAATGTACCTGGCAGCTAAAATGGAAAAAATAGAAAACGTATTCATCTGTGGTAATTTTATGTCATATTCATTGGTCAAAGATATCTGTCGTAAGACGGTCGAACAGTGCGAGCACTTTCTTAAGGTTAAGACTCATTTTTCCTCTTAATTCTTCCTCTCTCTCTCTCTCTTTCCCTCTTTGTCTATCTATCTATCTATCTATCTATCTCTCTCTCTATCTCTTTCTTTCTATGTCTTCCTGTATTTTTCAAATTTTATTGTTTTATATAGCACAAGTTGAGGATGATCTTTGTGGAGCCAATTGGCCATCTGACGGCTATTGGAGCATTGGCAATAGCTTTCGAAAAGATAAAAATATCTTAAAATGTATTTATTTTGCTATTTTCCCCCGCTGAAAACGTATGAAAAAGAGGATATTTCACTTCACAAGGGTTTTTTTTCCCAATTTTATTGCAGGATGTGAAATTTTTTAGTCTATTTTTTTTCAGTTTTAGCATTAAAATCTCTTTTTTATAGTAGAATTTTGAAACAAATAAGTAAAAAAAATTTTATTTGTGTTTGTGTGTATGTTATTTTCTAAAATCTTACTAGATCATCTATAAATAACAATTAACAAAAAACATATAGTAGTTAATCATAAAAGAAATATAGTATATAGCCCCACCTATCGGTTGATACTGCAATAAATAAGACCCAAATTGTGAATTTTGTAATAACTAAGAGCGTTATATTACCAAAAATGAATTGAGAAGTGAATAAATGAAGTATAATAGAGAATCATAGTTATCTTATCAATATAATTCAAGATAGTGATTACATATTAACACATATATATATATACAGTATATACAGTTTAGTGTATATATCTTTTTGTATTATAGAGCATATTAAAACTGATATCTATATGTGTACATGTGTTTTTATATAAACATATACAGTATATGTACAGTATATGCTTTTCATAAAAGTATATATATATACTAATATATTTAATATATCTCGTTGCATCCATTCAAAATTCAATACAAGCCTATCAAAGGTGATAATACAGGAGAAGCTTCTCAAATGAGGAAAAACACTTCAAATTATGAAATATAGTACGTTAATTATTACTTAATTAATTACATTGATTTACAAGTATTTGTTTAATTTGATATTGTTTGTCATGATAAAAAAAAATAGAAGGAATTTTTTCGGCTGTTGCCTTTGGACTGACAACGATGGGAACATCGGCAATGGTTGTTGTATTTCGTAGTAGTTCCCTTAGCTGGACAGGTAAGATAATCCAATTAATCTAATTATTAATCTAACAGCTAATTATATAAAAATATATATTTAATTCAGTAAAAAACTTGATAGTATGGATAATAGCTTTAGCGCTTTTTCTACTATGGTCTTGGTATGTTTTTTGTTATGACTTTTTCAATATTTATTTATATATTAATAAATTATATTATCGTGACTTTTTTTGTCTATTAGGTTCCTTTGGTCGAAAAAAATCAAGATTTTCTTTAAAAGGTTTATATATACAGTGTTTATTTCTTTAATGATGGTTCTTTTTCTAATTATTATATCTTTTTGGATAGAATTTGCTCTAGAAATCAACCAACAAACAATACGGTAAATTATCAGAATAGAGCATCGCCTAAAAGAGGATTAGAAGGTTTTAAATTGTATGTATTCGTTTTTTTTTCATTCCTTATTGATGACGAGTATGACGTTATAAGTTTAATTGGTTATCTTTATTTAGTTCTATGAAAGGTACCGAAAAGATAATTATTACAAAGGATAACTCAGAATGTATTATCTGCCGAGAGAACTATAAAGATTCTTCAGAGGGTCCGCTTCTTGCTGCGCTACCTAGTTGCGGTCACTTTTATCACAATGATTGTATAAGCAAATGGTTGTTTCATCAGTTTGATCAAAAACTGGAGACTTCCTGTCCCGTTTGCAGGACTGCCGTCATCTTAAACGTTTCAGAGAATATTGCGGAAATACGGATTATAAACCCGAGCGATATAATTTTTGATCTAAGTGAAGATACAGATAGCATTTATAAAATTTCCTCGGCAAGTTCCTCATCTCCAGACAATCCTTCTTCTACTGTGCATGTTCCTATTAAATGTGAGGACGAATTATCATTTTCAATTGAAATGGACAATCGTCAAAAATATCCTAGAATATTACAAATTGATAAATATGGGACAAATTGAATCATAAGATTAAGAAACTTACTTTATTTGTATTGAAATCAAATTTATACATGTATAGAGTTAATGATTTTGTTTTTAAGCATTATAATTGATTTGATATACAGTATTGTTACTATTTACGATTAAGTCCTTCTTCTTCTATCTAACGAAAAGCCTAGATATTATCTACCATATTTCTCTTTATCTTTAAGTTAATGACACTGTTTTAAACATCGTAAAAATGAAATTGGGACATGCTAATCATAGATAATGTTTTTTAAATGACTAATATTTTGAACACTCCTCCCTCTTTTAATTTTTATATATTTTGTTTCTTTATTGGTTTATTATCTTTCTATTTCTTTCTCTCTCTCTCTCTTCCTAAAAAAAATCAGATACCTTAATTTTTTCTACCATTATTATTATGTCATACAAATATAATATCACTTCAAATTGAAATGTTTACAATCTATAATCTTTCGCTAAATTCAAGATAACAATAAATTAAAGAGATTATTTCAAATATTTTAGCTATTCGACTAATTTTTGAACAATAGGGCCATCTTGTAGCCGAAATAAAGCGCATTTTCTTTTATTTAAGGAAATCGATGAACGTAAAATAAAATGAAAATAATTTTCTTCTAACATCAGTCTAATAACTGTTCAGTGAACTGATTTATGTTCATTAAATGGAATAAAGGAGACATTTTTCCTTTTTTTTTCAATTAAATAACATAAATAATAGTTAAAGAAGTAAAAGAAAAACAGTTAAAGTAGTATAATAGATTTCATGTTTTTTTATTTCTCAAAAGGAAGAAGTTAGTGATATATTCTCTTTGTCTCTCCGTCTCTCTTTCTCTTTGTTTTTACTTTTTGAATGTTAAATATTTAATTTTGGCTTGATTGATATCGTCAATCTTCCTATTTAATTTCCCTAATAAGTTTTGAACTAATATTTAATTGAACTTGAAGGGGAGCCGCATGATTCTTTCATGTATTTGTTAACAATTTATCATTATCGTGGTCCGTAATTTACATATAAGATACTAGATAATACAGATTAAATAAATACAGATTTCCACCTAATGTTTCTCTTTCTATGTATGTTTTACTGATAATCCATTACAGAATAATCCTTTTTAAATAGTACGGTATAAAACTTTCACAAATATAATGATTTTAATGCCTTAATAACGGATTAATATACGATATAGAGAGATTAAGAGATAAAAAGTATTAATGGATATGTAATTATCAGAAGCTTCCGCCTAACGAATTGTGAATTATACAAAGGCATTGTCAATGGTTATTTAGTGTATTTAATTCTTATCTTATACCTTTAATGAAATATAATAGAGAACATTATTTTTACAAAGGATAAAAGTAGTTCAAAAGAGTTTTAGTCATAATTTCATGATGAATAATAGAAAATAATTACGCAAATTTTGAAATTATATTCAAAAGGACACTAACAATTCTTTAAAGTTAAAGGCTAATAAGACATTAGTGTAATTTTACTGTAGAATTTTACAATTAATCGTAGAATTTTAACATTTATTTGATATTTTGCTAAAATTACTTTTAAGCTAGCAAATTTCTAGTTATAATCAAACTTTTAGGAGATAAGAGAAAGAGAAGAAGTAGAAGATTAAAGGGAAAGAGAGAGAGAGCAAGAGAGAGAGACAGAGAGAGAGAGAGAGAGAGAGAGAGAGAGAGAGACAGACAGACAGACAGACGGAGAAGAATTAACAAACAAGTGATGTATTAGTTGACTAGTATGGAATCAGAGTGAAAGGAAGAAAGGGAAAAGGAGTGCTTTGGATTAGTAATAAAGAAGTTTATCGCTATAGTCTATAAAGCATCTATAAGAAGAATATCTTTAGAAAAGTGCCCACATTCCAAGTAAAAACAAGCGGTTCTCTTTTCCAAAAGCAGAATCAATGAACGTTGAACAAAATAGCGGAAGTCAACCAGCAAAAGCTAACAAGCCGTTTAATTTACTTTCAAAAGCGATTAATTCCAATATCAATCATAATTTTTAGGAATATAAATACATTTATATATTAGCATAATATACGAATAAACTAACAAACTTGTATTCTTATTTGTTACATTATGACAAAAATGTATTACACTTTTAAGAACAAAAGGGAGAACTGGAGTTGTTTTTGAAAAGGGAATAATAAATAAAACGGTCTCTTTCTTTATTTTATACACATTTAGGCGGATTGATGGATGGATGGATAGATGGAATAGGAAAAAAACGGAAAACAAATAAATAAAAAACACACAACTTGACAAGAAATAGTATTGAATATCAGTTTGTGATAATCTTTAAGATGAGATATAAGGATCTAATGTAGCAAAAACAGGGGGATATATACAGGAAGCAGAGAATATACTGAAAGCATTAGATAAAACAGTAAATCTATATATATATACTGTATATATAGGTAACTTTGCTGTAAAGAAAGGGTTGTTAACTTTACCTATTGCTTAGGTATTTCATTATTTCTATTTAGGACTCCTCTTATTCTATCACATAATACTTTAATAGATTATAGCTGTGACACCGAGCACAATACTCTGAGGCATTTTGACAGACGATCTGACACCATATATTTAACTAGAGAAATTCTCCATACTTCACAAATATTAATAGGATGATAATCAATTTTTCTCTCGTCCCGAAACAAAATAGCAAGTCACTTAATTAACTGAAAAGAATTGAAAATAGGCTTAAGTTAGTTAGAGATTTTAAATATTAAAAAAATTCAATATTAAACGTTGTTGAATGTATTAACTGTTATGCTAAGAACAAAAAAAGGGGGAAACGCAATAGTCTACATATGAAAATCTAATATTTCCTAAACTATATTTAGCAAAGTCAGCAATTGATATTTATTTATTATATTCGAGGTAAGCTGGTACAATAAAACATACTATTTTTATTTACAAAGGGAGAGTATAGATTTTCGAAATGATATATCAAAATTGTCAAGTTACCGGAAAATAAAGAAATTTAAGTACATTTTTACATTCTTGTATAAATTGAGAGACAACGAAAGAAAGAGAGAGAGCGATAGAGAGGTAATGAAGAGGAATGAATTTTTATGTTACTATTTCATTTGTATATATGTTTACAAATATATATTTATATACTAAATTCTGCCTTCTCTTTTGTGAAAGTTGGCTTTGTAACTTTTTGAATAAGCTAATATCTTTTGTACAAGTAAAGACGAGAAGCTAGCAAATGAAAGCAAAATAAAGAAAAATATATTAACCCTAAGTAACAAACGTCCTATATTATTGCCCTTTTTTTGAAATAAATTGATTACTCCTTCCCTTTTACCCCCCACAGTTTAGCAAACAATTCAATAATCTAGTTTAATATATACAGCACTTTCTTCTCTTTCTACTTGTTTATTTGAGTGTTAAAAATGCACTTTTCAGAATTATATTAATTAATAATTTATAGAAATATATTAAAAATCTAGAAATATAAGTTATAAGTGAAATCAAGCAAATTTAATAAGGAATGTAGACATTTTTTTAAATAGATTCTTCTAAGGTAAAGTGAGAAGGGAGGTAACTTTTAATGAAAATATCTTACTAAGCATTGTAAAAATTAATAATAAGAATAAAGCGTTAAGAGAGAGAGAGCATATATATATACTAATATATAAATTTTATATATGTGTGTAGAAGGGAGGTGATAGAAAGAAGGGAGAAAAAAAATGGTTTAGAGAAGGAGGATAGGTGAGAAAAGTAAATTTTTATCTTAATTTAATCTAATATTAACTTACTATAATATGTAAGAATGGGTATTAAAAGAAATGCCCTCTTTCTTGGAGATATACAATCACGTGATTTTATAAAAACAAGAATCAACTAATGAGAATAAATCACCGCCGCTCCAAAAAGGATAGGAAGTAAACTATAGTAGTAAATTGAATAGCTTCTAATAGTAAACATCACATTGTTGATAGTAAACAAATAGAAATAAAAAATATATTAATGAGCAAAAGAAAGAATATAAAGTTTAAAGACTTTTCCCGTCTAATAGAATGAATAATAAACCTCTTGAATAAATAAGCTTAATAACGCTAAATTTTCCATTATTAACCTATTGATTATCCACACTATAGATTAAAATATATTTTAATAATATCAGATACATTGTTTTGTAAATAAATACGTTTTTATATAATCAATAAATTTGGAACAAATGAAATTGCCCTTCTTGTGAATATCGAGTAAAAAAGCAGAGTAAACTGTTAATCCTAATTTATTCTTTTCTCTGAGAGAGAAATATTGATAACAATATCTACCTGCCAATATAAATTGGCTATTCTAATACACTTAATAATAAAAGCTAAGAGAAGAGCAATGAGAAAAACTTCTTTACCTATTTTAATTTTATTTATAGTTGTACTAGTTACGTTCTTATCATATAATTTTAAAGAAGATGTAAAAAGGAATACTAAAGATAAGGCTTTTGTAAAAGTTGATAAAGAAAACGATGGAAGAGACAAGAAAATCGGTCTGAAGTCGCCTGAAGGTAGAATAACATCTTTACTAGAAAAGTCAAACCATAGTTTAGTCCCAAATATTGTTCATTATGTATGGTTCTCTGTTGATGAACGGTTGAAATTTCACCAAATGATTAGTATCCGTTCAGCATATTTATTTATTAAACCGGAAATGATTATTTTACATTGTGATAACGAACCTGTAGGTCGTTGGTGGAAATATGTTAAGAATTTTGTAAAAACTTTGATAATAAGAAAGACAACCCCTCCCAGGGAAATTCTAGGAAAGAGGCTAGTCAAAGTAGAACATCAATCTGATATTGCAAGAATCCAAATATTACAGCAGTATGGAGGAATTTATTTGGATTTTGACGTAATAGCTTTAAAATCATTCAAAAATTTACGATATTATAATTTTACTATGGGATTAGAATATTTCGGGACTCCTGGTAAGTGCTTTATAAATAGACTTACATTAATCTAACTCAACTATATATTTTTTCAATTCTTTTTTCTTTTCGTCTTCCTGAATCGTGTCTAATATTTGTTTAAGGGAGATTAAACAACGGGATAATTATATCTGAGAGAAACGCAACTTTCCTTCGAATGTGGTTAGACAGCTATAAAACATTCAATCCTTCCGAATGGGATGAGCATGATTGTCAAGAACCTTATAAATTAATGTTTAAATATCCACACCTTGTTCATATTGAGGAGAAGACTCTAAATTATCCTTCTGGAAAGCCTACTGAATTAAAACTAATTTATGAAGGTCTTTATAATTGGACTGCCAATTATGCAATTCACACTTGGTATAGATTATACGAATTAGAACATGGCCCAGATTCAATTAAAACAATGAATACTACTTACGGAGAAATCTGTAGATTGATCTATTATGGAAATTCAACTTTAATTAAGCCAAAAACTCGGTTAAAGGGTTAGTCAACGACTGGGTATTCTATTTCTGGACATCGTAATAGAATCTATCTAAAATTATCTGGTAATTATAGATTAATTTTTTACCTGGGAATATAATATAATATGCTTTAAAAGCGATTTTCTTGGAAAACTACTCAAAAGAGCACAGTTATTTTTAAAGATGTTTGTCCTTAAAGTTCAAATGTTTGTTGAAGGAAAAAAGATTCTATTTACAATTGCAACATACTGTATATTATGAGTTTTTTAATTCATACTTCTATTAATACAATTTTAATAAATAGATTAAACTACTATATATATATATAAATATGTATATTAGAAGAATTTTCATCCATTTTGCGATGACTAAATGGTACAACTCTTTACAGTATATAGTAGATACTATATGCATATTAATTTTCAAGTATACGCGGTATACTCTACAATACCAATAGGTGGCGGTATTTCTTATATAACTGCAATAGTATATATACTGTGTATATATCTATCTAAGTTTATTGGAAGAAATTTTGATATTGATTGCTAGGATAAAAATAAGGGGTAAAAAACAATAAAGATAGAGAGAGAGAGAGAGAGAGAGAGAGAGCAAAAAAAGAGGATAGAGAGGTGAAAGAGGTGAGAGAAGGGGGAAAGGGAGAGAGAGAGAGAGAGAGAGAGAGAGAGAGAGAGAGAGAGAGAGAGAGAGACAGACAGACAGACAGACAGAGTTAGGCAGACAGATGGATAGGATAATATAAATTAATAAAAAAAAGCATTCCTTTTCATTTCTGTGTAAAAGTTAAAAAGAAAAATCTTTATAAAGACAAACATGTTTTTCCACATATGCATATGACGGTATATGTATATTTAAACACATAATATATATATATATATATATATATATATACTGTATATACTATATAGTTTACGTAGTATTTTATACATTCATCATATACGCGTAAACATTTTCACTATACTATCCTTCTCTTCATCTATATATCTTTGCTTTCGCCAATCCCAAAACCAAAACATTGCTGCATCTCTTTATAAAACCATATGGATTATTAAGTAGAATCGTTTATTGTATTATCATAGTTAGGCCTAATTTTTCGTGGGGTAATTTGTTCGCAGCAACCAACTTCTTACAGCTAATCCGAATCAATAAATTGTTCATTTAATTAACGAGTACATTAATTACTCTTCAATCATGTGAATCTTAACTCGTTAAATTAATATCTTGTAGCATATAGACTTTTCACATCTAGGCCTATTATTATATGTTTAACTCAAATCATGTTGTCTTACTTATCATATATTTCTTCTGTCGACTAAATGAAGCTATTAAGTTTAAATAAATGATTCCTGAAAAGGAGGGATAAGATTATGTGAAAGAGAATGAAAATGAAGAGAGAAAAGGTGCTGTTCTCCTCCTCTAACCTTTGTCATTGGAAAGGACGACTGATTCCACGAAACCGGAAGGACGATTAATACGTAAGGTGTGAAGTATACAAGAGATTATTAAAGTGGGGACATTTTTCTTATTGGAATCCTTACTATCCAGCTCCATCATTACAGAGTTGAAGAGCGTAAAATATATTCCTTTTCATGGAGGAAAAAAAGAAGTTTTTTTTATACGCATCAACTAATTCAGTTGTTTTCACTCAATTCTAACACAACCTGTTTATGTGAATATGAAAAGAAATTTATATGTAAAAATTCTTCCTGCCGTCACCAAGATTAGCGGGAACACGGCTGGGTCTATTTGTAAATTCCTCTTTACGGTAAGAGGAATGTTTTTTCCTTTCATGCGGTTACGTTCCTATCTTAATCGATTATCAAAATATAAAAAAGATAAGATTAAGGATAAAAAACTAAGGGTGGAAAGAGAGAAAAGAGTGAAAAAGAAATCGTGACAAACGTTTAAATTCAATCCCTATTATTCGAGTGTGAATTATAGCTTGATTTCAGCTAATTTTCAATGAAATACTTAGAATTTCTCTGTTGTTTTCTCTTTTCTCTATAAATTTATAGGTTGCGGATAAATAAATAAGGATGTAAGAAAATACTGCGGAATATATGAATGAATGACAAAAAGAGAAAGAAAGCGAAAGAAAATGAAACCCATCTATTCGTCGGTATATTTCTTATAATGAAATCTGGCCACAGCTAAAACAATTTGAAATCGTTAAGGTGACAACCATCCAAATAGCAATAGGCAGTTAGCTACAGAGACTGGGTCAAAGATGGAAGATATGTTTAAGAAGAAAAAACTAATAAAAAATGATCATATATTGAGGAATATCGTGTATAGTCAATACTTTGTATATAGCTACCTATATATTAATAAATAAGTGCATCTAACAAACAATATGTTTGTAAAAAGAAAGGCATAGTCTGGATAGAAGAAAGGAATGATATATATATATAAAACTCTCCTAAATGGGCGAATAAACCTGATCAGATAAACAAATTAAAAACAATAGCACGATCAGAATATTTTTCCTTCGGTGTGTTTTTTTGTTGTACAAGAAGAAAATAAAACTTCAGTTGAACGACGATAGATCAGCGGACGTCCTGAAGTAAAACGGATGAAGTAATGGAATTAAATGGCCTGGATAAAAAGTGGGAGAAGAGTCGAGAGAGAAAAAAATATAGAGAGGGTAGAAAGAGATAGAGAGAGAGAGAGAGAGAGAGAGAGAGGGAGGGAGAGGTTGAAGGGGAAGATGTGAGAGAATGAGAGACAGAGACATCGAATGGCAAAGAAGTTTTTTTTTATTTTTTTTATTTCTTTGTAAACAATATTAAATTTTTTTTCCTTTACAAACATTGTTTGTCAATAATAACATAAAAAAACCAATTTTCCAACTTTTTACTATGGCAATATACTCTATATTAACAAGAACACCCTATGAATACTGTTCATTATCTTATTTCCTAAATTTTCTTTTAACCCATTGTACTTAACAGATGTACATTTAAAGAGTCCTTTTACTATTTAATTACCTTGATTTCATAAATTTTCCAAGTAAAATACAGCTATTTCCTAATTAAGTTCTTAATAAATTGACAGTGGTACACACCGAACAGCGTTTACTCTATTCAAATATTTACGGAGAAATGATGGAATTGCGCATGCGCATCACAGATATAAGAAACGTCTATGCGAGAGTAATTGCAGATTTCAAATTCCGTCGCGAACATAGTAATTTACCAAGACTTTTCTATAACAGGGAAGTTTCTTTTTTTCCTTATTTCTCTGTTTTTCTTCTTTTTTTTTATTATTATTGGATTTTACGTTAACTAAAAAACGAAATTTTCCATCATTCTTCACAAAAAGTCAATAGTGGAAAATATTTAAATAAAAAGGAATAGGATAAGAAAAGTATTGCATGGATGAGTGAAAAAAAAATTGCGATAAACGTCATCTAGCGGTAGATCGAGGCTTATCCATGTTTGCCTTCATAGGCCATTCGAAACACCGAGTTCTACAGGTTTGCTTTTATCTATAACTGCGTTTGTCCGTGCTCGTTCTAGCGGGAAATCGGACGGTTTCTTTTTTTTTTTTTTGGAATGTTTTCTCTTTTATTTGTATGTACTCAGTGTGTATTCGATTCTTTTTTTTATATATATACATCTAATATACTGTATATCTAGACTAGTAAAAAAAAAAACAACACTTAAAAAAAATAAGAACTTCGTTCTGTTATAAGTAATTTATTAAAACGAAAACAAAATAAAATACGATTAATATTAGTTAATTAATAAGTAATTGATAATTAATTATAATTAAATATATTTAAAAACTATAAATAATAAAAAGAAAAACGAACTGATCAAAAAACGGATGCAAATAAAATTATTTTTTTTTTTTAACTATTTAATCGTTTATTTATTTTATTTATTAGTTTTATAATAATTATAATTTTTTTTTAAAAAAAAAACAAAACTGGCAAAATTTTCTTTTTCTTTTTAATTTTAACTTAGTAATCGCTTGACGATCCGTGACAAGGACGTATCAAAAGTATTCTGAGCTTGATGGGAAATCTTTCAACGGTCGCATTGAGTCTATTCTTTTCAGTAAGAGTATAATAAGATATATTAATAATTTACAAAATCTAAAAAAGAAAAGAGACAAATGTTTGTATATATATATATATACATTTATATAGTTATAATCACAAATTGAAGAGTTAATTCCCTACTTGTTTGCTTTCTCTTAATATTGGCAATTTATTCGTGAATTTTTTTATTATTATGCAATATCTATTCATTCTTATATTTAAATTATATCTGATGAGCTTAAGGTATTTTTAAAGTGTTCTATTGCTATTCGTACGTTTTAGAATGATTGTGAGGTGGGCCGGAAGTTAGTTTATGGGGAAAAAATCAGTTTCAAGAATAGAATATTCCAATTTTTTCTCGCTCTTCCCTCATCTCTCTCTTTTACTCTCTCACTCACTTTCTCTCCTTCTCTCCTTCTGTCTCTCTCCCTCTCTCTCTCTCTTTTCTCTACACTGAGATGTTTAGAGTAAACAGCCCGTATAGAAGATGTCAAGTCGCAGTGAATAGGAAATGAGTAATTCTTACGTCTTTCGTATGGAGTTTATCAGAAAAATTTTTATCATAAGAAAAGGAGAAGATGAAGAAAAGGAGAAACGAGAAGTAACTGTAAATTTCTTTTAGAGATGTTTACTATTTTTTTATAAATGATACTCTAAAAAAAAACGTTAAAAACTAGCTAATTTAACAAGAAATATTCCAGTTTCTTCTGTTTATTTATCATTTATTTATCCATAGAGCACATGTTGTTTGTTAGAACCTGCTGCGAACCTATCTAAACATAAAACTATAGTTGCCGCCGGCCATCATATTTATTATCCCGTCAGACCTATCGTAATAAACAAAAACGACCTCAACGGCTTAAAGTATACTCGCTAAAAGTCATTCTTTGTAGAGGCGTTACCCTTCCTTTTCAAATTTATATTAAAGAATTTATCATGGGTCCTATCTCTTTTTTATGATACATTCTATGCAAATGCTTAGGAGTTAGGAGATAAGGTAAAAACTAACATTTATTAAGCAATATAAACAAGCAATATATCACGCTCTTTACTCGTATATACGACTTAAATATAGTTTTTAGTCACTTTCTCAACCATTGTAGACGCCTTGACGAGGGCAATGTCGGTAATAAAAGACTCGGTCGATGCTTATTTTTCCTATTCTTTATGCCGTACGATTCGTCTCCCCTCTCTATTTATACTTGTAAATGTGAACCCATAGCTTTTTATGAAAGAAACAAGGAAATATACATATAAAAGAAATTTTTTTTGTGACTTGTAATAAGTGATTTGGTCTGGTTATGAAAATAGTCCAAAAATTTCATTTTGTTCCTTTTTCCTTTCGATTTACCACTATCACCAGGGAATATTTTTTCTCTTCGTTATGTTACTATATACCTATATTTTTTTTATATTTTTCTCCTTCTATCCCCTCTCTCTCTCTCTCTCTCTCTCTCTCTCTATCTGTCTTTCCATCTCTCTCTTCTTCGCACCCTTATTTTTTATTATACAATATAGCTTTTCATAGAGCAGCATCCCTGGAAACTTTTAATAATCTAACTACAAAAAAGTAGTAGGGAGTTTTAATAACGCTTCCGTCTAATTGTAATTAGACGCGAGACCAAACAGGAAAAGTAAAAATGAAAGGACAAAAAAAAATTACGGGTTTATGTATGTGCTTTTTAAATATACGAGACATATATTTTCATCGTTAAAAATAAGGGGAGAGAGTGATTTATTCATGAAAATATGAATTATTGTCTATTTGCACATTTGATATAGAATGTTCAGTTGGTGCCTTATGAATATTGAAGAGTTTTGAAGAGATAATCTTATTTTTTATGGCTTATAGGATACACATGACGAACGAAACCGACTACGTCATCGTCTACGGAACACAGAATTTAGTTGAATTTTCGAAACGATACGCCAAATGGCATGGATGGGTCAGCTTGATAATCTGTAGCTTGGGTATAATTGGAAACGTTTTTAACATAATTGTACTAACTAGAAAGACTATGATAAGCACGACGAATTATCTACTTACCGCATTGGCTGTAAGTGATCTTTTCACGATGCTTAGTTACGTTCCATTCGCCTTACATTTCTACATAATCTTCGAACCTATGGTATCCCCAGAAAGAGATACGAAAACTTGGGGTAAATTCCTTGTATTTCACCTCAACTTTACGGTTACTACTCATACTACTGCAATTTGGTTGGGGGTTGTGCTAAGCGCCTTCCGTTACTCTTTTATAAGAGGTTCCAATCGTTTTAGTTCATGGTGGATCTTTGGTGTTTACGTTTGTTCCGTTATTATATTGATACCGATGTATTTATCGGTTAGATTAAAGGAAGAAACTTCAGGAAACAACAATTCAATATATGTTATTGCCGAACCTCCGCCAGACTCGTCTTATTCATTAATAGTAACACGTCTCAACTTTTGGATACACGCTATTTTAATAAAACTGTTACCTTGTATACTAATGTTGGTTTTCGGGCTGCTCTTGGTTTGGACTTTAAAAAGAACAGAGACCAAGAGCTTACAATTAAGGTAAGAAGAACTTAAATGGAAAACGTTTAGTGGGGTTTCTTAACAGGAAAAGTAGAAACAGGAAAAAAATTATATTTTTACTTCCACATTTATATAGTTTTAGTTTAAACAAAAAGCCTTTTAATAGGGCTTTATTGGGAATAGGGTTTCGTGACACTTGGATTATGTTCATATATAAAGTCTTATTTATATCATAAATGCAAATAGAATTTAAAGTTTGTGCTATAGTCTGTTTGTATATACTGCCTGAGGGCAGCATATACTTTTAAGTATATGAAATAGTTTATCGTTTTATTGTTTAATTTACTAAAAAATTATGCCATTTCCCTACAGGCGTCAAAGTCGAAGTGAAAACTTTAAAGTACGCATGCGTGAGCATGCAAGAACAACCAGAATGTTGGTTGTCGTTATAACGCTCTTCTTAATAACTGAACTACCGCAAGGATTTTTAACGTTATGTTCTGGTTCAATGAGAGGCTTTCATCGTGCCGTATATACGCCTTTAGGAGATATTATGGATTTGGTAGCTTTAGTTAATAATGCCATTAATTTTACTTGCTATTGCACGATGTCGAAGCAATTTAGGCAGACTTTCCTAAAGCTCTTTTGTCCTCAGTATAGGCAAACTGAAACTGCTACGGTACGTTTATATAAAGGGCAACCTGAAGAACACTTTGAGTTTTTTTATTCAATTGAGATAAGAGGCGCATTATTATATTTAGGTCGAAAAAACCATTTAGCTGTTCTTTATTTTCCTCCTTTCATCATCTTGTTTTATTTCTTATTTTTTTTCCAAAAAGCTTCAACTACTCACTTGTTTCTTTCTACGCATCCCTTTTCTCGCCTTTATAAAACAAATCCACGAATTCTTATTCTCATTATAAAATGATATAGCAATACGATATTTGTGACTTTTAAACAGTATACTCTGCTGTGAAAAGGAATCATATATTCATCTTCACTTTTTTCAATCCTCTTACTCAACAATTCTAATATTAAAGGTTGACTTGGCAATGTATATATATAAGTTTATATATATATGGATATAGATATTTATATATAGATATATCTTGACTTAAATAATCCTTTTAAAATAGTAACACTTGATTAATAATATATTCTAATTATAACAGGAGTATAGCGTTAGTCGTGCTCTTATTAGTAGAACGTTTGAACAAAGCCAAAGACGGAGATCGTCAGCAGTCAGCCACCAAACTCGACTCTCTTCCTTGGCCTCGTTATTCTGCCTTTCAGTGAATAATAATGAAGAAGATGGTGAAGTAGATCAGGGAGTGACAGAGGGAAACGAAGATGAATTAAAGATTCAAACAGTCGCCGTATAGGTTCAGATAACAGACTCTTTATGTGGGCGAAATATACATGCACACATAAAATAACATTGAACCAATCGTATAGTGTGTGTATGGTATAAACAATTTCATTGTATTTTAATAATGACCGTTTGGATTTCAAGCTGTATCTTACATATCAATAAAAGAGAATGTCCGTTCTTTTGTACACAGTATGTTAGTAGCGCTAGAGCTATATAAAGCTTGTTTTTGCATCGGCTGAGACTCTATATCGGCTCGTTAGTTGCAATTCTTAAGATATGGCGGAATCTGGTAAGTTTTTTTTTTTAATATAATAACACCCTAATTCTATATCGAATATTACAAGTATACTGTATGTAACGAATGCTTCAAAGGCTTTTTCAACCCTAGCATTAATCCTTTTAACTTATTCGTTGTTGATTTAAATCAATTGGGTCTTCAAAATTGTAGCAATCATTTTTCATATATATATATAAATTTGAAAACAATTCTAATTAATAAATATTCATTTTAGGTAGTTTGTCACTTTGCTAATAAAAGACAATTTGTAAATTATAAATCATTCCATTCATGTAGAAAATATACTACGTTTGGCAATTTGTAGTACATGTGCAATGTATATACATAGCTAGTATGTGTATCTATATAGATATTATTCTCTCTCTCTTTCTCTCTCTCTCTTAATTATTGTTTTTACAGAGGACCTTATCCAAAAACTGTTGAAAAAAAGTTTAGAGGCTAAAGATAATGCCTACTGTGAGTACAGTAACTTTCCTGTCGGAGCAGCTTTATTAACTAAAGAAGGGAAAATATTTATTGGTTCGTGTAAAATAATCATTTCAACTAGCCAAGTAAAGATTCTTGAAATATATGTTTTCTTTTTTTTTCAACCGATTTAGGTTGTAACGTTGAAAATGCTGTTCTTAATTGTGGAGTTTGCGCCGAAGTGACGGCAATTTCAAAAGCAGTATCCGAAGGTTTTAGAAATTTTCAAGCTATTCTTGTTACAAGGTGAGATGGTACGAAGCGGGTTATTAGAGGCCTTTTCTTACGTAACCCTATAAGGGGTGTCACTGACTTTCCAATTATAACTAATGCGTTATACAGCAATTTGGAAGATTACATTTCGCCATGCGGACAGTGCAGACAAGTTATGGCTGAGGTAAAGCAAAGGAATTTCCTAATTGTATTCCTTTTAAATTTTTTTGTTAAATATTTATTGTACCAACGAAAATTTTAGAGAGATAATAACAAATAACTATGCTGCCTTCCTTGACAGTTTAACACCGAAATTAGAGTCTATATGACGAATGGTAAGAGGGAAATTATGTGTAAACCTCTTAGAGAGCTTCTACCCCTCGGCATTGGTTCTGATCTACTTAGTAAAAATAAAACAGGATAAATATAACTAAAGTATTCATGGAACACTTGTAAGTTCAAACAACAACAAAAAAAACAAATAATCTCAAAATTAGACATTTCTAAATAAAAAAAAAACAGAATTACGTAATATACTAAATCAAAATCAAATAATTGTCATATTAGACATTGATGTTCTATTCTTAAATATATATATTATATATATAATAAAATTCTCTATCTATAAACCAATGTCAGTCGAAGTTCAAGTAGTGGAATATGTAACAATAATCACATGATTTGAGTGGTAAACTACAGCTGTTTAGTTTAAAGGTTAAATAAAAAAAAATAATACTTTGATGAAATGCTTTTTAGTAAATAAATCTAGTTAACGTTGATATATAAAATTACAATAAATCGTAACAAAAGAAGGAATTGAGTAAATATTTAATCTGATCAGACATACTATCTAGTTAAATGAAAAATTGAATAATACACAGTCATTTAAAGTTAAAAGGTAAGGTAATTTTTTTTATGTAAATATTCTGTATTTTTAAACGTTATAACCTTCCTAGAATTAAAAAAGAAACACTTTTATTGACAGTTTACAATTCGTAATGTCTGCCTGGGGAGTCTCTCTTCTTCTCCTTATCGAATAAGAGATTGGAAACCATCTTCTTTGCTTTAAACTCCCATGTTTCTTCCAGTGTGTGCACTTTAGGGGCTCGCTTGGGTGGTATGTCACCATTCAAAATCTTTTTCTCCGCTTGACTAACAATTTGTTTCTTTGGTTTTTGCTGACCTCTAGTATTGACTGGCTGATAAATCAAACTCTCAGCACATCTAAATCCAATATTTTCGCCTCTAAATGTTGGTTTTAACGGTTTCCTGGAGAATAGGTCATTTAATATGCTTATTGTTTTTCGAATATTTTTACTATTGGCTCAGAGTTTACTTACCTTGTAGCGCATCTCGCCTCATAATTAAAACGTCCATCACTAGAATCGACAAAAGAGCCACCGCGTATTACAAACTCAATATCGCTTTTGTTACGAGAGTTGATGTCTTCAACTATATCGCTGTATCGGTATTTTAACGAAAATTTTGTACTAGTCCACTCCCAAACGTTACCGACCATATCGTAAAGGCCAAAGTCATTTTGTTCAGGAAAGGCATCAACAGGAGATAAACCTTTGTATCCGTCTGCATTTTTATTTTCAATTGGGAAAGCACCCTTAAAAAATCAAATAATGAAACGCGTATGTAATTAGATTACGATTGTAGAGAAACGTTCTAGAGATTTAAATAGAACAGATAAAACCTACTTGCCAAACGTTCATACGTCTTCTACGAAAAGTTTCTCCCCATGGATATCTTGCACCTGGCGACAATTGAATTATATCACCATTCTTTTCTTTTTTTTTAACATCCGATTAATTAACAAACCACTAAGTTTTCCACGTGCTGCATACTCCCATTCATATTCGGTTGGTAAGCGTTTACCCATAGACGTACAATAGGCTTCAGCATCTCTTTTAGTAACATGGACAGCGGGATAGTTAAGAAATTCAGAGATGTTAGAGGCAGGACCCCAAGGCTGAATACAAGTTTAACAGTTATAGCGAAGTAGGCAATTCGCTTCGAACCGTAGGTTATTTACCTTTGACCAATTAGCTCCTTTAACAGGCACCCACCATCTTGCCTGTGGTAAAAGAAAGTCTTCAGCAACCACTGCTGGCTGCACAACATTATATAGAAAGACATAGCTGTAGCCTTCTTTTTCTGCAGTTGTTAAATATCTTTCCCTTTTTTCCTTAAACTGCCTAAAACATCGGAAGAGTAGAAGGAAAATATACAAAATGAAAGAATCAATTAAAACGTCCTTGAAAACATAAACCTTTTCCTCAATTTACTCACAAGAAATCTTTAATGGTCACTGGGTATTTGTCGATTCTGAATGGTTTCACAGAAATTAATCTAGTTGGGAATTCGCCATTTTTAGCTGACCGATCATTAATACCCATCTTAAATTCTCCCCCTTTCATATAGAGACCTTTATCAATCCGAGAATGAATTTTTACAGCTGTAAAAACAATAATGAAAGGATGATAATCCCAAACTATCTTTTATTTAATAAATGCATTATAAGCAAACTATTAGAGCTTTATAAGATAATCATTAATCTAAACTACTTACGTATTTTAGCAGCGAATGAAGATCCTCCTACTTTAAGATTTCTTTTTATTTCCTCCAGTCTTTCCATCCTTTCTAGTTCCTTTTTGGAATAATGTGGAGAGTCACCCCAACAATAAACATTTTGAATGTTCACACAAACGAAAAACAAAGTAAATATCTCTCTAAACATATTTGAATATATCTATTATATTTTAAAAGGAGTCAATAAGAAGAATAACTTATAGAGATAGTTTAGTTTAAATGTAGTCTTTGCCAATAATAACGAATAATTGTTGATATATATATATTTAAAGTATATCAGCGTGGACGACTGAATTTTCAATTTGACGCATATGCCGCAACGAACAGTTAAAACTGTCGCACGTGTTATTGATTGAGTCTACGTATACAAAAAAACGGGTACTTAGTCGATGAACAGGACAGATGATAACGTAATTATTGTAAAGAAATTCTCCTTGGAAATCTTATAATCAAATTTTAAGTTTGATCCACCTTTGTACCCTAATTCTTCGTTTTGCCCCTCTTCTAACATCCTTTATTGATAAAGTTTTGTCAATTCATTCCGTAAATTTCCATATGAATTTATACCTTTTTTTCAACTTTAAATCAGTTTTCAACGATGAAAGCCTAAGGCGAAAAAACTCAGCATCTGGATACCCAAATGATATTTCGTAATGTTTCTCGATTCTTTCAGCGAAGAGATTAGAATAAAATGGATTCCAATTTATCAGCGGGAATCCCTCTATTTGCTTTAATGTGTTTATCTCAATCGCTGTTACTAACCCAGGATAGGCCGTTATTGTTTCCCTAAGGGTTAATTAAAGATACAAAAAAATAGCTTTAGCTGTCTGAATGATTCAATTATAGTAAATACCTTTTTCCCTTAACGTAATAGTCAACATTGGCTGAAAAGTCAAGTATTTTGACATGGCTACAAGAATAAATAAAAGCGTCGTTATCCGGCAAAACGTGGGGGGAATGAAAAACAAAACATGACCAAGCGCCTAACTTTGATACAACTTCTACTCCACCATTCATTAAAAGTCCAGAATAATCTTTGTATTTCACTCCGTCACTTTCATCTAACTAGCATAAAGAGAGGATGACATTATCTTCACAGCGCTATGCTTATTATTAATACTTTGTATATCTTTCTTTACCTCGACGAAGAATATTTGATAAGTTTGCTGTTGTCTTTGTAAAAAATCATGCATATGTCGTAAGAAATCATTTAATATAGCTTTGTCATCATTAGTAATTGGTACAATAAGCGCAAGTGGAAGTAGAGTTGATCGACAATCCGGTTTATAAAATCCTCCCTCTTGTACTTCCGGAAACGATTTCTTCATAATCCTCGCTTCTAACGAATGATTCCAGATTGGTACCACTGAGCCATCTGCTTTCATCAATACAACAAACAAGAATGGATGCACTGTATAAACGTGAAGAAAAAACTAACAAGTACTCTCATCCTGACAAAGGGGACAAGAATCAGAGTATATTTTCTCCACTTTCATTTTGGCAAGTAGTAACCAATTATAGCAAACTAAACTGGGGTCTTGATAATTAACCGATGCATATATATGCATATTACCATTTCGAAAGAGATGGAGCAACAAAATTTGAATAATAAGATAGAGCAAGTAATAAAGAATAAGGAATTTTAAGCAAAGAATTACATAACGAAAACTACATTGCAACGTCATCCATAAGAAGGACAAACGGGATCGACGAGTCGTGACTACCGAAACGCCTCCCATTTCTAAATTAATCTTAAATAATAGAAAAGAAAAAAAATAAATAATTAAGGGGAAAAAAGTTGTTTATAGTAAAATAAAGAAAGTAATAAATCTTATAAATTACTATCAACACTTACCAATTGTTTTTATAAAAAAAAGAAAACAACCAGTAGATCATTCGACAAATTACCAATAAAATAAAAGTATATATGTTTTATGTTTATTTATATTTTTAAAAAAAAAAAGAAACACTCGTAACGTTGCTAAGTTGTTTGAATACGATGGTTGTTAGTTGGAAAAAGCTAGTGTAAGGTATTTTAATTGTATATGTCATAACATTGAATAATGATGTGGATCTAATAAATTTTCCATTTGTCTTTATTCAATATACTTATGTATATTACTATATGAAGTGTTGTTCTCCTAAAGATAATGCTTTTAAAATCAATAGAAATGAACAGATTAATTAGAATATATACATATATATATACTGTATAAATAATATAGTTAATAATTATTAGCTTATACTTATTTGATTCAAACAACAGATTCACCAAGCTCACCTGAAAAATGACAATATTTAAGTACAAAAAGTAAAAGGTTACTGGTAAATAAGCACAAAAAAGCAAGAATTACATTTGTTCGCTCTTTTGCCAGCAGACTAGTTTAACTTGAAATTTTTTCTCAGAAAAATCGTATAAAATATAGATCATCTTTTAAAAAAATATCATTTAAATAAATATATTGTACACTTTTATGTGTTAATATATACATATGTGTACAAATTGTCAATATAAAGACATAACTAATATTAAAGTAAGCGATTAAAAACAAGCAAAATCAATGGCATGTTTAATTTCGTTGTTCGTTTTCACATACATGATTCGACGTAATTCGAGGGAAAGAGTCCAGTAACTCCATTCATAACCCCTTCCCACCAATCGTCTTCGTTTTTCTTTAATACGTATATGATAGCACCCTCCGTAAAAGTTAATTCGTCTTCTTTACTACTTTCATAATCGTAGATGGCAACAACTGAAAAAAAGATGACTTTATAAAACGTTGATCAAAAGTAACATTTGAAAAAAAGCTAATGCTTTAGTGATTTATGAGAAAAAGTAAATTAATTAAGAAAAGATTATAAGATCCGAAGATAATTATTTCAAAAAACGGTTGGGTTTAAACATATTAATTTAAATCAAAGAAGTCTCTTGTTGAGGGACGTTGTTAAAATGAATTAATTACTCCTTTTTACAAGTGATTTATTCATTGAAAGGGAAAGACAATTATTTATATTAAATAAAGAAAGGAGAAACTTAAAAGAGAATTTTTAATCAAACTAAGTTAAATATTTTTTTAATGAGACTTTTACTAGCGATAAATAAAATTTCAAATATACCTTTTTCAATATAATTTTGAGGAATCCAACTCTGTTCCTCGCTACTTTGGTATTGTCCAGGCTGTCTCATTAAACCAGTTCCTGCTTGTCTTTGAACATTTGTAAAAGCGTCATAAACAGCATCAGGCTGTGCAAACATAGGCGGGGGAGCCAGTGACTGGTCGTAGGGAGGTGGTGGTATTTCCTCTGTAATGTCAAAATTTAGTAAAATTTAAAAGCATTCAAAATGGTAATTACGATCTGTTAAGAGTTAAAGGATTTAACATTTGCATAATCGTTAGCCAAAAGAAAAAAGATGGGGTAAATTTATGAATTTTATCTATACCAAATTCGATTAAATGTTAACCAGTTACACCAGTTTTAACATATAGATTTCGTATTTAAAAAAATAATTTCATATTAAATCAATTTTTGAAAGAATCAAAATTATTTTTTCCCTATCTTTTTTCCAAATATATGCTTGTCCCTTAACCACAAACACACAGAAAATTTGCAATTTTGATGCGAACTATATCAATCCTTAAAATGATTAAATAAAAAGATTGGTTGCTAATTCTGATTTGAATAGCGAAAGTCCCATGTACATTTGATAGCAAAAAAAAAATAATTAAAGGAATAGTAACACAGACCAGAGCTCAATCTGTTACGTAAAGCTGGTTGAACACTTCCGTAAATAGATTCTGGAGGCGGCGGGGGTAAAGATGGATCCACTGTTAATTAAAAGCATTTCAAACTTTAAACATTCCAAAGTATAGTGCTTTTTCAGAAAAAGTAGTAAATAATTTTAATAGAACATGCTATGTAAGGGAGGGAGATTCTACTCTCGTTTCCGTGCATTACTTTATAGTGCATTAAATCATTGCATGCCACTAAATAAATAAATTGAATAGCTAATCTACCATCATGCATAGGATGGGTTGAAATGGGAGGTGGTGGTGGAATATCGTTCTCGCCTTGATAACTTCCTCTATTGTTGAAATCGCTCTACAATTTATGAATGAGTTTATTACATAGAAAAGAATATTTTTGAAGGAGAATAATTTACCATTCGTGATCCTTGGAAATTTGCTGCGTGTGTTGGTGGAACTGTTGGAGCATTAACGGCAGGAACCATATGGCGATATTTCTCCCTATCCATTCGACCTTAGAAAATACCAAGATAAAAGGTTTTTTTCATTTCAATTTTAAATTACTTACCAACGGTCCCGTAAGGATTTTGTAGACTCCCATGACTTATTCTGTTTAACGGTGGAGTTCCTGGTGCTCCAGCCGATGAATTAGACCTTTTTGGTTTATTTTGATGAGCCGGCTAGTTAAATGTTGATAATTTATTTATTAGTTTTTATTTAAAATAATCATATTAAAACAACCTTATAAGAGTGCCCTATACCATCAAAGACATCAAATTTAATGGGTTGTCTTTGGTATTTTGGAGTTTTTTCCGACTGTTCTGGGAAGATGATTCCCGGCTGTCTAACTCCTGGCGGTCTAGATGTTGTTTTATTTGTAGTTAATAGGCCAATTTCTTTCCTAGCAACTTTCTCTTTATGAATCATAACAGTTTGGTTCAAGTGATTAACAGAACTTTCCATTGTTGAGAGTTTATCCGACTGTAAGTCCAACAGTTCTAAGAAGCTAGAAGCCAGGTTATTTATTTGATAAGCAACACTAGCTAAAGATTGAGTAGTGTAATTTTTGGTTGTTTCTAGTGCCGTAAATTTATCAGCATTCTGTACCAGGAAACAATTAAATTTTCGAAAATAAAAGTCTCGGCGAAATGAATTCATATAAGTAAAGTTTACTACTTACTTGATTATAATTGCTCATACAATATCGAGCAACATTTTCTAAATTAACATGGCTATCTTGTAATGACTTGCGATGTTCGGGGATATCTTTCTGTAAGAGAAGCTGTATTTTCCGATCAATTTCCGTATTTTCTGTGGTAGCAGCCATTTTGATTTATTAAGTGTCACGTGACCGTTCTAAGTATTAACTACTGTTAGTAGTACCCAAATCCGGGCACTTGACTTCGATTGTTGTTCTTGACAAAGTATTTATATAAAACTCTAAAAATATCGCAAATGGAGACGCATTGATATTATATGGTTAGTTACCTTAATAAATTATCTTTCGATTTGAATTAAAATCATAATGTATCATTTCTTTAAAGTAAATAAAATATTGTTAATTGTTATGTAGAGTAGTATCTAAAACTAGAACGGGTAGTTTTATACAAGTGTCATTAGAGATTCACAATGTGTAACTTTTCATTAATTGTTGAATAACAATGTTTACAACATCGTGGTAAATAAAAGTGACTAGTATTTTCTGTATATATAAGTTTTAACATTAGAAAATCAATGTTTTATTTTCATACTTGTGTGTATAATACATTTTTCAGGATAAATTTTTTTTTATGTATTTAAAAATATTAAAATCTGCTTTTAATCGAATATCAATTGTATTTAACTGTTTAGAGAAATTGATGATATAATCTTTCTAGACAAAAAAATTTTCCTTTTAGTCTTTTTATTGCTGGCTGCCAGAATTTAATGTTTTGAAGGTTATTTAAATAACATTCTTTGTAATGTGTTGTAACGAATACTGTAGTGTCTGTCTGTTAATACACACATGCTGTATATATTTAGAGATATAGATTGAGATCGTTTCTCATAGTTTGTTAAAATAGAACACTTTAACCTGAACAATCGATAGTATATCATAGGAGAGATAGAGGCCTATAAATTCACGTATAGATGATTAATCTTCATTTTACAAGGTTATGACATAACGCTTGTTGAAAGTCTACTTGTCTATCTAGATATGGCGGAGCACAGAACTTCTAATTCTAAACAGCTATCTGATCTGGATTTTCTCTTATCCACGGTAAATAAATGCATATCTCATCTCTAAATAATATTACAAATAAGAAAAATGATTACTAATGTGAAAGAAAATGAAATTGGGAACTTTTATACATTAAAATAAATAGCTCTTCATTCTAACATGATAATTGATTTTCTAGACAAAATAATAAAGGTTTTAAGCTTCAAAAGTTACGCTTGTTTTGAATGTCTTGATTGCTTTTGTTTTTTTTTTTTACATATAAATTGAGAATGTACAATATAACTGTATCTATGTATACTAAATAAAGCTATTTAAATTGAGGAAAAGGTGAAAAACAAACACATTTTCTATATAACTTCTCATTTCAGACAATGACTGATACAAGTTACCACGAAGGAGTTATTGATCAAACAGGTACACTCTTCTTTTTACAGATAGATTTAAATATATATATATACAAGAATTATTTTTTACTTGATTGTTGGTATAAGCAAAAATTCTTTGAATAATCTATAAATATCTTTAACCGAGGGATTAGTTTTATTGATCTATAAGAGTAGAAGAAATGCAACAAGTCTGAAAAGAGCTTACTTTCTTCTATTATCTTTATCATTAAAGGTTTCACTTATGGTGTTTAATCATATATTTATTCCATCTTTTTCTTTCTTTTAGCATTATCTGCGTTGGACAGTGTGCAGATGAATGTAGATCTAAACCCAGCAAATTTATCATCATCAAATAGATGTTATTCAAGAACTAGTTCTACTGGAAGTGTTCACTTTTCGTGTTCTTCAGCATCGAGCGCTCAAAATTCTGGTATCTAATCTAACCTCTATTCAAATTAAATTTACTTTGACTTTGACTTTTGATCTGTGATCTAGTAAAAATAGTAATGTCGAAATATTTAATCACTAGAACGTTTAGTTTAATATTCTGATCAAATGAAAAAGACATTTTCTTATAAATTCTTCTCCATAAAAAGATGACGAAGACAGTGATGGTCGACCTCAGTCTTTTCGAGATCGGCGAAGAGAAGCTCACACACAAGCTGAGCAAAAAAGAAGAGACGCAATTAAGAAAGGATATGATGATTTAGCAAGTCTGGTACCGAAGTGTCAAAGTGCTGATCCTGTAGGGGGACAAAAATTAAGTAAAGCTGCAATTCTTCAGAGGTGTAAGTTATCAAAATTAAATTATAATTGAATGTTGAAATAATACGTGACAAAAATATGTCTAAACAGCAATCGAGTATATAACGTATTTGCAAAAGGAGAAGTCAAAACAAACAGATGACTTAGAAAGTTTGAAAAAGGAGGTTGTAGCTTTAAAAATAATGAAAGCGTAAGCTATCTGATTAAATAATTTATTCTATGGGAAGGTCTGAAATTAACTGAAAATCTTGTTTCTTGTTTTAGCAATTACGAGCATATAGTAAAATCTTACAAAAATACCCCCGAAGCTGGTCAGAATCAAGTATCAGATGAAGTTAAATTTCAAGTGGTTAGTAAAATCATAGTTTATATGAAATATTATAAAATTTAGGCTTAAATTAATTAAGATGTATAGTTAAATTAAAAATTGAAAAAAAAAAAGCATTGTGTTCTTAACCTGGAAAATAGTTTCAGGAAATTATGGACAACCTGTTTACGAGTTTCAATGCATCAATATCCGTAGCAAATTTTGCTGAATTATCCGCTTGCGTCTTCACATGGCTTGAAGAGCACTGTAAACCACAGCTATTGAGAGAATTAACCTTGAAAATTTTGCAACGATTTAATGCAAATTTCGGATAATAATTTCAAACTTTATACATTAGTAAGTACATTGTAGGTAGTGTTCGGGTGTTGTGTCACGTTCTTGAATGGTTTTTTTTTTCCAAGCAAAATTTACACTATAGAATCTATTATTTTATGAATACATATATTTGAATACATAAATGCATAGCCCAAGAATGAAGTGGTACCGTTCACAAGGGCAAATCTAATCGTTCCGTCCAGCGGTTAGATAATTTTCATACCATATGCTTTTTTTTTTAAATTCACACAAGTCAACTACTCTGTCAGTTAAACTGATGTGTGGTACAAAACTCCTTCAAAGGTTTTTTCAACAAAAAAATCTAGCCGGATATATTTATGAAATAATATAAATTACTCTAATATCAAAACTTCCCACAATTTTCATGTATGACAGCGTTTTTCTTTTCTTGTTAATATTTTATTATTTGAACTATACCTTAAAAGTTTTCTACAAGTGGAGAATTATCTAAATTCTTTACAATCGTTGAAAGCAACATCCCGTCCTATATAGTCATCTTCCTTTACCAAGCTGTGGATATCTCATTGCTAATCTCGAGTTTTGTCAATGAAAACTATTATAAAGAAAATAATTATAATAAATCAGTAAATATGTTAATAATGGCCAAATTTTAACTTGGCTGTCATCAATTTATTAAACTAGTTACCGCCAAAAACCTATTTCGACTGTGGATGAATTTGATGAAGAGAAATACTCGTTAGTTTATCATTTGATAGAAACGAAAGAAAAATATGGATCCAGATACTTAAAACACATGGCTGAAAGTATTCCAATGAATTCTCTGATCTTTCAATAATGGAGAAGCGTTTTTTTCGACCTTTCATTGCAAGTTACATATCAATGATTAAACTCGTATGAAATCGAATGCATATCAGATTTATATAGAATTATTGTGAAGGAAGTTGACGCAAAAAGGTCCATGGAAATTTCATAATAGACCGAAAAAATTGTGTGCAACTTCTATGAGCTTTCTGCTTTTCGTTTGTGTGAGAGATAAAGGAAAAGAGGAATGGAAAAAAGTATAAAGTAATGGAGAAAAAAGCTAGTGATACACTTGCACAATCGTACCATATACCTAGTAATATAATACTCTAAATTCTCTATGGTAACGGATTAATTTTCGTTTTATCATTCTAATAAAATATTGCATTTATCCTCCACCTCTCACCTTTCATGTCGATATCACTTAAAGGCAAGAAATACATTTTGTAGGAATGTTTCATGTGGAAGTCGATTGCAGTTTTTTTATAAGCTTCACTAAATTCCTAAAATTTCCAGGTGATCATTTTCTTCAATTCTATTTGAAATATAGAATAAATGGATATAGAGTCGAGCAGAGAGGCAAGATATCAACTTTAAGTGAAGAAGATCCGCTTTTGTAAAGGCAGAGTGTTTTGAAGTTGCTTGTTTAAAGATGAAGATTAAATAATTTATTGGTTTGTCATCTGTGTACGTCATTTAAGTTTGGGGTTTAATGATTATACTCTATAATAATTTTTTCTCATTAGGATGAATATAAAACTTGGAATAAGAAAAGGACAACTTTCGAGGATGTTACTTCTTTAAATTTTTGTAGGTCATTTATAAATTTTGTACATTTTTGATAATTTGCTCTATTTATTGGCTATAGTTGGAAGTAATTGAATGAATAAAGTTAATGTTAAATACTCTCAATTCTGTATTTAATTGATGAAATAATTATTTAAGCGTACAAATAAAATTATTATGATTTTTATTAAATTATATATAATTGATTATTAATATTGTGATTAAAATAAGATATCCCACTTTCTGAAGATTGGCCTATCTTAATAAGTAAAAATAAAGCTTTGAAAGAATTCCACAACGATAATTACAAAAACCTGAGTAGCAAGCATTTTCGTATTTAAAATTTGCATTCGAAATATAATTTTTTACATAGAATACACTAAAATTTCTGTTTTCTTAATTACTGAACAGTTTAGCTATTTTACGAAAATAGCTGTACCCTAAAGATTGCGCGGGTATTAGGAAACAATCAAGATCTGTGAGTGTTTTCCATAAAATTAAAGTATGGGAATACACGGATTATCGAAATTGATTGCTGATCATGCTCCTGGTGCAGTGAAGGAAAATGAAATCAAGAACTTTTTTGGTAGAGTATATATTTTAGAATGGTTGAGCGATAATATAGCATTTACGCTTTTTCAGGCAGAAAAGTGGCCATTGATGCCTCTATGTCAATTTATCAATTTTTAATTGCTGTAAGACAAGAAGGCAATGTTCTCACAAATGCAGATGGTGAAACTACAAGGTGAATTAATTGAGTTTCCTATAATATTTAATAAATTTTTCAATAATTATTGTTTCTTTCTAACTGTATTGTAATAAATTATTTAAAAAACTAGCCACCTTATGGGAATGTTTTATCGAACTATTCGTATGGTTGAAAATGGTATAAAACCTGTTTACGTTTTCGATGGAAAACCGCCAGATATGAAATCAGGCGAACTATCAAAGAGGAGCGAAAGACGGGAGGAAGCTAAAAAGGCATTAGATAAAGCAGTTGAAACAGGAGATCAAGAGAATGTTGAAAAGTTTGGAAAAAGATTAGTTAAAGTAACGTCACAGCATAATGATGAATGCAAAAAATTATTAACTTTGATGGGAATCCCTTATGTCAATGTATTTACTAGCTACATGAAAGTAATTTTCACATAGTAATTCACAATCTCTTAATAGGCTCCTTGCGAAGCTGAAGCTCAATGTGCAGCCTTAGTAAAATCTGGAAAGGTATACGCTACGGGAACAGAAGATATGGATGCACTTACTTTCGGATCAAATGTTGTATTACGTCATTTGACATTTAGCGAAGCAAGGTAAATCACCTATGACAAAAAAGATATAAAATGTTCTAAATGAATATATTATATTTGAAAAACCAATAGAAAAGTACCTATAAAAGAATACAATTTGGATGTTCTACTTGATGGATTGGGGCTTTCCCAAGACGAAGTAAATCTAAACATTAGCTTACTATAATAATAAGACTAATATTTTATAAACTATAGTTTATCGATCTTTGCATTTTACTTGGATGCGATTATTGCGATTCAATAAGAGGAGTTGGACCCAAAAGAGCTATAGAACTGATAAAGCAGCACAGGAATATTGAAACTATTTTAAAACACCTTGACTCAAAGGTTAGTGCAAGGCAATAATAAATACAAAGGAAAGACTATATAAAACATTTTTCAAAGAAATATACAATACCGGAAGATTGGATGTTTAAAGAGGCTCGAAAACTATTTCAAACTCCGGAAGTTACACATGGCGATGATTTAGAGGTAAGCAAAAAAAACGAAAAACTGGGAATAATATTTCAAATAAGAGTTTTAAAAGAATCTTGTGCTAACGCCATCTAAAGTATGATTTTATCTCTATCCTCTTACTTTTTGCACTCAGCTAGCCGATAGCGTTATTCGTTAAGAGTTGATTCAATCAAGGTTATTTAATAAAGTAAACTAAAATTCACAATAATTCGCATTTATCGACATAGATAAATCTTCTCTTATAGAAGACTAAGTTTATAATAATTTTATAGGCTACGAAAATATGAATATAAAGATTTTCGTATTAAAGGAAGACAACTCTTGTTCTTATTTTTGGGTACGACTTATAAATTGTAGCTTGAAGGCTTTGATGTTGATATTTTAATACTTTTATAAAGCACTCTTATAATTACAGTTGAAATGGACCGACCCTGATGAAGATAGTCTTGTAAAATTTATGGTTGAAGAAAAGGCTTTTAAGTAAGAGCAAAAATGCATTCATTATATATATTTATCGTAAAAGTACAAAAATTAATTTTTGCAGCGAGGAGAGAATACGAAATGGAGCTAAGAAACTATCGAAAGCACGACACGGTTCTACCCAGGGTAGACTAGATAGTTTTTTTAAAGTGACATCCGTTTCGTCAACGAAAAGAAAAGATCCGGAGCAAAAAGGAAACGATAAGAAGAAAATGAAGGGTAGAGGAGGCTTCAAAAGAGCTAAATAGAGCTTTAGCTGTTTTACCAGTATATCCTGTGTAGTTATTAAGAAAAAGTTTTATGTTCTTATCCTTATGATTATCAATATTATTACGTTTAAAATATATTGACAAAGTCTAAATATAAATATGTAAAGTTATATTTTTAAAGGGTTATGTTTTTTAGTGTTTTTTTCCTACCTTATTTATCTATTTATACAAGCTTTTTAAGATAATATTTTACAATTTACATTAATTGCAGAAATATGTCAAATTTTACGATTATAGATATAAGTGCGTATAAACAAGATTTCCATTAGGAAATAGATAGTTTCTATATTTTATAACTGTGAAAAATAGCAGATTTATTTCTTTTTTTTTTTTCATTCTAATTTCATTATTGCTATTAATAACTATCAATAAGACTATTTCAACTACTTAGTCCTACTTAAGTATTTATGGATTTAAAAAAAAGAAAACTTTAATAGTTATATACAGTGTACGCGTATTTAGTAAAGTTGTACGTGCGTATCATTTTATTTTGTAAGAACAAATGATTGCCATATAACTATGGTTAGGATATTGTCATATTTTTCTTTTTTGACTGTTGCCTAGCTATATAGATTACTTCTGAAAAAGAGAAAAAAAGTTACTCAGATTACAGACGAGTTACACATTTTTCTAGGTAAATAAGCGAAATACTTTAATGAGAAATCAGGTAGAGACTATATAAATAGTTAATTGGATTGCCATTACCTGTTTAACAAGCTTCCATATTTTATAGGGAAATGGTATCTTATGAGGTCGCTGATAAATGAGATGCTATATGATTGATCAATATAAAAGCTTTTACAATACCTTATCCTTACTTGTGTACTATCGTTCGAAGCACTGTAGACGGTTACCTATTACTACCTAGTTCTTTATTTCATTAAGTATCAACGTAACTATCTAAATATTTCTATTTAATAGCTACCCTACTTTACTTATCTGCTATGGTGTCTTCGCATGATCTACATTCGACATTGTACTCGCTGTCCTCCCTTTTTTTTGATTCTGTCTATCTGTCTCTCTTTATGTCTTTTTCTATTCCCTCATAAAAAACTGTATACTGTAATTACATATATATATATATATATATATATATATTAATATATATACAAGCTTTTTAATATATATATATATATATATATATATATATTTACAATCTTTCTATTTTCCCTTTATCTAAACATATATTCAGTTAATTTTTTTTTCTTTTCAGCATCATCCAGCTTTCTTATTAAACCTCTTGTTTGATCTATTACATATATATATATATACATTTCTTTATTTGGTGTTGAGAAAGAAAACGACTATAAGGGAATGTCTATAAGATCAGTTAGAAGATTTGTTGGTATAATTATACATGTAGATTACTGGTAAGTAACCTATGTTATATATATTTTAATAGTGTATTTTAAACAATCTTTAAAAGTGAATTAAATACACTGTATGAATGTTATTTTAAGGATGACAAGTTATCAAATTAAGACGTTAGACATAAAGCAAATTTAATGACATCCCCTGTCAGGTTGCAGTGTAAATTAAGACTTTCCTTTTGTTTTTTAGTGTAGTTCTTAATATATCAGTTCTAATTATTAAGTTATATTTGCAATTTATTATTAACTTGTAATATGATATCACAGTAGGGGAGAGAGAAAAACAAAGATTATACATATTAATTTTTCAGCTACGCTTGACCATCTTATGGAACAAGATTTTCCGAATTAAAAATTATGCTTGTGGATAAATTCCCGGGAATACACGTTAAGCACTCTTTTGGCTCCTCTCAAGACACTTTTGAAGTGTTTGTTAACGGCAATCTCATTTACTCTAATGTGCATAAAGAACAAAAGGGTTTACCAGAAATCGAAGAGGTTCACCAAAAACATAAAATATAAAATAGCAAAATTTTAATTAACTCTGTTTTTATTTTATTAATTTAAATAGATTATTGACATTGTAGAAGAGGAGATTCGAAGATTAACAGTTCAATCAACTGGTAGAAGAAGGAGTAGTGCTTGCTTTATTCTCTAACAGAAGGAAGCAAAGGAATATGAGATAAGGTGTGTTGCTTTTGAAATTATGACGGTCGGGATGGAAATTCTGAACAGAGGCGTCACGACCTGACGTCACTTCAGCAGCCTATCTTATCACTAATATTTATTTGGCAATTATCCAAACTGGAGCCTTTCAACTGATTACTATATGAGAGAGCAGGGAAAAAGGATAGTGTGTAATCCCTTCTCTTCTAGTTATACATGCTTTATGTGAGTGAGATGTGTATGCTTTATTTGGAGTAGTGCCTAATAATTCTTCTTTTTTGGTTATAATCACGCAGAAATGTTTCCAAGAACGCGAAACAATATTCTAACTAAATGTCTTAATCGCCTTTTAAGTAAAAAATACAGAATTTCCCTGCAATTTATCAGTTATTTCTCTTTTTTGCTTAGAAAATGTCAATAAAAGTATTCTTTTAGATAAACCATTTATAAGTTTTACGAAAAGGTGACAAGAGGAAAATCAATATGGACTAGTTTTTAACCTCACTAATTAAAAGAATACCTATTAAGCAAATCAAATAGCATCTAGGGAAATATAGAAACAATATTACAAGTTCAACATTCAATTTTAAATAAAAAATTAAACGCCGACCGTAACTATAGAATTCGATTAAGCGTATCTTTATCATATACACAGCAGGTTGTACTAATATATTATTATCATTTTATGTTCTATAATATACTACTACAAGTTATCAAACACCTTTCTCTGAAAGAAAGAAGAAATCAGGATTTTTTTATCATTTGTCTTTTATAGCGAAGTATGCATTTTCTTTAGTTTATCTCTTCAAGAAAAAATTAAAGGAATAGTAGAACAAAAATAAAACACAAACTTAAGTTTAAACATCTTTTTCATAGGGAACAAAAAACAACTTTTTAGATGTGTTAGCGAGATTTTTTGGAGGAGAAAACAGAATAAAAATAGCATAAAACTTTCTAATGAGAAGGAAGGTAGGGTAGGGGTGAGGAGGAGCACTTCATTGGAACGATAAATTATTCAAGTTGATTATGATTAATAGAATGACTTACGCACATTTACAAATATCTATGTGTAGTAATTTGTAAGGCTAATACATAAATAAGCCGCTTTTAATAATCATGATACAAATGATGAATATAATAGGATTAATAAATCCTCTCCGCTGGAGTTTTATAAATAAAGATATATTTTTTGAGATTGTTTTCAGCTTGTTTCAGCTCCTGATGCTGAAGTATAAGTCGTTGATAGAGCTGCCGTTCGTTCGAAATCTATGGTCGCGTAGCCTTCAGTCAATTGATTAGAACCACAACTTTTTGGTGAGGCTGGCGTTGATGGCTGGGTCGCTTCTGGCGTATTGTTCAAGTCAAGTTCGATATATTGAAGAGCAGTTGTCGATATCGGTGCAGGGGTTGAAACATTTGTATAAGTCGTTCTACTGGCTGGCACACTAGTATTGACGTTGACGTATTGTCCCCTTTCGTCCTCTGATAATTGAGAATATGATACTCTGCCACTTTCCGTTGTTGCGGTCATCGTATTCACATAATTGTGGGCTGTCGTGCCTCCTCCATCTTCACCATTTCTATCAATGTCATGCTCATCCAGACCACCGTTTCGTAGTTCAACAGCTGCACCCGCTAAACCATCAGAGTTTATAGATTCTTGCACTAAATTAAAGAGACGCTCCGCTTCTTTACATTTAAATGCGTAAATTCCAGCTCCAGTAGGTGACCTCCGTCCACATTCGAAAGAAAACATATTCGATTGATAGCCATATCTTCTTAAGCACCTTAGAGGCCAGTTCATTTTTTCTCTATGTTTCTGATGTAGAACCAATTCATCGCCAGTTACTTCGAAACGTCCTTTATGTTTTAAAGTTCCATCTTGATCCAGATTGTAAACCTTAAATAAGCTATCAGAAGCACCCGGTTTGCCGTTGCTGCAGCCCATCTGTATGCAAAAAAGCGAACACCCGCCTTTATTTAATTAATGCAACTCTGCATACGCCAGTAGCTATCATTCGGCCATGCAATACCGGATTGCAAGAATTATACTACATGTTATATATGCAAAATCTATACGTTGATAAGAATAGCTAAAATCATGAATATATATATATATATATATTTAAAAGCATGCTTTTTTAGACTGTAGGTAGACGGACAATATGTTTAATTAAATACCTTATATTTCAATAAAATACAACTATTTCTAGGTATTATCTGCTTATATATGCATATATCAAACCACAAAATATAAAACTATTCATATGTATTGCGCTACTGTTTATATTTAGTTATATAAATATGAGTTTCTATACAAATGAGTCCTGTGCTAAGTCTTATTACTTCTGATAATAACTTCTATTGGCGACACGTCATTAGTATTTTACCTTTCAAAAGTTATATTTGTTAATTTTGATAGAGAATGTTATGGAAAAAGTAGTCTAGAAAATACAACATCATTCTAAAAGTAGTCGAATAACCTCGTTAAGCTACGAAAAGCAGCAGACTGCTGTGCCATTTACTATATCTCTTTTTTTCCTATTCATCCAACATTTAGATACCCTAGCAAGAGAGTAGGCGTTTCGCATACATTTTATCTTTAATACTATCTCTCAGGCAGCTTTTACAGTTTTATACAATAGATGAGAATAATTGTAAAGGAAAAACATCTTCGGCAGACGTGACTGACAGAATGAGAGTAAAAAAATCACGAAGTCATCAATTTCCATGATGCTTATCGGTTGTATTTGTTAGAGTAGATCCGTTGGAATGCTTTACTAGATGCTATTTTAAGAAACTATAAGTTAAACTTACGATTTTCCAATCGAAAATCAAATTTGCAGCGTTAGAAGCGCCATGTTGTGTGACCTCTGACCTGTCTCGTTTTCGATTTCACAGAATCAGCGCCACCTACCGCCTATCTTACTAACAAATATATATGTATAGTGTTGAAAGTGCCAAAACTGTTTGATAAAATAGCTATAAAAAGTCTTTAGTACTTAAAGTAAAGAAATATAAAAAGAGAAAGATCAAGTAAAAGTAAATGAAAAGAGATGTAAAAATATATAAAAAAATTACAATGTTAACAACCGAATATAGCATAAAAGAAAACTTATAAATATTTTACGATTTCTTTAATTCAATAATTCATATCGACTTTTCATAGAGAATATTAAAGCAATAATCCCATGAATTGGTAAGAATGTAAAGAATAGAAAAGTTTTAATAAATAAAAATTCTATAATTTAACAATTAGAAATATTTGAAAAAGTCAGAACTAAAAGAGGAAAAGCAAACGATTAGTGACGATTTTTTAAGTAGAATAATAAATTAGTGTATATAAATATAATTGTATTGCAAACAAAATGCTTTATTCTTTATAATTGCTAGGCAAAATCATCATTTTTTACTATTAATATTACATAAATAGATATGTATAAACCTTTTATTTATAGATACTTTACATGTATGATACATTTTATATATTTGCTTTCTTTTGTTATTTAAAAAGGAATGTGACATTTACATATTAAAAACAAGAAAATAGACTAGCTACATTTAATGCGAATAAATTGAATGATAAGAATACTTTGCGAGATTAATCTCTACCACTTCCTCTTTTCTTTCCAAGAGGCCTATGAATACAACGTACACTCCAGTCTAAGTATTTCTTAATGTTTCATGTCATTCCCTCACTACCTAGATATAGTAATATCTTTGAAAACCGGCACATAGAGGGCTGATATATATATGAGTATAAGTATCTCGTATCTTCTTAAGAATAATAGCGAATAGATAGATAAAAAGCTATTTAATTAGTTTTGTTATGCCTCTTACTAAAAGGTGAATATAGTGAACGCTCTCTTTTTATCTATTTAAAAATGAATTAAAAAGTTTTATTTGCTATTTTTCATTGATTCTTTTATTACTGATCAACATATGTGTGTGTTTTTATGTACAATATATATATATATTCATTACTTTGTTGAAGCTAAAGAAGAATTATACGATAAAATTTGCAATAGTTCCAAGAAGCTGTAATTGCTAATTTCAATCTATAAAACGTTAGTTCTTCTTTGGTATGTTACGCCATCTGAAATAGATTTTTTATAGAAGCTAGAAACAATACCTTAGTAAATAGCGTTTAAATTAATATTAATAATATTGTATAGGTTTATTTTGAAAAAGCTGTGTGTTCTTGTTATATTCAATCTTATTTGCATTGTAATCTTAGTAATTAGAAAAGTTTTTAAAGCAGAATTTAATGACGATATTCTTATTTTTATATGACAGAAACGAAAATAAATAATAATAACTAATAAGAAAGAATAATAAAACCAAATAAATAAAAAAATATTGTCCATATTACATAAATATAACATGATAGAGCAGTATCTGTTTTACAATGTATATATATATATATATATATTTATTTATATATATATATTAATAAACAATATTAAATTAAAAAATTTAAAATTTAAATAGTTAACAGTATTTCTTTCACAAGCCGAAAATTTAGACATAAAATATGCAATTAATCAGCTTAGTGATACGAACTACAAAATAATCAATAAGTGTAATACGGTTGTACTAAAATTAGGTCTGCATTAAATATAGAAATAATTAATAATTTTTGAATAGGTTGAGTGAGAGGTTACAAATTAAGAAAAAAACAGATACAGAGAAAGAGATAATAATTTACCTCAGATGATAATAGTAGCTTTGTCGGACAAGTCCTAGATGTTTCTAATTTTCTGTGTCTCTTTTTCCTTTCTATTTCTAACTTTCTTTTTGTTAAGTATCGCCAAATAAAAACTATAACTAATTGCATTGAAAATTATATGCATTGTTTGTTGCCAAGACTCAATCATATAGATTAGTTATGAAATAAAACAAATATCTCTTTTTCACATGCATTGGGTATTTTAGCAATATGCTACCTTTATGCACCATTCTATGCTTACAAACTTAAACATAAAGAGTGTACATATACTGTACACTGTATATAGCATATATATGTAATAATATATACATATATATATATATATATATATATATATATATATATATATAGTTTTACTTTCAATTACAATCTCAGCATACATTTTGCAGAGAGGTAAAACCTTTAAATGACAAAGTGTGCTGACGAATAAAGTTACCGATAAATCCTAATATTTAAATAGGTAGAGAAAGAGGTAAACATGGGAGTATTTAAAATCCTTGTCTTATCAGCATCATGGTTTTTTTTATATCAGAATACTGAAGAATATGGACCCTACTTAAGGATAAACGAAAATTCAAAGCATATATATACTGTATATATATATATATATATATATAAAAATGCATTTTCCATTATATGTGCATTTATATCATATAATGTGAAGCTATAGGTTTAAAATATCCTAATTTTTTTTTACTGCCAAACAAGAAACAAAATAATTCTAAATTCTTAATTTAGAAAATTTCATTATCAGCAATATTCGAGTTTATATAAAATTATTAATAATTTAAATAATATATCTTAGAGGGGTTTCTCTAATGTTTTTACTCTCTGCTAATAAAAGCTGAGTTTATAATGTGTGCCACAGGTTTTCAAATGGCTAAGAGTTCTTATCAATGCTCTTGTCATGGAGCATGAATCGTATTCAATATCGTATTTTTCGCAGACCTTTCTCACGTATTTAGATGCCTCTCTCAAGTGACGTCTTCCCAAAAGAGGGTAGAGATGATGTTCAATATGATAGTTTAATCCACCATAATACCAATCCAACCAAGTTGGACTATCAATATTCATATTAGATCCTATTTGAAATCTATACCATGAATCTTTATGAAACTCACTAACTTCATTGAATTCTTTGCAATAGTGAGACAATATTAATTGAAAGTGGAATACACCTTCAACGCTAGCTGCAATACAATAGAAAAAAATTCTTTCCTTCCAGTTAGGCAAAAGGGACAACATTAGTATCATCCAACACCAATGTCCGACTATAGCAATCCATTCATACCATCTTCTCTCAACACGGTAACTATCAAATATAATTTCTGCTCTACCGATAAAGGTAACCATAGGGATAAAAGTAAAATGTTGAATTTTAACCAAACACCATTGAAGGAGACCACCAAACAGTGGATATAGCTTTTCATTTTGAGCCCACACGCTCTCCCACATTTGGGGATCAGCAAATCGGCGTTCAGAGTCGACAGTGTTGGTCATCATGTGATGAACAATGTGTTCATCTCTCCACCAATGAGCCGAAAAGCCAAAATTAAATGTTCCTAGGATTAATCCAGCAAAACGATCTCTAAATCCGTTTCGAAAGACGGTCGTATGCATGCATTCGTGCATGAGAAAGCCAGTTTGTTGCCAAAAAAAAGCAAGTACAACTCCAGCCGCCATATGGGCATAAAAATTCTCACTCAGTAATAATGTCCCCCATACAATTGTCCACAGAGAATAAACAAAGAGTAGCTTACCAGCATAGAACGTCCACGATGTTTCAAACCAACCTTTTGATTTAAAAAGATTAAGTAGTTCTACGAATTCCTTATCGGCTGGGTGTCTCTCTTTCATTTGATAGGTTCCAACTGGACGCCATCTTTTCAAAACCCCTTTATGTCCATTAGACAGAAAGACGTCTGTGGCATCCTTACCAACAAATTCTTCAATTATTGGTCCACCTGGATGTATCTTTATAAAGTTGGTCACATCGTACCAATTGCCATTCACGCCCACTAATTTCTTTCCCGATTTCAGCAGGTCGTCCGATTCAGTTACAAGTTGACTAGTATCTCTAGAGCGAAGTTCGGTCGGTGGCATAATATCAGTTTTCAATGTTCCTATAAATAATATAAGTAAAGACTCTTGAAAAGTTTTTTCAACAACTAACGTCTAGTAATTTGATGATTCGAATAATGAACTGATCCACTTTTCTCTTACACTCCTTTATTCAATAATCAAGTTAGGCCTAAGCAAATATCGGAATACAAACACTCTCTAGCATATAACAACGACAGGAAAATAATACTAATATTTTAGAAAATATAATTCAATGAAGATATAAATAAGACATTGATAATAATCATCTTTCATTTCTATCTTTGATAAGGATTAGCAAGTAATTACTATATGCTAGCTGAATAGAAATAGTGATTAAAGCCTATACATTATCATTCGTGGTAAGCTTTTACGGTAAAAGAATCGATGTTTAAGGCTTAAAACAGGAAGACGATTATGACGAAACTAGATATTTTTAGTATATATAAACTTCTCCTTAAAAAAGCAGAACACTTGGCTGGTTTAAAATATGTATATATATAATATACAGTCCCGCCAAAAAATTTATAGACATTTATAGAACCAAATTTAAAGATAAAATTCATTTAAAAAATAAATGTCTTATCCTTCATTCTAAACAAAAAAATATAATTAAGCAAGTCCTGTTACTTAAATATTTCACGTTTTTCATTTCAAGAACAACCCTGCCATAGATTTTTTGGCGGGGACTGTATATATAAAGTATACATAAATTAGACGTACCTGATATTAGTATTATTAAAAACTTATACCTGTTAAAATACGTATTTCTGTATGTAGTAAGTAAAGTGTTAAAGCTTCTACTTTCTATTGATCTGTAAGTTTTTTTTTTCGTCAGATTCATCAAATTGATTTTATACCGTACATTGTTCTAAAATCTATTGTATGCTATAGAACAAGAGAAAATGAATAGATGAAGAATTCTCATACAAATTTATCTATATAAAACTTTACATAAGTGTTATACATGTAAATGAAATTTTTAAGTGTATTTTGTAAGACTTAATCGTATATATAATTTAGAAATACAAGGAAAATGTAAATTGACAGAATACATAGACAACTGGTGTTTTTAGTTCTATTCCTGCATAGATAAATTATATACAGAGAAAAATGATTTGTTTAGTTCTATATTACTCTATTCTAAGGTTAAAAAAATGACAACGAATGTATATATACTCTGTATATGTTCAACTTACATTATGTCCTAGTAATTACCGTTCTTGAAATCCTACACTTTACCCTTTTGACCTTGGTTATTTAAAAAAACAGAGAGCTAACAATTTCACGCTTCATGAATAATGAATCAATTTTCCTAGATAGTGTACTTTTGATTTATTAATGTATAAAATGTAATTATTAACATATTTTATATTATGATTTTTCCTGATTGTCTTCTATAAAAATGGTGATAATACGTTTAAATATTATTTTATTTGACTGATGTTTTAATTTAGGTAACTATTTATAGAGTTATATTTAAAACGTTTGAAGTTTTCTTTTTGCTTTTAACGAAACAAGAAAGTCTAATGTCTTATTTAAAAAATTAACAGATCTATCAACTTACATTTAAATTACTTTTATTAAAAAATATGAATATTGTATGCAGTCATATATATATATATATATATATATATATATGTATATTCTAATAGACGCACTATATCGTCATATACTTTCTTACACCCTCTACTAAAAAACTTCCTTGCTGAATAATCTAAAAAGCTCGGTCATACCTATTCAAACAAATTGAACTTTTAATTTGATCAAATATACAGCAGAAGGTTTTTTATAGGCGAATGACCCGTAGCGAGGTTTATAAGAGAAAACAAGCCCATTTTTGCCTGATATAGGGCTGTTGTAAACATCAGCCTATATATGTGAAATATACCACGTGGTTTCAGTACGAAATTAAATACCTCTGATTAGCATATAGCAGCATATAATAGGGTAGAAATTTAAAAAAATGTGAAACTAATAAAAGAAGATTCAACTTAGTTGTAGAATATTATAATGTGAATTTTGTTCTGCTCTCTTCTTCAATAGTATATACATAAATTGCATATATTTGCATATATATATCTACAGTATATATAGATATATATATAAATGTATACATACATTATTTAATTAGAACAAAGGCCTCTCATAATTGTTTATTGAATAATAAAAAATGAAAATCACGAAACTAAGATCAATCCTACGTAATTTTCATTTAATAATAGTTGATTAGACACTCGTATAACCTGCTTACTATTACAAAAATCCTTTGATTCGAAATGCCGGTTAGAAGAAAGAAGGGCAGTTATTAGTGAACAATAAATAAATCCTAAGATAACTCCTTACAGTTTTTAACTCAAAGAAAGTACTATACAAAGTATAAAAAGTTAGTAACCTACCTCTGTATTTTTAATACTGTTACTATCTGCAAACTCCTTTGCAGAAAGACGATTAGAACGATGTCTGACAATCGGTGAGTTTAAGTATGAAAATCGATAGAGCCAAGAGTGGGGGTGTCAGCTGCAATGGAAATTTCAAAAATGGATGTTGGTATCCTAGCGACGAGAAAAGTTTGAAAGAAACACTCAGCCCACCACAGATCGTATGATACGAGGTGGCATGTTCCAAAAGCTAATCGCGTGGTTCATAAATGACTAACCAAAGAATACAATTGTTATTGTCAATCGTATGTTTGTACAAATATTTATCACTGCTCGGCTGTCTAGAATATGACCGAGTAACATAGAAACAAATTCTACATGAATGTATAGCAGCGTCCACGAATTATATGCTTATTAAAATGTCTTGAACTTGCCACTGAATTGCTTATTGAGCAAAAAATAATTTATTATAGATCTAGCTCACCCACTCCCTTTGCCTAAAAAGTGACGTCACTGTATGTATTTGATGTAGTATGAATGGTCAATGTTCTTCATTTCTTAGCGGTGTTGCTAAGTTTGTAGGCGTCGAGGGTATTCACTAGTATTTAGCTGTACCGCTTTTCCTGGAGTCGACAGATCAAAAATGAAGAATTATGTAGCTAACATCAGCTTGACAATTAATCGCACACTTTAAACATATAATATATCTCGGTGTAGATTATAATTCGAATGGAATATTTTGCCTACTCCAGTGGTAATGGTTGAACAACGTTGATCATATACGAATAACTCTAATTATCGCTCACAGAAGCATCGTATCAAGAAACCCGTCAATTTAATTGTGTTATTGTCAACAATCAATAAAGTGTTCGCAAAATTAATGTAAATTAATTATTCAAGTCATTTCTTGAGATTTGATTTAAAAGTATAAATATATTTAAATGTGTTCAATAGAATGCCAAAGGAAAGCAAGAGCTCCGCAACTATTCGACGAAGGAAACGCAAAAGCGTCGGAATTCATACTCCAAGTGGTAAAAAAGATCAACCGGATGAACCGTATGATTCCAATTTTGAGGACGTTGAGGTCAAAACAGAACCAATGACATCAGGGCCTCTAGCACTTCAACGTCTCTTCAAATCTGAATGGACTCTATTTCTAGGCTTATTAGCTTTCAGGTAACTTATTTATAGTCTCATTCATAGATGAAATGTATTAAAAATCTTTTTCAGGTGTATAAACGCTTTAATGATCCAAACTTTCTACGTGCCTGATGAATATTGGCAATCCCTAGAGGTGTCTCATAATATGGCTTTTGGGTAAGGCTAAGTGCAGTTATAAATTACTGAGATATTTAAAGGATAGTAAATTTCAGCTACGGCTACTTAACCTGGGAGTGGAAAGCGGGCTTAAGAGGTTATTCTTATCCAACTCTCTTTGCTGCTTTATACAAAATATTAGCAATTTTTAAGTTGGATTATAGAATATTTCTAGTAATTATATTAATAATTTACAACTTCCACATGTAATTGGAGATATTATAGAGATAACAAAATTTCAGATTAAACTACCAAGAATTTTGCAAGCAATATTTGCAGCTCTATGTGATTTATATCTATATAAATTCTCAAGTAAAATAGCAAATCAAAATGTTGCTAAATGGAGTTTGTTATGTCAGTTAACGTGTTGGTTTACTTTCTATTGTTATACCAGAACTCTGACAAATTCAATGGAAACTGTACTTTCGACTATGGCTCTATTTTATTTCCCATGGCCTGGAAAACCTAAGTATGATATTCATTTACTTTTAAATTTGTATGATTTCTATATTTTTTTTTTAAAAAAAAAATTACAAATCGTAGAGAAGTTTAATTAAAATTTTTTATCTTCATAAACAGAAAAGCGCACTGGAAGTATTTAACTTTAGTCGGAATGGCAATTGTTATTAGGCCAACAGCTGCTATTATGTGGGCTCCTTTGGTTCTATGGCACTTCTTTTTCAACAGATCAGTGGTATTTAGAATATTAAAGACTTTTGCGGAAAGAGTGTAATTATCGTAATAAATTCTTTTAGTATAAATAATATAATTATATTTTGTGTTAACATAATAGATTTATCGTTTTGACTCTATCTTCAATAGTTGATAGGATATTTTATGGAAAATGGGAAAACGTCCAATATAACTTTTTGAAACAGAATGTGCTGAATAACATAGGTTTGATTGATCTATTCTTTTACTTATCAATGGTAATCTAATGTATTCAAACTTAGGCTCCTTTTATGGTTCACATTCATGGCACTGGTATATTACTCAGGGTTTACCAGTTGTACTTGGGTCACAAACAATTGCCCTTGTTCTTGGTTTACGAAAATGCCAGGAAAGGATATGCATATTTCTAGTCGTATGGACAATCTTTATTCTCAGGTTAGAATATATATATATATATACTGTATATTAAAAATCATTCAACAATATTATAAATATTCAAACAGTTTACTGGATCACAAAGAATTCAGATTTCTTTTACCAATTGTACCTTTATCTATGCACATATGCGCATCCTATTTGAATCAATTAACTGAAAATACATCAGAAAAGGATGATAATAAGAGCGTTAAATCAAAGTATTCAACAACGCAACTCATCGTAATATTTCTAATTGTACGTATAATAATTTAATAATTATTAATTTTTCTTTCGTGTATCACGATGATTAAATTTCCTTTTTTAACATTTTTAAGGCAACGAATCTACCAATAGCATTATACACTTGTTTACTACATCAAAGAGGAACCATCGACGTGATGAAGTTTATTAGCAATGATAATCAGAAAACTTTGAATGATACAAGAGTTCTCTTTTTAATGCCCTGTCACTCGACACCATATTATAGGTATACAAGATTAGTTTTAAATTTTCTATTAAGCTATTATCTATAAATTACAATTACCTACTATTTTCAGTTATATGCACAGGAATATATCTATGAGATTTCTAACATGCGAACCGAATTTAACTGGAATTTCTAATTATACCGACGAAGCTGAGATTTTCTATCAAAATCCTATTTCTTGGATTTCGGAAAATCTTAACACAACTGAAAATGAGCATATGCCTACGCATTTGATAATGTTCTCAACATTGGAAAGAGTCATATTCAATAGTATATCACAGTTAAGTTTTAAAAAATGCGCCAAATTCTTTCATAGTCATTTTGCTGAAGGAAGAGTTGGTAAATATGTTGTTGTCTACTGCAAAAATTAGGAAGAAAAACACCAAATTTTTATTTCTTTTCCTGCATTCCAGTTGAGGAAACAAACACACGAGTGTTAATTTGTTTTCTGTTTTGTTTTTCTCTTTAGCCATTGTTTAAACGCTTTTTGGCGCTACTTTTTTCCGATTATTGCAATACTAATTACCGTTACAAATGGAATTAAAGGAAAATCAATTATTCTCAAAGATAAGATACGTGATGTTGTCAAAACTATGCATCTAATTTAAACTTTTGTTGTTTTATTTCTGTCTGAATGAAATAAACGATAAAAACAAGAAAAACTATAAAATCTAGACGAGTAGATTATAGGATTTAGAATTAAAATTCGACTGATCGAATAAGTCAAGGTTATTGATGCTGCATTTAAGTTACTTTTATATTTTGCCAATTAACCGAAAAACTCATACCTTTCAGAAGTAATACATAGGAAAATTATTAAACGATAGATCGCTCTCTGCTATTAGATATTATATTATATATTTTTGTATTGATTTCTAGAAATCTAATGATTATTTAAAGATTCAAGCATAAAGAATAGAAATAAGTATCAAAACATTTAAAGAGTCCTTCATATTTGTTTTGATATGTTTGTTCTTTCATTTCATAATATTCAAGCTTTTTCAGTCCAGGCGTCCGTAATTCTTGGTGTAAGTCTAGCTGCTATATCTTGTCGAGATAGTGGCCTATCAGTCGAACTTGTTTTTGTGCTCACTGTGGTGGTTTGTCTGGAGTATTCGGGAGAAATACTTTCCGGTACAAGTTTAGTGGCAGAGTGAAATCCTGTTTTAAATAATTTAAAAATAGATTGTATAAAATTTTAATACGATTGAAACTATAGTAAACTAAACACTTACTCTTTGATACTTTGCTCATTTTTATAATTACAATAACTGCAATAATTAGCACAGCGAGTGCAAAAACGCTAAGCAAAACTGGCAGCAAAACATACAATTTCCAGTTGAACTCTTCGCTTCCATCCAAACCTTCGTAAGCAGATCCATCTACGTACATATATCTTTCACATTTCAATATTCGAGATTCAAAGTACAAATGGCAACCATCTTCAACGTAGTCAGCTATTTTTGATAATGAATTTTTAACATCATCTTCAGTTCCTGTCATGTGGAATGAGGCTATGATACTTCCATTCTTGAAATTCATTTTTCCAATCTTTACAACCTTTGTCTTTGTCCACAAATCGTTGTACAAAGCTGTTTCAAAGAATGGGAATTTCGGTTCATACTCTTGAAAGTCCTCGTCAAATTTTAACTTAATGGTTTTATTTGCTGGTCCAGTTGGTTCAATGTAATCTTTTGGCATCACATTGATAACTGTATAGTTCTCTGCTATGTAATCAGCGTGATTTGAGATCATAAGAAGTTTAAGTAAATGTCTTCCTGGTTTTTCAAAACTCAATTCCCTATTAACGTAACCGATATGTGTCAAAAAGGTTTCGTTGTGTTCGGGTAGAATAGATGGGTTTTTAATTATTGAATGACTCTTAACATGGCACTTCCATGAGATTCCTCTCCATGAAATATCACTAATAACCTCATTTGTAATAGCATCGGTAAGGAAAAGTTTCATTTTAAGTGGTTCGCCTACTACAACTGTTTGAGGATGTGTATGGCCAACAGTCAATGGTCGTGGTTTAACTGTTAAACCTCCAGTTTGAACTGTTGCCTTGAAATTTGTTGGATCATAGACGCTGAATAAGATTTGATAATTAGAACCTGAATGAGAAATTCCCAAATCGCTAAAATTGGCCCAGCCACTGTGAACATTAACAATAGTTGAACCAATTAACTTAGCTCTGGAATCAGAACCGGCATTTTGTTTCAAGACGGCTTTAACCTTCCAATAACCGCCAGATGAAGATTGAAGACCCAATGCAGGTCTATTTAATGCATCTTCTATCCTTATTGCAGGTTGAGTTGTAAATTTCGTACCTTCGTGTCTGACAGTTGGAGTCACTGCTAGTACAAGTTTGTTGGCCGTTTGTATCGTCTCAGATACAGTGTTACCATTGGACATTTTTGTAATATAGGATTCCCATTTAGGATCATCAGCAGGAGGCACAGCTTGATTAATGTAAATTGAGGAAATATCAAGTTTCAAATCGTCAGATACTTGACCACTCTGAAGTCCAGATTTTAACTTATCAACAATACCTTTCAAATTATCGTATGTAAGTATTTGCGTTTTGGAATCTAGTTCATGATTTCCAATTTCAATAGTGGCTTCAACATTAGATGTTGAACGTTTGCGTCGTTTTCCTACAGCTTGAGTGTCGTCTGCGACAACATTCATAAGTTTTACTTGAGATGCATCCAATCCAAGGAAAATTCGCAAGTATTCTGCCACATTCTTTCCATAGAATTCTTCAACCGTTATAGACTTTAGGCCTAATTTCAAAACAACAGAATCAGTCTTTAGTCTAAGTTCGACAGTTTTTCCTCCTCTTACGATCACGTATATAGTTCTTTCTTTAACGTCAAAAAAGTTAGCCCCAGCTGAATCATCTAGACTTGGTAATTGAAGACCACTAGTTTTCTTGTAAATTACCCTATCGTTCTCTTGAGCTTCGTTCTTAGCTAGAATTATTTTATTATCTACATAAGCATGTACTGGCTGTTGTAAACCCCAATATATAGCTATTCGTACTGCTTGATTTCCATTTGCATTGGGTAAATGTAACCTCAATTTTTGTGGCGTTGTTGATGTAAAATGGACATCGTAGTGATGGGAAGTTGCCACAAGATTAAAAAAGAGAGAGATACGCTTCCTGCATGTATAACCATGGCATATACCAACGTCTCTTGGACCATTATTCAAATCTAAATATCCAGTGTCAGATCGTATGGCTACTGGTGATAATCTTCGTTCTTCATAGTCAGGATCTAATGATTCTATAAGGAGTAGCTCGTAATCTAAGCCGAAACATTTATAGGCTGTCCAGTCTGTTACAAATGTACATTTGTCATTTCGTATAATGCCTTTGTGAGGGCGAACTTCATCAATATCTTTCCTCTGTCCATCTCTAGTTACTTGCATTGTTTTAGGAATTCTATAATCCCCTAACCCTCTTCTTGCATCGCCGTTCCATTCGAACTCGGATTCAGGTATGACAGCGCCTTGATCTCCTAAAATACTTCCATCCAAGTCTTTAAGAAGAGCTTTCTTCATACCATCACAATCCATATCTACACAATCGCCTCCATTGACATATTTCAAGTTTGGCCTATGCATATTAAAAAGAGCATTTTCTTGAACATCAAATTTTGAAATATCTGATGCATGAATTGGATGAGCCATATCTGGAACCGAGGGATTGGTACTGAAAGCTTTGTCTACCGCCTTAGAGCAAGACGTCTTAAAATGGGCCAGTATAATATTTTGTACACGGAATATTCCGTATCCTGCAGGTTCCTTCTTAGCAAACTTATGCGGTTTCAATGGTGCTCCATTTGGCTTGGAAGAAAATAAAGGCCAACTAATACCAGTCCTACCCTATTTATGAAAAAATTAAAGCATTAAAATATCTATACTAAAAGTCTCTTTACTTACAAGTCCATAACTTTTTGTAAACCAAGCTTCTCCTAGTATTGCAGCTTGAATACTCTTATCATTTGCAGACATCAAATCATTTTCACAATCAAATTGTGGATTTGTTCCAACTACTAAGGAGTTTGTAAATTTAGCATACTTTTGCTCAAATTCATGGTGAACAGCGGAAGGATAGATTATCATAGGGAAAATACCAACTGTATTGTCAACTAAAATCATGTTATCGAATTCAACGCTACAAGGAACTTGAACGTAAATGCCAAAAAACCAAGCTTTTGAGATTTTAAATCCTTGAAATTTTGAGCAACTCTCGGCCAATCTACAATCTTCAGGCATTAACCAGATACCATTTAGAACACCATGAGCCTCGTTATTTGAAATAAGGGATGTTTTACTAGAATCACACGAATCTCCATCTAGTCTGTAGCCAACTCTTTCACTTCCAGCAACAACGTTATCTTTCAAAACAGTGTCTGTACCATTTTGGATTTCAATTGAAGCAAAGAATTCATAGTTGCCAAGTTCTGCTCTGGATCCGTATGTACCAGGGAAAATATTCAGAGTGATCAAGTTATTTTCAATTTTATTTCCTTTGCCATTGGTCACGATAGAGGTACCAACTGTACGGTGAACAACGTTATTCTTAACTTCCACTCCGTGAGTTCCGTAGATACAGACTGTTGAAGCATAACCGTGATGGAAAGCGTT